TCAGAGCGAATTTCCGGAGTCCTAATTCACCGTCGGTGACTCTTCTTTTCGCAAACGGAACTTCAATTCTCAGATTCTTATTTTCCAGCATCCCTCTGTTCAATTTTGAGCTGGACTTATGCGGCCCAAACACTTCTTCTTCATCGTAACGTCTCTCAACTACCTCTGCCTCGTCATCTTCAACATCGTAATCGGAGAATAACTCGTTGCCTCCTCCGGCGTCCGAAACGGATGAGATACTCATTTCCTCGTCTTCTTTGTTTTCCTCGTCGGAATCGTCATCACCATCGTGAAGAATGTGAGTCACGAGCGTAGGCGATGATAGGCCGGAGTTCCAATTCAAGTGAGGTAAGCTCTTAGGAGAGACAAACGAGAGAGGAGATCGTGGGAAGGTAGCTGGAGAAAGGTTCTCGGAGAGAGGAGATCTGACGCGAGGTTGAAGTTGAATCTCCGATTTGGGTGATCCTTTTCTGATACAGGTCGCCATGGAGAGACGAAATGTGCAGCTAGAGCGAGAGAGACGAAATGTGCAGCTGTGAGTGAGAGAGAGAGAGAGAGAGAGAGGAAATGAGAAGGAGCGGCTGTTTCGAAAAAAGGAAAGGCAACGGCTAGTTTTGACATGTGCCACTGCTTTCCGTATAATTGAAGGAGACTATTGGCCAATTCCTTAATTTATTAAATTTTAGAGGCTTTTTGAGAAAACTGTCCATTTTTATTGTTGTCATTCAGAATTTTCTCTGTAAGGATATTTATTTAGTTCTATAAATTTCACAAAATAATAAAATTTTGTAACTTAGAATTAAAAGCTTCGTTCAATTACTGTGGTCGGAAATAATATCTAGTTCGAACTATATAGTTATGTACAATATTAAGGAATTTTCAGTAAGCGAAGGTGTAATAAAATGCGGTTGAAAAACACGCGCTGAAGGATTGGCGCGTGGAGATTACAGACATTCGACCAGAAGACCCATTTCTATAAGCTCGGCGAAGAGATGTGTGTGTAGAGTTGACACAGATCTCCAGGGGAGATGCAGAACCCAAACTCATCCATGGTGGATCCAACTTCCGCACCTAAACGATACACTCCACCTAACCAAAGGTAGTAATTTCTCATATGCTTCCGACTGATTTCGATTTCTCGGCTTCCTTTGAGGTTTCTTTTCTGCCTCGTAGGAACCGTTCTTCGAACCGAAGGAGATCAAGAGGTTCGTAGGTTCCCTCTTTTTTTTTCTTGTATTGATTTCTAGAGTATCTAATTTTTTTTGGTTACACAGCTTAGACTAGCAAATTTAGAGGAAGAGAGCTTATCTCATTGTAGAGACACTGCTCCACTTAGTAGCATAAAAAATCTGTAAGCAGTTGCTTTGTGACGTTATGAACATTTTGAGTGATAATGATTCAATTTTTAATCTGTAATTCAGATTTTGCAGTCATTATATTGAAAAAATCTGGAGGTTTTTCATGTGGTTTTTTCAGGACAATTTCATTATCTTGCTGGTTGTTTTAGCAATTATAGAAGATTCAGACCACTTTTGCTTGTAATGATTTTATTATATACGGCATGTGTGTGTGTGTTTGTTTGTGGTTATTTCCTTTTTGCTAAAGTAAATGGAGAACAACTTGATGAAACAGGAAGCTCCATTGGCAACGAGGGGGAGAGAAGTCAGCCTGTTGCTGTTGGTTTCCAGAAGGAAAACTCTTCTCCAAGGATTATATCTCCAGAGGGTTGCTGTGGGAGTGAAGCTTATCAGCTTCTTAGTGGTCGTATGTTTTCTGAATTAAGTCTTTAATCATATTTTTGCTTCTGTTCGATCTCATCACTGTCTCCTACTTCTCTCAAATCTTACGGAAGCGTTGCCTTTTATATTCATATTGTCCACTTTTATCTGATGACTAAACTAAAAAACAAGCATGTATGAGATAAGTGTACTATTTATGTGCTTTTGTGGAACCTTTGAATTGAGTTCTAGGGTGAAAATAGTTTGAAAATCATGAGGTTGGAGCTTGATAAGAATAACACTGAATACAAATGCCTTATCAACATGTGAATTGTTAGTGGAATCAACATGTATAGAAGGGGTCGAGTGAGTGGCTCTGGTTTGGGACCTTGAGAGAGTTAGGGTGCTCTATCATTGACACTTGATTACGATTCTTTGATATGTGTGTATGTGTGTGTGTCTCATTTTCGAAGCACTTTGCTATTTTGATTGTAGGTTGGGCAGCTGCAATGCATCTATACAATGACCCTACTGTTGATTTGTCTGGTATATGATCAATTGTTTTGTTCCCGGAAATATGATATACATATGTTCCCACCTTGATATTCTGTTTGTGTAATTTTTACAGAAAGACCAATGATGTATTATGGCGGGGATGTGTGGGGTAAACTGCCTCACACTGTGAAACCGGTATCAGTTTCTTTCTTATGCTTTTAATGTCTATGAATATTGTTCTTTCTTGTTTGTTAAGCGGGACTACACCATTTCAGATAATGGGTTCAGGAAACAGGACATTACCTCCTCCACCAATGTTGCCAACGGATTACAGAACCCTACACTCTCGTGGATTGGCTAATTCCAAGGTCGCCAAGTTCTAACAATTGAATGTTCTACATCTGGTCGAAGCTGATCTGACTTATGAAGCAGAGGCTGACAGGAACGCACAGAGAGAGAGAGAGTGAGTGAGCTCAAAGGCTATGAAGCTAATATGTGTATTCGTTTTCTTTTGTGCCAACATTGGTTATGACTTATGAGATGTACAGATCATTTGTGAAATCAAGATTCTGAAATTTTATATTCCCTCTGTCCCATAATGTAACCTGTTTTAGCTTATAAATATAAGCAGTTTTGATATTTCAATGCACTTTTAGTTTATGAAAAATTGTGTGACCACTTATATTTTTCATTCTTTTTTATGATTGGTTGGATTATATTTAATCTATATAAAATGATATTTTTTAAAGCAAAACAATTTTCTTAATTCTTGTGTTTAAGATAAAACAGTTTGCATTATGGGACAAAGGGAGTATTAAATATAACATTTTTTCACATACAAAATACAAGAGTCTAACAAGGAAGAAACATGGAAATTTCAAACAAAATAAGCGTGGAAATTCAAACAGAAGTAGCAAAGTTCTTGATGAAAATGTTGGCTGATTCTCGAACTTGCAGAAAGGATGACACTAGAACTCTGCTATAGATCGGAAACTAATACTTCCTATGTTTTCTTACCAAATCGTAGAACATAAGCAAACACCAATCTAGAAACCTATATCTCTCCTACTTCTACTCCATATGTGTCTTCGTCTTCTGGAGGTCGAATGAGCTGATCAGCAGGCTCTCTCTCCTCCATGTAATACTCTTCATTGGTCTGGAAAAGATACTTCAAAACCGAAGCTAAGAGGAGAATAAAAACGAGGATGTCCCAGCGCTTATCAACAAAAATTGCCCAGAATAGCTCCGAGCGAAGTAAATGCATGGTGGTACGATGAAGAAAGCCGTAAAAGCTGAAGCTGCTGCTATATAATACATTTGCCTTGCGTAGAAAGAAACAAGAAGGGACGGACTCTGTCAGGCTGATATCCGGTACGCACACAATATAAAAACTTCAAAATATTATTTATGTAAAAAATCTTTATAATTATATATTTTTCAAATAATCTCATTATGTATCTTAAATCTTGCATTTTTTTACTCATATTTTGACAAGAAGAGCAAACATTAAGAAAAAAATAAGCAAAATATAAGCAAAACATACGTAAAAAATGCAAAAATATATAATTATTAGTTACCAACTACACTAAACATTACAATAGGAAGAAAATTATATTTATATGGGTAGTCGTAAGCTCTCTTTATTAATTTTAATTTACTAGGCGAATAGCTTGTTAAGCTTGCTGTATATAGGTGGTTAAGTTTGGTTTAGTTGTCTCAACAGTATTTGCTTTGTATCACATTTCTAATCTACTGATGGTTAGAACCTTTGCTCTCTCTTTTATCATGTATAGTTGGGATATTTGAGCATCTCAAGCTCAGCAAGAACAGTTAAGGCACAAAATAAGATTGGCAAGCTTGTAAATTACAGAAAAAAACATGACTTCAACTACCGTGTGCCAAAAACCAAAAAAAATCATTACATGACATTTACTCAGGTTAGCTTGGAAAACAACCATATGCTCGATATGGACAGAGAGTAACCATCGCCGCGTGCATCAAATTTGGTTCCAATCCCAGTTAATTGTGTAAAACACGAATTACAAAATCCTAAAACTGATTTTTTTTTAACGGTGTTATATGGGGATAATGAATTTGAATTTATAGCACACTACTATATAGCCGAGTCCGTTACCCAAATGTCATGTACTACACGATCGTGAGTTTGTTTATGAATCTGATCATAGAAAGACTACATATAGATTCGACAATACGACTTCATATTAGAGAGTTCTAACATTCCACCCTTATTCTGTATTTCTTAGGTTTCCTCAAGATTCATTTTAACGGAGAGCATCTCTCTCGTATTTTACTATATCAACTTAACTTTATATTTTTGTTGATATGCATGATATAGCAGTACAAACTTGGAGAATTTAAACTGATTCTGGAATCAACGGACCCGAGGTTCGACTTACATATGATGATGATATATATGATCATATCCGATGATAGTAGCTTGGGCTTTTTCGTGAGCTGGACTCTGGCTTGTCGATGGGCTTATTTATTGATACTCTTATTTATTAGAGTGTATATAAATCATTTTGTTTTTTAATTATCTACGAAGGTAAATATCTATTGGTTTTTAGTTCCTGCTGTGTCACCGCCCAGTTACTTTTACATTCATCAAGTAAACCTAGCAATCCTACCGTAAGCAAATCGTGACCGTTGATTAAGAACACAGGATACACTAGGGTTTTAGTATTTTATATCGCTTTCTCTTTTCTTCTTCTCTTGCCAAGGCTCGTAAGTCGTAACGATTGTTCGGCGGCCACTGATCATTAAGCCATGGTGAGTACTCTTTTCTTCCGTTCATCATCCTCCGCTTCGAGTTTTCATTTGTTTCGTTCTCCTTCTCTTCCCGTATTTCAAGTTTCAGCTGATTAGCTAGTGCTGTTTTCTTAACATATCCAATCAAATGCAGTCAATTACGCATATGTTGATACTTGAGCTAGTTTCATCGCTTGATTATTACCTCTAGCTAATTCTGGATTCATAGATCCGCGTAAAAACTGATTTCGGTGGCTCTTGTTTGCGTATTAACACGATGGGAATTAGTTAAATGTTTCTCTCGATTAGTGATTTATTTTATGTAAGTAATAATTATCTTTCAACAGTGCCACATTTGCTTTGATTGATCCTTATTGTCGTCCACACGTTTACATTAGGTGTTCGTGAAACCCCAAAAGAAGCAGGCTTACTTCAAGAGGTATCAAGTCAAGTTCAGGAGAAGGCGTGGTATGTTATCTGAGACCAGACTGCTTATCTTCTCTGTTTCTGTTATAATCCTGTCTTAGATTAAGAAAAAACTCATTATTTTGATTGGTGTGTAATCTTAGATGGAAAGACTGATTACCGCGCCAGGATCCGTCTCATCAATCAGGACAAGAACAAGTACAACACCCCTAAGTACCGTTATGTCGTGAGATTTGTAAGTATTGTTGACTATGTTTACTTTATCTATTTCAACTCTGTTTTCTGTTTGGACTCAATTTAGATTCATGATCTTTTTCCTTGTAATAGACCAACAAGGACATAATTGCTCAAATTGTGTCTGCAACTATCACTGGTGACATTGTTATGGCATCTGCCTATGCGCATGAGCTCCCTCGTTATGGCCTTAAAGCTGGTCTAACGAATTATGCTGCTGGTAAAGAATTAACCACGCTTTAACTGTTTAATAATCTTCGCTCATTTCTATAATGTCACATATATGCTTATTTATGAATCGAATATTTTTCTTTTCTCTCAATTTCAGCATACTGTACTGGTCTCCTTTTGGCTCGCCGTGTACTTAAGATGCTCGAGATGGATGCTGAGTATGAAGGAAATGCTGAGGTATGAGTCAATAAATGCGTAAATGTCTGCTTCTACCTTGTATGATTAGCGATAGCTGATTCATCAATTTTCTTTTAATACAGGCCACTGGAGAAGACTACTCTGTTGAGCCGACTGAAACCAGAAGGCCATTCCGTGCTCTTCTCGACGTTGGTCTCGTCAGGACCACAACCGGAAACCGTGTGTTTGGTGCCCTTAAGGTACGTTTGAATACCTTTTCGTTATTCATTGATATTTTGGTAAAAAATAAAGGTTTTCCTGTGAGGTTACAGTTATTGTATGTCTTAGTTGCTTTGCTAGAGTGAGATTTAAATGAATGGAATATACGTTTCTTGTTTAGGGTGCTTTGGATGGTGGAATTGACATCCCACACAGTGACAAGCGTTTTGCTGGGTTCAACAAGGAAGGAAAGAACCTTGATGCTGAAGTTCACAGGAAATACATCTTCGGCGGTCACGTTGCTGATTACATGAAGGTAATTCATCTTAAACAGCATCTCTTGGTACAGATGATTGCTTATTGGTTAGTGATGTTTCAATATTCATGTCCAATTTGTAACTACTATGTGCAGCTGTTGATGGAGGATGAGCCAGACAAATACCAGACTCATTTCAGCGGTTACTTGAAGAAGGATCTTGCCCCAGAGAATATGGAAGAGATGTACAAGGCAGTACACGCAGCAATTAGGGCTGATCCATCAATCAAGAAGTCCGACAAAGTGGCTCCTAAAGAGCACAAGAGGTATAATTAATGACAGTTGAATCTAGGCATTGTTGTGTTTTTGCTATTTCAAAAGTCTGAAGATTTGAATTTTGGATGATGATATATAGGTACAACCCTAAGAAGCTGACTTATGATGAGAGGAAGGCTAGTCTGATCCAGCGAGTGAAGGCCTTGAACTCAGCTGGTGATGGTGGGGATGATGATGATGAGGACGAGGACGACGAGTAAACCTGTTTAGCTTGAGTGATCTCCTTGCCATCTTCTATGAAATTTATCTTTATTAGTAGTGTTTTAAACAGATACAAGTTTTGTCTTTTTGCCGAGTATGTAGTGTTTGGAGTTTTGAACCACCCTTTGTTTTCAATCAAATTTAAACCAAAATGTTCTTTATAACAATGTCATCGATATGGTTCTCAAAAGAATAAAATCAGGAGAAGAAAATCGTCGTAATTTGGACTATGAATCCCAAAAGTAAGAGAAGAGTGCAAGCCATTATAGCTGTGTCGAAGGCCTTGCAAAACCCTAAAAATGCCAACTACCTTTGCTCTTGTCTTTGTTCAGATCAAGATGTAGTGATGTACCAAAGAGTTCATAATTACCACAGCGAAAAACAGATCTTGGTTTCTTAGAGAAAAACAAAGACGACAATTTAATGGCTTTTTCAGCCAACAGTAAGTCTTTTTGCTAGTGGTTCTTCTGACTAGAGCACACTCATCAGCTGCTGTCATCATCAAGCTTGCACGTGAGGTGTCATTTGCTAATGGTATATCAGTATATCACTTATCAACTATCAGGTGTCATTTGCTATGTGGATCAATCATTAGTACAAATTTACTGACTGTAATTTGTTTACATTTGAGAAAGTCTCTCAAAATTCCAAATGCCATATATATTTATCTCGAAGCTTAAGTTTCCATGGTATCAAAACCATAGAAGGCTCACATCTATTCGTTTACAATTCTCCACATACAATAAGGATTAAGGGACATGTTTAATGATGGAAGTTTTGTAATCTAAAACTTGACAATTAGAGCAAATAGAACCAGGAAAAGAATGCTATTTTTTCACTTAAAATAAAAATTGAGCCGGTCGGCTCGAACCGACCTACAAGAACCGTTTGAGCCTTTGGGGAAAATAGCGAACCGCGTGACTCATTTAGGCCATGAATGTAAAACAGATGATGGCCTGAATTTACTCCGTTTCAGTTCTCGGCGGCCCTGACGACGGACTTAATTTGGTACTCTCCTCTTTTTTTCTGTACGTTTTTCTCCATGCCCTCAAGATTCCATATTGTAGTCTGTAGAGAATTTCGATTTGAATGTTTCTGTTCCGGTATCTGCATCGATTTAGGGATTTAAGTTTCAATTGCAATTTTTCTGTCTCATGCTTTATGTTGATGTCTCACTAAATTCATATCGTATTTGCTGTTAGATCAAGTAAACATCTACAACGATGGTGAATTTGTTCTTATCCGAACCCAAGTGGAGCGATGATGCTCACAGCAGTAGCAACATCGATGAGATTTTGCCTCTGTTGAACAAATTAAGCTCTCACATTCAATCATTAGTGACTCATGGAGCTCGCTCAGAAGCTAGACTCTGGCTTTGTAGTGCCCTTTCTAGTGTCTCGATATCCCCAAGAAGGCAACTCATTATATTCACGCGGTTACTGAGATCAAAACCCAGAAAAACGCAGCTTGTATCTCAGCTCTTGCAGATGATGTTTGAGAAGAGACCGAGGAAACTCGGATCTGTGTTAGCCAAAAGAAGTTACTTGCTCGAGAAATTCTTTAAAGGTGAAGTCTTGTTGTTGATTTTGGTCTTATTTTACATTATCTTGTGACTGTGATTCATGTTTGAGTTTCTGAAACTATGCAGGGAATCCGAAGCGTATGGTACAGTGGTTCTCTGAATTTGCTTCTGATGGTGGTTCTGATCACAAAAGAGGTGCAAGAGCGTTTGCGCAGTTTGCGTTTGCGAACCGTGATATCTGCTGGGAAGAGCTTGAGTGGCGAGGCAAACACGGACAATCGCCTGCGGTTGTTGCTACGAAGCCTCATTACCTTCTTGATCTTGACGTCCAGCGAACCATTGAGAATTTCCTCGACAATGTTCCTGAGTTCTGGTCATCCAACGAGTTTGCTGAGTCTCTCAAAGACGGCCAGATTTTATCTCTTGACAGTAAATTCTTTCTGGATCTCTTTACTCGTTTCATGTATGAGGAAGATATGAATGATGTGTGGGATGCTGTAGAGGAGTTTCTTACGGAGGAGTCTTTCTCTACCTTGACTCAGCATCTCCTTATCACTCTTGAAGAACGTGACCTGTGTCAGTTTCTTGAATTGCTTGGGAAATATTTTAATCCAAGCATTGAATCTTGGGATGGTGGTGATTCGTCTTGCTGGCTCGGGGTTGTTCTCTCGAGATATGGTGATTCTGTTGATGAACTGCTGCTACTGAATTCTGTTATCAACCAAGGTCGTCAGCTGCTACGGCTTGTACGTGATGAGGGGGAAATGTTGAAAGAAACTATTGGAGATGTCTGCAGAGGTTTGGAAAATGGCGGTAGCTTTTCTCTAGTTATGAGAGAGCTTTCGAAGATGAAACACATTGAGGTGATAAGAATACTCGGTCTACTTTCTTGGACTATTCACTTCAGATTATCGGAGGAATGTCAGACGCCAGATTCATGGGAGTCTCTATTTAAAGAAAATGGAATTGAGTTCCGTAGGTCTAGTGAACACTCGTTGCTTAGTCATAACGAAAGCGAATCTGACTCGGATAGTATTAGTAGAAGCCATGTTTCTAAAAAGAGGCACAAGAGGGAGAAGAAGAAGAGAAAGAAGAAAAGGAAGAGAGATACTGATGATGATGATGATAATCTCATTGATGATGTGATTTTAGGTGGGCATCAATTAAGTCGAAGCTGGTTGCTATCTACTGATGGGTTTTCTGCAACATGGACCAGTGTGAGTTTCCTTTTCTTGTTTTTATTTGTTCATATAACAGATGCGTTACTTATTTGTGTTCTTTTCATCTGAGATGGTTTTTTCAGGTGGATTTACCGGAATACATCGCAAGGCATTGTTTGTCTACATGGATGAAATGGTTGCTAGCTAGACAAAAATGATTCACAAGTCATATGACGAAATGGTAAGGATACTGCAGTGCTTACAACCTCAACCTGTGCGTTTTATTGTACTCAACAAGAGTTATTTCAAAGATTCTAATGGCTTCTACTTGCTTTTGTTACAGTCTTTTATACTGATCCTACGAATAGGTACAAACGTCGGAAACTTGAAACTTGAATAGATTCAGCATAGGTACAACATATGTTGATGATGAAGTCGTCATTTATCAGAGCTTTGTTGAAGATGGCAGCGAGTGTTGTTAACGACAATAGCAGTTCCTCTTAATGTCTAATGTCTAGCACAAGAAGGCGTTGCTGTTACTTAAAAAATAGCAGAAGAGAAGGTCTGAAACAGAATCAAGTACTCATACTAAGTGTAACTTTTGTGAATAATTTAGCCAACAACTATTCTTTGACACACATCTTCAACACGTGATTCGTTTTAAGAGAAGGCATTTCATTAAATTCGAGCGGCTGGGTAAGAATTCCAATTTTGTGACATCAGACATAATTTATGAATTATAGATGAAAAAAACAATAACGGTTGCAACTCAATAATTTTTTTTTGAGATAATGCTCGCGAAAGAATGACAAAGATCGCATTGTCTAATGTCAATCATCTTTGATAGGGAAAATAAATAGAAAATGGGTTTTTGAATGTATGTTTAAAATGCCAAATACAGTACTGTACAACTCATTGATGTTTTCCATGAAAAAGAAAATAAAGTGTGTGGATAGAGAAGGTGTTGCAGAAAAAGTCAAAAAGATTCGTTTCAAAAGATGGGTAACTTCAGAGTTCAAGTAATTATTGCATATCATATACGCTCTTCACCTGGATTCACTAAATATATTTGTATACAAATTCGTATTGTCAAATTAATTAATCGTGATTGTAAGCTGTAGTTACTTTGGGACCAGAACTTGTAACACTTCTGGATTGCTATATAAGATGCATATATATAAACTTTCAAAGCAGAATTGTTTATCCATATTTATCATCATTTAATTAACAGCTATCACCTTTTTAAGTATTAGTTTTGTTTCATATAAACTTATAAACGTAAACCGAACTTTTTGAATGGCATGTAGGCAAATAACATATCAAATTAATCAATAACGGATTTTATGGATATTTTACGGAGCACTAGTACTAGTGTGTGTTTGTCCTCTTTGTCACTATTTCGATTTAACTCCAGTATAATATTCATTCTTGTTCTTGCCGATAGAAAAGAAAATGTAAAATATATAGCTACGTTGGTAAAAGTAAAAATGGTTATTAAATGGTTTACAGTGAGGTCAGTGTCTTGTTATTACTCATAGCCATAGGTCACAAGGACACAGCCATAATAGAGAGAGCCATTAACTTCTTTCCCTCTTGTATTGTGTGAACAGAGCTTTTGCAGAAACCCAGAACAATGCAGATCTTTTGTTGGTCCTCCATCTTCCTCCTGCTATCATGCGCACTCTCCTCCCCTCTATCCTGCGCATCCGCCGCGCCCACTCTCGTCCGTCGTCACCTCTACGACGACGCTGAAGCTCTCCCTACTCCTATCGACGGAGAAGCCCTACCTCCTCCTATCGACGGAGAAGCCCTACCTCCTCCTAACGACGGAGAAGCTCTACCTTCTCCTATTTCTCCCATTAGTCCTCCTTTCTTCCCACTCGACTCCTCCGCTCCTCCGCCTCCTTCTCCTCCGACCTTCGCTTCCTTCCCGACTTTCCCGGCAAACATCTCCGCCCTCGTCCTTCCCCGATCTCCTAAACCACATTCCACTTCCCCTTCACATCTTGTCCCGGCTATCTCCGCCGTGCTCGTCGTCGCCACAGCCATCGGCATCGCCTTGTTTCTCTACTGCCGGAGGAAAGGAGAAAACCGTCACTTCAAGTACTCTACTAGTGGTAGTACTAGTAGCCACCATGACTATGATGAGCAGCCGAGACACATTACCAACAACTTCTCTGTAGCTGCTACTACCTCTACCTCGGAGGTTATATACATCGGTGCCGACGAACCTGACCGTGTTATAACGAGTTTCGTGAAGCCTGAATCGCCGGAGATACGGCCACTACCTCCGTTGCCTCTTCGTAGTTTCCAGCACAACTATGAAGCTGATTTTCTCTCCGACGGAGAAGAAGAAGACGAGTTCTTCTCTCCTCTGGCTTCTTTGGCTGGCTCCGAGCACTCAAGCCCGTCCCGTTCTCGTTTCGAACCGGAGGGTCATTACAGAACTAGCTCCTGCTCCTCCTCCGCCTCCGGTTGGGTTTCTCCGGCTAGGTCATTCTCCATCACTATGTCTCCGCCGATGAACTCGACCGTTCCACAGCGCTCTAACCATAGATTCTCAGACTCCTCTTCCGATCAAAACCTCCAGTCTCCGTCGCCGGAGAGACTACGAGTAAGGAAGAATAACGGAAATGAGTCGTCGTCTCTGAGAATGTTTAGCTTCTGGAATCAAAATCTGGGCTTTCCTCGTATCTCCTCTGCTTCTACCTCACCAGACAGAGGATTTAATATAAGAACGCCGCTTTCTTCTCTCTACTCTTCGGTTTCCAATTCCCCCGACGGATTGTTCCGGAAATTTCTGGACAGTTCGCCGCCGATTTGGAACGACTTTAGTCGGAATGTGAAGTCGGTACTACTCTCCTCCGATTCCCTTTCATCGAGAAGAGATTATGTTATCAACGTAGGTCAATCTTCATCTCGATATTTGAATCAAGCTGCTGCGCCTCCTCCTCCGACGAGACCACCTCCTCTTGTTCCGCCGCCACAGTCTTTTGTTGTTCAAAACGATGTGAAAAAACCATCCTTTTCGGAGCTTCCTCCGAAACAGCCGCATTGGGATAAACTCCGACAAGGTTCTTTCGAGTAAGAGTAGTGAAAGTTATCTACTTTTTTTTTTGTCCTCTGCGTTTTTGTTTTCTGGATAAGAGTTTGATGAAGTTTGTTTGTGTGACTGAGTGTGGCAGATTGAACAAAGAGATAGTGGAGACTCTGTTCATGTCAAACTCTACAGATCCAAACATAAAACAGAGAGGTCTAAGCTGTGATCTTCCGATTCAAAATCAAGAAAGCAAAGTTTTAGACCCGAGAAAGGCTCAGAAGATTGATACTCTGCTTCAACTACTTACCTTAACCACAAAGGATGTTTGTCATGCTCTTCTTGTTGGTAATTCACTAATCATAAGCTAAAAAATTGTAATATATTGCCATTTCTTTGTAATGTTATTGATTTGTAATCTCTGAGTTATTGATTTAGGTGACCATGATGCACTTGGAGCTGAACTTCTCGAGTGTCTATCAAGATTGGCACCAAGTAGGGAAGAAGAGAAAAAGCTAAAGCGCTACAGTGATGTCATCAAGCTTGGCCCAGCTGAGAGGTTTCTTGAAGAGTTGCTTCATGTGCCTTTGGTGTTCAAACGTGTTGATGCATTGCTCTCTGTCGCTAATTTCCACTCCAAGATCGAACACCTCAAAAGATCATTCGGTGTTGTACAGGTAAAATATCAACACTGAAGATAGTAGATTTACATATATAATGCGTCTAATGTTAGTAGTAAACTAAATTCTCATAAGCTTTTTATCCGCTATTACAGGCTGCTTCTAAAGAACTAAGGAATAGTAGAATGTTCTCGATACTTCTTGAAGCGATACTAAAGACAGGAAACAAGATGAGTGTTAGAACACACCGCTTTGGCGATGCTCATGCCTTCAAACTTGACACGCTCTTCAAGCTTGCTGAGGTCAAGGGGTTAGATGGAAGAAACAGTCTCCTGCATTTCGTTGTTCAGGAAATGATAAAATCAGAAGGCGCTGCGAAAGCTTTAGGCTGCATCAGGAATCTGAACTCGGAGCTGGCGAATGTCAAGGAATCAGCAGAGGTTGAGTTTGGTGTTCTAAGAAGCGATGTCTCAAGGCTTTATCAAGGAATCAAGAACATCGAGGAGCTTCTGTTGCGGAGCGAGTCGAGTGGATCTAGTGGAGATAAGAAATGGATGGAGTTCAGGGAGAGGATGACAAGATTCTTGAAAACCGCTGGAGAGGAGATTCAGGCGATCAAAACACAGGAGATTTCAACGCTCTCTGCATTGGAAAAGGTGACAGAGCATTTCCATGGAGATTCTTACAAGGAAGGTCACACGTTGAGAAGTTTCATGGTTGTGAGAGACTTCCTGTCCATTCTAGACAAAGTGTGTAACGAAATGGGAGACCGGTTCTCATCGTAAGGTTTAAAAATGTAATGAAGTAGATCAACAATCTTGCTGATTAGGAAAGCCTTCATTTTTTTTCTGTTATCTCGAGAATGAGATAGGGATCTTGCAATCTGTAACCGGTGTTTTGTTTGAAGTAGCTTTAGATGTAATGATGTATGGATGGATTTTAAAACATTTCTTATTGTAGTTTCTCAACTTGAAATCCTTTTTCTCCTAAGGCATTAGCCTACATCTATGGTCAACTTTCTTCTTCTGGTAACTACCCATCTAGTCAACTTCTTGTCTTCTGTAGCATTCTTTCGTGTATCCAACTGTATTCTGTCAGTGGCGGCTACAGTTGAGCACCCAAAATGGTATAGTGTTTCCCATTCGACATTAATAAATGAGTGAGTAAATTCAAATCTTGGATTATATTAGCAATTCGTTTAGATACAGACATACAGTATAAATTATTCTACATTTCTGGTCAATTTGTGGTCAGAGAGGATAGGACCTGTCGACCTGATAAGCAAAGTCTATTTATAACACAGAAAGACCACAGCCAGAATTATGTCTATGCTTGTTGTTTGCTTGAGTTCAAAGCTTCTGCATCCATGCGCTCTAGGATATGACGAGCTTCTTCCTCTGTAGCAGGAACTACATTTCGAAGCTTAAACCCATTGTTTCTGGCCTTTGCCTCTGGTCGTACAGTGAACTTGAAGTAGAATGTATTTGAAACCTATATCATATGCAACAGAGAAAGAGACCTCAAGCAGACATACTGAGCATCAAATTTGATATAGAACCAGAAAGCTGCTCTCATCAAGTTAGGATTTTACCTCACTGGAACGAATCTCCGGGCTTGTAACATGAGCAACAACTTCGATATTGATAAGCGGACAATCCAATTTATCAAGTTGAGTGTAAAGCACACAGGATTTGAAACGTAAGAAATCCCCAACGTCCACCTGTCATCATGCAAGTCCATTCAGCATTAGTTACACACAGAAGGAGAACGTGAACAAGAAGAACACAGTAAGAAGTGGATTTGGATACAGACTGGTCTTAAGAAATCGACGTGATCAACTTCTAAGAAGTAGGGCACAAGACCAGCAAATGTATAAGCAGTGGAGAAGGCCAACTCAAATGCCCTGTGCATCAGAAACCCTCCAAAGATCCTGCCATGGATGTTCCTCTGCTGTGGTTGGCATATAAGCGAATTCTCGAGACGAGTATCTTTCAGAAGAATGCTGTTTCTGTCCGCAAGCGCTGGCATGTCAGAGAAGATCCTTCCTTCAGCCAACAGAGCCCCAAGCTTCTTATACTCCCCGTGATCGAATTCCCTCCTCTCACCTCCCCTCTTCTTCTTCCTCAAGTTGTTCCTAGCTTCGGCTTCCTCAAACAGAACCTTTTCGAGCTCGGTCTCTGGAGAAAGGCGGTTGATAGGAGCAGCCTTGCCAGTCTTGGAGTCACGCGCCACAAAGATGAAGTTGGCAGTTAGAGCAACAGAATCCGAAGAAGCATTGGCATCTTCTGATAAGTACAACATTTTTAATTTTGAGTTTCAGGACATGGTTGTAGTTGAATTTGTAGTCAAGAATATGTACATACCGAGTTCGGATTGCATAACTTCGAGTTGAATCTCGATAGATGAGCGGCCAACCCAAATGACAGAAGCAACAATCTTGAGATCAGTGTTGACACTAATGGACTTCTTTAAGACTATCTTATGAACAGAAGCTGTAACCAGCAACAGTGGCCTCGTTGTGCTATCATCATCAGAACAGTGCTGAATCAAGAATGTACATATATCTTCAGATGGTAGAATATGATAGCAAATGCACGATACGATTACTAAACCAAGCTAAAACGATGTGATCTGAAGCAACACCTAAGTGACCAAACTACAATCAAATTTCACCATAATACTACCCTAAATTCACCCAAAAATGCATCAAAAACTCTTATTTGATTCACAAAACTTGGCACCAGATTTGATCAATCACGAACTCAGATAAGAAAATTGCGATCGGAGCAACACCAAAGTAATTGGGATTCTACGCAGCCTCAAAGTTACCTTGACGGAGATAGTTCCGGCTAAAGCATCGAGGTCTTCGAGCAAAATCCCGATGCGTACCTCGTTCCAGGGATCTCTGTACTGCTCGCGGAGAATGTAATCAGTTGAAAAAGGGTAGAAAATGGTGGTTCGGCTATACGACGGGCCTCTGGTGAGAAGCTCACTCTGAGGAGGCGCGTCTTTAGGAGGTTCGAGAAGTGATTCGAAGATCTTAGACCTGGCCTCCCAGAGAGCGATTGTAACCGGCGAGTGGTACATGCCAGGCCACAAACTCAGGGGCTTCCGGGTTGAGTCAGTGACGGAGGACGCCGGAGCTACGTCGAACGGCGAGGCAAAGGTGGAGACGACGGGGATGCATTTTGGGGAATTCGACTTCATTTTTCCCCCAATTTATTGAAAATGGAATTGGGGATGAAGAAGGAAGCGTGAAGTTTTCTCGATTTTGGAAATGGAGATGTTGAAGAGAAGACGATGAATCGTTCAGAGGAAGGCCATTGGTTGATTTGCTCCCTTGACTTTGGAGCTTTTGGGTCTATTCCTCCTTCCGTGTTATATAAGGTTAGCTTATCAAACTCTTCTGATTTCTTTCTTCATCAAACACTTCTTTTGCTTTTTCCCTTTTTATCCACAACATTTATTTCATAACCAACTTTAACTAATTTTGTTGATTACGAGATAAAGAGAGTTTTCTAAGAAAACTCAATACTCAATGCTTTCTATAGATTTGTAAATGTTTTGGAAGAACGTTGAGAAACGCATTTTACAACCATTCTTGTTCATATGTTAAACAAAAATACGACATTGTGAGCTACGAATGTAAAATCTTTACAAGCAAAATGAATACTGCTGCGAAAATTTTGAAAAGCAGCAAAGATGCAATGGCAAGACACCAAACCAGTGACTGTACTGAAACATCCAAAGCTCGGTGTAGGAGTAATAAGAGAGAGTGCATCTAACAATATTTCATATTACAACCACACCATCGACAAAGAGAAGCCAAAAAAATTAAAATATAAAACAGTACTTACTTATATATTATATATGTATATCTTGGGACTGCTAGGACTAAACATGTTCTTCCCCTTCCTCTTGATCAGCGAACTATGAGCTCTTCGATGAAATCTGCTTCCCCTGATTCAGATGGAACCAAGATATCATCGTCGGCGGTGAAGTTGTAGCTCTCTCCAATGGCCCTCAGAAGCTGATACACTTCAAACATGGTTGGCCTCTGCTTTGGTACTTCCGGTAGAACGCAGTTGCATGCTACTTTGAGCACTTTGAAGATCTCATCATTCACACCTTTCCCAAGCAAAGACCTGTCAATCGCTTCCTGCAGTTTTGATTCACTCGACAGCTTCGTAATCCACTCCACAAGGTTACCTTTAAAGCTCTCTTCCTCTGCTGCTTCTTCAGATCCTCCTATCGTCACACTCGTTGCTTTTTGCCCCGTCACTAGCTCTAGAAGCACAACCCCGAAGCTGTACACGTCTCCTTTTGGAGTCGCCACCATGGTTCTCGAATACTCAGGAGCAACGTAGCCGAAATCTCCAAACTCTCCATTGACGAACGTGCTTAAATGCGTGTCAATGGGATTCATCAGCCTCGCTAGACCGAAATCAGAGATCTTTGGCTCGAACTCTGCAGTCAGCAATATGCATTTCGAGCTTATGTTCCGGTGGATGATCCTCGGGTTGCAGCTGTGGTGAAGCCACGCCAATCCTTTAGCCGCACCAATCGCGATTTTCAGCCTCGAAGTCCAGTCCAAAAGCTTGGAAGTGGAAGACTCTTCGTCTTCAGGATGTAGCTGATCGTAAAGGTAACCGTTTGGCATGTACTCGTACATCAGAAGCCTCTCTTTACTCGCAATACAGTACCCCAAGAGAGGCACCAAGTTTCTGTTTTTAACAGACCCCAAAGTCTTCATCTCCGAATCAAACTCTTTCTCAGAGCGCTGAGAATCCTGCAACCTCTTTATCATCAGCGGAGTCCCATCTTCAAGCACTCCTTTGTACATAGTCCCTGTTCTTCCTTTCCCAATGATGTTGTCTTTCTTGAATTCCTCTGTTGCCTTCATCAGATCTTTCAGTTTCATCTTTGAAACCGCATTCTTAAACATGAACACCTGAAAAAAATCCACAAACAAATGTCATCATTCATTTCAGAACACAACAACATACATCAATGAGGTTATGTTTTTTTTTTACCTTAGCCCCTTTTTGTCCTTTCAAGCTCCTTGCCCATCTGTTCTCTTCAGGATCATCCTTCAACTTCTTCCGAACAAGAGCCATTCTACGGAAGTAGAAGTACAAAGCAGCGCCAACGACAACCGCCGCCACAGACAATCCGCCAACTGCCGCTATAACAATAACTTTAACACGATTGCTAGAAGCACCCTTGCATGGATCCAGAGGGGGACCACACAAATCCACGTTATTAGCAAAGTCGTCCGGTTTCATCTTCAAGACGGTGCCGTTGAAGTTCGGGATAGGACCAGCGAGACGATTGTCGGCCACACTGAACTTACTGAGCCGTCCGAGCAGCACAAGCTCGGGAGGAAGACGACCAGTGAACTTGTTCCGCTGAAGCAAAAGCGTGTTGAGAAAGGTGATGTTTGAGATCATGACAGGGATTTCACCGGAGAAGCTGTTGTCGGAAAGGTCAAGAATCGTGACGCTTGGAATCAAGGAGGCAATGTTGGTTGGTAAAGGTCCAGAGAAGTTGTTGTTAGCAAGCTCTAGACCTGTCAAATCAGAGCAGTTCTTGATCCCAAGAGGAAACTCTCCTACGAGACCGTAACCAGAGAGCTTAATGCTCAGCACCCTGTTCTCATCATCGTGCCAGCAAGTCACTCCATTGAACTTGCAGATGTAACCTTGAGTCAGGTTTCCAAATACCCAACTCGATAAGTATCCGTTTGGATCCTTGACTTGGTTGTATATGGACTTCAAGCAATTTACGTTGGCCTCATTTGCATCGATCAAGCTAGACTGTAGCAGCAGCAAGCAGAGACAATTCCCGAGGAAAATTGTGAAAACTAACCTACTCACCATTATATTCCCCCAAAATCTACGAAAAAGGGTAAGAAATCGCTAGAAGCGGCTATTAACTACAGAGCAAAATCTAGGGTTCCTCCTCCGATGAGCATCCAAATCCTGGAAGCAGAAATTAATTTTAGCAACATCTCAGCTGGAAATTCGCCGCAGAAAATAAGCGATCTTAAAACGAGTTGACTTAAAAAAAAAAAAAAAAAACTGGAGATAATTCAGAAAATCTTAGGAGGAAAAATAAGAGGAACTCACCAGTGAAAAATCAGAAATACAGAAGGGAAGCTTTGGTCTTTGTCTTGCTGCTACTGTTGTTCATTTGTGTTGAGCACAATGAATGAGGAAGAAGGAGGAGAGGGAAATTCGCATCTGTTGTTGCAAGTGTTTATGGAAGAAGTAGGAAAAGCGTGAATGATGAAAGGACTCTTTGATTACAAAATTATAATAAATAAATTGAAGAAAAAAAAGACAAAAAAAAAAGAGTGGAGTCGTCTGGTGTCGTTGACTCAGACTTGGATAGTTTTGTTTTGTGGAAGAATCAAACTTCGTGAAGAATGGGGCAAAAAATACACTAATGAGAAAAAAACACTGATGAGAACGCGATGACCCAAATTACCAAATCGGTCTTTGCGCGTTAAATGTTCCTTTCTTCTCCTTTTGACTTTTCCACATCATATCTTCAAAATCTGTTATAGATGATTATCTTCCATTTGGTAATTATTCTTGTCTTTTTAATTCGATTAAATAATTGTGGATACTTACTAATTTTGGAGCAAAAGAAACTAGTGAAATGTGATAGCATTGCAAAATGTATGTATCTTATTTGTATTTTGTACCCTGTATGTGGGGAAAAAGGAACAGAAAGAAAGGTGCGTTAAATATATTAATCAACAAGTGTCAATATAGTAATCACATGAAAGGACACACTAGACTAGAGAGTAACTACCTAAATCTATGTGTTGGAAATCAAGAGTTCAATGTTTTATACTAGGTTTAAAAAGTTCGAATGCAAGATAATACAGTTTGTTGCTTAGTATATTGTAAGTAAAACCATACAGTATATATTACAGAGAAAAATGTTTAAATGAAATATACCGTATTCAGTAAATCTACCCATTGCAGAATTATTTATAGGGTAATCTTTCGTTATCACATTTACTGCAACTAACTATTAGAGATGATGAGAGTGTAGGATTGGAAGAATATTATATTGACTCTCATAAAGATGAGTATACAATGTCGTAACATATATATAGTGACAGACTTTACTTAATTACTAATCTAATAGTATCATTTAACATAAATACAAATCCCTATAATAATGTTCATAATATTCACACTAATCACATGGATATTCTATATCCTTCTATACTAACTAGATCTGATTCGTCCACTATGTAAAACCAGAATACAGAAGAAGATAAAAACATTCAGTATTAAACTATATATAGAGTTCAAGAACCAATCTTAACACTTTTCATTTTGTAATAATTTCATTTAACCTACCAATAAATTTCCTATTTTTCTTCAATAGTCACATCAGTCTTTGGCTTATAAAATGAAGGTTTTTGATCCTTGATTTCCTTATCTCAAACTCGAACTCTAATGTGAATTCCGTATTCATATTTTGGCACTATCTGTAGAGACACTAAATCTTCTAAGTCTAAGAGCATTCTTTGGCGTGTTAGAAAGATCTTGAAAGTCTACAAGAAACAAAAACCACAAGACTTAACTTAGACGATGTGCACAATATAAGAGCATATTGAACGTCATGCTCGACAGCTCGAGAGAGCCACTCGTTAAGAGGAGTCAATCAGTCAAACCGAGCCTTTGGCAAACTGATTGACAAATGTTCATACCATAGCTTTAAAAATTAAAAATGTTCAATTCCATAAGTCTGTAAATCTATGTATTTATCTCTTTTTTTTGTTCAAAATGTATGTATTTATCTAAAGTAAAAGAAAAACTTAAAATATGGTGAAACAGTCAACAGAAACAAAACATAGAGAGGGTGAAGATACCAAAATACCAAATCATGGAAGAGAAATAGAAGGTAAAGAGTAAATTACAAGGAAGTCAAGTTCCCGGCAACGTCAGACAAAGTCACGTGACAGAGCTTTTTAAACTTTTAAAGGACACTCCAATTCTTGACTCGAGCCACTCCGTCGTCTCGTCGAGCCGGATGGCGGGAAAAATGAATGAGCCACCACACCACTCTCTCTCTCATTCCTCTCACGTGCCTCGAGTTATCTATGTAATAAAATAAAAAAGACAGACAACGAAGAAAGTGTCTGTTATAAATCACTTTGCTTTTGCCTCCCTTCAACTTTCCTCTTTCCTTCCTCGCTGCCTTTTAGGGATTTCACTTTCCTCTTCTCTCTCGCCTACCCGAAAATTCTCGATCGCTCAAGATGGATCTACCATCTTCCCCGCTTCTTCAAGATTTTTGATCTCTTCTCTTAGAGATTATTACTTCGTTTGATTTTCCGGGTAAAGTTTCTTATCCTTCTCTTCAGGTGTGTCTCCTTTGTTTGCTCTTGTCTCGTATTCCTTGTGTATCTACTGTAGCTAGGGTTTACTGATTTTGTCCAATAGTAGCTCGCTTTGGCGGAAAATTTCTGCTAAGACTTTGAATTTTACTCTCGAAGCTCGATTGTGTAATGGATTGAGTAGGGGATATCACAGAATCATTGAAACAAACGGCTTTTCTTTTCCCATTTTTGTCATCTAATATTCTCTGAATCTATTTGGTTGCTGAAATTCGACTGTTTCAGCTTAGTTTTTGTAATAGTTCTTGATGATGAGTTGTCTCTCTAGGAATATAATTTTTTCTTCAATCGGCGTAATTTTATGGGGCTTCCTCTTCTGTTTTTACCTTGCAAGCGTCACTCTTCTTCATGTTGAATTAGCCCATTTTCCTGTACAATTAGCCCATTTTTTTGTCTTTTTTTGAAAAATCTTGAATGAGTGTAAATGTCACTGGACGCCTAAATCAGGGATAGTCTTGACTGATCTTGATGTTTTATTTTGTAGTTGTTTTTCGTTCAAGAATTGGGAGCTCTACTCGCAGCTTGGAGATTGGACTTGTTTGAATTGGTAACTTTTGTTTATGGAATTTTTTCTTTCCCTATATGTGTGGATATTTGATTCTTCAATATGGTAAAGAGAATATTCTGCAGTCCTGACGTGTGTGATTGTTATGTAGTATTGAGATTATCTGGTCTCTCTAATGTTGTTTTCCTTCCTGCTATTTTTTTTTCTTGGTTCAAGGCTTTTTATGTCATACTTAAGATTTTCACCTTCTTCAGCTCTTTCAAGATGGAGGATACCCGGTCAGTTGCTTCGCTCATGGACTCTACATCATCCAAGATTCAGCAGCTTCAGAAGGCGTTTGCTGAACTTGAAAGCCAGCGTGCCGTGACACTTAACCTGAAGTGGAAAGAGCTTGAGGAGCATTTTCACGGGCTTGAGAGGTCCTTGAAGCGACGGTTTCACGAGCTTGAAGATCAAGAGAAAGAGTACGAAACCAAAACAAGGAAAGCTCAAGAGCTGCTGGAAATCAAGAAGGCAGCTGTCGAGGCCAAGGAGAAGGCATCTCTAGAAAGGCTACAGAAGAAGAGAGACGCTGCTGTGTTTGCTATAAACACTGCTTTGGATAAGTACAACAACCCTCCCGCTTCTGTTGGCGAATGCTGGGCGCAAGATCCTCTAGAGGATTCACCCAATGCCTTTGCTGCTGATGGGATTGCCGAAGATCATCAAGATGGTTGTGTGCAAGATGTTCAGCTCTCACCTGTGATGGGAAACTTTGAGGTGAAGGCTTATCCACAGTTGCTGAAACTGTGCGGGGATATGGACTCAGCAGCGCTTCACAAGTTTGTATCAGATAACCGCAAGAACCTTGCATCACTAAAGGAGGAGATTCCTGTGGCGCTCAAGGCTGCAGCAAACCCAGCTAGTTTAGTGTTGGACTCTCTGGAAGGGTTTTACCCAGTGGAGGCACCAACTGCTGATGGAAAGAAAGACGCTAACCTCTTGGGAATGCGCAGGACGTGTATCATGTTGATGGAGTGCCTTAGCATACTGTTATCTGGTCTGGACCGCAACACCGTTGCTGCTGTTCTCTCAGAAAATGTTAAGCATAGAGCTAAAACTATTGCACAAGGATGGAATCCACTGCTGGAAGCCCTTGACATGGATGCTTGCAATGGCAATTCTTTGGAGGCTCATGCATTCCTGCAGCTACTTGCCACTTTTGCTATTGTTTCCGACTTTAAAGTGGATGAACTCTCGAAGCTGATCCCCATGGTTTCACGTCGCCGTCAGGCAGCTGAGCTCTGCCGTTCTCTTGGATTAGCAGAGAAAATGCCTGGTTTGTTCTCTAACTTTTAAGGATATGGCTGATGAACTTGCATGGTGTGACATTTTAAGGGTCTCTGGTGAAGGACCTAAACATGACATGGATTTCTATGTTGTTACATTTTTATGTGTACATCTGAATTTTTTACCTTTACCACATTGGTCTTAGTCTTTGATGTGCACCGTTCCTTTTTATTGCAGGTGTGATTGAGGTTCTCGTAAACAGTGGGAAACAGATTGATGCGGTTAACTTGGCATTTGCATTTGGACTCACAGAACAATTCCCACCTGTGGCGTTGCTGAAATCTTACCTGACTGAGACAAGGAGATCTTCCTCCCAAGGCAGACCTGGCAATGCATCTCCTGCTGTCCAGGCAAGTGTTCCCTGACTTAATAACTTGACAGTTCTGCTACTTCAGACTTCTCAACCCTCTGAAACTTAGAACTAATACATTCATTAGGCGTATTATGTATCGTAGTAGTACTTGCTGATTGGAGATTCAGGCTGAGATTGTCGTAACAATTATGTGTGTGTTCCAAATGCAGGATGAGTTCAATGAGAGGGAGCTAACAGGGCTTAAATCCGTGATAAAGTGTATAGAAGAGCATAACCTGGAAGAGCAGTACCCAGTCGAGCCACTTAACAAACGGATTCTCCAGCTGGAGAAGGCCAAAGCAGAGAAAAAGAGAGCAACCGAGCCCACAAAGCCTCAGCCGAAGCGACCACGTGGTGCTCAGCCCCGAGTCACTGACAACAACAACAACAAGAATACAGGAGGATATGGTAGAGTCATCCCTGAGAGGTATCCACAGTATGTGTATGACAACAGACCGTTCCTTAGCGGTCCAATCATGGCAGCACAAGCTCCTCCTCCGCCTCCTCCTCAGACTTACACTTTCAGTCCCGCTCCTGCTCACGGCAACTTCTACGGCAACTGCTACCAGTACCAGGCTCCTCCTCCTCCTTACTTTCACTAGTGATAAAAAAGGTGATGGTGAAATGTGACTGTGACTCTCTCTCTTTGATGGTGTTAACTTGTGGCAGCTCTTTAACCCCTCTCTCTCTTCTCCTACTAGTTGTTTTCCTTTTCATGTTGTTGTGTACGGATGATTTTAGTATTTGTATGGATCAACCCTACTCAAACCCAAAAACAAAACAAGAAAAAATACTCAGAATTTCTGTTAATTATAAGTTCAATGTTGTATTATTGTTTTCTTCTTCCCCTCAACAAATATAAATAATCCATCAAGAGGTAAAATGTTATTTCGATGGATCTTTTGAATTTTGAAATATCTTCACTCCTTAATCCCTAATTCTCTCTCTCTCTCTCATATCTCCCGCCAACAACAGAAGTTTCTGAAATGAGAATCGCCGAGATCTCCACGCCGGATTTCCGGTTGCTTCACCGGGAAACCGAGTCGCATACTCAACATCCTCTTATCTCCGAGATCGAGCTCTTAATCCAACAATCTGAAGGCATTTCTAGAGATCAGCCGCTACCACAAGCTCTCCCTACTTCTCTCAGACAATCCCTGACTCGGCTGAGTCAACTCGCTCCATTTCCCAGTAATTCCTTCAAGCTCACTATATGGAAGCTCAGCTTTCGCCTCTGGAACGCCTGCGTTGATCTCTCCAATGCCGCTACTCTCCAATCCTCTTCAACCTCGGCCGAGAGCGTCGCGAATCTCAGACATGTTGCCGCCGATATGCTATTCCTCGCTAGAGACGTCACCGGGGTCCCGTCTCCGACGATCAAGTGCTCTCTCTTCTACCATCGGACCGGCCTCGTATGGCACAGTCTTAAAAAGTTCGATCTCGCCTCCAATTGCTTCGAGCGAGCCACCGAAATCCTCTCGAAGATTGATATCGCGAAAATATCCGATGCCGGAGAAAGGAAACTGTTTCTGGATCTAAATCTAGCGCGATCTCGAACTGCCTGGGAAATTTCTGATAGGAATCTGGCTGTAACGCTGCTCAATCGGGCGAAGAATATGCTGTTTGGCTCACCGGATCACTACAAGTCGCTCTCAAATCAATTCCTTGCGTTTGGTAAAAGCGCCTTGTCCAGAGACGACGACGATTGCAGTCTAAACGATGCTCTCAGGCTCATGAATGAAGCGCTGGATCTTTGTGAGAAGGGGCTAGCTACCGCAAAAACTCGGGAAGACACCATGGAGTTCACAGGCATGAGAACCAAAACTCTCCGTTTCATATCAGCAGTGCATCTGCAGAAGGGAGAGTACGATAGTGTGATCAAATGCGTGAAAGTTCTCAGAAATGGAGGAAATGGCAGTGATGGAGCAGATCAGCACGCTTCATTACCTGTGCTGGCGATGAAGGCTTGGTTAGGGCTTGGGAGGCATAGCGAGGCAGAGAAAGAGCTGAGAGGTATGGTGGGAAACAAAGACATTCCAGAGGCAGTGTGGGTATCTGCAGTGGAAGCATATTTTGAGGTGGTGGGGACTGCTGGAGCCGAAACTGCAAAGGGTGTGTTCTTAGGTCTGCTTGGTAGGTGCCATGTTAGTGCCAAGGCGGCGCTTAGAGTTGCCCACCGAGTTCTTGGTGAGAGCAGGGGAGGAGATAGTGGTTCTAAAATTAGGGCCACGGTTGTGGCTCAGCTTGTATCAGACGAGAGGGTTGTTGCTCTCTTTGCAGGTGAAGCAGTGACTAAGGAGAGGAAGGCAATACATGCTGTTCTGTGGAATAGGTACGTTTTTGCCATTCATGTAACCTTCATATCCTATGGTTACATTGGTGATTATACTACAGCGTTTCTGTTTGTATTGAATGTATTGCATCTTAGTTAGCTGAGAGATTAAGTTTGACCACAGCAATCGATAGTTTCCTCTGTTGTTAAACTGATTATATTTTGTGGGCATCTAATATGGGTATCTCCTGCTGTTTACAGTGCTTCAGATCATTTCCGTGCTAAAGATTTTGAGACAAGCGCAGAGATGTTTGAGAAATCGATGCTCTACATTCCTCATGATGTAGAAAATAGAGTTTTCAGGGCCAAAGGCTTCAGGGTTTTGTGTCTTTGCTACCTCGGGCTCTCTCAGCTAGATCGAGCTCATGAATACATAGAAGAAGCTGAAAAGGTACATTTCTAGGAAGAACTTTTATTGTCCTTCGCGGTTCTCTAAGCTGGATTTCTTCAACTCCAAATTGCTAACTAGATTTCTGTCTCTGCAGCTTGAGCCCAATATCGATTGCTCTTTTCTTAAGGTAAATGTTATTTTATCCTCAATGATTGTGTTCATGCCATTTGTTTTACTGTCAACCTTAAGATGCCTGGAGCTTGTTTGACAGAAAGCGTAACTTCACATTCAATCTGATTCTTGCAGTTCAAGATCTACCTGCAAAAGAAGGATCACAGTTGTGCCATCGGTCAGATCGATGCAATGACGTCCTGCCTTGATTTCTCTCCAGATTTTCTGTCCCTTTCAGCGCATGAAGCTATATCTTGCCAAGCGCTTCCAGTTGCTATAGCTTCTCTTTCCAAGTTTCTCAGCTTCTACATCGCAGGGAAAACCATGCCAACCACAGAGGTCGTGGTCTTCCGTACATTAGTCACCATACTGACTCAAGACATTGGCAGCGAAACCGAAGCCCTCAACTTTTTGTTACAAGCTCAGAGCAGGGCTTCTAAGCTTGGGACAGAGTGTTTCTTTGGATCAGGAGAGACAGGAAAGCGAGAGCAGAACTGGTTTGCTGTGACTTCCTGGAATCTTGGGTCAAGATGTGGGAACGCAAAAAAGTATGAGCTCTGTAGTGAATTCTGCAGGCTGGCATCCGAGTTTTACGGCTATATGGAAACTGGCGAGTCTGGAGACAACGCAATAATGATTTGCAGGTCCCTAATATTAAGTGTCACCGCTATGATTGCTTTGGAGAAGCAAAACAAGAGCCCACTGAGTGAATCCCAAGTGAAACTCGCTGCAGAATTGCTCGTGAGAGCCGGAAAGGTCTCATCCTCCTCCTCTTTGTCACATGAAACCATGCTGAGATTTACATTTTCAGCTCACTGATGTTTGTTTAAATGCAGATTATGGCTTCTTGGCTCTCGGATGGTAAAGACTGTATCATGGAGCCAGAACTCATCTTCATGTACACCTTAAATGCCTATGACATACAAGGAAGGCTCAACAATTCAGCATTCCAGCTACTTGTGGTAAAGACTTTCGCTGGTTCCAAGTCTTGTAACTACAACTATCTCCTCCAACTTGGAATTTTCGCCTCTCAAAGCCCACGGTCAAACCCGGACGTGTCAACATTTGCGCTCAACGAATGCCTATCCGCAATGATCGCGTCTGCTTCACCAGATTACCCAACCATAGCTCTCATAATCAGGAAGCTGATCGCCATATCCAGCGTCCACAAAGGCGATACTGAGGATGAAGAAGCAATCCAAAAGATGTATAAGCAAGCTTACAGAATCATGGTCGGGTTAAAGGAAGGAGAATACCCAACCGATGAAGGGAAATGGCTTGCAATGACAGCTTGGAACCGAGCAGCATTGCCTGTGCGGCTAGGACAGTTTGAGACTGCTAAAAAATGGCTGAGTATTGGTTTGGAGATCGCTGAGAAGGTTACAGGTATGGATACTTATAGAGCTTGTATGGAGGATTACTTGGCTGGTTTTGCTTCCAAAGTTTCTTCTGCAGCTGGGTGAGAGGATTTAGCTTTATTCGTAGTAACTGTCAAAATAGTTTAACGGCTACATCATATCCGAACCGTTGGCTTACTACATATGTTACGCTCACAAATCCTTGGTGTAAAGACCCAACAAGGCAACAGTGATAGTGTAAGTGTAAACACTAAACAGCATGACAATATAAACTTGAACTATATATTATAACCTTATCCACTAGAAAAGCTTATTGGAGGCAACAAAAACTAGGTTGTTTCGCCTACATCTAGCAAACATAATCTCCTCTTAGATCAATACAACTTTCATTTCTTATGGGAGTTAAGCAATTCGTACTACGATCAAAGTTTAGTTAGTTAAGCAAAGTAGCCGCTATTTGTGAAAGAAAGACGAGGTGGTAGGTGGCTTGAAGTTGCTGCCTAAACTTATGGAAGGGAAGGAGAGGATTTTGACCAAGTTTGATCATATGAGATCGTTTACTTTTGAGATGAGACGACTTTATCATCTTCCTCTATATTTCTAGAACTTTGACCGTTTTATTCTTACTACCCTCTATGTAATTCATGAATGGTTCTTGCCGACAAAAAGTTAATACAATCCAAAAGCTTACGTAATATAATATGTCAGATCAATACGTCAGTACCAAAAGCTGAAATCAATATAATACGTCAGATCAATATAATTTGTTCTTACGACCGTTGAAATCTGTTGTTTTTTTTATTCTTGTTAAAATTGGTCCGCTGACAAATGTTTGTACTAGAGAATCCTCATTTTCGATATTTTTCGTGACTAAAACATTAGAATATAGATTTAGTCAAATTCCATAAAACAATGACTTGCTCCGTTGCTCGAGTGACAAAAGAGTAGCCAACCTTGGTAGCCCACAGTGAATTTCCTTTTGAATGCTACTAGCCAGCCTCGTATCTATTCTGATGAACCCGTTGACTAATTTAATCTTCTTAAAATCATATCCATTGAAAATCTAACCTTGGAATATTTCTAACATACGACACTTTGGTTTGGTAGAATAATTGTACAGAGGAAAAACAAAACACGGCATGGGTTGGCTCTTATATAATAAAATCTAAATAAAATGATTAAAAGCATACGTTTGTTTTCTCCTTTGTAATTGGAAAGTTTTATAATGAAGAGGTTTGGGACTCAAAACCCAATTCTCGTGTCGTTTCTTCTTGTTCTGCTGCTCTTCACCTCCAACTGTTTTGCTTCTACTCAAAACGACGACGTTAAAGAATCCAGGTCCGCGCATGAGCGGGTTAGGGACTGGGTCCGGGTCGGGTTGGTCTTGGATTTGGGTTCCGTGGAAGGGAAGATGGTGGGAAGCTCTGTTTCCATGGCGCTTTCCGATTTCTACGCCGTTAACAGCGATTACCGAACTAGAATCTCTCTCTCACTCAGAAACTCTCACGGCGAGCCTCTCCTTGCTCTCGCTTCTGGTACATTTTTTAATTTTTCCACCTCTACAATAAATTCTCTTCTTCTCCGTCTCCATTTTTTGTTGACTCTCACTCAAATGTGATAATACAGCTGTAGATCTGCTGCACACTGAAAAAGTGGAAGCGATTATTGGCGGGAACTCTTTCCTGGAAACGAAGCTTCTGGCGGAAATTGGGGAGAAAGCTACGGTTCCTGTGATTTCACTTAACTCTCCGATTTCATCATCGTTGAGCAAATACAGTCATTTGATCCAAGCGACGCATGATTCTGTCTCCGAGGCAAAAGGAATCGCAGCTTTCATCCATGGATTTGATTGGAACAGTGTTGCTCTTGTTTACGAGGATGACGATGATTGGAGAGAGAGTATGCAACTACTTGTCGACCATTTCCATGAGAGCGGCGTTCGTGTACAGTCCAAGGTTGGTTTTACAGTCTCTTCGAGTGATGATTTCGTGACGGATCGGTTAAGGAAGCTGAAGGATTTGGGAGCGACGGTCTTTGTGGTGCACTTGTCTGAGGTTATTGCAACTCGTCTCTTCCCTTGTGCTGAGAGGTTGGGGATGATGAGTGAAGGGTTTGCTTGGATCCTCACTGCCAAAAGCATGAGCAGTTTCCATGAGAAGAGTGGCGACTTTGCAAAAGAGGCAATGGAAGGTGTGGTTGGTTTCAAGTCTTATATTCCAATGTCAAAAGAGCTTCACAATTTCACTTCGAGATGGAGAAGATCAATGCCTGTGGAAGAAGAAGAAACTGTTGGGGAGATAACTCGGTTGAGCATCTCTAGCGTATGGGCTCATGATGTGGCTTGGGCTCTGGCGAGAGCAGCAGAAGTTTCAAGGATGCCAAATGTATCAACAACTCTTCTTGAGGCAATCACAGAGTGTAGGTTTAAGGGTTTGAGTGGTGACTTCCAATTAGATAATAAGAAGCTGTTGTTGTCAGGCAAGTTTGAGATTGTGAATTTGATAGGATCATCAGGTGAGAGAAGGGTAGGTTTCTGGAATTCTAATGGTAGTTTCAGCAATAGAAGACTTTTGTCTTCTATTACTCATGATCAGCTGGAGACCATAATTTGGCCTGGTGGGTCTGCTCAAAGTCCAAAAAGGCGCAATCTTGGAGAGAACAAGAATAAAAAGCTGAGGGTTTTGGTTACATCTAGCAACAGATTCCCAAGGCTGATGAATGTGACGACTGATGAAGGTGGAAATGTTAAAACTGTCGAAGGGTTCTGTATGGATGTCTTTCGTGCTTCCATGGCACCTTTCAACTATGAATTTGAGTTTATACCATGGCTCCATGGACCGAATTACACCAATCTTTCATATACACTTTATAGCCAGGTACTGTACTAACCATGTCTCAGTTTACCATTTACAAATATGTTTTTCTTTTGCACCTATGTGGAAACTGAATTTTTATATCTCTGTTGCATCCCACAGAAAGACAAATATGATGCGGCTGTGGGAGATATAACAATCACTTCCAGTAGATTGGAGTTTGTTGATTTTACGATGCCATTCACCGAGATTGGTCTTGGAATTGTAGCACCAAAGGAGAGAAGTATGTGGGTCTTCTTCCAACCTCTTACAACCGACCTTTGGATAACAAGTGCGGCTTTCTTTGTCTTGACGGGGGTTATAGTTTGGTTGATAGAAAGACCTGAGAACCCTGAGTTCCAAGGATCTTGGCCTAAACAGATTGGAGTTATTTTCTGGTTTGGCTTCTCTACTCTTGTTTATGCTCACAGTAAGTACCATCTTGTCTTTTCACATTTTTTATCATATGCCAATCTTGGTCATAACTCATAAGAGATTATAGTGATGTTTTAATTAGTTTTTTCACAATTTGCTGCTTACTATTTTGTGACAGGGGAGAGGCTAAAACACAACCTATCAAGATTTGTAGTTACAGTTTGGGTATTTGCAGTGCTCATACTGACTGCAAGTTACACTGCGACGTTGACATCAATGATGACTGTCCAACAGATACGATTCAACTCAAATAAAGACTTTGTGGGTCACATGTCGGGGTCTCACATCGCAAATACGGCACTCACCAGTTCCAGCCTCCGAGAAATAAGATCCAAGGGTCTCCAAAGCGCTGAAGAATATGCTCAAGCCTTGTTTAATAAAAGTGTCCAATATGTTGTCGATGAGCTGCCATATCTCAGAGTCCTCCTTGGCGAGAATCCTGAAAAGTTTCTCATGGTCAAGACACAATGCACCACCAACGGTTTCGGCTTTGTATGTATCATACACCATTTTCCATATTACTACTCTTCATCGTCCTTTTTTTTACTTGCTGACAGAAGATGTTTATTGGCTTGTTTAAACACGTTTTCAGATGTTTCAAAAGGGATTCGAGTTGGTGGCTAATGTGTCCAGGGAAATCGCCAATCTGAGGGCAGAAGAGAGGCTAATCGACATGGAGAGAAGATGGTTCCAGAAACAACTTCCATACACAACCGATGATACATCAGATCCTATATCGCTTTACAGGTTCCGCGGTTTGTTTATGATCACGGGAGTTTCATTCGCTTTCGCTCTTGCAGTGCTATTCATTCTCTGGCTCCGTGACCAGTGGGAGGTTCTTGTGAATTCCTTCAACATATTCATCTCGCAACGACTTGTACATTTCAAGATTCTCTTCGCAAGAACTATCCATCCTGCTCCCCTCGATGATGCCATTGGCGAGAATGCGGTTCAAATGGCTCAACGTAACAGACTGTAGGAACTGAGTAAAACAGAGCAATAGGTCCATTACCATTCGTAGCATCTCTAATCCAAGTGAAGTGGATCCTCCTGAGTCTATAGCTGTACAGATTGTTGTGATTGTCTTGTCGTTCTTCTTCCAGAGGTCCGTCCACTAATCCTTGATTCAAACGGGCTTATGTCCATTGTCCAAAAATATACACAATCATGTTTAGACCAATCCTTGCTTGTAAATTGTTAGTGTCTTCCAAAATGGCTTGGTTCTCCAATCTAATGTACTTTTTTTGTATTTATGCAAACTCAGTAAGTCAATTATTGATTATTTGGTGACATCAGACAGAGAGGATCGAATTCAATAACACAAAACCAAAGATTGAAAATTTATAAGAACGGATTTGAGATGAGAAGAGAGAAGGAGAGACTAGAAGAGACATCTTATGTCCACTTATGAGTTGCTTCAGATAAATTCTTTGATAAAGGCCCCTAAAATGGGTAACGGAGTTTAAATACATCTTAGTTTCTGACCGTAAATCGACAAGATATTGAGATTTATTTAGATAATCAAAGAAACCCTCAATTCATAGCCCACTATTCTGTGATTCTTTGTCCCAATTACGATTCTTCTCTCAACCTATCAAAAATCTAATCGAACATGGATGAATCCGAAAGAGAAGACAAGATGATCCAAAAACTAATTGTAGTAAAGCTCGAGACCCATGCCGTCGTGGATTTCGTAGTCCTTGAGAGTGATATGATCCTTATAGATGTTGTACCACTTCTGAATTCGAATCTTCTCGGCTCGCGTACCGGTCTGAGCTGCGACAAGCTTCTTCAAATCACCGATCGTGTCATCTTCGTTGCACTTCACCCTCACTTTCTTCCCCAGACGATCGTTTAGCACCACCTCGATCATCTTCGTCGCTCTTAGCGGAAAAAAATAATCCAAAGAAGAAATTGTTCGATATATCAAGTTATCAACACGTATATCTCTCCAATCCAATTAATAAAATTGGGCTTTTTGGGCTGGGCTTTCAAAATCGATGACCCATAACCATTTTTCAGAATAGAGAACAAATAAAAAACCCTAATCTCTCTGCCTCTCTAATTCCCAGTATATAAGCTTCTCCTCCTTCTCATCTCAAACAACACCCTCTTATCTCGATCCTTTAGCTTAACTTTTTCAAACTTTTTTAGCTTTACTTTACTGGTTTCTAGCTTATGCTATTCAATTTTCTCTATTTTCTTTGTTTTTTTTGGTTTGAGAACTTTTTTTGAAAAAAAATGAAAAAGCAAGTCTCAGCTTCTTTGGTTGGATTGAATATCACGATTCAGTCAATTTAATAAAATACAAACTTGCGAAATAGAATTCGGCAGTATCACTCGCCTGGATCTGATAGATTTCATGATTATCCAGGCCCTTAATCTACTGGCAAATCCTTCTCTCTTTTGATTTTGAAATTTGTTCTTTGTTCTTGTGTGTTATTCTGCAAACGCACTCTGTCCCAAGACCATTAATTCCATGTTTTGGTGCAATTTCTTCGTTTGCTAAATTGAGTATCCAATTCAATATCGTCCTCGGGATCTAATCATTGATCCCTACACGGGCACATAGTTGGGTACAACACTAAATACTTGGATGCATATATTTTTAAATTACCCCATTCATAATTTTGAAGGACTATAATCGATTCATAATTTGTTATAACAAACTTCGGCTTTTAAGATTTAGCTTACTATAAAGTTCGAACCGGGATAAAGAAAGCTTATTTAAATTATACTTGGAACTGGTGCAGAACTTATTATCGACACTACCTAATTAGAAAGCGGATATTCTTAATCCTTGAGCAACTCATTACGTTAAGTTAATTCTTACGCCGGCTTAACTAAAACAATTGTCATCTGATAACAACAAACATAGTAAACCTGAACTGCTCAAGTGAAAGCCACAATTCCAAACCAATTAGGTGGCTTCGGTATTAGATGGATTATAGACTTGAACATTCTATTGTGTACTACAGAACAGAGTTCTCCTGCAAGTCCACGCTCCGTTCTGGCTAGAGTTTATAACAAAACTCTTAACACCATTTTGACCAAACTATAGGACAGGCCCATTTTTTTTTTTTTTTTTAGTCTACTTTATTCTACTCTATTCGAATGTACTGGTGGTCTTCTATTAAGCACAAAAAGCTTGGAAGTCACAAATACAAAGAAATAGTAGATGCTTTTGTTTGAAAGCTTGAAATTACAAACCAACATTGCATTGCTTGCTTATAATACAGAGGTTTAGAGACTTCAAAATGCTTAGAGAAGCGTATTTTTCAATCTTATTTTAAGAAGTCAGCTTTGGCACAATTAGATGTTATGTAAAGAAAAAACAAAAAATCTACACCAATTTAATACAATAAACAATTTTATCCTTGGTGTAAAAATATGACAATTGACTCAATAATCTTAGCATAAAAATTAAAATAGTATATGACAAGAACAACTTTTCATAACAAATGATAAGTATATGTACATTGTACAATAGGTAATTAGAGATTGATGCAAAAATCTACAATAAATTTTCTTTAAAAAAAAATCTACAATAAAATTTTGTTTTTATGGGACAACTTCTACAATAAATTTTAAGAATACTTTTCATCACCGGTCCAAGTTGCCTTGACTTTGGGACCAGTAGGACCATCTTCACCAAGCATTTCTCGTGGAATCTTGCTAATAAAATTTCGAAAACGTTTCCTTATAAATCCCGGCAAAATCTTAGCGAAAGAGTCGAGAATCTTGTCAATGTTGTAACGTACATGCGGCCCCCATTTCCTTAAATAGTTCGTCCACGGTGGCTCAACCACGCCAATTCCTGAAATCACCTCATATCCCAAACCACAGTCCAACAACTTATCACTTCTTGCCATGTCGTTTCTTATCCCGTTCTTGCCCTCGCCTTGCAGCACAAGTCCAGGTTTTGGGAACATTGCGTGACCGTGAAGCGACGAGTATACTACTGGTTTGTTTCCACTCTCAAACTCTAGATCACATGCATCCACTAAAGCTCCTCCACTATGCTGAGAAAAGTAGACTCGCCATAACTCGCCGTTGAAGTTGCTGATGCGTAAAGTAACGTGTTCCCAATCTCCAATATGTTCACCAATGTCTCCTAAAGACAGGGTCATGAATAAAAACTTGAGACGTGCATTTCCGTTGAAAGGAGAGAATATCCAAACAACAATGTCAGTGAAAGTGCCTCCGAACATTGGTTTGATGTGTAGATACACTTTGGTGTTTCCTAAGTCTCCTCTCTTAACATTTTCCTTTGCCTTCTCATCCACCGGATAATCTAACCAGAATGATTCATCGTCGGAACCGCCTTGTGGAAGGTTCGAGCCGTTTGGTTGTATAGGGACAGGGTTTGATTCGTTATCTTTCTGGTACAACAATGCACCATTTGAGAAAAACCAATCAAGGGACGAAGGAAGAAAATCTTCTTTTGGGTGGAAATATATCAAAGGAGAGTATGTTTGAAACAAAACCCTAGTTTGATCGTTGCTTGGCATGTACGACATGTCAAGTTTTGTATTTTTTAAGCAGAATAAAGAAATAGGAGGAGTAGGATTTAGTTTTTGAAAATGGAACGTTCCTGTGTACACACCTGTTTCTTGTGTTCCTCTCTTGATCGGTCTCAAAGTAACAACACTTATCTCTTCTGTTCCCCATACAACTGTATCGGCTTCACTCTGTTCCGTAAACTCAGATCGAACACAACTTATAGATTCTTGTTTAAGAGGAGGCTTTTCAGGAGAAGTGGTGACAAACAAACCAACCGCTTGATATCCATTTGGACATACCGGCTGCCAAAAATATGCGGGCCCGTCTTGTTTGATATCCAGCGATTTAGTGTTTCCGACTTCAATGTAATCGACTGGTGGTCTTAGATTACTTCCGGATACGTCTCTTGCAACAAGAATCCAACCGAAAAGCTTCTGGTTGTTTGGTTGTGCATAGAAGCCAAGTTTGGAGACGTTGGGAGGAAGATTTATATGTTCAAAGATGCTGAATCCCATGTCGTCTCTTCCTCCTTCATATGTTCTCCATACTCTCTGTGCTGTTGTGTTCGAGATGGAGATTTGTGTAACCTCAAGACCTCCCAAATCTATGGTCCCTTTGCCAAAACTTCCATTACCGGGAAGCATAGTTGGCAAAGGACCGGGAAATGTAAAGGTTGTTTCCACTGGTAAACCATTGGCATCGTTGGTTCGGAGATTAGCTCGAGTTTCCGCCCATGGAAATTGATTAACAAACAGAAAATGAAAAAACAATAGAGGTTTGAAGTATGTTTCAACAGAAAATTGCATTTTTAGTTTTGTTTGATAAGTAAAACATATAAGATTATGTGTGTTTCAACTTTCATTCTCTGCACATTATATAATTTGATGTTTGTGCCAGAAAGGGACACATGAAACAATTGATGACTACAAAACTACAAATTTGCCAAAAAGAACAACTAATAAATGTGAATTTCTAGTCTACAAACTTTAAAAAAATATACAATGGATGTAAATATATAGTCTTACTTACTAAAACTGATAGATCTTTTTTTTTTCAAATGTGTATTCAATGATTTTAGAAAAAATCTAAAAATACCATATTATGTGATAGTCAAAGAATCATGAACCATTGATGGCCATGCAGAGATTCTCATTTGGTGTTTATAAAAGGTGAAATTTGTTTCTTAAATAAGCAATTACATCATGTTTTGAATTACTTTTTCAATAATTTTCAGTCACATAAAGGACGGAAAAAAGCTCCATTTACTGATTTCCATAGCAGTATGGATCAATAATCTTTAATGTTTGTTAGTAACATGCATTATCCGGTTAGATCTTGAATAGTGACACTAACACAAATTATTAGGCTATATCAGTAATCATTTTAAAAGTGTTTGCGTGTGAGATATGATTATCCAATTTCTCTCCAAATCTGGATATTTCAAGATAATTGAACTGAATTAATTATTTTAGATATCCCATGAATAAAAATGCCTTGATCATTTTAATAACTTCTTTAGATCCTTATCCGTTATAAAAAAAAAAAAGATTAGTAGCTTTTGAGTCAGATAAAAAATATCATAATCCTATATGGCAAACTAATCCATTCCTTTATTGAGTAAAGATATTTCTTGACAGGAATATTACAAAATAAATGAAGCGAGAAGACTAACAAAGATCAATTACATACAATCCTCACACGTGAATCATCATGTCAAGTCAACCATCAATTTTCTTTGACTTTCTCACGGTCGTGTTTGAAAGTCACCGCATGAAGCGTTGACCAAACCAAGAGAACAACTAAATCCAAAAGCAGATCTTCCAACGTCAAACTCCAACAAAGTATTTTCCATCTGATGCATCCCGATCACCACCGCCTGCTCCGCCGCATCTCCTCCGTTGAGGAACGCCAAGCAAGCCACGTCATCACTGACCTTCCTCATGGAGTTTGCGGCAAACACTTTCCAAATCTTCCCGTCAGCCAACTCCAGATCGATCCGAGGCACTTGGAAATGTTGCGTTGACTTAAGACAAAACTCCAAAGGTGCTGTGCTATTGACACGTGGAACATCCGACGTTGCCTTCGAAAATGCTTCGATAAAGACTTTGTATATATCGCTTCGTAAGGTGGTGAAAGGAGTTACTGTGCTCAGAGTCACGCCTCCGTCACCCTTGCCGTCGAAATCAAAAGCGTTTGGGGCAAGCAAGATCGTTTCCCCGTTGACGGAAATACCCTTGAGCCCCAAGAAATAATCGTTGAGTTTTCTAGGGTTCTTGATTAGTTGAGTGTAAGAGAGCATGGATCTTGCATCTTTGTTTTTGAGCTTGTACGGACCTCCACCAAAGAAAATAACACCTTTGTTCGTAGGGTTTTCATCAGAAGGCAAACACAAGGCAAACTTCTTCTCAAGCCCGAGTCTAGGTGGAGTCAGCTGGTTCCATCCGGCGAGAGCCGTGGGTGAAAGCCCGAAAAGGCCGAAAACCCCGGGAGGAAAGCCGGGGAGGAACGGCTTGGGGATGCACAGGTAATTCACGTTATTGAATGTGACCGAGGGAGATCTAGGGTTTAGGGAAGAGATGGCAAAATCTCCATAGGTGAATTGGTTGGAGCTGCATAGACTTTGGAATGGCTCAAAGGCGGTGGCTTGGCAAGCACATCTTCCATTGATGATTGTGTTTTGGGTAGGAGGGCATTGGTGAGGGTTGAATCTACGAGTGAGAGCACACGTGGCGGAGCCGCAGGGGATGATGGGGCGAGAGAGACCGTCATTGCATTTGCGGGTTATGAAGGGTCCGCCTATGTGGATGAAATACTCCTCGTCTGTGTTGAGTGTTAGTGTGAATAGTGGCAAGATGGTGTTCTTGGTGACCGTTGATACTAGGGTTTGGTGTTGATCATAATGAGCCGAGACGTAACTATACGCGGAAAACAAAAAGAGGCAGAGGAGAAGACTCTTTCCCATCTTTTGAGAGTTTGGTTTTTTTTAATTGTTGGAAAGTTGAAGGTTTATAGATATCAATTAGCAGAAGAAAACAAAACAAGTATATATAGGAAATTAGGACTGACATTTTCAAACTATAGAGGATATATATAACACGCTAATCTGTAAGAACACGTACGCCTGTATAACACAACGATACGGTCGTACCACTACAACTAACATAAATATATAAAAGGTGTTGATGATTGGATTTGGACGCCAGACCAAACCACCCTATATATATGTATGATAAGTTGAAAATATAAATAAAAGAAGATTACTGACGATGGTAGTACTATGTTAATAAGAATCAAATTTACCATATCACTTCTTTACATTCTTGTGATATTTGATCATATATACGAACAAGCAAATAGTTTCGAAATTGAAGGATAATGTCTAGTAGTTTTGTCGTCGTAGTCCACCTACACCTTATCTACGACTACGAGCATGTTGATTATATTGTGTACCCTTTTGTTAATTTGATATCCTAAATTAAAGTGATCCTACCGCATATAGTGCACATGCTTAAGTAGCAAACCTAATTCGGCTGGCTCTATAACGAAAGCTGCGCAGCTTTGAAATTTGGCTAGCTATAATGAAAACTGATATGAAAGTTTGGCAGGATATGAAAACCATACTTTACTGAGAAATTTTTGATGAAGCATATAATAAAACTAGTTAATACATGTAGAATGGTTGAAAAACATATGCCTTATTCAATATTTCTGCAGGCTGATTTAGTGAGTTTCTAAATAAGGTTGTTTTGAAAACTAAAATTGACAGTACTCAGTTTAAAAATGTGGTAACACTTTCATAATTATAACCTACATTTTTTATATTATTCTGCTTCCATTAAAATTGAAAAGGAGCAGTGACGTTTTCATTATGTTTTTTTTCTAATAAAACGGTTTGTGTAACATAAAATAAAAAAGTGTGAGGGGTGTTGACTAGTAATTTTATTTTTGTCAAACTATTGACTAGTAATTTATTAAAAAATCTTGGTAAACGTCACTACCTTTAAAAATTAAAATAAATACACAACTGTCTTTATCCTTTATAATGTTCTTGCATTGATTTATTGCTTTGATTTCCTTCAAATATGTAAACGTCACTGTGTACATTTTACATTCATTGTTTACGGCCGCCTTGTGGAGTGGATTATATCTCACGTTGAATGTTTGATTATACTTTTGATTCAGAGTCGTCGTGTGTGGGGGACCAAGTAGTTCATTTGTTTTCTTTGTTTGATAAGAATATATGGATATTGAAATCTGTTTTTAGACATCTATTGGAATTAAAGTTGGATAAGAAAAATTGTCAGGTGATAATAATCCTCAAAGAATTGTTAATCCACATTTAACAAATTTAAGCAATATTTCTCCATCCTGATTTGTTGAGTCCATTATGAAAAACATAGAAAATGAAAAAGAAAAGATCCTAAACAAGGCTTCCTGCGACTAAAAAGTCCTGCAAAACGTTTAAGACCATAGAGAATCCATACAGCAACCACAATGCTCAAGCAGATTCAGTCCCTTAACTAAGCTGAAACTGCTTCTTTTTCCTCAGCAACAACGTCCTTTAACTCCAAACGCTGAACTATCTACCTGTGATGGTTTCTCCAGTACCATGTCCGATACCATTTCCGCTGTTCCTAGAGCCTAAACGATTTCAAGAAACCAGAAAATCGTTATATGGTTCTTGAGAAAGGTATTAGAACATTAGGATGAATGGTACTCACCATGGAAAGTCCACCTCCTTCATGCCCAGCTGCCAAGTAAAGGTTTTGTAATCCAGGCACGGATCCTATCACTGGCTTCCCATCAGGCACTATGATCAATTAAAAGACAAGTTCAGGTTTCGTTGATCATTCCAAAGGCCGGTTTCAAGCATTTTATGGAGCATAAGAAGCAAGAAGCTTACTGTAAGGCCGCAATCCGACTCTCACTTTCCTGTTACGAATGAAACTTTCAAGGGAAATATCTCGTAACTTAGGGAAGAATTCTGCAGCACGCTCCCATATGCAGCGGATGATAGTCTCGTCAGCTTCAGTGTCGAATCCGACAAACTCACGGCTGCTTCCTGTAAATTTGAGATGGCTAAATGAAGTTAATGATCACAGATTTTGCTGGTTTTGGAGTTTAAGAGGTGGATGGACATAGATTGATGAAATTATGAATCAAAAAACTTACCGAGAACAAGGTTCCCTGTTGCATCGATTGTGGCTGTCATGGAAATAGATAGCATCCGTTCCTCCACATCCAGTCCTGGAGATGAAGCACTTTGATGATCTGCGTAACCAGCCTCCATTATTCCATGATTTAAATGGAATGAATCGAAATTCTCAACCACAAGCAGATGTCCCTGCAAGGAACAAAGTTGATACTTCATTTAACATATAGCTTGCAGAAGATTAAAAGATATGCTTGTTGCTCTTAAGTGACAACATCCTCAAGAACTCGGCTTACCACTTAACGATGATACAGTACGACAAAGAGATTTGAAATGCATACATTTTTTTTGGTGCTGACAGAGAATGATTAAGGGGGTAAATCAAAGGCAAGAATGAGCAATGAGACGAGAATTGAACCTTTCTTGGCTTCACAGGAACGTCCATTGATATGTTGCAGTCTTTGAGCAATTCATGCATGAGAGATCCACTCCAGCAACCAGCAGCTACTATAGTTGCCTTCTTACCATACAAGTTTCGTTTCGAAGTCTGAACACCTGTAACCTCCTTGCTACCTCCATCAGACCTGAATAGAGAAGAAACTATTAACACCCTAATAAAACTCTAATAGAAGAAAAAATAGTATAAGTGTGCAGTAAAGATTTACAGAGACTTGGATTCACTTGTTTTTGAGTTTCAGCCTCTTAAGGTACTTAAGTTTGGAGAATTAGACACAAATCAACCCCATTTATGTGATATTGATTAGAGAATGTATTTTATTCTCTGGTTCAGAAGAGTTACGATTCATTTGAAACAAAGATTAGCAACCTGATTAAACCTGTAACTGGTTCATGATAGAACTCTGCATATCTTCCTTCTCTTGCAAACTCTCTGTTACCCTGAACAACTCAAAAGCAAAACTAAGTAAACAACAAAGAAAAGAGCCAGATGAGAGACGTTCAGCTACAAAGGAAAAAATCTATCAACCTTCTCGATATAAGCAACCGCACGATGAGCATCCAACTGCGAGTCATCGGGAAGAAATGCAGCCCCAGTATGATCATCCACAAGGATTGCAGGCTCCTTTCGAAACAAATCAGCGCTAGACAAATACTCAGTTCTCAGACCAGCTTCAGATAGCTCATGAACCTTTTGTTTAAGAGTAGCACATTCCTGAGAGGTCTTTCCAATCATCAAGCTTCCTGCAGATAAATTATCCTATATCACCTTCATTCCTTCAACAAAGTGGCCATTTCGAGGAACAAATGAAATAACATTGCTAAAGAGAACTTAACAATGGTGTAACGAACCCAATTCGCTAAACTGAGGAACTATTTAGCTGGAGCTGGAACCATTTTATCAAAATCAGAAACTGAAATCACCAAATTCTAAGCAAATGAAAGTGGGGAGTGAAAAAAAAAGAACCTGTCTTTTTCCAACCGAGCAGCTCTTGAGGATCAAGACCTTCATCGTTTAAGCTCTCTGCAAGATTATGCCAGAGTTGGTGGCTCCTCATGGCCAAGTCCCATATATCACTGCCTGGTTTCTTATGTGTCATCCATATATATCCCTGCCCTGAATCAAAAAATCCACAAATTTCATGTAAAAGTCAACTCTATTGACTTCGACTATCCAGAAAGAGGCGATTATGTGCAGAATCAAATAGAAAATAGGTAATGCCAGATCCGATTTTGCAACTATATAAGTGAAGAAAAGTAAGAGAAGGGTAGAGATTACCGGCACCGGTGGCGCCGGAGCAAGGGACGGCTTTATCGACAACGGCTACTGATAGATCCGACCCGGTAAGAAACTGGCGGGCTATGGTCAACCCGATGATCCCACCACCAACGACAACGACATCGAAGGAGCTGCGAGAAGCAGTGACACGAAGTGATCGAGAAGCTCCATGTCGGATCCTCCGGGTTTGGGCGGGAGATGAAAATGGAGAGCTCTGGGATGCTAAAAAACTGGGTGACTGAATGAAGATTGAAACCATAGGGGCAGGTTTTGAATTCGGTGAGTGATTAGAGTTTGGAGGAATCTTGTTAGTTATCATCAAGTACAGTCACATGCAGCCGCAACTTGAATAATAGTAATCATTAATCTATTACAATTGCAAGCCTGAAAGGCCTTTCACAGCATAACATACATTTTCTTTAGTGGCTGAATAAAACAACAAAAGCATCTGTGTTTTTCAACAACTTTTTGAGATCTTCATGCTTCTACAGCTAATACAACACCAACACTATCAACTTCTGAAAATGATGCTAGTGGTAATGGAGTCCTCATCTGGTGGTTAAGTTAAAACTACTAACTAAGATTACAAAAACAGCGAGGAGAATCCCTCTGCTTGTCACCAAGATTGATCGCTGTGATCCCGAGAAGTGTACCCTCTCTGCCTGATCCCTGCAGAAAAATAAAGAAGAAGGCACCCGTCAATGCATAAACCTTTATCTCCATAACTTGGCCAGCCTAAAACATAATTCCTATCTGATGAATACAAGAACAGTCCAACCATTTTATCTTGAATCAAATTTGGAACCTTCCTTTCTAGATCTTTCTTTCTTCCAACTTTTAGAAATTATATGAGATCATCTTGCGCTTCTGAGAAATCTTACTTTTGTAACGGTGAGAGCCGGCCACAGTATATGGCGTTTTCAGGAATGGTATTCTCCGATGAGTCAATCTCGGGGTTAACCACATTCAAGTACGCTTCTTGGCCCAGGTACCATGAAGCAAGATTGTCTATCCGAAGGTTCCACATGCCAGCATTGTCCAAATATACTAAAATGGCCGTCCATGCACCAGGAAACACCTGTAAACATAAAAAAGCGTTTATAACCACAGAGAAACAAATGTAAAGACATCGGTTTCTATAGGTATTATGACATAAAACCTGCGTAGTGGATCGAGCAACACCGTCCCCTTTGTTGTATGTGCTTCTGCTATTCTCTGTCCACAAACCAAAGTCCATCCTTCAACACAAACATCATTCTTTTTTGTCAAATTCACATTTTGGTATATAGATGGATCTAATATAACTAATGCAACCTTACCCGACAACAAAAAACGCATAACCATCCAAGTGATAGCTCTTAACCGACGTCTCACTATTCTGAAATATGATCTCCATGAATCCCTTGAAAGTCCCGTTTATGACAGAGGTATCAACTTTGGGATGCCTATTCATCGGTCTTTTCGGGAAATCCAACTTGTACACCCCTGAGATGTTGTAATGCTGAGCAAGCTTTAGTGGTGTTGAAGGAGGAAAGTACGATATCCCATTAAGAGTAGTACGCAATCTCCCCTCTATCAGCTCCGGTGGTCGGTTAACAATCACGTACACATCAGTTACTGTAATTTGTCCATATTTGAAAGATCCCTGAGGGTTCGGTCTGGCAGCTCCAGCTGAGACATTCAACCTATGAAGCAGAATATTCCATCAGCAACAAGTAAGGATTTGCATTTCAAAACCATTTTCCGATTGTGGATTCATAACAAAATACCATTCTTGCACAAGACATGAAAACACAAGTGTACATAGTTGTTAAACAACCTTATGGATCGTGCTTGGTTCATTGAGAAAAACGTGTCCAACTCATTAGGAGGATCAGGGAGTGGACCTGAAGCTGGTCCTTGGGAATTCGAGTAGCGCAAGATCGCGACTCCGATAGCTTTTCCGGGGGAAGATGGTTTAGCAAATCTTGTGCTGGCAACAATGTAGTAGTCATTACTACCGGATTGATCCATCGTGACGAGAAACGAGAAAGATTGACCCACATGAATGTCCATATTCGTGTAATTCTGCTGAACTGTGTATGAACCTTCTGTCTCAACAAGAAGCAGGTTATGATTCTGTATTCTGAAATTCAAGCTGGTTGCTATGCCACTGTTATGCACACGGAAACGGTATGTCCTTCCTAATAAAGATAAAGATAAGTGGTCAGAGAGTTGAGAAGAATCAAACTATCAAAACCAATTTAAGGATGTTTTTAAAAGAACACCTGGTTCAACGTTTATCGTCCCAAAAGGAATGTTATCCGAAGCGAGCTCGGGGCTGTAAGGAAAAGGTCCTAACCCATTGATGACAATGCCATCCGGAGCTCCAAAGTCAATCTTACTCTCAACGTCCTTCCTCAGCTTCTGATTCCCCAAGAGAAACATGTTAAAACAACAACCGTAGTGAAGAGAGACTAAACTAAACATTAGGTTTTGTATAAACCTTATGGCTTTTAGTGAACCAATCACTGATAAAGAGTGTAACATCTCCACCATCAGGCAAAGGGAATGGAAGTGGAATGATGTCTCGATTGTTGATAATGATCCCTCCATAGCCACCAGCAGCTCTCTGAAAGTTTGTAGAAGGGAAATAAAAGAAACTTCCGATTTGGTCTTTGACTTGAAACTCATAAGTCCAATTCCAACCGGGAGGAATCGGACAGTTAGTTCCCAAAACACCATCTTGCCACGAGTTTTTCCTATGTTGGATTCCATTCCTACACTCACCGACAAATAGTATTACTGACCAAACTTAAATAAGTAAATACTGGATTTGAACAGGAACAAGAAATCACTATATAATACCAACTGAGAAGCAATGGCTCATCGAGATTGTTCTTCACGTTCATAACAACATTCCAATTCGTAGTTACATTGAGAATAGGGCCTGGGAATTGCCCGTTTATCCCAATAACCTACACGAGATCTCGAAAATTGGAACAAAATTACATTTACATTGCTATAATTGATGGAAGAGAAGAAGGAACCTGTTGGCGAGTGCCGAGAGGAGAAGCGGTGAGGTAAGAGACAGTCCAATCGAAGAAGACGTAAGGATCGGCGGCGAAGCAGCAGCCAGTAGCCGACAAGAATACGATAAACGATTGGAACAGAGAAGTGCACGATAAGTGCGGTGGAGAGCAGTGCATTGGATCTCTCCCTCACTCACTCGACGGGCCTTCTCTTCTTACTTGAGAGTCGAGCAGTGAGTGAAATCGGAGAAGACATGTGCAGAGAGATTGGGGAAAGCTTTTTTAACCGCGTCTGGAGATGAGAGGCGAATGTGATTACAGCCCGAGGCGCCAAAAGAGCACATACTTGTTGGGTCCCCACTAGTCAGAAAATTTCAGTGAAATTATTAAAATACCTCACAATCTCTAAGAAATATTCAAATCTGCAATTTGAATGTTATAAAGCTTAGGCTTAAGAGTTAAGAGTCAAATGTTCTTGAGACCACAACGTTGAATAATACTACCCTTTATGCCTTTACTTCTAGTTCAATTTATCTTTTGTCAAATGGTTCATATTAAGAAATGAAAAAATGTCTGCTCAGTTAAAGTATAAAGTTTTTTTTTTTATGATTAAAAGTGTAAAGTATGTTGAAGAGCTTTGCAACTGTTTATACGTTCTTTTAGTTTTTTTATTGGATAAATGTGGATCATTCAGTTATGAAGTATGGATTGAATGAATCTGAAGCTCATAAATGGAAATCCTACAGTTCGATGAGGTTGCTTTTGTTTACCAATCAAGAGAGGGAAATGGAGTGGCAGATAGAGTAGCGAAGGAGGCTCTTTCGTTTATGATCGATGCACCTAAGGTGTACTCTATTGTGCCAAATTGGGTTAAAAATCAGATTGAAGTGGACAATGTATTGTAAATATTTGTAATCGTTTAAGTGGTTAATAAATTTTTTGATGTTGAGCCAAAAAAAAAAAAAAATGGAAATCCTACAGCTTCAAATTTGGGCCTATCTAAAGCCTTCGAAAGAATGGAGAGGCTTTCACAAAAGACTGTTGCCAAAATGTTTCGGTCTTGTTATGTTTTTTTTTTCCTACGAGTAGTGTGATTTAATCACATGTTCTTATGGATCAAGGATGATGTTTTGTGGAAGATTGGTTGCTCGGTTCATTGGTTGAATCAGTCTATCTTCATCGCCGAAACAAGTTAGAGTGTAATCTACGGATCGACAATTTAACTAACGCAAGCCATCAATTATCCATACACTTCCGGATATAATTTTTTTCCGGATATAAATTTGATACACCATAATTAAGAATGTTAGCTTAATGAACACTTCTCGAAAGAAAGAAAAAATCTTATAAAAATTGGGAAAGAGAGAAAGAAACAAAACTGTTTTCAAATTAGCAATAAATAGAGTTTTGACTGAAAGTTTATGACTACTTTGGGACAAAACAATCTCTTCTCCAGACGCACATGCAGGTGAAAGATTAGCTGGGGGTAGTTTCGGGAACACTGTTTTTGACAAGAACGTTGTTTGGATCCATTCGTCAGAATAAGCTTTTTTGCCTGTCTGCGTAACTGAGCAGTTACAAACACGCGCCTCCCAAGTTTAGGTCGCCAACCGAATCATAGACTACTCATTTGTTACCCACGCGCCTTATCCGCGAATATTGTATTCTTGTTACTCACTTCCCATGTGACACGGTCCATTAATTTCAAGAGTCTCGGCCCAATCATCCTCAAGGACAGACAGATCATAAATGTAACCCGCATACTCCAAGGAAATTACAGTAAATTATTCTACACGTGGTATCATTTGATTGGGTAACCTCGCTTTTCCGCAGTGAGAACACAGAAACAGAGGATCACGCCTCCGTCGAAATTTCGCCTTCAATAATTTTGATCCACTCTGTTTCAAGCTGTCATCAATGTCTTCTTCTCCCTCTTCTCCACCGTTTAAACCCTAATCTCATTATCCTGATCGCGAAGCAATCAGATCGGGGAAATCAATTTGCATGAATTGAGAAGATTTTCTAAAAAATCTCCCCGATTTTTTTTTTCTCGTTTGCGATGAATCGTGTAGCTCAATTCGCGATTCTTATCACCGTTGCGATCTCGATCTCGGTGGTTTCAGCCCAGAAGTTATCGATATACGAGATCCTTGAGGCGCACGCGTTACCGAAGGGGCTATTACCAAAGGGCGTGAAGGAATTCAACGTAGACACGGAGACAGGGGAATTCTCGGTTTTCCTGAACCAATCGTGCAAGGCCAAGTACGAGAGCGAGCTGCATTACGAGGCCAACATTACGGGCACGATTGGTTACGGAAGCATCGGAGGTTTATCGGGTATATCGGCGCAGGATCTTTTCCTTTGGTTTCCGGTTAAAGGGATCCGAGTCGACATACCGAGCTCCGGCGTTATTTACTTCGATGTTGGGGTTGTTCGCAAACAGTACTCCATGTCTTTGTTCGAGACTCCCAAGGATTGCGTTGCTGTTGAGAACGAGGATGAGTTTCGTGGAGACAATAAGGTATAGATTTTTGTTTCCGAAGATACATTCTTTATTGAAGTCTCTATAAGCTTATTTCATTTCAGCAACCTTGAAATTGGTAGAATCTCTATGCAGTAGAAGTAGAGGGATGGTTTTGGATACATTTTGTAAATCGATCTAATGTGGTTATGTGGATGGTTTTTGTGCAGGTTCGGTCATCTATGTTGCAATTCTATGAAGTAGATCAAAGTGGTGGGAGAAACATTGTGTAAGCGAAAAGGTTGAGGATTTGTTGTATTGAAGATGTGTTACAGTATACAAGTTAGAAACTTTTAGCTGCTCATGGATTTTTGAAGACACAGACACAGAGAAACACACACACACACAGACCTTCCATTTGAGGCCAGATTCTCTTTCTCTCTCTCTCCTATTACTTTTCCACTCTGTTTGAAGTGAAAATGAGGGAATCTGTGAGCGAAAGTTAGATGGGAAGCAAAGTTTGTGTGGAAAAGCCCCAGATTCGGTTGAAGGCATCACAGGTGATTGAATGATTTGTGAATTTTTGTTTTTATGTTTTTGCCCTTTGGCATGTATGTCACGTCTCTCTTCTCATTGTAGCATAATACATCATATGTGTAATATATGTTCATGTGTAATCATATTCTTTATCCCAATAAGATTATTTACCGTTTGCAATAAATTTCCTCCTTCAAGAAATAACAAATAATGCGCTTACTTTCCAAAATACTCCTTCAAGGAGTATTTGTTTTCTCATTCAGACTGTTGGATGTGAATCAGTGTATCATACATAAGAGTATTATACTGTTTCAAAACTCACAATAGAATCCAGAAACTAAAATTAACATAGATTTCTAAAAACTAGTGAACATATAAAAAGTTTGTTGTGTTAGTTCCCGGTGATATAATTCCGTAGTTGGAGATGTATCAGGTATGTCATTTATATGCCGATGACATTGTAATTCAAATGTTGTTTTTGCACCCAATAGAGAATACAAAAGAGTATCATATATAAAAATACATAACTTCAGTGTCAAACATGTCTAATCTAAAGAGGAATCGGAAGTAGAATCGTCGTGTAGACTTCCATTGTGGCTATCGGGAGATCCGGTAGGCTTATTAAGATGAAGAGGTTGTTTGAGAGTCCAGTGCATTATACTCGCCGTCAATGTCAGAATCATCTTCTGATTCACCTGTTCATATAATGTTTTTATAGTATCAAATCTTCTGATATTGTTAAGCGATTAGATTATTTATGGAGAAAAGAGGTTTCAAAGTACCTCTGTTATGTCTTCTGGGAGTAAAAATATGGAACAACCCATCTTCCTGGCTATGCTAATCACGTAAGTGGCATTCATCTTTTTCTCTTCATCTGTATTTAGCAAATGTCTCTATTAACTAATAACGTTCAAACATAGCCAAACGCTGAAACAAATGAATAAAATAGCTAAAATTACCAGTTACTCCGTTTGTAACAAGACTCCAGTTAACAGCTCTTGGCTGCACTGAACTGAGCAGCTCCAGGAAAAATATTCCACTGGACAAGCTCTTGTCCTGTCAAATTCAGACACCATTCGTTAACTTGAACGGATTGTGTCTGTAAAAGCCAAACAAAGGAAGCAAGAGACTACTTACCCTGAAACTATACATGCGAGTTTGGCTTCCGTTGTTTCTCACTTTAGCATTTGCCCACTCCAATATATCAACATCTGTTATTTCTTTGCCGTTTGATTGGAATCTCAAGTTCTTAAGGAGTTGCAGGATGTTGTATCTCATCAATTGCCATAAGTATGCTGGAAGAGGTTGGTAAGAACATCATTACTAAAGATTACAATATGTGGTGTGTTTCATAAACAACACAATCATAGCATTTGAGAAATTGTACCTAGTATGAGCTTCTTGTTTCCTTGAACAATGTCGTTTCCAGCAATGTTAACCAAAGAGAACTTGAGCTGCTTCCCTAATTTGACAACCTGATTACAGTTTTCTACTTTCTTGAATGGCAGTTTGATGGGAGGCTTGCTTGCTATTTTCCAATTAACAATCCCTGGAGACACCTTGTCGATTGTCTGCAACAATATCCACCTGTTGCCAAAACAGAGAACTCATTTTCAATATACATTCCACACTCGATTAACGTTTCTTGTACTGAGTGTTGAAATACTAACCCATCTCTGAGATCTTCAAAGACATTGTTTATGTACATAGAACTATCAAAGCTGTTAATCCAAAACCGGAATGCTTTTTCTTCTCTTGAAATTTGGGTGTCATCTTCTAGAGTTTCGAGAAAAGATATCTGTTTTGTTTTGGTTGAAAGTCCGTTCCTGCGGAAAAAGAAAGAAAGAAACACAGCTCTCATCTGTTAGATTTCATATTCCCTTGGGACGTAAAACTGTTTAGTCATTGTCATTGAAGTGTTTCTTTCACCTGTGCTGGAAAATATGTGCTACAAAAGCAAGATTAAGATTCGGGGAACCTTCAACAATATCCTTAGCGGTCAAGTATCTCCTGCATCCCATTCTGTCTGCATGTTCGAGAACATGGTTTGCTCTCTGAAATGGGGATTTTGCTGGTAATTTTGATGGATTCTTGTGCTCTGGTGCCAGGACATTTAATAGATTAGTGTAAGCTTCAGCATCCTGCACAAAACGTAATCACAAGTCATATAAAAGAGCATATGGAGCATTTACCAGATATGAAACTTTGGCCAAGCCAGCAATTGGAGAACTCATAAGTTGATACATTTGATTAAACTTTGAATACCTTTACATCAGAGGAGAAGTTTGTGACGGTTTTCTTGTATTCAGTTTTTTTCAACTGAAAATTCATCCACCTCAATAAGATCTTCTCCGGTGATAAACTCATCAGCTCTTCCACATCCTGTTGATCCAAAAAAGATAGAACAATATCCATATTTTTTTTTTTTTTTTAAGAAAGACGTTCTTGAGTGTTTGTGAACAACAGGTAACGCCGATCTACCTTACTATCATCGACCAACTCCACCAGCTGGGGAGTTTTCTTCAAGTTGAGGTCTGCTAGCAATTGTATCTAGACAAAGAACAGTCACAATGAAGATTAACAACACATAGTCTAGTGAATACAAATAACAGTAGCAGCATTAGAGCCTCACCTTGATGATTTGAGAAATCACACCGAGCACAAGATGACGCTGAATCACAGAAACAGAAGTGTTGAAGTCATAATGAACATTCACTAATATTCAGAAAGAAAAAATGTGATAGATTTGAGTAGAGATACTGATTCACATACCCTTCCTTCAATGATATCTTGAGTTCCTATATTAACCACAGTACACCCAATGGCCTTGGCAGAGTTAAGGCAAAGCGTATGGTTTTCGTTTCTCTCCCATGGATTAAGCATACTCTTAGTATTTATTGCTCGTTCATCAATCGTCCCAGGAACCGCCACATTTATAAGTTTACTACACAAAGCAAGAACATTTATCATCACAGAGAAGGAAGAAAACATTTAACAAACACATAATCTGAGAAGGAGGAAACTTTACCAAAGTAAAACGCCATCTTTTGCCACTTCAAAGAGATCATTCGAGGAAGGGTTAATAGGGAGGTACTTGTTCAAAAATTCATCTCCAGAGAGGTAATTATTAATATGAGCAACATAAGAAGACTTCTCAGAATCGCTGATAGTGTGCAGCAAAGTGGTTGTAGCTGCTTTGAGAAATGCAGACGAATTCTTCACGCCGCTTCCGATTATGGCGTTCACATGAGCTTGGAGATTCAGATAAATCTGCAATTTACGATCCAAACAAGGTTAAAAATAGCAATTTACATTCAAACACGAAGATCTGTAGAGGTGGAAGCAGAGATTTTTTCAGAGATGCAAATACTGATTACTGACCCTCAAGTAAAATTCGAAATCGACTTCGTCGTTTAAGTTCGGATGGAAACTTTGGATCAGAGACGCTCTTTCTTCGTTGCCGAGGTTTTGATCTCCGACCACCTTTGATTTCCCCATCCTTGACGCGAGGTCTGACACGATGAGCTTTCCGCTCTCCCTTCTCATGCTCGTGAACTGTAAAATAAGTTTGAAATTGAGAGAATTGGATCGAAAATTCAATGAGAAATGAACGAATATCAAACTTTATGGAGATTTATTTGTCTGCAAGTGGATCGGACGTACGTACGTGAGATTTCAAACTCCGGAGCTCCACCTGCGTGAATTGGTTCTGTAGCCATGGATCCGATACCAAAATCCCGACGAAACCCAACATTTCTCTACCTTCTTATACACTTTCCCGAGAGAATTCCGATCGGTATCTGAAGCAAACGTAGTCTTACTTTCTCTTCTTTCTTCCCTTTTGAGACTGTGAAACGGAGAAGAGGAAGAAGAAGGAAAAGAAGAAGAAGAGAAGCTAAGCAGAGCTGGCAGTGGGAAGTGGAGAGAAAGAAATTCAAAATTATGACCAAATTGCCCCTTTAGAGCTTTTTCGTTTTAAATTTCTCTATCAGCTTTTACTTGTGTGGGCAAGAAACTGTGACCTGTGAGGGCCCATCTCACTACACCATGGTGGGGTCCGTATTGTCCTGACTGTTGAGAGGGTAAATACGGAATTAGGATTTTACGCCGAATGTAACGGTCGGTTTTAGTAATTTGGTTATTATATAAGGTAGATTTATTTAAAAGTTCAAATTTCAACCCAGTTCATTAAATTCAAAAGCTCTATCTATCCGGCCTTATTCGAAATCCAAAAGCCTAACTATATATAATTGAACATTGTGTATTTTTTAGGTGGTCTTATGCTACTCTAGCTACTAATTAATAACATAAACAAAAACCTTTATAAGATAACGTGTGTGTTACATACAGGCATGAGATAAGTATTTGATTGCAATAGTGTACTATATAAAGCTACACCTAAAAGAAGATTAGGAAATAAAGCAAGTGCCAGACATAGTGAATGAGAAAGAAAGAGGGATTTTGTAATAATTGAGCCAATATGAAGCAATCTTTGCCACGCTTTATGGCTTGCTCACTTCAAGAAAATGAAAAATAAATTGATAAGCAATTATGTGTCTTACCTTCAACTAGGGTGTTAGTGTTCCACTGATTACAAATATGGCATTCATTTCATTAGTTAATCAAAATTCCAACATAAATTTATAGAGACAATCTATATGGCATGATTAATCGTATCACTCCTCTTTTTAAAATTAGGCATGGCACTTAATAAGAATGATAAAACACCATTATGTCATTTGGACCCCTCCATGCTTCACCCACATGGTTGCTGATCAGCTGTGAAGATTTCCATAATTGAAATTAGCCCTGAGCATTTCGGGTTTTGGGACGGGAATTGACGGGTATGGGACGGGAATGGGAAATTCGGGAAACCAAATATGATTCCCGAAGCATTCCCTTATTATAACGGGACGGGAAATCACGGGAATGGGAAGGGAATGGGAATTTTGGGAATCAAAAAATAATACCCGAAGTCTTAATAAATCGGAAAATTGAAGATAATATGGGAAAGTACGGGAAAAATACGGGAAAATATGAGAAAATACAGAAAATTATGGGAAAATTCGGGAAAATATGGGAAAAATAGGGATATTTAAGAAAAAATATCTAATTTTCAATTTTTTATTTTATAAACGGGAAAATCGGGAAATCCCTTACCCTTCCCTTACCCTTCCCTTACCCGTTTGAATAAAATAAATGTTCCCAAACGGGAAAATGCAAATTCCCATTCCCGAAAATTCGGGAAATTTTAAGCGGGTAAGGGTGGGAACGGGATTCCCGTCCCGAAATGCCCAGGGCTAATTGAAATAATACTCGATACTCCAGAGGTTTCGTTTATTGTTTAAATAAATACTAATAAACACATATCATGTAAGCCGTCTTAGCTCAGTGGTAGAGCGCGTGACTTTTAATCCCGTGGTCGAGGGTTCGATCCCCTCAGACGGCGAATGTTGATTTGTACTCTTTTTTAATCATTAATTTTTTTTTGTTCTTTTTGTCGACAATCTTTTATCGGTTTAATCCCGTCGTCTTCTTCGATTCTTCATCTTTCTTCCTTTTCCTTAAACACAGAAGGCCAAAACCTCAAACGTTTTGAATCCGAAACGAGAAAACAAACTATGTTACAGTCTATTCATCTCCGTTTTTCCTCTTCCCCTTCACCTACGAGAAGAAAATTTTGCGCCCCTTACGAGGTTGGAGGCGGATATTCCGATGAAGAACCGTTCGAAAGATACGGAACCCATCAGAGTAAAACGAATGTCGAGGATAAATTAAGTGAATCTCAGTACGAGGCTCTTCTTAAAGGAGGCGAACAAGTGACCTCCGTTCTTGAAGAAATGATAACTCTCGTAAGTACTTCTACGTTTTCCATCGAGTTATATGAGATTCATCTGCGCTTGCTTTTGTATCATTTTCTAAGCTTGGCATTTCGTCGAACAACTTAAAGGCGTTAGGCCTAGTATTTTTCTGGATATATTATCTTCATTTTTGTCTGATGGCTTTATATTGGCTCAATTATTTTCCTGACCGTGCCTGCAACCTTGCTAAAACGGTAAGCTAATGAGTTTTTGTAGTGTCCTGCCAATGAATCTCTGGAATTAGCCTGAGCTGTTGTTTCCATTTAAACCCTCAACGTTTTCTGCAACAAGAATGTGATACGATAAATGGTTTGGGTCTTTTTGTGGTTTTCCTTTTCTAATTGGATTAAGGTTTTGCTGATTTTCCTTTTCATTATGCTTAGTCGAAGGTTTTGCTAATTTTCCTTTTTATTATGCTTACTCGGTTTGTATGAGGATCTATATAAGGACCTCTTATTATCAATAAGAAATCAACTTCCAAGAATTAACTTTTGTTTGTGTATTTCATCTGAATAGCTTCTTCTTGCGTTTTTGCAGCGGTGTGCCAAAGACTTTAAACTAAAGCTCTTGTAACAGAAGTCTTATCGTCGGAAGCTGCTTTTTAACAGACGACGGAAGAGGCAAGAAAACACACACAAAACAAGTCGACTCTTCGGAAGCCAGTTCTTCTTGGATTCGTCATCGGTTTCGGCCATGGAGAAGGACGAACTTAAGAAACTGAATCATCTCTCTCTTGTCTCCAATGTGTGTAACGAACTGGAAACGCATCTAGGGGCTACGGAAAAAGTTTTGGCCGAATTCATCATCGACCTTGGCCGCAACTCCGAGACTGTCGATGAATTCGATAAGAAGCTGAAGAAGGAAGGCGCGGAGATGCCGGATTATTTCGTCCGCTCGCTGTTAACTGTAATCCACGGGATTTACCCTCCGAAGCCCAAGTCGGAGAGGAAGAAGGACGACGGAGGTAATGAGAAATACAAAGGCTTGGCTATTAGGGATACTAAGGATAAAGTGAAGGAGCTTGAGAAGGAGATTGAATTGGAAGCTCGGGAGCGACAGAGAGAAGAGGATCGGAATAGAGAAAGAGACCGAGGTCGGGATCGGAGAGATTCCGGAAGAGATAGGGATCGACACAGAGACAGACCTCGTGGAAGTGAAGGTGGAGAAGATAGAAGAAGCGGTAGGCATAGAGAAAGAAACCGTGGAGATGATGGTGACGATAGAAGAAGTGATAGGCATAGAGAAAGAGGCCGTAGAGATAGGAAGGATGAGTACACGGAGGAGGGTGGTGCGAATGAGCCGGAGCTGTATCAGGTATACAAAGGTAGAGTAACGAGGGTAATGGACGCTGGATGTTTCGTTCAATTCGATAGATTTAGAGGGAGAGAAGGTCTAGTCCATGTTTCTCAGATGGCTACTAGAAGAGTTGACAAGGCAAAAGATTTTGTGAAGCGTGATATGGAGGTTTACGTCAAAGTGATATCTATTTCGAATGATAAGTATAGCCTTTCTATGAGAGATGTTGATCAGAATAATGGCACAGATTTGATCCCTCTGAAGAAGCCTACAGAGGATGATTCATCCAGGAGCAATCCATCGTATAGAACTAGGGATGGACAAGTCACCAAGATTGGGATTTCGGGGATCCGTATCGTGGAGGAGAGTGATGTTGCGGTTGCGCCTTCACGTAGGCTATTGAAGAAGATGAGCTCCCCTGAGAGATGGGAAGCGAAGCAGTTGATTGCCTCTGGTGCCTTGAAGCAGAGTGAGTTTCCAAATTATGATGAGGACGAAGGTGGGATGCTTTATCAAGAGGAAGGTGCTGAAGAAGAAGAAGTTGAGATTGAGATGAACGAAGACGAACCTGCGTTCTTGCAAGGGCAGACCAGGTACTCTGTTGACTTGTCTCCGGTGAAGATCTTCAAGAATCCTGAAGGTTCCTTGAGTCGTGCCGCTGCACTTCAGTCCGCACTCACCAAGGAGAGGAGAGAAATGAGGGAACAGCAGCAAAGAGCAATGCTTGACTCGATCCCCAAGGATCTGAATCGTCCTTGGGAAGATCCTATGCCTGAAAATGGTGAAAGGCATCTTGCTCAGGAGCTTAGGGGTGTGGGGTTATCAGCTTATGACATGCCGGAATGGAAGAAGGATGCTTTCGGGAAAACCCCGACTTTTGGACAGAGGTCAAAGCTCTCTATGCAGGAGCAAAGGGAGAGCCTTCCTATATACAAGCTGAAAAAGGAGTTGATACAAGCTGTGCATGATAACCAAGTTCTGGTGGTCATTGGTGAGACTGGGTCTGGTAAGACGACACAGATGACTCAGTATCTTGCCGAATCAGGTTACACCACAAAAGGAAAGATTGGGTGTACTCAGCCTCGTAGGGTCGCCGCGATGTCTGTTGCCAAGAGAGTAGCTGAGGAGTTTGGTTGTCGTTTGGGAGAGGAGGTAGGGTATGCGATTCGGTTTGAGGATTGTACTGGACCAGAACGGTGATCAAGTACATGACTGATGGTATGCTTCTTAGGGAGATTCTGACTGATGAAAACCTCTCTCAATACTCTGTTATCATGCTTGATGAAGCTCACGAGCGGACAATTCACACTGATGTGCTGTTTGGTCTTCTGAAGAAGCTGTTGAAACGCAGGCTTGACCTTCGTTTGATAGTCACGTCTGCCACATTGGATGCAGAGAAGTTCTCTGGGTATTTCTTCAACTGCAACATTTTCACAATCCCTGGAAGAACCTTCCCTGTTGAGAAACTGTACACCAAACAGCCAGAAACCGATTACTTGGATGCAGCTCTCATCACAGTTCTTCAGATCCACTTGACTGAACCAGAGGGTGACATTCTTGTGTTTTTGACGGGACAGGAAGAAATCGATTCCGCTTGCCAGTCTCTGTACGAGAGAATGAAGAAGCTTGGTAAAAACGTTCCTGAACTCATCATTCTTCCTGTTTACAGTGCCCTTCCTAGTGAAATGCAGTCTAGAATCTTCGATCCTGCTCCTCCTGGTACGCGGAAAGTGGTTGTGGCTACAAATATTGCAGAAGCTTCTTTGACGATAGATGGGATTTATTATGTTGTTGATCCCGGGTTTGCGAAGCAGAACGTGTATAACCCAAAGCAAGGGCTAGAGTCGCTAGTCATAACTCCAATCTCACAGGCGTCGGCGGAGCAGAGAGCTGGACGTGCTGGTCGTACTGGTCCTGGTAAATGTTACCGTCTCTACACTGAGAGCGCATTCCGTAACGAGATGCCTCCTACATCAATCCCTGAAATCCAGAGGATTAATCTCGGAATGACAACGCTGACCATGAAAGCAATGGGGATCAATGACCTGTTATCGTTTGACTTCATGGATCCACCGCAGCCGCAAGCTTTGATCTCTGCTATGGAACAGCTGTACAGCCTGGGAGCGTTGGATGAGGAAGGATTGCTGACAAAGCTAGGTAGGAAAATGGCGGAGTTTCCTCTTGAACCGCCGCTCTCTAAAATGTTGTGGCTAGTGTGGATCTCGGGTGCAGCGATGAGATATTGACGATGATTGCGATGATCCAAACGGCAACATATTCTACAGACCGAGAGAGAAGCAAGCTCAAGCAGACCAAAAGAGGGCCAAGTTTTTCCAGCCTGAAGGTGACCACTTGACATTGCTAGCTGTATATGAAGCTTGGAAGGCTAAGAACTTCTCAGGTCCATGGTGTTTCGAGAACTTCGTACAGTCACGATCTCTACGGCGTGCTCAAGACGTGAGGAAACAACTTGTCAGCATTATGGACAAGTATAAGCTAGATGTGGTGAGTGCTGGGAAGAATTTCACCAAGATAAGGAAAGCAATCACAGCAGGATTCTTCTTCCACAGGAGCAAGGAAAGATCCACAGGAAGGTTACAGGACGCTGGTGGAGAATCAAGCCGGTTTACATACATCCGAGCAGTGCTCTTTTCAAAGGCAGCCCGACTGGGTGATCTATCACGATCTTGTGATGACGACCAAAGAGTATATGAGGGAAGTGACTGTGATTGACCCAAAGTGGCTTGTTGAGCTAGCTCCAAGGTTCTTCAAAGTCTCTGATCCAACCAAGATGAGTAAGCGTAAGCGCCAAGAACGCATTGAGCCTCTGTATGATCGTTATAACGAGCCTAACTCATGGCGTCTCAGCAAAAGACGTGCTTGAGATAGTGTAACAATTATTCTTTCTTTTGTTTATCANGAATACAAATAACAGTAGCAGCATTAGAGCCTCACCTTGATGATTTGAGAAATCACACCGAGCACAAGATGACGCTGAATCACAGAAACAGAAGTGTTGAAGTCATAATGAACATTCACTAATATTCAGAAAGAAAAAATGTGATAGATTTGAGTAGAGATACTGATTCACATACCCTTCCTTCAATGATATCTTGAGTTCCTATATTAACCACAGTACACCCAATGGCCTTGGCAGAGTTAAGGCAAAGCGTATGGTTTTCGTTTCTCTCCCATGGATTAAGCATACTCTTAGTATTTATTGCTCGTTCATCAATCGTCCCAGGAACCGCCACATTTATAAGTTTACTACACAAAGCAAGAACATTTATCATCACAGAGAAGGAAGAAAACATTTAACAAACACATAATCTGAGAAGGAGGAAACTTTACCAAAGTAAAACGCCATCTTTTGCCACTTCAAAGAGATCATTCGAGGAAGGGTTAATAGGGAGGTACTTGTTCAAAAATTCATCTCCAGAGAGGTAATTATTAATATGAGCAACATAAGAAGACTTCTCAGAATCGCTGATAGTGTGCAGCAAAGTGGTTGTAGCTGCTTTGAGAAATGCAGACGAATTCTTCACGCCGCTTCCGATTATGGCGTTCACATGAGCTTGGAGATTCAGATAAATCTGCAATTTACGATCCAAACAAGGTTAAAAATAGCAATTTACATTCAAACACGAAGATCTGTAGAGGTGGAAGCAGAGATTTTTTCAGAGATGCAAATACTGATTACTGACCCTCAAGTAAAATTCGAAATCGACTTCGTCGTTTAAGTTCGGATGGAAACTTTGGATCAGAGACGCTCTTTCTTCGTTGCCGAGGTTTTGATCTCCGACCACCTTTGATTTCCCCATCCTTGACGCGAGGTCTGACACGATGAGCTTTCCGCTCTCCCTTCTCATGCTCGTGAACTGTAAAATAAGTTTGAAATTGAGAGAATTGGATCGAAAATTCAATGAGAAATGAACGAATATCAAACTTTATGGAGATTTATTTGTCTGCAAGTGGATCGGACGTACGTACGTGAGATTTCAAACTCCGGAGCTCCACCTGCGTGAATTGGTTCTGTAGCCATGGATCCGATACCAAAATCCCGACGAAACCCAACATTTCTCTACCTTCTTATACACTTTCCCGAGAGAATTCCGATCGGTATCTGAAGCAAACGTAGTCTTACTTTCTCTTCTTTCTTCCCTTTTGAGACTGTGAAACGGAGAAGAGGAAGAAGAAGGAAAAGAAGAAGAAGAGAAGCTAAGCAGAGCTGGCAGTGGGAAGTGGAGAGAAAGAAATTCAAAATTATGACCAAATTGCCCCTTTAGAGCTTTTTCGTTTTAAATTTCTCTATCAGCTTTTACTTGTGTGGGCAAGAAACTGTGACCTGTGAGGGCCCATCTCACTACACCATGGTGGGGTCCGTATTGTCCTGACTGTTGAGAGGGTAAATACGGAATTAGGATTTTACGCCGAATGTAACGGTCGGTTTTAGTAATTTGGTTATTATATAAGGTAGATTTATTTAAAAGTTCAAATTTCAACCCAGTTCATTAAATTCAAAAGCTCTATCTATCCGGCCTTATTCGAAATCCAAAAGCCTAACTATATATAATTGAACATTGTGTATTTTTTAGGTGGTCTTATGCTACTCTAGCTACTAATTAATAACATAAACAAAAACCTTTATAAGATAACGTGTGTGTTACATACAGGCATGAGATAAGTATTTGATTGCAATAGTGTACTATATAAAGCTACACCTAAAAGAAGATTAGGAAATAAAGCAAGTGCCAGACATAGTGAATGAGAAAGAAAGAGGGATTTTGTAATAATTGAGCCAATATGAAGCAATCTTTGCCACGCTTTATGGCTTGCTCACTTCAAGAAAATGAAAAATAAATTGATAAGCAATTATGTGTCTTACCTTCAACTAGGGTGTTAGTGTTCCACTGATTACAAATATGGCATTCATTTCATTAGTTAATCAAAATTCCAACATAAATTTATAGAGACAATCTATATGGCATGATTAATCGTATCACTCCTCTTTTTAAAATTAGGCATGGCACTTAATAAGAATGATAAAACACCATTATGTCATTTGGACCCCTCCATGCTTCACCCACATGGTTGCTGATCAGCTGTGAAGATTTCCATAATTGAAATTAGCCCTGAGCATTTCGGGTTTTGGGACGGGAATTGACGGGTATGGGACGGGAATGGGAAATTCGGGAAACCAAATATGATTCCCGAAGCATTCCCTTATTATAACGGGACGGGAAATCACGGGAATGGGAAGGGAATGGGAATTTTGGGAATCAAAAAATAATACCCGAAGTCTTAATAAATCGGGAAAATTGAAGATAATATGGGAAAGTACGGGAAAAATACGGGAAAATATGAGAAAATACAGAAAATTATGGGAAAATTCGGGAAAATATGGGAAAAATAGGGATATTTAAGAAAAAATATCTAATTTTCAATTTTTTATTTTATAAACGGGAAAATCGGGAAATCCCTTACCCTTCCCTTACCCTTCCCTTACCCGTTTGAATAAAATAAATGTTCCCAAACGGGAAAATGCAAATTCCCATTCCCGAAAATTCGGGAAATTTTAAGCGGGTAAGGGTGGGAACGGGATTCCCGTCCCGAAATGCCCAGGGCTAATTGAAATAATACTCGATACTCCAGAGGTTTCGTTTATTGTTTAAATAAATACTAATAAACACATATCATGTAAGCCGTCTTAGCTCAGTGGTAGAGCGCGTGACTTTTAATCCCGTGGTCGAGGGTTCGATCCCCTCAGACGGCGAATGTTGATTTGTACTCTTTTTTAATCATTAATTTTTTTTTGTTCTTTTTGTCGACAATCTTTTATCGGTTTAATCCCGTCGTCTTCTTCGATTCTTCATCTTTCTTCCTTTTCCTTAAACACAGAAGGCCAAAACCTCAAACGTTTTGAATCCGAAACGAGAAAACAAACTATGTTACAGTCTATTCATCTCCGTTTTTCCTCTTCCCCTTCACCTACGAGAAGAAAATTTTGCGCCCCTTACGAGGTTGGAGGCGGATATTCCGATGAAGAACCGTTCGAAAGATACGGAACCCATCAGAGTAAAACGAATGTCGAGGATAAATTAAGTGAATCTCAGTACGAGGCTCTTCTTAAAGGAGGCGAACAAGTGACCTCCGTTCTTGAAGAAATGATAACTCTCGTAAGTACTTCTACGTTTTCCATCGAGTTATATGAGATTCATCTGCGCTTGCTTTTGTATCATTTTCTAAGCTTGGCATTTCGTCGAACAACTTAAAGGCGTTAGGCCTAGTATTTTTCTGGATATATTATCTTCATTTTTGTCTGATGGCTTTATATTGGCTCAATTATTTTCCTGACCGTGCCTGCAACCTTGCTAAAACGGTAAGCTAATGAGTTTTTGTAGTGTCCTGCCAATGAATCTCTGGAATTAGCCTGAGCTGTTGTTTCCATTTAAACCCTCAACGTTTTCTGCAACAAGAATGTGATACGATAAATGGTTTGGGTCTTTTTGTGGTTTTCCTTTTCTAATTGGATTAAGGTTTTGCTGATTTTCCTTTTCATTATGCTTAGTCGAAGGTTTTGCTAATTTTCCTTTTTATTATGCTTACTCGGTTTGTATGAGGATCTATATAAGGACCTCTTATTATCAATAAGAAATCAACTTCCAAGAATTAACTTTTGTTTGTGTATTTCATCTAAATAGCTTCTTCTTGCGTTTTTGCAGCGGTGTGCCAAAGACTTTAAACTAAAGCTCTCAGAAGTCTTATCGTCGGAAGCTGCTTTTTAGAACGTCTCTTCGGAAGCCATCTTCTTGGTCATCGGTTTCGGCCATGGAGAAGGACGAACTTAAGAAACTGAATCATCTCTCTCTTGTCTCCAATGTGTGTAACGAATTGGAAACGCATCTAGGGGCTACGGAAAAAGTTTTGGCCGAATTCATCATCGACCTTGGCCGCAACTCCGAGACTGTCGATGAATTCGATAAGAAGCTGAAGAAGGAAGGCGCGGAGATGCCGGATTATTTCGTCCGCTCGCTGTTAACTGTAATCCACGGGATTTACCCTCCGAAGCCCAAGTCGGAGAGGAAGAAGGACGACGGAGGTAATGAGAAATACAAAGGCTTGGCTATTAAGGATACTAAGGATAAAGTGAAGGAGCTTGAGAAGGAGATTGAATTGGAAGCTCGGGAGCGACAGAGAGAAGAGGATCGGAATAGAGATAGAGACCGAGGTCGGGATCGGAGAGATTCCGGAAGAGATAGGGATCGACACAGAGACAGACCTCGTGGAGATGAAGATGGAGAAGATAGAAGAAGCGGTAGGCATAGAGAAAGAAACCGTGGAGATGATGGTGAGATAGAAGAAGTGATAGGCATAGAGAAAGAGGCCGTAGAGATAGGAAGGATGAGTACACGGAGGAGGGTGGTGCGAATGAGCCGGAGCTGTATCAGGTATACAAAGGTAGAGTAACGAGGGTAATGGACGCTGGATGTTTCGTTCAATTCGATAGATTTAGAGGGAAAGAAGGTCTAGTCCATGTTTCTCAGATGGCTACTAGAAGAGTTGACAAGGCAAAAGATTTTGTGAAGCGTGATATGGAGGTTTACGTCAAAGTGATATCTATTTCGAATGATAAGTATAGCCTTTCTATGAGAGATGTTGATCAGAATAATGGCACAGATTTGATCCCTCTGAAGAAGCCTACAGAGGATGATTCATCCAGGAGTAATCCGTCGTATAGAACAAGGGATGGACAAGTCACCAAGACTGGGATTTCGGGGATCCGTATCGTGGAGGAGAGTGATGTTGCGGTTGCGCCTTCACGTAGGCCATTGAAGAAGATGAGCTCCCCTGAGAGATGGGAAGCGAAGCAGTTGATTGCCTCTGGTGCCTTGAAGCAGAGTGAGTTTCCAAATTATGATGAGGACGAAGGTGGGATGCTTTATCAAGAGGAAGGTGCTGAAGAAGAAGAACTTGAGATTGAGATGAACGAAGACGAACCTGCTTCTTGCAAGGGCAGACCAGGTACTCTGTTGACATGTCTCCGGTGAAGATCTTCAAGAATCCTGAAGGTTCCTTGAGTCGTGCCGCTGCACTTCAGTCCGCCCTCACCAAGGAGAGGAGAGAAATGAGGAACAGCAGCAAAGAACAATGCTTGACTCGATCCCAAGGATCTGAATCGTCCTTGGGAAGATCCAATGCCTGAAAATGGTGAAAGGCATCTTGCTCAGGAGCTTAGGGGTGTCGGGTTATCAGCTTATGACATGCCGGAATGGAAGAAGGATGCTTTCGGGAAAACTCCGACTTTTGGACAGAGATCAAAGCTCTCTATGCAGGAGCAAAGGGAGAGCCTTCCTATATACAAGCTGAAAAAGGAGTTGATACAGGCTGTGCATGATAACCAAGTTCTGGTGGTCATTGGTGAGACTGGGTCTGGTAAGACGACACAGATGACTCAGTATCTTGCCGAATCAGGTTACACCACAAAAGGAAAGATTGGGTGTACTCAGCCTCGTAGGGTCGCCGCGATGTCTGTTGCCAAGAGAGTAGCTGAGGAGTTTGGTTGTCGTTTGGGAGAGGAGGTAGGGTATGCGATTCGGTTTGAGGATTGTACTGGACCAGAACGGTGATCAAGTACATGACTGATGGTATGCTTCTTAGGGAGATTCTGACTGATGAAAACCTCTCTCAATACTCTGTTATCATGCTTGATGAAGCTCACGAGCGGACAATTCACACTGATGTGCTGTTTGGTCTTCTGAAGAAGCTGTTGAAACGCAGGCTTGACCTTCGTTTGATAGTCACGTCTGCCACATTGGATGCAGAGAAGTTCTCTGGGTATTTCTTCAACTGCAACATTTTCACAATCCCTGGAAGAACCTTCCCTGTTGAGAAACTCTACACCAAACAGCCAGAAACCGATTACTTGGATGCAGCTCTCATCACAGTTCTTCAGATCCACTTGACTGAACCAGAGGGTGACATTCTTGTGTTTTTGACGGGACAGGAAGAAATCGATTCCTGCTTGCCAGTCTCTGTACGAGAGAATGAAGAATCTAGGTAAAAACGTTCCTGAACTCATCATTCTTCCTGTTTACAGTGCCCTTCCTAGTGAAATGCAGTCTAGAATCTTCGATCCTGCTCCTCCTGGTACACGGAAAGTGGTTGTGGCTACAAACATTGCAGAAGCTTCTTTGACGATAGATGGGATTTATTATGTTGTTGATCCCGGGTTTGCGAAGCAGAACGTGTATAACCCAAAGCAAGGGCTAGAGTCGCTAGTCATAACTCCAATCTCACAGGCGTCGGCGGAGCAGAGAGCTGGACGTGCTGGTCGTACTGGTCCTGGTAAATGTTACCGTCTCTACACTGAGAGCGCATTCCGTAACGAGATGCCTCCTACATCAATCCCTGAAATCCAGAGGATTAATCTCGGAATGACAACGCTGACCATGAAAGCAATGGGGATCAACGACCTGTTATCGTTTGACTTCATGGATCCACCGCAGCCGCAAGCTTTGATCTCTGCTATGGAACAGCTGTACAGCCTGGGAGCGTTGGATGAGGAAGGATTGTTGACAAAGCTAGGTAGGAAAATGGCGGAGTTTCCTCTTGAACCGCCGCTCTCTAAAATGTTGCTGGCTAGTGTGGATCTCGGGTGCAGCGATGAGATATTGACGATGATTGCGATGATCCAAACGGGCAACATATTCTACAGACCGAGGGAGAAGCAAGCTCAAGCAGACCAAAAGAGGGCCAAGTTTTTCCAGCCTGAAGGTGACCACTTGACATTGCTAGCTGTATATGAAGCTTGGAAGGCTAAGAACTTCTCAGGTCCGTGGTGTTTCGAGAACTTCATACAGTCACGATCTCTACGGCGTGCTCAAGACGTGAGGAAACAACTTGTCAGCATTATGGACAAGTATAAGCTAGATGTGGTGAGTGCTGGGAAGAATTTCACCAAGATAAGGAAAGCAATCACAGCAGGATTCTTCTTCCACGGAGCAAGGAAAGATCCACAGGAAGGTTACAGGACGCTGGTGGAGAATCAAGCGGTTTACATACATCCGAGCAGTGCTCTGTTTTCAAAGGCAGCCCGACTGGGTGATCTATCACGATCTTCTGATGACGACCAAAGAGTATATGAGGGAAGTGACTGTGATTGACCCAAAGTGGCTTGTTGAGCTAGCTCCAAGGTTCTTCAAAGTCTCTGATCCAACCAAAGATGAGTAAGCGTAAGCGCCAAGAACGCATTGAGCCTCTGTATGATCGTTATAACGAGCCTAACTCATGGCGTCTCAGCAAAAGACGTGCTTGAGATAGTGTAACAATTATTCTTTCTTTTGTTTATCATGTAAACTCATCAAGTGTAACAATTCTTTATGTAACAATTCTTTATGTAATAAGTGCTATTAAAAAAAACTAACATAGATAATTGATTGCAGCTGCTTCATCTATTTTCTTTTTGACATGTATGTGAGTTTTGAAGACTTCATATTCCTCGACCTACTACAAGTCGTCTTCTTTGATACTTTATATTTCTTCCATTCAACTCAGAACCTCAAACATTTTGAATCCGAAACGGGAAAACAAACTATGTTACAGTCTATTCATCTTCGTTTTTCCTCCTCTCCATCACCTTGGAGAAGAGAATCTCCGATTCCATCGATTATTTGCTCATTTCCTTTCTCCTCTCGTTCGTTCCGTCCAAAACAAACCCAGAAGTCGAAGCGCCTGGTTCAATTTTGCGCCCCTTACGAGGTTGGAGGTGGATATTCCGATGAAGAGCTGTTTGAAAGATACGGAACCCATCAGAGTAAAACCAATGTCGATGATAAATTAAGTGAATCTCAGTACGAGGCTCTCCTTAAAGGAGGCGAACAAGTGACCTCCGTTCTTGAAGAAATGATAACTCTCGTAAGCACTTCTACGTTTTCATTGAGTTAGGATTCATCTGCGCTTGTTTTTGTGTCATTTTCTAAGCTTGGCATTTCGTCGAACAACTTGAAGGCGTTAGGCTTAGCATTTTTCTAGTGATATTATCTTCATTTTTTGTTAGATGGCTTTATGATACATAGAATTGCTACTCGTTGTTGGTTCTGTAATGGCTTGACATGTGTAAATGCCTCTTATGTGTAGTTGCAAGATATGAAGATGAATGAAGCATCCGAGAATGTTGCTGTAGAATTGGCGGCACAAGGAGTTATAGGGAAAAGGGTTGATGAAATGGAGTCTGGGTTTATGATGGCTCTCGATTACATGATCCAACTCGCCGATAAAGACCAAGACGAAAAGGTAACCCATTCTGCATTTCCCTTTGAATATACACAAAGATCTCGTTGCAAGTAGAGAAAACATAACCAGAAGCGACCTGAGGTTGCTTTGCAATGTAATATAGCAATCCCTTACTTGCCTATTTCAATGGAATTTGATAATGTTTTTACCTATGCCTTTATTCTGTTAGTTCTATGACATAACCTGGGGAAAAAGATGAACGAACTTAATTTTAACTTGATTTCAGAGGAAATCCTTGCTAGAGGTTGTCAAGGAGACCGTCTTATCCCATCTCACTAAAAAGTGCCCTCCCCATGTGCGTATACATTTAAATCAAGTTTCTTCTTGCTTTCAACACTCATCACTAGCTTCATTCATATCTTAAATTTGAAGTGTTGCTGTTTATATAGGTCCAGGTGATTGGTTTACTCTGTAGAACCCCTAAAAAGGAAAGTAGACAAGAGCTGCTGCGTAGAGTAGCCGCAGGTGGTGGGTCTTTTGAAAGTAAGGACGGTACTAAACTTCATCTTCCCGGAGCAAATCTGAACGACATAGCTAATCAAGCCGATGACTTGCTAGAGGTACTGTGTTTTGGTTTGGTTGTACATATTTAATTCGAGATACTGTACCATGTCTGAGAATGTGAACAAGTCTTGAGAAAATTCTGGCAGACTATGGAAACAAGGCCAACTGTTCCGGATCGAAAGTTATTAGCGAGGCTTGTTTTGATCAGAGAGGAAGCGCGGAACATGATGGGAGGAGGTATACTTGATGAGAGAAATGACCGAGGTTTCTCTACTCTGCCTGAATCAGAGGTTTCTGAGACGAAAACTATTCTGTCTATTATGCTGTGTGTTTATGAACATAAGTTTAAACACTAGATTACAATGACTTGTTGCTGCATGATCATTGAACAGGTGAATTTCTTAACCAAACTGGTAGCTCTCAAACCTGGAACGACTGTGCAGCAAATGATTCTGAATGTAATGCAAGGCAAAGATGAAGGTTCAGATGATCTTTACAGTGAAGAGGATTCTTCTACCCAAGGAAAAAGACAAAGCGGATTAAATGGAAGGGTAAGTATGAGTAACGAACACACTTTCTGTTGAAAAAGAAGTGTATTTTACTAGGCACTGAACTAAAGCAAGTCCTTTTTTTTTCTTACTTGGCCTACTCGATGCAATCCAGGGAAGCGTTACAGGAAGAAAACCGTTACCAGTAAGGCCAGGAATGTTTCTAGAGACTGTCACGAAGGTATGTTTCAACATTACTCAAATCATTTTGGTGATATGAGAAGAATATTGACCGTTTTGGTGTGATGTTGAAATCCAATCTTGATAGGTAATGGGAAGTATATATAAGGGTAATGCCTCCGGTATCACGGCACAACATCTAGAATGGGTTAGTTGCTTCAGAACATCAAACATGTGCAGACAAAGTTCACATTTCTTTGCGTTCATCAGAGCTTTTTTATTTTCATTTGTGTACAGGTTCACCAGAAGACCCTCCAGGTTCTTGAAGAAATCGCATATTAGTATCTTTCCTTGTTACAAGCAAGGAAAGATTTTGCAGGTAGAGAGAGACTGTCTCCTTAAATGTTGTTCAGTATATAATTGTAATTTCGTTGGTTGATATAAAAAATATTAGGAAGCTAAAGTATCAGATCCAATCAAACTCAGACTTTATTTGTTAAATTTGAAGTTGAAATTCTGTTAGATATATTTAAAGAAAAAGGAATATCAGATACAGATATTAGGCTGGAATCTTTATCCCATTTGGAACGGATGGGGAAAAATTGTAACATGTCCTATGTACCATTCAGTTGGATAAGGATAACAAACTAACAATTTGATTCCAAATGTACAAATGGCACAACATTAACTTTTGGTGGTTTATCATTTTTAAAAAAGCTTAAAAAATTTAATTTAACACTCCTTTATCACACGGTTTAACAGAAGAGACACGCGGACGAGACACTAGCCGTATAGTCTAGGGTAGGAAACGATAGTAAATGAAAGGGAAGAGTAGGGGCAAAGCTTCGTAAATAAGACGAAAAGTAAGGGTAATCCCCGGACGTGAAGGCAATTATTATATCCGTTTAGAATCCTCGTCAGGTTACAACGAAACGATTCCGCTTCTCCGCTTCCTAATAAATATCTCACCCAGGGTCTCCAGATTGTTCCTCGCACACTCACACCATTTCCATTTCTCGTCTTCCGAGCGAATCTTTTTTCTCTGCTCTTTCTCTTCCAATCAGCTCTACTTTTTCTCCTCTCTGCAACGATGACTCAGGAAGAGGTTACCAATGGCGCTACCGTGGAGAAGACCTTTACCGTCTCGGCGTTCAAGACCCAGCTGATAGTGGAGGCGCAGAAAGTCGGCGAGGCCGTGACGTTCTACAAGTCCGTCTTCGGTGCTGTGGAGACCGGCCATTCTCTCTACCCTAAGCGTAAGGCTGACCAAGAGCTCCCTCACGTTCTCTCTGCTGAGCTTAAGCTCGCCGGCTCTACCTTCGTTGTCTCCGACGTCACTGCTCACTCTGGTTCTAAGTAAGCTCTTCCCTCTCTCTCTCTCTTTCCCTCCATATATGGCGTCTAGATCTCCATGTTTGTGAAGTTTTTTTAGGTTTTACATGTGTAGCGTTGGATTTAGTTTTAGATCTGGATTTTTAGCTTGTTCTATGAGAATCTGCGAGTAGAGCATGTTTAGAAGCCGTTTTGCTAGGATTATTATGCTTCTGTGAACACTAGTTTGTGGATTTTGGGGTACTCTTTCCGGTCTAGATTTGACTTGTTTTGTGACGTTGATGATGAGCAGTGCGAAGGTTGAAGGTTCTAACATGGCGTTCATCCTCGAAACCGATGACGTTGAAGCTGCCGTTGCGAAAGCCGTAGCCGCCGGAGCCGTCGGAAGCATGACAGTCGGTGAGGTCTCGGAGGGTGAAACTGAAGGAGGAGCCAAAGGAAAAGTTACGGATCCCTTCGGCGTGACCTGGGTTTTCACCTTCCCGGAGAAGAAGACCGACGAGAACAAGGAGAACAAAGAGGTCTAACTGTCGTCGGATCTGATTTTTCGTCGGTTTCTGAACAACAAAAAAAACTTGGATTATCCCTATTTTCGTTTATGCTTTTTTAATTTTGTCTTTTGTGGGAATTCGGTTACCAGTAAATCGGATCGTTTAGCTAATGACTTGTTGAGTCTATTTTCACCCTTTTGAGAAATACTTTAGTGAAAATTAATATCTCGGATAATATTATTATGTTTTGGTGATTTCACTCTCTCTTTAAGTTTTTTCTATAATCGTACTATGGTTAATGGTTCTCGTATTTGTAGGTCTGCTTTCTTTGTCATTTTGTTGGTTTCGTTTTAGAATATGATATGATTATGGTCCATTTGAAATTGAAATAAATGGTTAGGGAAGAAGGTATTTAAGGAATAAGGGAAGAATTTCATGATAATATTAAATATTGAGCTTGATCTTCGTTTAGTGTCAGTGTGGTTGAATACTGTGTCGGGGGTAGTGAAACCATGAGCCTCTCTACTGTTTTCGCTTTTCTGTTGTGGTATCGCTTATTGGTTCTATTTTCGAAATTGCCATTCATGTGGTCCCGTCTAACACAATCCTTGTATGAGGTTTGGGACTTGTGAAGTTTTTATTGGCCCATTTATCTTTTGACCACCTTCTTTTGGTTTTACCCGTAAACGCCATATGGTAGAAAAATACGGTTATACGGTCCTTATACCAATGCAAAAAGATTCATCATTATTATTACACTTGAGAAAACAGTACACACGTACGGAAAGCGTTAACAAGTTGGGCCGTTGCGTCGGCTTTTGTTGATAATTATTGATAAATGAAACAAAGCGAAACAAGAGACAAACGATTCAAAAGAGTTAACAAGTTGGGGCGTTGGCTACACCGCATTTGGTAGGGAGTCCAAGAGCGAGATCGGGATCAACACCCAAAGTACCGAGCCAAGGAGAGTGCTTGTAGCCACATAGACAGTTGAAGTCAGCGTGTTCAAGAGCGTTGCAGCAAAGCTTTGATGGGTTGGTCGGACTGTCTTTGGTCACCGCTGGCTTGCACTCGTCCATATCTGTCTGGGTCATGCCACAGAGGTCGATCGCATCCACTGACCTCTCGGCTACAATAGCCATCGCCACTACCATCACCACCATCAGAGCTGCCTTCTTGCTCACCATTGTATCCTCTTCTCTCTATTTTTCTTTATGAATAAATTTGTTGTGTTTGTGGTGTGTCAAAGTGAATGTGCATGAGAAGTGTATATATATCAAGTCTTGGAGACACCCGTGAACCAAATAGGATTATTCCATGAGTCACGGGTTTGGAATATTTTCATTCAGTTTTGGAGGGGTATGGGTAAATAATAAATACTCATGTACTACCACTCTACTGTAGTTGCCACTATTGTTTTAATACATCAAATTATCCGTTACACAAATTCCAGCCCAGAAAATATTTTACAACAAGTGGAAGAGGAAAAATCCACTGTACTAACTTACACATTGTCTAATTTTTATAAATTTTGTTATTCTTGAAAATATTGGTTAAGAAAACACTAACATAGTGGGCCTGATATGAGCCCAAGTAGAAGTTGTGTTTTCATGGCTAGCTCAAACCCTGGTGGGTTGTGGCCTTTTAGGGATTTCAGAACAGCCACATTAGCTACTAGCCTACTACTGTTGACCAAGAGTAAAACAGTTAGCTGTAATTTAAATATCTTTTTTGGTTGTCAACAGCAATTAGCTGTTTTTAAACTTTAAACCACAAAACAAATGAGAACATCAGTTACTCAGTTAGTAATGAATAGGACAAAATATTGAAGGAAGAAAGAGGATATATCATGTTTTTGGTCTCTCCTCGGTCTTTACCCATCGACTCCATACCTTTGAAATAAAAGCAGCTGCGTAAAAAGTTTACTGCACATTTCAGACTTACTCACAAATGTTAAAGCAAACATAAAAAACAAGAATAAAGAAGTTGAAAACGAAGAGGAAAATAGCCTTTGACCAGTGTCCTTCAAGGCGCGTGTAGTCGTTTAGCCTTTCCCTTCATTCTCTGAGCTGACATGAGCGCAGAATCCAGCGATCTCTATATTGTCGATTTCCTTTTTCTCTTCTATTCTTACATATAAATATATAATACTATTCCTTTGGAAAAAGATTCATTCAGTCCTAATAGTCATATTCGTGGCACAGGCTGTTGTCATGACGATTCTTTGGTCTACGTTCTTTTCTTCAATCGTTTGTAGTGGTTTCAACTTTCAATATATGTACTTATCAATAATAGATGATTTTTTTCTTTTATCGCTATATCATCTTTCGCAAATTTTGTTGGTTCTTTAGAGCAATGAATGTCGGTGAAATGAACATGAACTCAAATCTAATACAGCAGCGACCTCTAGTGTGACGTCAGCCACACAAATATCGCGCATGCAGATAACTGTTTCGCTTAATTTAATTTACGAGCAATAAATTTTTGTAACGTTATGAAAAGCAAATTATTCCTATGCCAATTAATGTCAAAAAGAGTAAACGACAGACAACAAATGACCAAAATTTATCAAAGAAGGCAAATGACCAATTTTAGAACTATACGAGCTAATTGAAGAAAAGAGAAAAAGGATGAGTTACAGATACATATCTATCCGATTTTTCTCATAGCCACAAGTTTTCTTAAGACTTTGTTTTCCCATAGATTTCTTCATATATGTTTTATGTTTTTAGTGAATTTTTGTGATAACTGATAAATATTTTTGATGTTTTATAGGTTAAGATCTTATGTTATCATGTGATTATAAATGTCACATGTTTATTTTTCGTTTATACATTTTATTTTTACAATATGTTCGTTATTAAGTATTATAGTCTGATAGACTACTATACATAGATTTATGTTGCATAGAGAGGCACAATAGTATGTGTTGACCACAAGGTCCACAACTAAAAGCTTGTGACGTCTAGAACCTAACAGGACAACACTTTCGAGATGTAGCATTGCTCGCTGTAAAGAATAACGTATCTAAATTGAATGCTTCTCCATGTTATACGATGTGTGGTTAGTTCTGGTGCCTTAAAACTTTCGAGATAAGAATAAGAATTTTGAAAAAAATGTTAAGTTTAAATTCTGTTTTCCATCGTTAGTGTTAAAAGGTTTGAGAAACTGATTCACATACTCAACGTAGGCAAAACGACTTGCCACACGAGACCAACTCAGTAAGTTGTCACAATTAGTACCAAACAAAAATAACTAAGTTGTAAATTATTTTTTGTATTCCAGTCTCATAATAAATGTCTATTTTGTTTTACAAACATGTTTCATGTTTAAAGCAGTGGATGATGATGTAAAAAGGTTAAGAGTTGGTAAGTAAGGAGGAAAAAACAGATTTTTACTGCAAAAGAACACAAAACCGGTGGATTAATGAAAGAATCATAGAAAGGACTAATGATTGAAATGTCAAAAGTCGAGAGTAGAGTAGGCCAAGCAAAATAAACAACAGGCTAACGATCGATCCAATCTTTTAACTACATGTAATGGGTTTTCATAAGCATTGTTTGCTCTGAAGACGATTGCTCATCACTTTTTAATTACAGATTTTAATGGTTAAAGTTCTCATTTTTCAAATAATTTTCGATGGTGACTTTGACTAATAATAGCAGATAGAAACTTGGGTGAAAAACTTCAAATCTGTTGTAGTAAAAATTAGCTAATAACTTTTCAATCTAGCAAAAGGTCATTAATAAATTCTAAAAGAATCAGTATCCATTTTTTTCATGAATTTATACCAGAATCTATCATAACCCAAAACTTTATTACATCAATGAAAAGCCATTCTGTTGATGTATGTGGTTAACTGCTTTCTCAATTTAAAAGGCTGCAATGAGCAGTGGCAATTTAATTATGCTGGTATGAACAGTTTCAGTAATTTTGACTTAACCCCACCTGTCCTCTGTCAAATAAAAACTTCTGAGAAAGTATTTAAAAATTATAGACCTATATTTAATGTAAAGATGGAATTTTATAAGGGAAAAGGGTGAGAAATTGACAAAAGATAATAAATGGGATAGCTTGGAATCGTGGCAATGTTGGTTGCACACTGCACAGAGCACAAAGTTTCATAACAGAGGTAATGTTGCATGTGGCCCCTTCTTCCTAAAGCTCCTTTATTAACTCTTTTGTCTCCAAATTTTTCATAGAAAAATTCATTTATTCAAATTGGATACTCCGATAAAAGATCATTAATGTTCTCTGCTCCACATAAGATGTAGTATTTCAGGAAACAGTAATATTAGTAAAATTAAATTAAGAAAAAGGAACGTAATGCATAAGTCAGCTTTAGAGGCAAGGCCATACAAACTTGGTCAGTCAGTCTGGTAAATTTGCTTATTTTATTACAAAGTTACCGTAAGTCTTTTTCCTTTGTCAACCATGGAAATATATATTTGTTTTAATTCTTCTTTTTAACCTCATGTAAAAACAAAGTCTAAAGCCAAACAAAGCTAATAATAAAAGGATAAAAAATCAAAGTAAAGACAGACTAAAGAACAGTATAATTTTTTGTTAAAAAGTAAAAAAGGAAGAAGAAGAGTAGCTGAGCCAACTTTATTTCTTATTTCACTTACCCAACTGGAATTTTTTTTAAAGCACACAGTCTCTCTCTCTGCTCAGACACACACAGAGTCTCTCTACTCTCTCTAACCTATAGTCCACTCTCCTACAAGTAGACTTTAAGACAACATTTGTCTCAGTGTTTGAGTAACGTAAAAAAACCCATCTGGTCATTTATTAAAAGCCAATCTCTTTCTCTCACTCACTCTCTCTATTTAGATTTTACTCAGAGCAGGGAGATCCAACATCATCACCAAACCCATTCACTCACCACTACCAGCCATGGATTACGTAAGCTCCCTTCTCTTTCTTCTTCTCCATCATCTTTTTCTTCCTTTTGGGTATACAAAGTTTCTAACTTTATTTTTCAATCAGGAATACGGAGGAGGAGAGTACTGCAGGAGAGGACACGTGCCGGCGTTTGGGAGCTGGGACTGGAACGACGCAGTTCCATTCACTCAGTGCTTCGAGACAGCAACCACTCAGCAGCCAGCGTTCCTCCACTACGCTCCTTACCCTCAAGATCGCGATCTTTACCTCGCCGGCGATCTCTACGACAACCACCACCTTGTCGCTCCCGCCGTGATCCTTCTCCCTCGACGCCGGGTACTTTTTGAATCCTTCCCAAGTTTAAAATCTTTTGTCCGGATAGATCGACGCCGTGATTTATATGTACCGCCGGAAAAATGTTTTCCAGGCTAAGGTGGGACAGGAGCCGAAGAGAGCCAGCTCCAAGGAGCAACAGAAGTACAAGACGGAGGCGCGTGAGTCTAACTCGCCGACGAACTGTCCTACTCCGGTGGTGAAGCGGAGGAAGATGGCGCCGAAACCTGTGGATGAAGACTTGTACAAAGTGTCCCCTCAACTTCTCTCCGTCAAGTCCCAAAAGGTAATTTTTTTTTTTTATCTATGTTTAAATTATCCTTAAAATTCGATTTCAGTGCTATTTAAAAGTTTAAAGATTGATTTGGGAAAATGTTAAATGAAATGAATGCAGAAAAGAGGAGGTGGGTTTGGGTGCATTTCAAGGTGTTTTTTGCCAACACGGGTGCTTTGAAGCAACAAGCGTGAGAGTTTGAGTCAGACGATGCACTTTGTGTCTTCTAAAATTATTATTACTATATGCTTTTGATTTTATGTATGTATTTATGCGTAGGAGAAAAGGAGATGAATTCTAAAATGATAAGCTATAATATGTAGTTTTTTGGAAATGCGAGCCATATTGTATTTCGTAAAACTAAAAAAGAAATATGAGACTTGTTTTGCAAACTTCTTTATATTTTTCTAAGCGTGTCTAAATTTGTAAATACTAGTAATGCCGTTGGTAGTGTTACTGTTGGATTTGGTGAGATTAGAGATGGGAAAGGAGTTAAATCTAAGTAGGGGAATGTTGTTGAACAGTTGCTTCTTCATCTACAGAAAGTTTGACTTGTGGCAGAGCTATCTCCCTTTTTTTTCTTTTTGAGATTTGAAAAAGAGTAGGAGCTGCCTGCTAAGAGTTAGTGAAAATTAGATACATTGATCTTTGTGGGGAATTTGGCAGAAAAAGTTGATGGATTTTTGTGGAATATTAATGGTAGATTCAGATGGTATCTTAAATTTAGCTGAATATGATGAAATTAGTTAATGGAATTTTTGAAAGCGATCTAGTCATCTAGCCAACAATTAAAATATACTCCAATCCAATGTTTACTAATCCTTAGGTTTTCGTATATGGAGTACTAAATAAGACCATGAATTATCACTTTTAACATTAATCAGCTACCTTATGTGCAAACAAAAGTATAAGTTTTTTTTTTAAATAGTCAAATTATAGCAATTAAGCTGTGCATATATATAAATGGTTCGGGTATGGTAGATCGTTTGCTCTTTAGTTCCACATCATAGACAAATTGTGTTGCAATGGATTATTCTATCCTTAAAACTTTAATCTCAATGCCATATATCATGATGCTATCTACCATATGAAATCAATTAACTTTGTGTATCGTTTTTTTTTTGTTCAAATTATTTTCCCCGAGTTGTTGTAGTTTGGACTTTGGAGTACCTTTTAGGTTAACAATTATATACAACTCTCTGCGAATGTTACTGGTAAATGTTAATGATTGTTGAACTACACGTTAATGATTTTCTTTTGTTCAATAATTTTTTGATAGTAGTTTTGATTTCCATCAAACATGTTTTCATTAAAACCGAATATACGAAATTACTTGAATATCAAATTAATGTCTACCGTATATACTATTTTTTAACACATAGCAACGTTGTCGAAATCTCCTCCATCTCTTTTCACTTTCCACTGTATACTGATGCCTGATGGTAGTTTTTTGGGACTTCATGGACTGGATGGATCTTGTAGAATATATGCTTGCATTGCCATAATTTCATTCATTTTCTTGGAGAGAAATATCCACTTTGTTTTTTGTTTTATAGCTAAAAATCATTATTTTTTCCTTTGCATTTTTATCCTGATTTGTTTAAATAAATTTTCTATAGTACGCCTTTCATGAAAGCAGTCGCATCATTTTTTAGGAAACATTGAGTTTCAAACGTTGACAAAAATAATTGAGTTTGTAGTATAAACAAAAGGACTTGATATAACGTTAAAGTATCACATGAATGTTGGGCGTGACTCCAAGGGAATTATGACAAACCTTGTCTGTCTTCTTAATTTACAAGTATTAAAATCCAGGTTATAGAAACAGCCTATAAATTTCCAAATCAAAATTTATTGTCTTTTTACTATCTTTTGGAAAAACAAAAGAAAAGAAACCACACGTTCAAATAAAGGCAAAGTGGGTGTTAAGAAAAAGAAAAAAAGAGAGATAAAAGTGGTGGAATTATGGCAATCAAATGTCATTAAAGAAAAGACCCACGCTTTAAAATTAGGGAAAGATAAGGCGTTAAACGTAGCATTCTAAAGTCTATCTAAAGCACTAGTTAAAGACACCATGCCAATAGATTGAGATTAAATTAGCTTAGTACTTACAATGGAGACATTTAACTATTTAAAGGGTAAATGGCCGACACAAAAAGGGGTAAAAATGATTGTACTTGTACAATCAGGGAAACAAGATGGGTTGAATTAGACGTTCTTATAGCAGTAAATAACAACAATAAAACATTTTTTTATATAAAAGAACTATAGAACATGAATAATTGTGAATGATTTCATGGAGGATTCCACAGTAGAAATTTCGCTAGTAATATTTTGCATCACGTTTATGATGAACAAAGTGACCCTTCGATCATCAATTTCTAGAGGCCCCGACTATTTTTTTTCCTTGCAACTAATATGCATATTTTTGGCATAATTACAAATATAAGCAATCATAATTTCGTATTAACGATGAGAGATTATTAATTAACGATAGTTTACTCATGTGAAAAGAGATGACACAATTAATATTTTATTTTTTTATCTTCAGATAACTTTGAAATTGAGTGAAAGAGGCAACCACCGTGAAAAGAGATGACACAATGAATTTCAATTTTCAAATTTCATTACGAGGCATCGTATCCTCGGCGCTGAAATTAAAAAGTGCGATCTGACCGGCGGAACAAAGAAATCGGAGATGAGTGGCGCGAGACTGTGCTCTCTAGTGGCGGAGCTAGGTTACGAAGGCGCCGGAAAGTTGGACCCCGACAGCTTCGAATGGCCGTTCCAGTACGACGATGCCCGCCCTATCCTCGACTGGATCTGTTCCTCTCTTCGTACCTCCAATGTCCTCTCACTCGCCGAACTCTCCCTGTGTGTTTTCTTTTCCACTCTCATTCTCGATTCACATTCTTTCTCCTTCGACAGCTCGAATAGTTCACTTCTCAATGTTGTTTTTTTCCTGATTCGGTTGGATTTGTGTTTATATGCAAGTTAGATTAGCTCGAATTGATGCAATTAGTTTAAGCCTTGTGGTTATACTCTCCATTATCGTTGCAAGCTAGTTTATTTTCTCATTGATCAATGCATTTCTGGATTCTAGCTAGCTTTGGGAATTTGAATCAGATATAGTTCCTCTGCATTTTATGTCCCTTCGCTATCTGGCATGTACTCATTTAGCTTCATATCGGATTCCACATCTTTTCCAGACGCAGTCATGTATTAAAGATTCAATTGTATATGCCCTGAAGAATTTTGTGGATTGAAATTTTGCATCCTAGCTATCCTTTTTGATGTACTTTGGTGATGATCACTGCAAGATGCTTCTCCTATGTAGTTTGTTCATATATCAGTGGTTAATGGTTGGTTGCTTGTTTCTGGATCCAGATATGAGCAATTTGAAAGAGAAGGGAAACTCTTAGAGGTAAATCCTTGTAGCATTCTGCTTATGTGTTTTTCTTGGCTTTGATAGTTCATCAAACCTGTATGCGTCCGTCTTAAGATGTTATTTCCTTAACTTCTTATGGTGCATTTTTTTTTTCCATGGACTCAGGGCGAGGATCTAGACCAGGCCTATGATAGCATATCAGCATTTTCTTCCAGGAGAAATAACCAGGAGGCAGTATTTGGAGCAGAAGAAAGCATAAAAGAAGTAAGGTTAGACCTTCATATCACACGATATTCTGTTCTTTCTGTTTCATGATTAAAGAGACATTTGTTCCAAGGTTTTAGTTTCACGTCACTTGGAACAAGTACATCTGTCAAGGTTTCTTAGTGCATGAGATATCCTTAGGTGATCAGAACTACCGTGTGTACACTGAGTTTTATTGACCTATGGTGCACTATTAGATAAATTATTTTCCTTCTGAGAAGTGGGGTAATTTTGTTGAGAACTTTAGTTTCATGTCACTTATCTCCTTAGGTCATCAGGCTTCTACATGAGTGCTATAGGTTTCTCTGTCCTTGTGGTGTTTTATATAAATGGATTTTGTTATTCCCTTTGAGAACTTTCGGGGGACATTGTTTCACTCATTTGGATTTTCAAGGATGACTACAATTCTGGTTCTTATTGTGTGAGATCTCATCAGAGATGTTAATAAGTGCACTAAATATAGCTGACCAAGTCTTGTATACCAATCATTAAATCAGCGGTGCTGATAGTTTCTTCTTAATCGACAGAGATGCAACTTTGGCGCATAAGGCTGAAGCCTTGGAGCTGCAGAAGCAACTAAGGCGGTTACAGACTCAATATGATTTACTCACTGGCCAATCTTCAGCTCTGATTCAGGGGAGACGTGCTCGAGTTGCTGCAACTTCTGCTGTCACTGGACAGATAACAGCTATAGAAGACAGCTTATCTGCTAGAAATTTGCAGGTTTGACACATGGCCTCACACAATTGTAAAGTGAATGTCCAATTCTTTTGGTCTTTGATAAGTTTTTGATGTTTCCTTTTGGTATTTTCCTGTGATTTAGATGAACGGAGTTCTGGGAAGACTGGCTTCCACTTCTCAAGAGCTGGCGCATTATCATTCTGGTGAAGGTGTCCTTCATATCCCTTCTCTATCTTTTGGTTTGGCTTTTCCATATCTGGTTCATTACTGAAAATCTGCTTTAAAGATAAATTTTGTAATTGGTATGAGTGCAGTATACTTTTAAACTAGCATCATTTGAGTGTGGAACTTTAAGATAGTTCTGAGTTAGTTAGTTTGGAAGATTGGGTTTCTATTTGTTGCTCATTTATTGAATTTTTCTATTAGTTATCTGTGTTAAGAGTTTCAAGGAGACAGAAAGTTGTAATTTCTGTAGACATTTCTACTGGTTGATAGTTGAAGAAATGGGTTTTGACAGTTATGTCCGCAAAACAGTTTTCGAACTGATTGTTTTCATGGAATATGTATAATAATAAATTGTCACCAACTCTTTTAGCCAACTTATTTGGCTTTTTTCATATGTGCAGAGGATGGAATCTACTTAGCATACTCTGATTTTCATGCCTACTTGGCTGGTGATTCAGCCTGCACAAAGGAGCTAAATCAGTGGTTTGCTAAGCAGCTAGACACAGTAAGTGGGTGGCATTAGTGGTGAATACATTGCTAATAATTTCAATTTCTCTTCATCATATAGATTAGTCAAGCTAGTCGAGATCTTAACCTTAGTACATAGTGAGAAATGCTATAACTGGACGATTTCTGAGAATGGAGAAAGTATCAACTGTTTTACATCTTGCACCTATTTATGTACACTGGTTGATGTGATTGATCTGCTTTCATTTCAGGGGCCATATCGTTTAGTTGCAGAGGAAGGAAAATCGAAATGCTCATGGGTTAGTCTTGATGATACATCAAACATGTTGCGAGGTGAATTTCCTTCAATGTGGTTTTTGTTTTCAGATATACTTCGAAGCTATTGCGCATTTAAAACTTATGTTTACAATGCAGCAGATTTGGAAAAGTCACAGCATGAGCGTGTATCTGAACTGCAACGGCTTCGATCTATGTATGTATTCTGTGGTACTCTGGCACTGGCAGTATAATTGTCAGCTTTCACTTTGATCGTTACACTGGATTTGGCCAGACTTTAGAAATACTGGAGACCTCTTATCGTATAGAAAATTTTGGAATTTTCACGCATACAAGTTGTCTCACTCTCCAAGGCATTTTCCTGTTATCTACAGCTTTGGAACAAGTGAGAGACAATGGATTGAAGCCCAAGTCGAGAATGCTAAGCAACAGGCTATTCTCTTGACACTCAAATCTCAAGTAACTTCACTTGAAGCTCATATTCATTTTGATCTGCATTCTCTAAGGTAGAAAAGCATGAAATATTGAAGCAAGATATTGGCAAAATCATCGTTTAGTCTTTAAATCGTCCTACGGTATTCCAGTGATCATATTCTTACCTGTGCAGGAGAAAACATGCAGATCTAGTAGAAGAAATCTCAACCCTTTATCAGAAAGAAGAAAAACTCTTATCTGAGGTTTGTTCATGTACTCAATTCTTGACATTTCAAGTTTTCTAAACTTTAAGAATAGGCCCTTCTTTGAGTAACTACATATTTGATTAACCTCTTCTTCTTTTTAGACTATTCCGGAACTATGTTGGGAGCTCGCTCAACTCCAGGACACCTATATCTTGCAAGGTATTCAGCATTTACTCTTTGCTCTTTACCTACATCGTTTGGATAATTTGAGCTTTCATATGTTTTACTCATCATAACCTTGTAGGTGACTACGATCTAAAGGTCATGCGTCAAGAATTGTATATAAGTAAACAAAAAGTGGTATGTTGGGCTTAAGTTTTTTTTTTAAATTATTTTTATTACATTTTTCAAGATATATGATGGCCACAAGACTGCGTGTTTTTAAATGTTTGAGATACCAAGATCTACTTGTCATTCTGTTTTGATATTCCGGATATTTTTATTGCAGTTCATCAGTCACCTGGTTAATCAGCTTGCAAGACACCAGTTCTTGAAATTAGCATGTCAGCTAGAAAAGAAAAACATGCTTGGAGCTTTCTCTCTACTAAAAGTGATCGAATCCGAACTCCAGGGTTACCTCTCCGCCACAAGAAGCCGTGTGGTATGGTCATATCAATAGTCACTGTCCATGCTTTCCTGCAACCATCGGATAATGAAACTAATATATCTTAGCACTATATATATACAGGGACGGTGTTTGTCACTGATCCAAGCTGCATCAGATGTGCAAGAACAGGGAGCAGTAGATGACCGTGATAGCTTTTTACATGGAGTTAGAGATCTCTTGAGCATACACTCAAGTAGTCAACACTACCGTTTTACACTATCATTCCATTTTGTCTGATATTTCCCAACCGAATTTACGGTGATGATATTCATCTCTCTTCCTGTTTTAGATGTCCAAGCCGGGTTATCAACCTATGTCTCAGCTCCGGCCATCATTCAGCAGATAGTTTCTCTTCAGTCGGATCTTTCGTCTCTTCAGTCTGACCTCGAGAATTCTCTTCCAGATGACAGAAATAGATGCATTAACGAGCTGTGAGTCACACCGTTCTCCCCAAATCGTCATAAGACAGAAACAAGTATTAACCATGCTCATATATCACTGTTGTCTCTATCCGTTCCTCAGGTGTACCCTTATCCAGAACCTACAACAGCTACTCTTTGCATCTTCAACCACAGCGCAACCCATATTGACACCATGGGTAAAAGAAATCTCAGTTCTCAGTTACTAATTTGAGACCTTATTATAAAACCAAGACATGGAGTTTAACTCGTGTTGTTTGTCCCGTGTAACATTAGCCGCTGATGAAAGAACTTGATGAAATGGGGAAAGTCAACTCCAAACTCTCTGCAGCAGTAGAAGAAGTAACCCTTGAGCACCGCGAGAAACGGGAGGTGAGTCTTAATCTATTCATATATATATATATATATATATATATGTGTGTGTGTGTGTGTGTCATAGTGAATAAGTGAAATATTTGATCAAACCGAGCTCCTTTTAATATACTACTATTGCTGTAGATCATGAAGCATCACTCAAAGGACGTGGAACTTCAAAGGCGGGTATTCGTGGACTTTTTCTGTAACCCGGAGCGATTGAGAAGCCAAGTGAGGGAACTCAATGCACTCGTTCGTGCTCGTCAAGCCTCATCATAGGTCCCCCACCACAAAGTACATAGCACAAGTGATCTCTCATTGTTTTTTTTGTTCGAGTTTGGCATTTCACTTAAAACTCTATGATTTGTGTACAAAAGGGTTTTTGACTCGGGTCTTTATCTAGTGGTTGATTGCTTCTTCAAAATTGTCTTTTTGTACTAGTTTCTTTTTTGGAGATGTCTTTTGATTTTACCTACTGAAAAGCTTCTCTAGTTTCTTGCTAAGTTTCGTTGTTTCTTGAGCACCCATGAACCCATTTGCTTATTTTGATATTTCACTTGGCTTTTTTGATTCGTTTCAAAGTACTTCCGGTTCAGCCTAGAGTTGTGGCTTTTGATCGTTGCTCAAGCGCAATCAAATGGTTTCTAGAATCTCGATTTGGTTATCAAGTCCGAGCTCTATTTCACGTCTGTACAACTCATGAACAATATTTAAGAATTTCTTCTAAAATGAAAGAAATTATGTTTATCATGAAAGGACTACATAACATAGTACATACATAGATTTGTAGTGTCATTCCATTATTCAGATTTATGATAACAATGGATGTCAAGATTCGTGATCAGATTTCCAAGTGCATTGTGGTCGTCGAAGATCAGATGCCAAGCCGTGTTGTGTCAGAGAAGCTACTACTTCTGAGGATATTGTGTGCGGATTTTGACTCGAGCTTCTCTGCTAGATCTACATTTCCGACACACAAATACCTGAGATCTATGCGATGATCAATTTAATCCCGAGTGTACCTCTCAGCATCAAATGGCGGTCTCTGTGCATTCCAACCCAAGTCTCTAGATTCCGGTGCAGCGTTCACTGGTGCAAAAGCTGGAACATAAGAGAGAGTTTACAAAACACAACTGAGAAACCCTGAAGCAAATAATCTTTAATACGCACAAGATATGTAAAAAACATAGATGAGGTGTATTCAGAATACTCTTCAATGCATATCGGTCTACAGAAATCAGAGACACAAAATGGCAGAGAGATCAACAACTGATATTTATGCTATGCAACTCACGCACACCACCTCTAACGCAGACAGTAAGCAACAAAAGAAATCCATTCTAATTTCATATTCACCTCTCCAGTAGCTGTAAAGACTGGAAATACTATGCATTTTGCACACTTGTGATATATCCCAGCATCAGACTCACATGCAACAAACAGTGATCAATATGCTTAAACCTTGTCACAATTGGAAACTGATACCTCAACTTTGGCTACACACTACTCGCGAGAATTCTAACATATCAAACTACAGAGCAAAATCTTTTCACGCATGAATAAAAGGAAAATCCTGGAATACAAAAAAAAGATACTTGGAGATGTAGACTCACCTTTTTCTCTCATCCTCCTATCTCTGTCATATTCAAATTTGTCCCGGATTTGATTGACTTTCTCCCAGTTATCATCTCCTTGTGTTGTTCTATTAAACCCTTGCTCCTGCTGTCATATTAGATTGTCACACGAATCAAATGCCAAACAATATCCGATTACAAGAAAACAACGACACGAAATGAAATGTAGTCAGTAACATATAAATTCATTACCTTCGTTGGATCATTATAAGGTCGCCTGTTCCTGAAATGACCAGGGAACCAAATCCATCAGTATACAATAAATTTGGCGAATAAGCACTGTATATGCTTATTAGGACATGGTTAAGAGAAACCTGTATGGGTTAAAATCTTCATCGTCTTCTTCAGCAGACTCGTAATTTGCGTGATCTCTTGCGATTTTCTTCGAGTAGCCTTCATCCCAGTAAAGCCTCTCCCAGTTTTCTCTAAGCTCGTTATACAATTCCATGTACCTCTTGCACCATGGCTCGTGCTCCTATCGTTTAACCCGTAGAAAAATTAGAATTCCAATTCGTTTTCATACAATTCGACTAATGATCTGACCAGCAATCGAAAGATACAATTCCAATTCGTTTTCAGAAGCATTTTCAATCGCAAAACGAGTAGGAACATCGCACGATCCTAAAACTGAGAAAGGAATAGTTTCAGACTGACCGATTCCTTAAGGACGAGGCGAGTGCGGCGCATGAACTGCTCACGGAGCTGCTTCCGGCGCCTGTTGGGGATGTTGTCCCTCGGGATGGTGAAACGCTCACGCAGAGGGACGTGATCACCGATCTCGTGCATCTCTCCGTCGACGATCCACCACTCCGACTTCTCTTCCTTCTTTTTGAGCGGCAGAGAAGGGGGCTTGTTCCGCCGTCTCGGCTGACCTGCCTCCGTTCTGAATAACCGGAGGAGGGAAGCACCGTTATGGAGCGACGGCATGGCGGAACCGAGCCGTCTAGCGACGACGAGCATAGCTAATTTTCCGGCAGCTGGTAAGTTGTTACTTGTTAGTGAGAGCCGTCGCGAGTGAAGGAAGCTGATACGACCTATTCGGGATTTTGGGTATATGAAGTACGAAACCGGTATTGGATATACCGGAACTAATTATTCGGTCTGGTTTGGATATACCAAATGAAATAGTACATTATTTCTTTTATTAGAGATTCCTCCACTAGTGATTGATATTTTACGTTTTTACCTAGAGTTGTTTGTTGATCTCTACATTGGTCAACTAACATATGTTCTTATTTATACAATCTTTCTTATAGTCTTCACCTATACTTTTATACAAGTGTTTTCGTAAATTTGACACTCCAAACTTTGCTCATTGTATGTTTCTTTTGGAATACAACAATAATTGGTTGAGACTTGAGATAGGGTAATTTTTTCTTTTCATTATATTTTCTCTTGTGAAAAATCCTGAAACGATATGAATATTGACACAAGTGGAGTACACTTATCGTTATTTTGATGATTTGTACGCATGAGAGGAATCTATAACACAAATAACTTTGCAACTTAATTGTTTACATCTTAAAGAAGTAACACAAGGTAAAAGCTTTATTTATTGTAAACGGTTTTGCACACATGCATACGTGTATACTCTTTGGAATCAAACTTATTGCTGTATTAGCCTTACGGAGAGAGACGAACGGAAGCAATAGTACCAACACTAGGGCCGGTTCTAGACGGATCAAGAGGAAAGTAAAACGGATAAAACTCGTACCGGATATAGCAACTACTATACAAAACACGACATCCTTTCTTGTTGTGGCAAGCCGTCATGAAACTCCCAACAGCTGTTGCAAAGCACTGAGCGCAATCTAACTCGCTCAAGTCCCTTGTGCACTGAACCAAACCGTTTAGTGTCACAAATGGTGTCAGCTTTGTCTTACCTTTACCTAAACCTCGACTCTTAGGCAAAACCGCCTCAGACCTAATTCTGTCAAAGAGTGCTCCGAGCTCATTATCGAACGTCTTGGGGTCGGTTTCGGTTACGTTAGCGACGTTGTAGTATATAAGACCACCGCTCGTGTCGAGCTTCCCGAAGAAGTTCTCTTGGCTGTAACGTAAGAAGCAGAAATCGTACAGGATTCTTGCGTCGGATTGGTTCGGACAGACTTCGCGGATTTTCTTGGCAGCGTCTTGGATGCAGATCGAGCAATCGGTCTTGCCTACGTCTCCTCGGCATTGAGCAAGTCCGTACACTTTGTCTTTGCTGCTGTAGCTTGAGGAAGTTGTGGTCACGAAGCCTTTTGAAGGAGTCTTTGAGACGAGCGTAGCGAGAAGAGAATCAATGTTCTTGAAGATTTGGCTGCTGCTTGAGATGTTTGAATTGTTGTTGCAGAGTTGCCATATTGAATCTGCTGCGCTGCAACTGCATACAAGGGCCAATAGAAGGATACACTTGGCGATTAATGTCTTCATTACTTTTTAGAGAACTAAACTTTATACTTTGGTTTTGAGGTGTATATTGTGAATTATTCACTTGAGAGAGAGTCTTGTTTTATAACGAAGGAGTTGAAGAAACTCAAAACGTTATCTATTCTAGAACGTGACAAGTCTCGGTCAAAACGCACATATATCAGCAAGTGGGAAATTATTGTTGTAAGTAAAAGACGGAGTCGTCTATATAATACAAAAACTTGTGAGCAATCAAATTAGTAAATAAGCGTAGTTTGGTCAACTGACTCTCTCATCACAGACATTGGTGTTTTGCTATTTTTTTTAGTGACGAAATAGATAAGATTTACATAAAAAAAGGGGAAAATTAAGCTGGAAGATTCGAAGATGGCATCACGTGGGGGTCAAAGTGAATGGAGCAGAAATTGTTGACTGTGGATGTTCATCTTATTGCTTGTTAATTTTTCAAACGTCAACGTTAATGCCAAAGTGGCGCAACATCGACCACTTCTCACGTTCAAAAGTCTCCGCGACTAATAAGTAATATCCCCACCATTCAGGGAAGATGGTCCAATATTTCGATTCGGTGTTGAACTTAGGTTGTTCACTTGTTTGGTTTATGTTTTGTTATGATGATAATAAATTTGGTAGTTCACTTGTTTGGTTTATGTTTTTCTTAATTTACTAGATTTGATTTTTCTTTACCACATTTTTTAGTAAGAACAACATATCTTTACTTTTTTCGAATATCTGATTTATCAATCACTCAAAATTATGGTAGGCATAGTACATTAAATTATGCTTTGTTAGTTTTGAGTTCGTGCCCGGAACTGGACAGTAGTAATTATAAGTTTGCTCGCGTTCCAGTGGATTGTGAATGCATTGCTCAATACTATTATAACACTTAAAAAAAAACTTAATCTGTAGGAAGAATGCTGACTGTATTGCAGCGCCAGAAGGTCGTCAAGAAGTGTGCCTAAAAGTTTAAGAGACCTCAAAGTGACTGCAAATATTTGTTTCACGGTTTTGGTATGGTTTGATCTTATCGTTTTTAATCTAATTGGTTTATTCATATCTTCCAGTCTCCAAATTGCTTATCTCATTATCTCATACACTGAAATCTTCAGTCATGTTCCATTCAATCTTGTTTATGGTGGATTGAGAATACTATGAAGCTCATACAAATAAAACATATGGAATAACAAGAAAAACTATTGGATGCCGAATGGTATGAAATTATGGGCCTAGAGAGAATTCAAGAAGAAGTCACATTGATGCCCAACAACCAAATCATTATTGTCATACAAGAAAAGCCATAAAAAACCTCCCGAATTCAAGAATTTTTTATAGCCAACAACTCCAAAGATCTTGAGCTATATATCGTGTACATAAAAATATAAAATGAAACGATCATCATTTGTTTCTGGCTATCTAAATTGCCAATAGAGATTACCATTAGTTTTGAACAAAAAAAAAGAAAGATTACCATTAGTTATTTACAATTTCGATATGTATTAGCTTTAAAATGATTATTTTTTTTCCGATTATCTAGACCCTCTAACAGAATTTTGGTCATCATTAAATTTTGCTTAATTTAAACGAGGAATTTGACCGAATCATCATTTAATTAATGGAGGACTCTGATTTGTTAAATAAAATGACATGGTCTTTAATTAGCAGTCTTTACCTAATCGTGCCACATCGAATTTTAAACAATTAATAATATCTCCCTCTCTGTTTTATTCAGGGATCGTTGTGGTAGCTGCCAATTGTAAATTGTTACAGGTAAAAAAACCAAACAATGTGTTTAGGGATTATCTGATTGTAAAGAGAAGAGAGCGTCGTCACATGGATGGTCGTGGATAAAACAAAACATCCACTCAATACACGATCCACTCTTCTCCTCTCAATCTTCATCCTCACTTTTGCTGGGTCTGGGGTCAAAAGAATCGTATTTGTTCAAATTTCCGTTCCAGATTATGGAAGCTAGAAGCAGGCTCGCGATCCTCTGTTCTCACCTAAACCCAGCTGGTCCTTACCCGACGACCCGAGACACCATTCTCAGCGCTTCCGATTGTAGCTCAGCTTCGACCGGCGATGAGAAAGTGGAATCGTCCAGCCTCCAAAAAAACTGCGTCTTCTGCAAGATTATCCGTGGCGAGTCTCCGTGTCTCAAGGTTTTAAAAACTCCTACTCTCTGTTTCTGTTGCTGACTCTCTTCCATTTCCTTACACAGAACATAACTAACTGATCTCTCTTGACGCAGTTGTACGAGGATGATATGTGCCTGTGTATTTTGGATACGAATCCACTTAGCAATGGGTAATCAAATCTCTTTCTTTTGTTAAAGTTCCTTGTAAAAACAAAATTTGAATTGGTTTCCAAAATATGTGCTATGTACTAAGACTATACTTAAGCTCTTGATTAGTTAGTGCAATTTGGTTAGTGGATTGCCTTATTAACATGTTTTTAGTTCTTGAATCTAAAAGCTATGAACTTTTTCTTTCTGGTTATGTTCAGGCACTCTCTTATCATTCCAAAGTTGCATTATCCAACCTTAGAGGAAACTCCTCCCTCAGTAAGTTCCTCTTCGTACCTATCAGTCGCATAAATTAGTCACTGGTTTGCATTTGTTATCTTCCTTGTTTGTGGTATGTGGTCATATATAATTACAACCTTCTTGTCTGAAAAGTTTTATTAAGTATGTAAAGAAAATGTATATGCGTATAAGATTTTGATTAGAGGTCTCCTCCAAGGAGCATGCAGGTAGTTGCTGCCATGTGTTCCAAAGTGCCTCTCATCAGTAATGCCATCGTGAAAGCTACCGGAAGTGGTATGCTCTATGAACTCTCATAACATCACATTCCTGCATCCATCTCTAATACCATCAGATGATGTAACAGCTGTCTTTGCAATATCACATTACTGCAGCTCTTTCTCTGCACATCTTATATCTACTGATCGCATATCCTACTTAAACCATAGTTACTCTTGATATTTTAACACTGGTTACTTTTAAAAGAGTAAAAGCCTTGAATGTCAGTCTCATGGTTAGTTTAGGCAACCATTTGTTTCTTCTTATGAACGAGGTTTATTGTTCTTATTTTGTGACATAGTGATCAGGTTCTGCGAATGAAATAGACTTTGAACAAGTTTTTACCATTTGCTGTCATAATCTTGCCATTCTTTCTAGAATCTTTGAACATTTTAAGGGAGATTCATCACTGAAGCCAGATCCTGATTCTCATCTGTTTTTTTTTCTAATACTGTTTCATCAGATTCATTTAACTTGCTGGTTAACAACGGCGCAGCAGCTGGGCAAGTCATATTTCACGTAAGCACATACCGACTTCCCCAACTTTGCATTCCTCTCAACTCTTGAGGAAGGAAGTTTCTGTTAAAAGTTCTTACCTTCTTCTTTTTGGCATTTCAGACACACATTCACATAATCCCGCGTAAGGAACACGACTGCTTATGGGCTTCCGAGGTACAAGACAAAACCAGAAACATAAGATTTTTGAAAGGTTTATTGAATATTGTCAGATTTAGTGGTCTTTCTGTTGTTTTATTTCTTGATGACAGAGCTTGCGGAGACGCACAATGAAGCTGGACAAGGAAGCATATCAACTGGCGTCACGTGTTCGACAACAATTGTGCAGCCTTCCGGAAGAACAATTGGTTCAGCCCTCATAAGTCCTTTCCAAAAGACCCATTGTTGTAACTTTCGACACAGAGTGCAAAAACACAAAAAGTATATTTTGTACAGTTTCATAATATATTATTCAGTCTCGTTTTCATTTTTCTGTATACATTCTTGAATCTATTGGTTAGTTTATCAGGATCTTAATTATAGAAGTAGAAGAGGTTGTTTAGTCTCATCCAAATCAGAGGCTTATTAGGTCCATCAAGTTAGTTAGTTCATATAGTTATTACACTTTAATTAATAGCTGTCCAAACTTCTAAAACGTTTATATACTTACATGATAGTATAAAAAGTAAGTTGTATCAGTAAAGCGAAGCTTACGCGGATAAGAGACTAAGTCTAGCTTCAAATTGCAACTAACCAAACCGAAGTTGCATTTTGGACTAAGTCTAGCTTTAAATGGGAACTAAGATAATGTAAGATAGATTTTCTGTTCCCCAATTATAGGAATCAGTTTCCTCCAGATCTTTCAAATATAAGAAACACTGGTGTTCCCACAAGTGATAAGAGAGAAAGATGAAAATCATTACAAAGCTAATGCATCCTATAAGAAGAAGCTTAATAGAGGAACTACCGGCAGAGATTCTAACGGAGATTCTTAGGAAACTACCGGGGAAACAAGAATTGCTATGCCGTTCTGTCTCCAAGACGTTCCTTGGTCTGATAGACAGTCGTTGCTTCATGGAGAGACACCTTCGTGATCATGATCATGGCGATGAACCTTCATCGCTGCTCACTTATGGCATCCATGCTGAAACAGTCTTTTACAAGTTGTGGATGTGTAAGACGAGGCTGGAGGAGAGTGGCGAAGAAAAGGTGTTGAAGGTGGAAGATCGAAGCCTTTGGAAATATCCATGCATGCAAAACCAGGCATATTTTAACCCTATAAGCTCAAACGGACTAATTCTAATATATGGTTCCAGTGATCCGTATGTCTTCAACCCTATCCGGAAGGAGGCTATGAAGATACCAAGCCTGAAGGACGAAAACGCGTGGAAACAGCCTCTAGGGTTTGGATATGATCCGAAAGGGAACACTCACAAGATCATAAGTGTTTGGGAGACAAAAGAGCTCGAGCTTGTGGCCAAAGTATTTGCCCTGCGGGAAACAGACTATGAATGGAGGAGCTTAGACATCTCCTCTTCATCCTCCATTCTTCCTTAGGCCATGTTTCTTTTGCTTCTTCCACGGTCACCATCCACAAACATGTTTACTGGACCGCCACTATAAGCGAGGTTAGTGTGGCTTTTATTTTTCATAAAATAGTATTCATAATATATTGAAAATATTCCTACTGGAACATATCTATAGCTTAGTGATTTGTGCTTGTTATAAAAAAAACTGTGACCAATTTGTCACTTTGGATTTTTTTACAAATTTTAATGTTAAAAATCAATTTAATTATTACCATGTGAATAATTGTGGCTTTTATTTCATTATATATATATGATGAAAAATATTGAAAATCCTACCAGACCATGTTGCCTAGTGGTTTGTGGTAGTGGTGGTGCCTTTTGACAAAACTATTTAACAATTTTGGTTATTAGAATATTTTGTGAACGTAGTTTTATTTCTTGCCAATATTGTAGGGATCCCAAGCGGTTTGTTCATGTATTCTTCTAGGTCATACTGAGAGAAAATCCAGTGTGAACGTTAGAAATTGGACGAAGCACATGGTCCTGTGTTTCGACCTGGAGATGGAGACATTCGAGTGGTTTTCTCACCCGGCTATGGTCCACGGGAGCCTTGTGCAAGTCTTCCGTCTCACGGATCTTCAAGGGACCTTGGTGATGGTTGATTTTTCGTCCGAGGAGTGTGTAGGGTTGTGGACGCTGAGAGATAAGGCGAGAGGAGAATGGTCTTTCGACTACAGATTTGACGCCAAGGCGTTGAGTGACAAAGTAAGACACTTCTGCCGCGGCCACGACGACGAAACAGGCAGGCTACATGTGGTCGGTGCTTGGAAGGAAGGGCTTCTTCTAAGGATTTGGGACTCTACTGTCTGTTTTTACCTAAACCTCAAGACGGAACGTATGGAGTATATTGGGTTTGAGAAGAAGGTTCAAGAATTGGTACGTCAGGATTTCATCGTTGCTTATACTCCTAATTATCTACTTCGTCTCAAGACTTACTATGACCAATCAAGAGTCATATGTGCTCACCCTCATGCTGGTGCACGTCTTCGAGGACGCCTCCATCTTATGCTTACGCGCGATGGCCATCTTGCTTACGAGTTAAGATATTATTATGATAGCATAAAGTCTCCACTTGATGAACTTATTGGCTTTAGGTATGGTAAATCAATCCAGCATCCCCCAAAAACTGAAATTAAGGATTCTGTTTGGACATTTGAAGATATGTGAATGAAAAAAAAGTTAAAAAACATATACTTTTTAAAAGTATATTCTAATAATACTCAAAACTTTTTTTTGTGATATTATTTTATTCCTTGAACTTATTTTTCATTTTGATTCAAAGGGAAAGTAACCCTTAACTTTATATTCAAAATCGCAAATTGGAGAAAAACAGAAAATTGAATTCATCCCGATATCTATATTGGTTCGATGTCAATGTTGCACCGTATCATACTAATCATAGTATTAAAATGTTGAGGTTGTCTAAAAAAATATTAAATGTTAGATCCAAGATAGCACTGGAATGCTTAATTCAACTCAAAGAATATCAAGGAAGTTATAAATAGGTTATCTCGCTAACAAGCCTAGTGAGATGATTGTGATGAACAAGAAGAAAGAGTAAAAGCCGGTGCCAAAGCCTAGTGATTCTAGATGATTTCGGATGTCTTTTCCCCAATGAGGGGTCTTCAATATATAGTGTTGATAGGTCAGCTGAAGATGAATATCTTCCTTTGAGCGAGACGGAAAACTTCCTCTTTTGCGATATAGAAATCTTCCTTTTATCATTGATTTCCTTCCATTCCTTAAGTCGGCATGAGAGTTTATTTACATTCTCTCATGAATTGTGCCTTTCTTCTCGAGTCTTGCCTTTTTGTTGAGAAGGCTAGGACTAAAGTCGGATTGAGCCTTATGACTTTACTAATAATGACTAGCTCAGGGAAATGTGTTAATTTCTCCTCTAACATTAAAATGCTCGCATAGAAATTGTGTCCTAAAACCTTTGCCCAATACAATTTTTCAAACTTTACTTTACTAAACATAAATCCCTCAATCTTATCAACATGAGTCGTTAATTAGGCAAATATTCCATCAGTGTGTTTCCTAGGTGTAAACAATTGCATTCACTCATGCATATCTAACTTAACCACATTCAACTTCGTATAAAACATAAATATGTAGTATTTCTTTGTGTTACTTGTTCTTCTTGTTAACTTCGAACCTATAAATGTAGCTGCTATCTGTAATCAGCAGCACAGTTATTTACTTGTTTGTTTATTTTATCCTTTTTATCCATTGAATAATTTGGGATCGAATTCCCATAAACTATGACTAAAGGGGATGGATCTCCGCCGAAGTTGGACATACGTATGCATGTATACACTTATACAGACAAACATATTCACACTCCTCACCTAGTCACCTTACCAAGACGTTTTTCACCATATTAAACATGTATTTATGATACGATTATATGATGCATTTTGTATTTAATTGCTTTTTGAGAAGAATGTCTTTTTGTAAAGAGTGTATATGAAAGAATGTAGGAGATTTGTACATATGACATTGACGAATCTTTTTTAATGTTTTATTTTCTACTGCAAACTTATTCTTATAAAATACTCATCAGAATAATATCATTTGACAAAAAAAAAAGTACTCATCGGAATATAGACTTTTTCCTCTTTTTGTAAAACCCTCAAAACATCAACTAGGTAAGAAATTTTTGAGACTTCGTGATTTCTTTTCAATTGACATGTAGATTTTTCACTGCGTTTCATAGTTAAAAGTTGATATTTCTTACATTTTATTCAAGTAATTTGTATAGTTGAGAAATGCGAACCAGTAACGTTATTTCATACCTAGTCCTGAGTGTATAGGTGGTTATATAAAGAGGGTGTATGATACGCTATCGTAGATGTGATATGCTCTAAGACTAAGTTATACCAAGATTTACATACTTTTTATCGTGTAAGTTAAATCTTACATTTGAATTTTAAAGTAATGTTTTCAAAAGTGGAACGACATATAGATCATGGATCGACCGGACTTAATCGGCTCTTCTTTACAAATTACAACTAAAAGTTATTTTGATATGAACGTTGTATCATTGAGTTTTGTTTTTTTTTTTTTGCTAAAAATGAATTTGATTCACTTTAAACTAATGATAAATAATTGAAACATGTTGGTACGCGGCGGATATCAATATATAAATTTGTTTATAAAGATTTATAATGAATTCATATACTTTTTATACGACATGGGTCCCAATAACTCAGTTCAAACCCATAATGACATAAATATCTGAGTTGAACACAAAAACTCACTAGAGGAGTCATCCAAATGAAGGACCGCCGAAGGATTACAAAACTCACGTCATCCATATTTGATATAATAGAATCCAACAAGACGAGTCTACTCAATGTTATTGATGCAATAAAGAAAGATAATGTTTTATAATCTTGATACTGTATAAACAGTTATGAAATACATGGTCGGTCTCATTAGTTACCCGACCAAACCCGACTTAACCGGAAATTTAATGCGGTTCTTGACTAAGCGTAATCGTTCCATTTTGTCATCCTTACATCGATGGAGAAAGAAAATGGAGATTTCGTACTCAATGAAACTCCATGGATAAAGCCTGTCTCTCGTGATTGATAGTCGTCAACCACCCTTCGTCTTCAATTGTGGTCGAGCACAATCATCAGCAGGGGCGGATCTAGAAACTAATATCACCCGGGGCAAACATTCAAATAACCTTCTATTTATAGAGTTAACAAGGGGGGCATCATCAAAATTTACACATAAACTACACTAATTTTAACTAATTTTAAAAATCCATGGGGGGCAAGTGCACCTCCTGCTTCTTACCTGGATCCGCCGCTGATCATCAGCCATTTTCCTAGTTTTTGTTCGATTTTGCTTTGGATATTTAATTTGTTGGTTGATACTTGATAGGCTAGTGAAGTAATATATTCCATACCCAATTTTCCTCGTTAGTGTTAATTATTAACTGTGTCTAAGGGATCTTCCATTTAGATCGTCAGTTCACTGATCTTCTTAGGTTAGTTACTAGAAATTTGGTCGAGATTTGTTTTTTCCGTTAACTAGAGAATGGTGTCGGTAAATTTCGAGATGTAACACAGGTATGGGTCTTATCTCAGTCTCACACAACACACATGAATCATTGTTTTGTGTCTCTAGATTCTAACACATGACTTCATAGCACAACCAATTTTTATGAGTTTATGGGCTTCACTGAAATTTAAGGATGAAATTTAAACATGTTATGGTTCATAACTTATGGATGAAGAATTATGAAAATGCTACTACTCTCGTTCCCTTTTGATTGTCATAAATTGATGACAATATGTGCTTCGTGCTATCAAAGCTTTGTAAATATATACACCATCAAAACAAAATGTTAAGAGCTCCACGAAAGGCAAAGGGAAGCCCTACCAGAACTAGAAGAGATCGACAACGGAAAAGTAAACGTGAAGAATACGAAAATATTTTACCTTAGCCCTTATAGGGGCTCTCAAAAACCCCTTATAGTAGACTTTCCTTCATTTGAGATTTTCTAGGAATTAATCAAATATTGACGTTCATGTAGAACTATTTACGTCGATATTGTAAAACAATTACGTGTTTATTAGCAACATATCGCTCAACGTCAAAGGCCCGGCAACAACTCCTAATCTCCGCCCGTTACGGTGTGACACACAAAATGATATTGATTTACTCCTACTAATTTTTTAATTAAATAATTATTGACAAAAACATAAATTGTTTAATCTAATTACGTTTATAAATACAATGCAGCTATATAAACGTTACGACCATTTGAGCATTTCCCTACCATTTTACGCTCTTCTTTCCTCCGGCAACACTCCTCCAATCTCTGACGTGAATTTCGACCTAAATTTCAAGAGTAATTTAGGATCTAACTAGAATATTTGCATCTCATACTTTTGATTCACTCTTTAAGAAACTGATCAAGAATGGAGAACGAGCTGTTCATGAACGCAGCGCTTCCGCCACCGCCGGAGATGGCGGCGCATTTTGAAACACCGTCTTCTTCATCGGCGATGCTTAACTGGGCGTTAAGGGATCCGAATCTAGCTCTAAACTCATCGCCGCAAGATTGCTTTCTGTGGGAAAAGTCAACGGAACAACAGCAGAGCATCTTCGACTCTGCTTTGAGCTCCCTCGTCTCTTCTCCGACGCCGTCGAATTCAAACTTCTCCGGCGGATGCGGAGCCGGTGACGGTTTTCTCATCAGAGAACTCATCGGGAAGCTTGGAAACATCGGGAACAGCTCCGGTGAGATCTACGGAACTCCGGTGTCTCGCTCCGCCTCATGCTACGCAACTCCGATGAGCTCTCCACCGCCGCCGATGATGAACAGAGCGACGCCGTTAACGGAATTTTCAGGGGATCCGGGATTCGCGGAGAGGGCGGCGAAATTTTCTTGCTTCGGTAGCCGGAGTTTCAACGGAAGAACTAACTCCGGTCTCCCTGTCAACAACGGCAACATCATCAACGCCGGGAAGCTGACACGTGTCTCCAGTACACCATCTCTCAACGCCCTCGCTTCTCCGGAATTCGCATCTGCCTCGAGACCGATGATTCCCGCCGGCGAATCAACTCCGAAACTTCCCGGCGAATTTTCTCGGAAGAGAAAAACTGTTTCTAAAGCGAAATCCAAGGAGAATCCCATTTCCACGGCTTCTCCAACTCCTAGTTTCTCAAAGGTAATAATCAATTTTCTAAAAAAAAAAAAAATCCCGGAAAGTTTCTTTTCCTCACTTTTTTTTCAAAATTCAAAGACTGTAGAAAAAGGAACAATTTTTCGAAGAACCCAATTCTCTGTAGAGTGAGCTTTTTTTTTTTACATAGAGTAAATAAAAAAGAAAAAGAAAGTAACTTTTTGTAATATTTTACAATATCTCAGACGGCGGAAAGGAAAGAAGATTGGGATGGAAAAGGAATCAAAAGCTCAGAAGAAAAGGGAGGGAAAAGAAGAAGAGAGGAAGAAGAAGACGAAGAAGAAGGAAAAGGGAACAAAAGCAATAATAACACAAAACAACCTGAGCCTTTCAAAGATTACATCCATGTTCGAGCTCGACGAGGCCAAGCCACCGACAGTCACAGTCTCGCCGAACGAGTAAGTCGTTTCTCTTTCTTTCACTTCTTTATGTAATAAAACTTGTTCTTGGTGAATTTGCCTGTTCCATGTCTAGTTTCATTTTGAGCATTTTTTGGTTTTTCTGTTTTTCAGTAATAAGAGTTTAAATTAAATTCATAATACGTCTTTTCCTTTAGGTTTGATTTGTATTCTAATGTGGATTTAGGTTCGGAGGGAGAAAATAGGGGAAAGGATGAAGCTGCTTCAAGATCTTGTGCCTGGATGCAATAAGGTAAAGAACTTTTTCTAATTGTTTAGTTTGAACTCAACTAGTATTGATTAGCATAATTAAGAAATTAATGTTTTGTTTTGTTTATACGATGAAAGGTTACGGGAAAGGCACTGATGCTGGACGAAATTATAAACTATGTACAATCATTGCAAAGACAAGTTGAGGTATTATTATCTGGTTTCGTTTTATCTAAAATCTAATCAATTGTTTCATTAATCACCGAATTTAATTATTTCGTGATAATTTTCTAATATTTCTTGTTTAATAATTGGCAGTTCTTGTCAATGAAGTTATCATCAGTGAACGACACCAGGCTGGATTTTAACGTGGATGCTCTTGTGTCAAAGGATGTTGTAAGTCACCTTAAACATTAACATCATTTAACAACCATTAATAATGATCGTTTTGAAAGTGATCATTTTTCAAATCCGAAAGTGCTCATTTTTCAAATCCTTTCCCTTTTTGTTTGTTTGTCGTTATCTCAAATCCCTTTTATACAAAAATCGGACCATTAGCTAATTAATCGTAGTTATTATCATGAAGCTTTTTAATTTTTCTTTTAGAAAGGACCTTTTGTATTTTTCTATTGGAATAAAATGCAATCTCATCTTTTTATAATTTTGAAATTCTTCAGATGATTCCATCAAGCAGCAACCGATTACATGAAGAAAGACTCCAATCAGAATCTTCAAATCATCATCAACAACTTAATAATTATAATTCACAATTACATCCCAATATGATGCTTCAATCCTCTATGAACTCATTAGAAACCTCTACCTTAGCCAGAAACTTCACCCACTTACCGACACTTACCCAATTCACTGACTCAATCCCTCAGGTTTATATTATTCTTTCAATTCACTCCCTTGCTTCCATTTTTATATAGTAAGATGATCATAACATTTGTTTTTTTTTTGTGTTTTTCAGTATCAAATGTTTAGTGAAGAAGATTTACAAAGCATTGTAGGGATGGGAGTGGCACATAACACTAGCAATGAATCCCAACACATGAAAATTGAGCTTTGATCAACAAAAAATTTCAAGGTCTCAATCAAGAAAATAAGAAAAAGGATTGATGGGTGTACATAACCATACCAATATATGTGTTTTATTCATATACTCATCTCCAGATATATATGTATACACACATTTATAAAAGTAACCTAGTTATTATTTCACCCTTTTGTTAATTATATTGTGTCTTTTTCCAATTCATTGTTAGGGTTCAATTAACAATTGTATTGTTATCTTTGGATTCTTTTCTAATGTAATATCACTGTAAGTTCATTACCTCCACCAATTATTAATCTACTCCAGATTAGGCTGAACAAAAATAGTCACTTTTTTATTTCAATTAAAGTGATCGTCTGACTATTTTTATTTTCTTGGTAAATTAAAATCGAATGTTCTCGTTTAGAAATATGCAAATCTTATCTAGATCTAATTATTTACATCATAACACATTACCACTTTGCGACAAAGAACGTTCCCGACATATATCATGAGACAAAAAGTAATATTTCCATGATTAAACAAATTCGTACTGACGGACTATAGTCTAATATAAACTTCATTTAGATGATTAATCTAGTTAGCGATTAATCATCTTATTGGGACGTGTGGTGTGGTACGGTTACGGTGTCCTGTTAACGTTGGGGTTTCAATTTTTGTATCCTTTTACTAATGCTTGTCTTGCTCCTCTTATGTACTTGTTATGTTCTAACTTCTAAGCTAGTATTATCGAAGATGATTAATCTAACTAGCGAAACTTGATTTTTACATTTTCACCTCTAAAATGGTCAACATCACTTTCATTCCTAGATTCTTTTCGATTTGATGTTTGCTAATGTTAACCAGCTGTGTGAGGTGTTATGTCTTTATCTCTGGAATTTGGCATGGAGGAGGGATTTGAAAAAAAAATATATAATGGGTCAAGTTGTGATTCCTGGAAATTAATTGGCCCGCTTGTATTTCTAGAGATCTATCGAGGAAACGAAGAAGCTTCTGTTCCTCTCTTCTTTTCTTTAACACGGTGAAATCCAGAACCAATCAAGGATTCGAATAACCAAATATATTTCTCTTATCAATAATTACTTCAATTATTTTATATGTTATCTTTCTGTAGGTCAATATCATTATATTTTTTGTTAAGATTCATCATGAAATATGTGTATTCAATATCCCACTAGGTGTTAGGTACTAATCAGATTAAACATCTAATCTCTTGATTAATTTATCAACCGCGTACACAAAATTTCAAAATTTGTGTTTGACAGTTAGAGTATTACATCAACTTGTATAAGTCATTCTCAAGCTTTCAAATTTTGTTTAGAAAGTGCAAATTCCTATGTACAAATTTGTATATTTTTCCTGCCGTATTTTGTAATTAAAAAGCAATGATAAGTATAATCATTTCTGGATATACGACGATTAACTGATGAATAATATAAAGTGTGAAAGAGAATTATTTATTTTTTAGCAATCACATGGGTATCTACTCTGATTCGTGGACTTAGCACACGGAATAATGATATTGGATTAAACTAATCACCAACTACTTAAAAGTTCATAATTGAAAAGTTGTTAACAAAAATTTCCAAAACTCATTTATAAACCTTTTCTGGTTTCATTAGTCTTCAGCTGCAGCTTTAATTGTGATTTTAAAATTACAGACTGAATTATTGCACATAGGAATAGGTAGGGTGAATTAATTGATTTAATTTACTAATACTTTAATCTACTATATTTTGATAGCTAAAAAAGAAGAAGATGCTTTGAATGTGGGTGGTTTTTATTTAATAATTTTATTATTGAAGAGTAGTTGCATCTCACTTGCAAATTTTGATGACATTAAAAATAGTTAGAAGTAATGACAGTCTTCATGTGGCATACTTTTCATCTCTAAAAAAATGTTGCATAGTGGCAAATCACTTAGCATTATGTCGAACAAAAGCTTACTCTTTTCTTTTTGAACATTTCACAAATCCATTAGTTTGGTCCATTCCTTTTGACTACATTGTAAGCCATTATCACTTTCCTAAAGATCTTTTGTTTCCGGACTTCTCTAAAGATCTATTGCATCTTTGGTTACCAAAAATATGGTATGATAAAAAGTCTCGCTGAAATGTTTGACCCGCCTTATTTACAGTAAATTATACTAATAAATATGACATTTCTAAATTTTGTTTTTGTTGGATTTGAACACCAATTTTGATAGTCAACCAGTCACGATGTAGCTAGGTCAAAACCATCAAACTATCACATAATATATTTTAATCACAAGAAGTTTTGTTTTTCATATAAATAAGAGCTTCATCAGTCAAATCGATATTCGATAACTTTTTTCTTCTGAAATGCACAGTGGTGGTGGTATATCATTTAAATTACTTTTCCTAAGGACACATTAGTTAGTGGAAACCATACATTGTGCCAAGGCACTTCCTTAATTCCCATCTAAAACTGAAAATCAATACAATGGACATTTCATTTGCACTCGCATAACCTTTTATTTATGGGTTCATGCATCTATTATGAATAGATACACATGTTGCATTACTATACGACGAAAGTTGGTCTAAACAAAGTTGTGATTGATTCGGATGGATTTGTAACACATTTTTGGATTAAAATTTATTGCAAATTATTTATAGAAACTGCCATACTTTACAAAATGTTGCATATACAAAAAGCTGTACCTAACTTCTGAAAAAAATACAAAACAAATAAATAGTAATAAATGAATTTACATTGCTAAGTTGATCGTTTTTTACTTTGGGTACAAGTTATCTTCATTCCAAATGCTTCTATTTATAGATACACATATCTTAACAAAAGTCATGCGTTAGTATACTATAAATGTGTAGTATGTTTAACCACCAGTCACAAGACTCACAACTGTAATTTTATCCACTATCGTAGCACTTGCCATTTGGGTTGGGTTCTTACTTCTTAGGTTCTTTTCCTCTGGTAGTAATAGAAATGGCGTTGTCTGTAACGCGTGTAAGCTGCAGCCTCGTGAGCAGCAGGTAGGAATCAGACCTAGAGCACGGAAAAGTCGACCAAATCTTGAAAGGGGAGGATAATCTATGAAGAGTGAGATTGTCTGTGATATATAAGCCATGCCTAGTTAACTTGTGCAAACTTGAACTTTAATGTAGAGTTTAATCCTCTTTTTTATTACAAATCTATTTTGTTACAACAGCGTTTCAAACCAGAGAGGATGAGTAATATTGTCTGAGACACACCATGTTAGATTACAAAAGGGGAAATCAAAAATTTATTCACTTTGTAGGAACAAGGATAATCTCTTAAGTGGTTGACATTTCAACTCATGCCTTGGCGTCAATACTCATCGCTTGTGCTTCCTTCTGAGCTTCTTTCTGCACAAACACATAATCACACTATTAGTTGAATAAAAGAGCTTCTCTACTTACCCATTTGACTCTCCATTTATATATAACTACTTACATGTGGCTCAAGCATTTTCCCCAGCATTTTGCTGTAAAACTGAGCGTCTTTCTTATTGTACTCTTTCATCTTCTCCTTCAGTTTCTTATATTCCATCTTCACCTCCCTGCGCAGACACAATGTTAGAGCACATCTCAGACAAAAAAAACAATCAAGTTTAAAGGACGTGGCAAGAATTTTACGCACTTGTTGTAAGGATCGATTTCAAGAGCCTTCTTGATATCAAGCTCAGCCAAATCAAGATCAGCCGTCTCCATGTATGCTTGTGCTCTCCTGTACATAGCCTTCACGTTCCGACTATCCATCTCCAAAACCTATTCACATCCGTCTCATTCAATATGTACTTGCTCTCGAGTTGGAACATTCAACATCGCTAAAACTCTTGTCATATTTTACTTACCTTTGTGGACAATTTCGCTGCTTCCTTGTAATCTTTCATTTTCAGCTTGCAAGCTGCATTGTTAAGGTTACATGCAATTTTCAGAGCTTTTACTTTCTTTTTCTCCTCTTCATCAAAAGTCGAGTCATATTCTATGTACTTCACACCCTGCAACCAAACACTGGTGTTAAATCTAGAGCCAAAAATGATTTTTTATACAAAACATTGCGACAGACACAAGGATCGAATCCAAAACCCTCTCGTATCTCTTTGAAGCTCTTGCGTATTTTCCAGCCTTAAACAGCGCATTCCCCTCTTCCTTCTTCTTGCCAGCAGCTTCTATCTTTTCCTGTATGTTCATGTCCCAAGACTCTTTCTCCTGCGCCAGTTTAAACCAAGGCAACATATTTTAGCACACGGATTATAAGATTCTTCATGACGAAATAGGTAACAATCAAAGAGTAAATGCTCTCACTCTCACCTTGATGAAGGATACCATCTCGACCTCGTAGCATACAGTTGAGTTTGGCGGTATTACAGCCAGCTCCTGCTTTGATTCAGAGGAACCAAAAGCATATTCCGGTAAAACGGTGATGAGCGCCACCTCACCCTTCTTCATGTCCATCACACCTCTTTCGAGCCCTTCAATTACTTGCTCTGCAAAGAAGACAAGTCCTCTGTTACTTTAACATCATCATCCTGACATAAAAAGGAAACGTAGATTCAGACTTCTATATGTGTTTTTATACCTTCATCAGTCTTGAACTCGAATGGCTCCTCAACTTCTCCATGACCCTTTTTCAAGAACACAGTTCCATCTTGAAGTTTACCAATCAACTTCACTGCAACAAAACATCATAACTAGGTCGTCAGATTCACATAACTTAGCTAAGCTTAAATGAGCTCTTCGTATCTGACACTTAAAAGATACTGACATTTGACAACTGATCCTTCATTGGGACGCTCATATCCTTCTCCTTCCTTGAGTATCTTCTTGATGACCTTCTTGTCATCGGTTACTTCCACCACAGTCTTCCAAGAAACCAACTCAAGCTCGATAAAAATGCTCGTATTTGGTGGGATCGCAGCTTGAAGACCATCAGCTGCCGGTCTACCAATTTCTCCAAAACCATCTGCATCAGTCATAACGACAAGTCAGACCACATCCAAAATTCATTACGTTTGCCGCAAACGAAGAACAAATACCAAATTCAAAAACTCACATTGTGGCTTCACAGTTAACAGAACCTTCTCCCCTCTTTTCATGGTTTTGACAGCCTTAGCAAGCGCAGGGCAGAAATGTCCTGTTTCACAGGAAATACATTAGATCCATGACCTCAATAAACGAACGATAACTAAATTGGTAAGACACTAACCCTCCTTGACTGTGAACTCTGCACCATCAGACTTTCCAACAATGGTGCCATCCTCAAGCCGAGCTTCATATTTGACTGCATCAGCACCAAACCATGTAAATTCATTAAAGCCGAAGTTGATAACATTACATCAAAAAAAAAGAAGCAAACCAAAAGAAAGACGCACCATAAACTTCATCAAGATCTTTTGGCTTCTCCCATTTCTCTCCTTCCACGACTATAGTCTTGAACAGCCCACCATCACCACATATATCCTTCACGCTCTTCCACGACAACAGCTCTACATCAAACTGAAGAGTTGCGTTCGGAGGAATTGTTGGCGGCGAGCCGGTTTCGCCATACGCCAGCTCGGGAGGGATGGTGAAAATGGCGTTCTCGCCTTTCTTCATCGTCTTGATCCCTATGTCCCAGCCTTTGATCACATGCCCTGACCAATCCAAACCAGAGAAATTCAGCTCTAGAAAGACGGATAATCAAAATGATTTGTGCCATTTCAGGCCTAGTAACAGCGATTAACGAACAGTGACAATCTCGTTACCTTGGCCGAGGGTAAATTTGAAGGGAGTTCCTCTGTCACGGCTCGAATCGAACTTGGTCCCGTCTAACAAAGTTCCCGTGTAATGTACTGCAGAAGAAGATCAAAGACGGAATCTCAGAAGCAGAACATTTTGTGTATATAATCAGATTTAAAAAGGGGACTAAAGTGAGTAAAAATTACCTTCAACTTCGTCTCCGTTCTCGGGCGTGTCCCATTTTTCACCTTCCTTGACGAGCTTCTTCTTCAATCCTGATTTCCCGATCTCCTTCTCCTCGCCGATCTTCAGGTAAGGAGCTGATTCGGCATCGTCAGCGAGATCCAAATCCATCTCTTCTGGCTCCTCTGCCGGAAGCTGCATATCGAAATCGTCTTCCATTTCTGATAAGATTTGATAGTTTCAAATGAAGAGAGAAATCAAATTGGAATGAGAAATCTAGATAGTGTTTAAGCTTTGAGTGAGATTCGCAGATAGATCGTCGCGTAAAAATGTGATGAGATTTATAGGGAGAGAGAAAGAGTGAAAGAGTGTGGGAGTTCTAGAGAATTCTGATTTTTTTTTTAACATAGTCAAGAGCCGTTGGGCGTTGAAGATGTGTCCCGATGTTTCCAGATACCGTTAGCGTGATTTAGAGCGGGTCAAGCTTTTTATAAACGAAAATGCGATTACTTTTTAGTTTTTACCAAAAAAATTGTGCGTCTTTCAAAATTTCGTAGATTACACAGATGTTTGTTTTCGAAAAAATTATGTAAACACACCACGTTTTTATAAAAATGTAACGGACTGTGTTTACAAATTTCTTCTTTTATATTAAAGATGAAGAGAGTGAATTATGTATGATCATGAAAAAGGGATTAGTGTTACCAGTTTTTGGTTGAAAAGGAGTTTCTTAATTCAACCTTGAAACATTTCGTCCAATTTCAGTGTTTCTGTTTTTGTTTTACTCCAAAAGTAAACCAAAAAGAAGTCGTAGTTATATAAGGAAAACGTTAAATGTCGTCACAACTATCCTCTGCAGTCTGTTTAAGGAAAAGTATCCAAATATTTAAGGAAAAAAACGATGGAGAGAACTCTGAAGCCAAACCATTGAGACGGAATCAGAGCTCATCATCTCCATCTTCTCCTGCATCTTCTCCGTCTTCTTCTCCACCAGATGGTTTTTCATTTACAGCAACAAGCTCTGTGTCAAAGATCAGCGTTGCACCACCTGAAGTTTGCAATATTATTTTGTTTTGTTATACTGTACCCGTATTTTTCACAACCATGGCAACACTGAATACAAACTTAAAAAGCTTTATAGATGAAAGGAATATATACCGGGAATAGTAGGGGGAGAGCCTTGTTCTCCATAGCCAAGTTTAGCAGGTATCTTTAACTTCCGCTTCTCACCTACACACGCACCTAGCAATCCTTGATCCCAACCTGCAACAAAACCGAATATTACCATTAGAGGAATTAAGATATTGGAACAAAGTGAGACACTCAAGCAAGTGGGTAGAACCAAGCGACTACCTTTGATAACCTGACCACTTCCTAATACAAACTCGAACGGATCTCCTCTTTCAAAGCTCGAATCGAATACAGTTCCATCGGTGAGTTTCCCCTGCCACATAACACTTAAGTTACACAAAAAAAAAAAAAAAACAAGACCATACTTTTTGACAGATCAACATCCTGCTTAGACATTTCTTCATGACAAAAATGAATTACGATTATGTCGTAAGGTCTAGTCAGGCTTACCCTGTAGTGCACCTTGATCTTGTCACCTTTGTGAGCTTTAGTTTCACACGTTTTTGGCTTATACTGCAAAATAAATACAAGTGAAGATGATAAGATATGAACACTCACTTAAACCACTATACCTAAGGGATCTACTTGTTCTTGGCGCCCCTAATTATTGACTATAATTTGGCGCCTAAAGCTGGTGCTTTACCAGCCTTAGCCACGGGACGGCCCTGAGTATCACAATCAAGAAGTAAAACAAAAAAAAATTGGAAATTTATTGAATAGTTCCCGTAAATCTTCTAGTGCCAATCAGAATATGAAAACGAAGCACAATCAAAACCATCAGAAAGAAGAAAGAATGTTGTTTAGATGGAGCAAAACCAATGGTTAGAAACTCGCACTTGTAGCTTCATATTAATCGAATGAAAACAAGGGAGATATAACGAGACTCAACAATGACTGGGCTCCAACATCACTGTTATAGCTAAAAATGTTTTCCAGTATACTTGGTGAAAAAAGAAGCTAAAAACTCTACTATCGATCTTAACAATACATCAGATCGCTCATTTGCCGATCAGCAAAGAATAAAATTTACCTTGACTCCGATCTGAAGCTCCGACACGTCTCCGGACTTCTTGGCAAATCCTATGAATTGAAAAACACGCAAAATAAACAGATCCAATTACAAAGAATTAGATACAAGACCAGGCATTACGTTATCATGTTCAAGAGATTTGTCACCGATCTGATAACTAATTAAGAAAGAAGAGGATCGAAACAGAAAATAATGTGAATCAGAACCTTGGAATGCAATCAGAGAGAATAAGATCACAAAAAGGGAGTAACGGAGACGCATCTTGCTCGCCAAAATCGCCTCTCACTCTTCAGCTTTTTTTTCCTTCACTGTGTCAGTCTAGTTTGTTTTCTGGTCAGAGAAAATCTAGTAAGAGGAAATCTTAATGGACCGTAAATATGGGCCTATCTATGTTGGGCTTGTATTGGTTTTTGTCCTAGCCCAACATTAACTTGATGAGTTGTTTCCTGCTGAATCATTTCACTTTTTTTTGGTTGTCTGTGACTGTGATGCCGGTTGGGTTGTGTTGATCGAGCATGGATCAGAAGTTGTAGGAAATCTCATTCCTCCTCCATAAGATTAACCAATGTTTAGCATATTAACCAAGAAAACTTCACTACAACGTATTTTTTGCACTCGTAAAAAGAAAATGAAGGTGAACTGCAAAAATAGGGATAAATTGTACAAAGAGAATTTATACATCCCTATCAACATCGCCTTTACTGGTCAAAGTGGCAGAGGCAGCAATAACCACACAAGACAATAAAGAAATCATATCAAAATCAAAGTTAAGATTTTACTAATTCCCCTTGGCCTTACCTTATCCAATCTGCTCTCCACTGACTCTTCCATCTTCCTTCTCTGTAATCTCTCTTCACAATCCCAAAATCTCCCAAATCTTCACCTCTTTACCGTTTTGGTTTCTCTGTTTTGCTTTCAATGGACGGTTGTCTCTCCCACCAGGGATCCCTCCCATTTCTCCCGTCCTCGCGCCGCAATTCCGCCAGACGAAACGGCGTCGATTCTCTTCTCCTCCCCTCTCGGCGTAAATTCCGGTACGATTCGATGGTGGTCGTCGCGGCTGCTGGACCCGGAGCGGGAGCGAGCATCGACGCGCCTCTCGCGCCGCGCTCGGCTCAGGGCAGGTTTTTAAACTGCGTCTTGCTCAAAAAGCGTCAGCTCTTTCACTTCGCCGCCGCTGATTTGCTCAAACAGCTCGCCGATGATAAGGAAGCCGCCTTATCCCGCATGTTCCTCAGCTCTGGATCCGATGAAGCTTCTCTCCACAGGTTCCTTAAAACCTCCTCTCCAATTTCTTCAATCATATAGATACAATCACTAACACTCACAACAATCTGCGTAAATATGGCGATTCCTTAGATATATGTGATATTATTGCTAAGCATATGATTCAATCTGATTTAGCTTACATGATTACATCTATCGATTCTATATTCAAATTGTTTCTGATTTTGACATGATTGTTGACTCCATGTATGGTTTCCAGAAGGATAGCTCAACTCAAGGAGAGTAATTGCCAAACTGCGATTGAAGACATAATGTACATGTTGATCTTATACAAATTCTCAGAGATAAGAGTGCCTCTCGTTCCAAAGCTCACTTCTTGCATCTACAATGGAAGGCTCGAGATCTGGCCTTCAAAAGACTGGGAGCTTGAATCGATTCACAGCTGCGACGTCCTTGAGCTCATCAAAGAACACAGCAACGCGGTCATCAGTTTACGAGTGAACTCAGCTTTGACAGACAATTTGGAAACGACTGAGATTGGTAAACATCAGCTTAGTAAAGTATACACAGCTTCGATCTTGTATGGATACTTTTTGAAATCAGCTTCTCTAAGGCACCAGCTCGAATGCTCTCTAGCTGAACACCACGGAAGCTTCACCAAGCAGCTGAGACATTACATTACCGGGTTTGATCCCAAGATATTGCAGAGATGCGCAAAGCCAAGGTCACGTGAAGCAAAGAATTTGATTGAGAAGCAGAGCTTAGCTCTTTTTGGTCCCAATGAAAACGAAGAGAGCGTTGTGACATCGATTTCTAGCTTGAAGAGGCTGCTTCTTGAGGCTGTGGCGTTTGGTACGTTTCTATGGGACACTGAAGAGTATGTAGACGGCGCGTTTAAGCTCATGGAGAATGAGAATGCAGAAGAAGAAGAGAATAGTAGTGTTTGAAGCAGTTTGCTAGAAGAGAAAAGGCAAAGCTTGAATATCTTTTTGGTGCAACGTATAGATATATATAGAGACGAAAGGTTTCTAGTTTCTTTTTTTGTCTAATACAGTTTGCGTAATTATATGTATAGTGTATTCGTGTATATTGATTTATAGAGAGACTTGGTTCTATCATCATGTGTTTTTGTTGCTCTGTGTCCTCTTTTCATATTTGTCTTTGGACATGTTCTTTCAAATGTGGTGGGAATAAGCATTTTAAACAAACAAAAAAAACAACCATGAGTTGCTATTAACAATAAACAAATACACTTCAAATTCAAAGCCAAACAAACAAACAAAAAGTTGGGCATGAGAAATCAAAATACAAAACAATGGTAGAAAAACAGAACATGAAATTTTAAAAATCTGTTATCTAAAAAAGAAAAGGAAAACAAGAAAGAACAAGAAGCCAGAACCATAAATATACAACAAATATGGGACACTGATTTGTCCTAAGTCCCCAATTCTAAAGATCTGATCATGAGAGAGACAATGTGCCTCTTCTACTGTGTTTTATGAATGCTCTCAAGGAACTTACTTCTTGCAGAAAGGTCACTAGAAAACCGACCTAAGACCGCAATTGTAGCTGTGCTACTTCCAAACTTCTCAATTCCCCTAGAGATCATACAAGTATGCTCAGCTTCTGCCACCACGATGATATCGCCTCCAACTTGCGGCGACAATGTCTCTGCGATTTGCCGAGTCATCCTCTCTTGCACTTGGAGCTTAAACCCATTAAACTGTACAATCGACTCCACTAGTGACCTTCCAATGTGTTCGGATCCATCATCAGCACAGAAGTAGCCAATATGCACAACACCATAGAAAGGAAGCAAATGATGCTCACACATTGACCAAAACCGGATATTCATCTCACAACTCATTCTTCTCTCCTTCACTTTGTACTCAAATCTGTTCAGTTTCATCTCCAAGTTAGCGTTCTCAAACTTCATCATCCATTTCAAAAACCGGATCGGAGTGGCGATTAGTTCTTTCCTTGATGGATCTTCTCCTAAAGACTTCAAAATGGAGACTACAGAAGAAACCATTTCTGAATCTACGCGTGAAGCTTTGGATGAGCTTTCAATAACAATCGGACACCAGTCTTTCACAGAGCTGTGTCCATGCAATCTCACGCCTTTAAACTTCAAAAGACTAAGAAACTCACACCAAAGATCCGAACTTTCATCCTCAAAATCCCCTGAACCCGAAGTAACCGTTAACTCCACAGAACCACAATGGCTAGATTCGGAAAACTCAACGTCTAAACTCGGGAAATGAATATGCGAGCATTGGAGGACAACAGCGACTCCAGAAGGTTTGACACAACGTTGGAGAGACGAACATATATCATCAGCTAAACGCTGAGGCTCTTGAAGCCGCTTTGCAAAAACATCGGCGACTCTAGAGAACTTGCTTAGTCCAAGAACACGTTGCCCCGAAGGAACATATCCTATATGACACTTCACTCGAAAAGGAAGCAAGCAAGACTCACAGTAAGAGTAGTGATCGAGATCTCGGACGACAACAAGACCTCCCACTCCTCCTGCTTGCCCATCATCCAATCCCGTCTCTGGAAACAGAGCACTCTCCACAAAGTCCTTCACTTTTTGTTTATAACCTGAGATCAACAAACACCATTAACGTAATAACAGAAGCACAGATGGAAACTAAGTCAATGACAGCTACTCCACATCAAACCCACACAACAAAATCTTCCCTTTTCATCAATTTAAGCCATATACCTCTGGTTCCTTCTCGAAGAGCCTTGGCAACACGGAAAGGTGTTTTTTTAATGCCTTCACGGTTGATATCCTCACCGAGACCTTGCAATAGAACTTTGACAGCTTCCTGGATCGTTATGGTCTCTGGTTGATGCTCGAAAGCACGCGCAATGCAACCATTTTTCATCCTATTCTCCACCTCCACGTTGGAACGCCCTTCATTTATTGCGCTCATTGACAACACAACAAAACCAGATCTCCGATCAGAAGAGCAATCGGGATCCGGTAGAAGCTATTAGTCGGAGACGATTCAGAAAAGCAGATCGATTTGATAATGTGTACATCTGGTTCTTATTCCGCGAGCCCAGATTTAGATAGACGTCAAAGTGAACCAGCAGAGAACAGCAAAACCCACACAAACTCTAATTACCAAAAAAAAAACGAAACAAAACAAAGCTGTCGAGATCTCTCTGTTTTTTAATATTTTTCCGGATAATCATAAATGGATAATATGCGGATTGCGGAATGTGTGGAGTCGTTAAATCAGTAAAGGATGGATATTTGATAACATTTTCGACTTCAAAATTTTTGGGCGAGTCTGAGAGGTTAAACCCATCACTATCACCAAAAAAGAAAGTGTCCCTTTTTGAAGGTAAAGACGGCGAAAAACTTTCTCTGTCCTTTGCCCGGCCTTTCCTTTCCAACGTGGTTAATCAATGATCACTTCCTCAACATGATTAATCTTAATTTTAGCATCTTTATTAGAAACAATCTGAATTCAATATCAAAGAAGAAGCAATTGTTGTTGGAAACGGCTAATAAAGTTGGTAGATCAATTTGTCTAAGATAGATGTCGGCTAATCTTTGGAGTATATGTTTAATGTTAAACCGTATAATTATTTTGTTACATCTACGTTTATAGGGTTGAAGCTAATAGAGTTTTTAGACGAATTTGTCCAAGACACATGCCGAATTGTAATTTTTGTACTCTTGGATTGGTTCTACACTTCTATGTAACTTCCTTCTTGTTTTGGTATCGCTTATACTCGTATGGACAAATATATAGTACTACGTTCAGATATTAATTGATAAGACTAATTTTCGTAGTAATGTATTTACGTTTGATTCGGATAATGTATTCTAGATATCTAAACTGATAAAGCGGGGTGTTAATATCCTAATAAATTAAAATAAAATAAATAAACTATTTATATTTTTTAGTGTTAGTGGTTGAGTTAACTCAAAATATAACAAAAACATAAAAGTTTACACAAAACCATCATAATTCAAATCAACGAGTATGAATAAAATTAACCAGAAAATTATCGCAAACAAATATAGAGCTGGTTTCAGTTAGATTGAGAACCTGAAGTTTTAGTTAAAAGTTAGTACATATTACAAGCTTTAAGAGCATACTCTTTAAAATGAAAAGGAAGCATCCTTGATTAATAGTACTCCAAAACACTACACACACATCTCCTAACATTAATCCAGCCAGCCATCATGCTAATTAATCAATAGTAGGAGGAAAAGCCTTTTTAATGCCGTTTGCTCTTCTTATGATACCTTCTCTTGTTGTTCTTATTATGGGGACTGTGAATTTGGGGCATTTTGGGCAGTCAATTTGCCCTAATGAATGCTCTACTCCATCTCTGGAATAGCTCTGCTGCGAAGACTGTGCCTCGTTAGGAGCACCAAATGGAAATGAGCTTGGTCTCATCTATCAACGACGTGATGTACAATTGTTAGATCCAAGTCATGACATGTATATAATTATGGTTTTGTATTTTATTTAAAGAATAACGTTATTAAGTATTGGATCGAAAAGAATATAAAAATTGTGTAAGAACCTGTATTTTATGACCTTTGAGTAGTGGATTATCAAAAGCTGGTTGGTCGGTCAATCGAATACAATCGATTATATCTCCGTTTGGAAGCTGTCAGTTTCATCACAACGTAACAATTAACAATACACCGTAAAATTTGTAACACACACAAGGAAATTACACTATGGAGAAAATAAAGCCATGTAAATGTATATATACATGGAAAGTCTTAACGGGGGTTTTGATAAGTTGTTTTAACTGGCGTTGGATCTCCTCTTCCCGGAGATCGGAAAACTTTTCTTCCTCAGCCGAACCCTCCATTGCCTTCGGACCATTCATTTGAAAACAAATCAGATTAGATATTGGAAGTGCAGTAGTGAGGAGAATCTGATGAAAGAAAATTAGTAGATTTTATAGAGGGAGAGAAGCAAAGTTTGAAGAAGCTGAAAAAGGGGAATATTATTATTTGCAAGCGTTACAATTTATTTTTGCTTTTGGCTTAGACTTTTGTAACGTACATTAAATGAAATCCTTGTAATACAAAAGACAATCCACGTGAGTTGTGACTAATTAACCAACACCAACACCAACACCAACACCACTTGATGACAAAGGTAGTTTCAGTTTCAGATAAAGCCTCCACAACTCGAAGACAAAGGAAGACCACAAAGACCTTTGTTCCCTTTGAAATCATCAGAAGAATAATTTGGTGAGTTGAAGAAAGATGGGATGCGACCTGTTAGATCATTGTTAGAGACAGAGAACCTCTCTAATCTAACCAAACCCGAGAGCTGAACCGGGATATGACCAGATAACCGGTTATCAGACATAACCAAAGAGTTGACGAAGGTACACTTGGCTAAACCAGGAGGAATCTCACCGTTTAATTCATTCTTCGACAGATCAAGAGACACCAAAAACGGCAACCACTTACATAACTCTGTAGGGATGTTACCAGATAACCGATTCCTAGAGAGATCCAGTTTCTGTAAGCTCCCACAGAATTTTAGAGATTCTGGAATTCGACCGGACAAACCCATTCCTCGAAGCTCGAGACTGATAATCCTGTTCTCCTGATTGTTCCAACAAGACACACCCACGAAACTGCAGAGGAATCCGACGCTAGTGTTAGCGAAGTTCCATGACTTAAGCGCGTTGTGAGGATCGTAAAGTGAGCTTTTGATTCCACGTAAGCATCTTATATCGTCTTCTTCAGTAGCCACCATCGCAGGATGGGAATAGAAGACGAACAGAGTAGTGATGATGAATAAAGGAAGCAGCTTTTTGGTGGGTTTTGAGATCATCTCCATGGATGAAAGTGTTGACAGTTTTTCCTGGGTTTGGATCATAAAACTAAAGGTTTTGCTTTATCCTTTTTAACAAGCCAGACCCGTTGAAACGGTCGTGTCAAGGATTAGTCGTCGACTTTGATTCTTATTTTGTCTTTTTCGCTCTTCTTGTTCATCATACCATATGGCATATGCATAGTCAAGAGTCAAGACATGTTTGGACCACGACGACTGTAAAACTAATGTACACAATAAACAAATTGATCTCATTTCAGAAACTTGTGCCAACATTTTTCTCAAGGGAAACAAAAACATAGACAAGTCTTAAGTAAGATTATTCCCTTCCGTCAAAAACTTTTATGGGTTTGTAGCAGCAAGTTTGTTGAAGGCAGCGTGAACTCTCTCTTCCGTGAACATTCTGTGGTTTTCATAGAAATCTAATATCTCCATTGCGATATTCTTCACCTGCCAATGTTCACAACGCACCGATGAATATTTGGAAATGACCAAAATGTGCAGTTGAAAGCATTCCTAGTTCTAGTAAACAATGTAAAACATCGACTTACTATGTTCATGTCGACAGAAAGCTCTTCAAACCAAGTCCGTATGTCTTTCTCTTTGTAAACAGATGCAATGTAAATGCAAGCGAGAGTGATGAGATAAGGCGGATGACTAAGGATGAGGTCCATTCTGTATGTGTCGTTGACAAGACCCCTATAGTTTTCCACAAAAAACTTTAGCATTCAAGAGAGCATTTTTACTTTTGCTTGCAAATAAAACCCTGTTTTAACTCTGTTCAGCTTAAGATTTGTCACTTCATCCCCAAGCTTTAATAAAGGACACAAGTTTTGGATACTAACCAAGTTAAATGAGCCATACTTGTGTCATTGATTCCTGAATCCTGCAAGAACCTGTAAAGCAATAAAATTAATCATAGTGTAGTAAAGGTAACTTGATATCGACACACATAAGATCTAAAGCAAAGAAGACTTACTCAGGCAGGGATCTGTACGGGTGGAATACAACAAGATAGAAGTTCAGTGCTTCCAAGATCTTCATCTCCATTTCAAGAATATCTTTAATCTCATACCTAAACTTTTCATCAGCATCTGTAGAGTGAGAAGCATCCAAATTCATCAGAAACTCAGACAAACCCTCACGCAAGGATTGAAGCAGAATAGTAAAAAAAAAAATTACACAGTTTTTTAATGTAGAAGACAAGAATCTTGGCATGCACCACACTCTCCTCTGCTTTACAAGCCAAATACAAGCAGGTGGGAGCAACAAGCCTAGGCTCATACTCCGTTAAGCTCTTTCTGTCAACAAACAGTAGACACTAACAAATCAATGACCAGGTCTTGTGCTACACAAGATTATCAATAATTAGAAACTAGAGCAGCCAAACCTTGTGTAAACACGTCGCATATAGGTTACTGCAGTTGCAACAACTCTGCATCATATTTAACGAAAGTAGAAGTAAAATTAGTCAGCATTGTAACAAAGATCATCAAAGGGTGGTTTGCATTTCGTGTCTCTTATCGAAAGACTTCACCTTTGCCTAATCTTTATGTTTTGTGCCAGTTTCGATATATCTGAAAAACGAACAAGAATGTGAATTGATGATCCAATCCATACATCAAAAGTGAAACTAATGAAGTAGCTAAACAATGAAGACGACTACCATGAGAAACTGATTACTACTCCATTTCTTGAAACTCAAATTAAATCCAATTGGCAATGATTAATTTCATGGAGATTCTTGGATGTTAACAAGATAATTAAGGTCAATACGGATGAAAATGAAAAACCAAAACATACAATTAGACATGTGAAGCTTAATGAGCCTGAAATCTTCAGCAGAGATTCCTCTCTGAGCATCACGAGGATGAACAACATTAACCTCTTCTGGGTCTTTAAGCTCTTTGCTGTGCGAAGAAAAACCCAGAAATTAAAAAAAAAAAAGAATGTCAGGAAAAACCGAAAATTGAAACAAAAAACGGTTTCTTTTCAGGAGATCTGTAACACTGATTGAAGAACACTTACTAGTGCGACGACGTCCAGAAATTGGAAGCCATGTTTTTTTTGTTTTGCCTTTTTTTCTTTGATCTCTCAACTTCAAAAGGAAATACCAGATGGATGATGGCTTTCAAAAAAATGCAAGATGGATGGCTTTTGTCTTTTTTCCTTTTCTTTTTAATTTTGTGGCAGAAAATGAGCATAAGAATCTAATATGTCATGTTTAATCAGGCCTTTTCATTTTTCTTATGTAAAAGGTTAGTGGTATAATAGCGGATAAGAGTGTTTAGGATATCGGAACAAATTATCCAAAGTTCAACTTTTCGAGACCGAGTCAGATTATATGGTAATGGATAGAATATGTATAATTTCGGCTATTATCAAATTTTGGTTTCACATATTTCTTTGGTATTTCCGATAAAAGGTCAAATGGTAAGGTCTCTTTTCTTTGAGAGAGCATGAGATAAAGGAAGATTGGTAGCTGCTACGGCTTCAAAGCCAATTTGCTGAGCGCAGAATTCACTTTTTCCTCGGTGATTGTTCTGTAATTCTCGTAGAAGTCCAGAATCTCCATGGCAATGTTCTTCACCTGCAACCCAATGAATGCCCCCCACTAAATTCAGTAAGGTTTCCAAAAGATCACAGAGTTAGATCGTGTTTGCAGGATCTTTGGGAAGAATGACTGACCAAGTTCATGTCCTCTTGAAGATCTTCAAACCATGCAGTGATATCTTTCTCTCTGTGGACACTTGCTATGTATATGGAAGCTAGTGCAATGCGATAGGGTGGGTGTACAAGAATGAGGTCCATCTTATAAGTATCGTTAACAATTCCCCTGAAACACACCAACACAAAAAACATTGGTTTATTAGACAAAAAGTTCACACAGGTCAGAGATCTGAGATCTTAGTGTTGGAACTAGCAAAAAGATCTCGTACGGAAGGACTTTACCATGTTAACTGGCTCATATTTACATCGTTTATTGCAGCATCTTGCAAAAACCTGGCAAACCAAAAGAATTCAATTCCAGGATAAGCGAAATATATTGGGTTAGATACTATCAAGGCACACAAAACTCTCACCAAGGAATATAAATCAGTCCAAAAAAACATGTCAACATTGCAACCGCAAAAACTAAGACTCTATGGCTTCCGAAATGTAAAATAATAGAGATGAAAGCACATACTCAGATAATGACCGATAAGGGTGAAACACAACCAAATAATAGTCAAGTGCTTCTAAGACCTTCATCTCCATTCCTAATATATCTTTTAGTTCATATTTGTACTCATCAGGATCTGCAAAAGGGCACAAGAAACCGTTGTTGATATGTCAAAGAAAAAACGCATATTGAAGGAGATCTCATAAGATTTAAGCACTGGTTGAAAATCAAGAAATCAGAGACACAGTAGAAGATATTACACAATCTCTTGATGTAAAAGACAAGATTCCTGGCCTGCACTATGCTTTCTTCAGCTTTAGATGCCAGGTACAAGCATGTCAGAGCAACAAGACGGGGCTCAAACTCTACCATGCTCTTTCTGAGACAGTATAATGTCAAAGGATGATATTAGAGGCCAAAATACAAACTTTTGTTAGTTGTTACACAGTTTATAGTTGTTGATAGCAGATATGCGACACAAAGACATGATTTATCTACAGAGACATTGCCATGAAAGGGCATAGCTTTTATCAGTAATGGCAATGACTAATCACAAAGAAAAAGAAAGAGATTAGACTTTGACTCATTCCATTTCTGACAAACACAAGATGCACTTTGAGAGGATCATAAAGAGATTACATGGCATACCTAACATAAACCCGTCTCATATACGTAATTGCGGTAGCCACAACCCTGCACAAGTAGGAAAAAAAGAGAGCCAATGATTCATATCAAACTCCAGGTTACACAGATCAAGCCACGGAAAAAAAAGTGATGGAAGAAATGTAACAGTTGAATCTCTGATTAGCAAATTGGATCCCAAAATGCAAAAAAACAACCTTTGCCTCACTTTAATGTGCATAGCCAATTTCATTATATCTGAAACAACAATAAAGAAGCATTAAACTCAACAGCAAACAAGTCTAAAAAGGACACTTTATTTGATCGATATCTTAAATCTTCAAATCTAAGATGATAAATCTGATTAGCTCTGAGACTTTGTGCTAATTTATCCAGAGCAAAACCAATTGGATAAAAGAGACAATCGAGGCAAAATAGCAGGCAAAATATAAACCACATATCTGCTATAAATTATGCAGACAGAGACAACCTTAAGTACAGAAGTAATCCATTCCATTCCAGAATTCGAGAGCAGAGAAGTAAGAAAAATAAAAAACGATTTGAAAAGAAGAAAAGGTTCGTACGATTGGTCATATGGAACTTGATGAGCTTGAAATCCTCAACGGAGATTCCACGTTCTTTATCGAGAGCATGAACTACATCGACTTCTTCTGGGTGCATAAGCTGTTTGCTGCTCGTACCAACCCAAAACCAAGCCAAACACACACAAAAAAAAAAATCGAAATTGAGATCAAAGTTGCATAGTAGCAGAAGTTAAAATTTTCAAGGGAAAAAGCGAAAAAAAATGTTACTAGTGAGAGGAATTCCAGAAATTGGCAGCCATTTTTTCCGATCTCCGGCGATCTCAGGGAAGGATGGGTAAGTAGGAGAAGCTTAATCTCATAAGTCTCTTCAACCTTTTCTGTTATCTGTCAAATCTTTGTTCTCTCATTGATCTATCAAATCGTACTTTTTTACTTGAATTGTTACTAAAGTTCGGCCCATACTTGGCCCAACATTCGTAGCCTTTTGGCCCTTTTCTTCCTCAAAACTCAAAAATTCACACAAATGACAAATCCTCGAATAAAAATAAATTATTTGTTTTTTCAGTATCTAGGAAGTAGGAAGATCTTTACAATATTGGAAAACTCAGATATTCATTGTTACGAACAAAGATCCGTAAGGATGTAAAGGAATAGCGAAATGTTTATACTGATATGATATTATGATATAACTTTATACAGGAATACAGGATATTGTGAAATCACTCGGTTTAGAAGAAGGATTGTCTAGAGCATAGTAGCATACATTCGACCGAGGCATAAATAACATTGAACAATGCATAACACGTGTGTGTGTGTGTTATATTTTCAATTCAATTCAGATAAATAACGTTATTCTGATACTGGATACTGACAAAGAAATATAACGGGAAATGTTATTATATTCCAGCTAGTTTTAGCCTTTTAGGGAATGTTGGCTTATTTTTTGGAAATATATATATACACATGCTTTGTGCATTTTGACCATTCCTAAAGAACAAATCATTAATTAATCTTCTTAAATAAATCTTAAAGCATAAAAAATGTGGAGGAGAAGAGGAAGCGAAACGGACCCTGTTGTGGGCACGTGAAGAGTGAGTTAGTGAGAGAAGAAGCAATCAAAAAGTCGTCAACTTGGTGGCCCCAACTTCCTCCGTCTATATATAAACCCACTCTAAAGCCCCCTTTTCCTCTGCCTTTTTGTTTTCCGTACACTTCGCCTCTCCTTCTCGCGATCAAAACAAACCCTAGGCCCCGCCATTGCCTCTCTGCTTCGCGACCCAATCGGAGCTCCAATTCACTACTCAAACTTCTCTCACACCTCCTCCACCACTCTCTCTCTCTAATTTCAGGTCTGTCGTCTTCCACAATTTCGCTTTCATTTCTTCTAGTGACGATTTTTTCGCCAAATGTGATCTACAGTGTCTCTTCTCCCCTGTAAAATCGAAATGTGGAGTTGATTTTTTGCCTCTTAGTTCCTTTTTTGCTATCTCTTGTTTTATCGACGTTGTTTATGTGTGTTAGTGTGTTGTTCATGTGGGTGCGTCTAGGGGAATGATCGGAGATGTTGAAATTTGATTATTTTTGTGTGAATTTTTCCTTTCAAGGAATTTCGGGTTGCTCTGTGACGAGATTGATTTTTAACATCCTCAAGGCATTTGCTTTAATCTCTGTAGGTTGGTGATACCATGGATCCTGCTGCACGAGTACCTGCTCCTGTTGTTGACCCACTCACTGTATGGTGTTTCTTCGCCTTTCACAAGTCCTAATATTGTTTTTTTTTGTGTGTGTGTGTGGCTACTGGCTAGTCCCTTTTCGTGTGATTAGAGCTGTTTTTGGGTTGGTAAATGCAGGTCGGGAAAGCATTTTTCACGCAGTACTATGAAGTTATGTATACAATGCCAGCGATTCTGCACCAGTTCTACCAAGAGATCAGTAAGGTTGGGCGTGTTGGAGAAGATGGAGTCATGCGTGACTTCTCCACCTTGCAAGTAAGTATTGTGGGTAGTTTAGCTGCTTGATTTTGGTTGTATGAGATCATTCCTTTTTCCATTATGTCAGGACTCAGAGACTACCATTTAATTGTGTGAATTAAATGGGATTGCGCTTGAGTGTCACTTGCTTGGATGAAATTTGTTCTCAGTTTTTAGCAACTTGATAAAAGTTTGTATCTTTGATGTCTGTTCTTGAGCAGGGAATCACTAAGGGGCTTGAGACACTGTCTTATGGAGGATTTAAGTCGGCTGAGATAACAAGTTATGATATCCAAGAGTCTCTCAATGGGAGTTTCCTCCTTGTGGTTACTGGCTTCTTTCTAAACGAGATTCAGAGAAGGAAATTCACCCAAACTTTCTTCCTTGCCCCGCAAGAAACTGGTTACTTTGTTCTTAATGACATCTTCAGGTTTGTCAGTGAACCCGAGCCCATCGATGGGGATGGTGGTTTTGGGAAAGACTCTGAGTCACCCAGTCCTTTTAATGGTAGGTTAAACTCATACTCATTCTCCATCACTATTTTTAACTTCCTCTTACGCAGTTGATCATATTTAATAATTTAACTCCTACAGGCAATAATGGTTCTGAGCAAGCTGCATGTGTTTCGGGGAATCCTGTTTGCAAGAAAGTGTCTAAGCCTATGAGTAATGAGAATGCCTCAGCTGCTAAGGAGAATGTTCTTGTACCTGAGATCGGCAATGAAGAAGCTCCAAATACTGAGATAAGTTGCAAAGAAGTTGCAGAAGATTCGCTGAAAATTTCTGACAAATATGAGACATATGAAGATGCTCCCAAGAAATCTTATGCCTCTGTTGTAAGTAGACACTCAAAATACTCAGCCTTGTTTCATCTTGTTGTGTTAACTAGATAACTTCTGGAGCTTTCTACTGATAATCCGTGACTTTCGTAATAGTTGAAGGTTGCGAAGGATGGAGTTTTTGCTGGGTCTTCACTGTCTCCAAAGCAGATACCCAAAACCCAAGAACAGCAAGAGTCTTCAGATCCTTCCCCAGTGGAGATACTCAAAGAACAAGGTCATCAAGCGTCTCTTGATCCTTATCCAGTGATAGAATCTGATGCAGTTTCTGAGGTCGTTGATGCTACTGAAAATGAGAACAATCAGGGGTTTGAAGGTAGGAGTTCACTATTTGGCTTGTCCATTTCATATTAATCCATTCATGACATGGTTTTAACCTTGTTTTGTCTTTGCATTAGTGGCAGCTGAGGGTAGATCCATTTATGTGAGACATCTTCCACCGAACGCCACCGTTCAAATGCTTGAGGCTGAATTCAAGCAGTTTGGAGCTATTGGCGATGGTGGGATTCAAGTGATAAACCAATTTGTAAGAAATCAGCTGTTGAAGTTTGAGTCCTTTTTCTAGGGATGAAGAAACACACTGGTTTGCTTTTTTCTTTGTGAGCACTTATATACAAGTTTACTTTATGACTGGTAGGGCTTTGGTTTTCCTTTTGGTTTTGTTGAGTTCAAAGACGCAGATGCCGCGCAGAGAGCAATAGAGGTGCGTACATATTCTTAAATCTCAACTAGAACATAATTTTCACTTTCTTGGTTAGCATAAGAAAAACCAATTTGACCTTAACGAACAAGTCCTAGTCACTGAAAACGACAGTACCTGACGTTTGAATTGGGTTTAAACTATATAGGCTTCACCTGTGAGGATTGGTGGACAGAAAGCTTTCGTGGAGGAGAAGCTATCTACAGGAAGAGGTGAGTTGGTGTAACTTGTAACTAGCAAAACTCTTGATATGAATTAAATGAAGAGGAGGATGATGATTGCTGTTTGGTTGAATAACAGGTAACAACAGAGGAAGTGGAAACGAGTACGGGAACAGAAATGTGGGAGTAAGAGGAAGAGGAAGAGGAAGTTACGGATTTGGCAACAATCACAGGAGGGGAGGAGGTGGAGGAAGGTCTTTTAACCGTAGAGGCAATGAATTCGTCGCCAGCCTCGATACATACTAAACCGGATGTTGCTCTTTTGTGGTGGAGGAGGGTAGGTAAATCATAAAAGCTTGTAATAAATGATTTTTGGAACGAAGACCAGACGTCTCTCGTTGTCTCGGTAGATATCTCTCAGGTGTTGTTATAATATTAGTGGGAGGCAACAAAAAGAAAGAACAATATTTTGTCAGGATATAAGTGTAAGACAAGTTTGTTGTTATTATTCGACTATCTTTTGGAGACCCTTGATTTTAATATGGAGTTTTTAAATATAATATGGATGAGCACATGCATTTGTTGTTTTTGATTTTGAACGTGAAGGTATGTGACAAACTAAAGCATTGTGGACCACGAGATACACAACCTTTTTTTTTTTAAAATGAGGGAATTCAAGACTGCGTGCCGTTTTCCATTTATTATGTTCTCATTGTTTCCAATTGACTTGTGGTCAAATATTTTGACTACTGGAAGGCAAAAAAAATCCAAAAGGACTCGTTAGTTTCAGCTGTGACCAACAGAAGAGAAAATCCAAATCTCCGACGAATTTTATATTTACATAAAAGTAGGGAACTTCCTCAAAAACATTTATCGTGGACTAACAAACGTACTACTCGATATCATCTTGGGATATGGTTTCTTTCAAGAGAGTAGCGAGACAAGGGAGACGAACTCAAGAGTGACCCTGCCCTTTGACCTAGTGTTGATAACGAAATGCTCTGGGTATTTTCTCAGCAGCATCAGCAGTCCGTACCATGGTTTACCCTTTGCTTCCGGAATTGCCCACTCCTCAGGCGTCAGGTATCTCCTTACACGACTGTGATGCCATACATTCCCATAGTTCTCTAGTACCTGCCACAGATAAGTAATCATGCATCAGCAAGTAAAACTGTAAAAAGTAACACTAACGTGGATCTCGAAAAAGTCCTAGCGTTTTCAAAATGCTAGTACAGTAAAAAGACCAGATGGGTTTAATATTCGCTAATCGCTATAACCAATTAGCGTAAGTAACTCCTCAGAAAACTGATCTGAGCCCAGGCAAGATGAATCCTCACAAACTAGTTTTAACATCCTCTAGAGTTGTAGAAAACAATAGGCAGTGTACTTCTCTTAGAACACCGATAAATGTCTATCACCAATCCAAGGCCAAAATGAATCCTTACAAATCTCTACCTACAAGCTCGTTTTTGAATTATTGATTTGTTGGCTGGCTTACAATAGTCTCGAGTTCTAAAGGCAAGTTTTTATGAGTGTGATACCACTTGTATCAACTGCTACAGTACTACCACACATAGAGAGGAAGACGTTACCTATAGAGGAATCTAAGTAAAAAAGATTTAATCATGGCACTACAAGCTAGCATTGAAAGTTAATTTCCCCAATTTATATCAGCAGAATAACTCGAAAAAGCTTCTATATCCAAAAGAAGAGATGGTAATTAAAGTAAGAACTAACCACAGAATGAAGCTTCTCCATAGGCATCCACTCTCCTGGGCCGCACAAATCAGAAAGCACAGTGGCAACAGATGACACAACATCTTTCTCCTCAAGCAGCAAAACTTGCTGATCATCAGCTTCACGATCTACCCTTGTTCTTCCCTCTCCCTTCCTCTCTGCAGACATAAAGTGGATATAATCTCCCAATTAGAAAGATACAATTCATCTCAAGTCCAACGATGTAAAGACTTCCATCAAAACTTCAAATAAATCCAAACAACTAGATATCATGGTATCGGAAATATGTCAACAACAGAAATGTGGAACGAGAATTTGTATCTAAAGAGGAAACTTTTCTCAGGATCAGCGATGCAATTCAACACCTGTTCTGAAAATTTTAGCAGCAACTCAATGATTCCAACATCTTTCGAGTATAAAACCGTAGAGTAATGCTGAAACCTAAAACATTTTCATTTGCATACAGAGATTATGCTAAGAAATTAGTTAAAGTCTCATGAGAAATCTGATTTTACCAACGGAAGCAGGTGCAGAGCCGCCATATCCATCTCTCCTTGCTTTCTTCCCGCTGCTCCTGACATTATCATTGTTGTCATCTTCTTCTTCTTCTTCATCGTCATCATCATCATCATACTCTTCAAAGTACTCTCTTCCCCGCCCGCCTTTCTTCCCTGACCCGGAACCCGGCCCGGAATGATACTGATGATAAGGCACGACTGCTCCGGCGCTGGTATGCCCTGAGACGACGTGCCTGGGTCCCATCGGTCCACCTAAGATGCTCCTGACAGGAAGCAAAAAGTAAAACTCCTTATCTCCGATCTGGAGAAGGTCCTGCGAATCGAGCTTAACGGTAGGGTTTCCCGGAAGATGGAGGACGCCTTCGACGAGGCAGCCGTTTTTACCGAGGACCTCGAGGGCGAATCGGCGGCGCGTGAAGTCGTAGAAGATCCGAGCGTGGTTTCGGGAGATGTTCATTCCACCGCCGAGGGAAGAGAGATCGACATCGACGGTTGATTTCTTAGAATTCCGGCCAAGCATGATGGAGTAGGTCTGCATGTAGTACTCAAAATCTTCGCCCTGAAGCTTCGCAAATCCCACCTCCACGTCGCTACCTGCGAGGGATGTCCCCATTCGACAAAATTTTCCCGGAGAACAAATTGGCTTTTCGCAGAAATCTCGAGAACAAGAGCACAAGAGGGAAAGAAATTGCCGCCGATGGTATCGTGCTTTCGGAGACGACGGAGATGTGTTTGGATCGAAGGATTAGTTTATCCAAGGTCTAGATAGGAACAAAAAGAAAGCACGAGCGGAGAGAAATTACAAGCTAAACCCGGTTTGGGTTTCCGAAACATCCGGTTATTGAATTCAACATTGCAGAGGCAAAAAAAATACGTTATTGCCTTGTTGGTAGTTGGAATGATTTCAGGATTTTTACTGAATTTGATCAACTGTACGTAATGCAGGACATCAGATACTCATGCTCTACCTTTGATGGTTTGAGATTACCTCACAAAACTGAACAATGATGATGTGACTGTGAACAATGTCAAGATTAAAGGCACAATCTATTAAGCTTATCACCACAACAAAACTCAAAAGAAGAATAAGCCATGATGTTTCTTGACCAATTTAGGTTACCATTCTTGTGTTACTACTTTCATTATTCATTCGGTCATTCCTCTTTTACAGACTGGTAGAATATAAGGTCGAAAATAGAGTCTAACTGAAGTGTATTTGGTTAGAGATTTTGCCTTTGAGTCCCTAAAAGATTAGTCTCTAAGGCAACCATTTCAGAGGTTACACATAGGATCATCAAGCAGTAAGCACAAAAATATCAAACCCTACAACAAGAAGGTTCCATTTCCATATTTCTGATAAATGACACGTCAATAAGACATGCAATTGGCAAAGTTTTTCTCTCACCGCATGGAGTCCTACAAGGAGCTCACTTGTGAGTTTTTGGCATCGATGAGGTATCACCAATTGATGAGCTCGATCGAGCTGAGTTGGACCAAGGCTGGGGATGGATTACTTTCTTGGCAAAGGGAGAGAGGAAGATGGTAACCTTCAGGCAGCTAGAGATACTCTTTGGTTCACTTATGGAGAAGGAAACCTATGGAATATCAAGGAGATGAACTCCAAAGAGTGTGGGCTACAATCGCTGAAGAGGGATACTCTTCTTCAAGGTCAAAAGCTGCCCAAATCAGGAGCCCAGTGCTGAGATATGTCCACAAAGTTGCCAACACCTTCTTTGCAAGGAAAGCCACTGGTACAATCAATGAAGGAGAAGTGAAGCTCCTTGACATGGGAATTAAGCCCATCATCTCACGCACAAGGGATGGGAAGAAGATCAGAGGAGATAGGGCACACGCAGGGAAACTTCATGCCTCTCCTTGAGCAGCTGCTCTCCTACAAGGTCACGGCCTACAACACTCGGTTTCAAACGGGAAGGAAACTTAGTGTTGGAGGAGTCATCACGCCAATCCTATGTGCAGCTGGAGTCCAATTGGACAAGAGGGTGTCAACTCCAGCTGGATGGATGGACATCAAGTTTTGCAAGACCAACCTCCTCATTGAACACAAGGAGTTGGATGGGAGGTACCAATTCAAGTTCACACATCCATTGGCTGGCCCTTCCAAGCTTCTCCTGCCCAACCCAGAGCTCACCACAGTAGTCAGGGGTGAGAACATCGATTTCAGACCCCCTGTGTACACATAGTTGGGCATGAGGATGAGTTGCGAGAAGAGGAGCCTGAACTCGATCGAGCTGAGGATCGAGCTGAGGTTCAAGCTGAGGATCGAGCCCAGGAGAATGCGGATTTGGGTGAGCCTGAATGTTACTATTTTGAGGAGTATGAGGCTCCAAGGATGAACCCCTCTGTTGTGGCTGCTCACAAGAGGATTGGACTTCTTCAAAAGTTCAACAAATGGCAAGGGAAGGCCATTGAAAAATGCAAAAGTCCATGGACAAGATGGTGAGCAAGATCAAGAGTTTGGAGAAGAAGGTTTCTGGTTCTTCATCCAAGAAGAAGAAGGCAACCATGGCCCCCACATTCCCTAGGAGTAGATCTCTCCTCACCACCCAAGGAGGCTTCATACCCAAGAGCCTCACAGAGCCTCATCATTTGAGAAAAAAAAAAAAAAAAAAAAAAAAAAAAAAAAAAAACTAAATTCCCGTTTAATCTTAATCAAGTCTATTAAGATGAAAAAACTATCGCTAGTTAGACTTACATGGTTGCTAGTGATGCTGTTGCTGCTGCTGTATCAGTCATCTGGTGGTTGGAAGGAAAACTCGAATCAACTCTTTCGCAGTAACCTTTTTCCTACACGTGGGACATTTAGCCTGGCGAGATATCGCCATCTTTATACATCCCTTGCAGAAGATGTGACCGCACTTTGTTGACATCTCCTCAGTAAACGGGCACATACAGATCGGACAAGTAAATTTTGGCTCTTCAGGTGGAGGAGGTGGTGGAGCCTTTGGTTTAGACACTTCAACAACATTTACAGTGGCATGCTCACAGTCGATGATAGGTTGATTAGAAGGAACCCTTCTCCGTTTGTTGCTTATGTAGGGAGGCAATCTAGTCGTACAACCTGCACTTACACGTCCAAGTAAGCTATGAGAACAATTTCTAACCAGCTATCTCTCAACAATCAAACTCCTCCAATATTAGACTCCAAGAGTATAAACTCACCTGACTCTAAATCAACCATCATAGGCCTCCGACGTACAGCTAAAGATTTACTTTTAGCCTGGTACCAAAAACGAAACAAAAAAAATGGTGAGCCTTTGACTCAAACTGAGCCTATACAGCACTGCAAAACAGGAGAAGAAGCATACCGCAGCAAAAGCACTTGCGGATGATTCGATAACATCATCTTCATCGACATCAATAATGGTAGGGGTAGGCTGAGGAGGTACAATATCCACTGGAATGTTATGAGAACCTCTTACGGAAGATGAGGTCCCTTCTTGATCTCTGGGTTCCACATTCAGATCAATCACCGCTTTACTCACTCGATTTCCTCGAGTTGTTTTCCACTCCTGTGTGCTCATCTTTCAGCTCAGATTGACAAATCGGTGTACCTATATGTTTCAGCCACAGACAATCTGATTTACTCCTCAATGTATAGACAAAAACTGGTGAACAATGATTCATTTTCTGAGAAGATATACTGAAGAAATGAAAGCAAACAAAAAAAATCGAACTTTTTTTATATATTATGGAAGCAAATTCAATTTCATTAAAAAAAAATCAATTTTACAGCAAAAACTACCAAAATTCCATCGATGCTACCAAAGAAAGACAATTGAAATATCAAAAAGAAGAAAAATTGACTAATCGGATTCCAGAATGGAGAATGATCGTTCGTAATCAACAATAAACGATTATTAGATTAGGTTTGAAATTAACTGAATGGGCTCTTCGATCGATTAGTTTCGACGTTCTGGAGTCTCACCGTGAGCCGAATTTCACTCGAGGAAAATCGAAGGAGGGAATTAGGAACCCAATCTCTTTGGTGTATCTAGGGTTTTTGAAAGTTGCAGGATCGTTTATCAAGAGAGAGAGAGCACCACGAAGAGGGAGAGAAACGGAAAGAGATTTGAGTTCATAAAAAGGCACGCGGTCGGTGTTTCAATGAGGTCGGGACACGTGTCTCGTAAGGAGATTTAAGAAACGGCAGGGTCTTTTTGGCACTTCGTGGTGTTTTCTTCGTACTTGCTACAAAACTGTTCCTCGGAAGAAGCGAGAAAGTCAAACTTGACCTGCTTGAGATACTGAAATAGCCCATTGGGCCAAATTATCAATAACTACTACTCTTTGTAACTTTGTTCAGGCCATTTGTTTTGTACAATATGACTTCTGTTTATGATTTCTTCTCCAACTGCGTCCAATTCTTGACTAGTTTCGAACTAATTTTGATACTTAACCTAATTAATTGGTATGATTTAGAAATTTAAGGAAGATAAAAACTGCCAGAAAGTACCTAATGTATAGGCATCATTTGAAGAAAAAAATCAAAATATATGTTTTGGATTTGTACCTTACTTGGCCAATACATCAAGCCTCGCATCATGCAACTCATACAACAAAAATTTACAATTCATACAATTATCATTTTTTGTTGTTGTAAGAGAGACCTTTTTGTTATCATTCACTTATGTGATTTTTGGGTTGTTTCCATATCGAAAAGCTCTCACACACGAACTAAGATAAAAAACACACACGCAAAAAAAAGTAACAACACACACTTATTGTGAATTGGAGCCGATGGTTTGGATTCCTCGTCTTCATCCCTCCTCTTCTGTTTGGGTTTGTTTAACTGGGCTGGGTAAATTAGATCCAATATCTATTAAGCTCTTTGGGCTTCCTAAAACTATCTATAGTCTTGGGCTTGTAACTCTTTTTCTTTCTTTTTGCATTTTAATATGAAAGCCAGTTCTCAAACAAAAAAAGTAACAACAGAAAAAACCACAGCTTACGTCTCCATATATAAGTAAAAAACAGAAATAAATGAAAAATAAATTATGCATGCAGGAGAAACACAAACGAGGGATTTATGAAAGAGAGAAGGTCATCTTCAGTAGCTTCTCTTTCATTTCCATGGAGGAAAGCAGCAGCCCTGCACATCAATATTTACAATGGACGTCAAGTTAAATAAGATGGAAAACCACAATTTGTATCATTGTATGATGACGTGTGCGGTTTTTGCTGAAAAGTAAAAAGTGAAAACTATATGTATATGTTAATATGCACACAAAAGCTTATGATAATGGGCAGTCCTACGTGTTAGAAAATAGTTAAGACCCTAGTTTTGCAACGATTGCTTTTATGATATTTGGATTTTTGGCAGATAGTTAATCTTTTGTCTCGATAATCAAAACATGTAATGAAATGAAATGATTCTCACCGCATTAAGTATACACAGTATATATCAAATATTATGCTAATCAAATAAAAATGTGAAGATGACATTACGTCTTCTTCGGACCACATTAGAAGTCTAACTAAATTTGTATATTTATAAAAAATACTTTTATGACAATAATAATAATAATAATAAATATATACCTTGGGACTAGAAGGTAACGGTTGATGATGTTGGTCGTTGGTTCGAGACGGGGTGCTTTGAGCGGTTCCATTGTAAGACCTCACAGTCCCACTTTGTTTCCTGTCTTCCTTCACTTTGTCAAAGATGAGTGTGTAGCTCTGATTCTGATCCGATCCCGATCCAGGAAACGGTGGAATGGTTGCAACCTTTTTAACAAAATAAAAATACAATTATTTGACAATATATTTATGATACATTTTTGATTAATCAGTTAATGAAATGAAAGAGTGCGCTTACTCTTTCACTGCTCCGGCCTCTAAGATTACGAATCGGCCTAGGTTGCACCTGTGGAGGATCATGGGGTTGCCGTCGATTAGCTTCCAATAGATTTCCAGCTGATCTTCCTCCACCACCGTATGATTGATGGTTGTAAGTTTCTGGTGTGGGAGGAGCTCTGGCTCTCATGTTTCTTTCATTGTGTGACTGCGAGAAGGGTCTCAATTCGGTTTCTTCTCTGCTACTCAATCTCTCGTGTCTTGGTCGTACATTGTGGTTTGGTTGTTGATCGTGTCTTTGATTTCGACTTGGTGCAGGATTTGGATTCATATCTGGATACTCGTTGGGATTAGACACGTTTGTTGTGTTTTTCTTCGACCTACTGGCTTTATCGAACACAACCGTAAATGGCGCATCTTCAGTCCAGTCTCCGAATTTGGGTATGTTTGGACGATTCTTTAACCACAAGGAAAAAAGGACTTAGGGTACATTTAAATTGCAAGTAAGAAGAGACATGACTATTCTTAGAAAATTAGAAATCTCATATGAATGAATATGCATAATATTATTGTATATGAAGGTTATAGACAAAAATCTACTTGCTTTTAATCAGATTTGAATTGTAGACCATATATGTATAAATAGTTCTTGCAGAGATTTAGAGTTGAAACTTTCTTTTTGGTAAATGTTTAGAGCAGAATATTTAAGGCACAAGAAACATAAATCTCTATGGATTAAGAGAAGAACAGGAATGTGTTCATACACAAAAATTGTCAACAGATAAACAAATAAAATTTCGTAACATGTCATTCACTGATTCACACAAAGAAGAAAAAGATGGTGGAACACAAAAATTATATAATTATATAGGCAAACAAAATAAAAATGGACTTACTGCCGCCATGTTTCTGAATTTTGAGCAGCCAGAAATGCAGAATTGCTTCAATGGTCTCTGAAGGAAAAGGAAGATAATAGTTTTGACTTTTGAGAGAGAGATGAGAGACGTGTATACACGAAGGCCAACGTTGACTTGACTTGTCGTTCTTGTGATTGCGTAAAACGACGACGACTCCTTCCACGCTGACTTGTCTTTTACATTTCAATGATTGATGAATATGTCTAACATACGACGCGCTTCATGCGTGTTCAGATAATAATAAAACTGATCGTTGACGAACTTCCGCCAGTTATGTACTAAGTACTAACTAATCGTGGCGTGACACGTAAAATTTGGATTCATGAGTATGCAAAAATACGCATCTTTTGCATCATATATGATAATACGACTATATGAGATGAACCCTCGAGCCTACCAAACGCGTATGAACAAGCGCACTATGTGCAGATGATCAACACCTGCGTACAGCCAAGCCATAGCCGTCGACTCTCACTGACTCAGAAAGACCTCGCGCAAATTGGCTTTGACCAAAATTATGCACGAACAAAACAAAGTACACAAATGATCAGCTAAGTATAAAAAGATGTAATAATTCTCTATTTTTCTTTTTTTTTTAAGATGTAATTCTCTAAAGATTTTCGTTAGAGTACCCAAATTTATTAAGAAATCAAGGATATACTTTTATTGAAATTGGAATATGAACCGAAACTATGTAAAGTTCTCTAAGTGATAGTATTGTGTTTTACTTTGGATACTGTATTACTCAAAAATCAAAAATCTTGAAAACTAAAAATGATTCTTTGGAGTATTATGTTTTACTTTGGGTACTATTATATTATGCATTAATAGAAAATCTTAAAAGCTGAAAACCAGAAACTCAAACATTTGACATGTTTCTAATTTGTTTGATACATAAAAAATAATATTTGGCTTACTAATTTCTTTATTCAATTCTTTCAGACAAAGATTAGATGCAACTTTACTAATTCGTCATCTCTCTCTAAAGTAAAGCAAAAAGAAAAATTTACGTCTGGCAAAAGCAAGTACAAAAAGGTGCGAGTAGTTTAGACTTTATTAGAGTAGAGTTTACTCTTGAATCTCAAGCTTACATAATTACACCATTAATCTCTCTTCTCTTAGGCTAAGCAAACAACATTTCGACCATTCTCTTTAAAAAAAAAAAAAAAAAAAAAAAAAAAAACATTCCGACCTTTATGCTTTCCAACTGAACTCATCTCAGATCCTTCTTGACTCTTCAGTGTTTCATCTCTCCTGCTGAAACACCGATAAGCCTTTTCAATTTCCTGACTTCAATTCTTCTTAGTTCGCTCCACTTTTATGATTTCTTGGTGGTATCAGTATCAGGAATGAGTGATAATATCTCTTTAGCTCACTGATTTCTCGAAAAAAGCAAAATGGGTTTTTAGATAATTCGCTACTTTCTCTTCGTCCTCCGATCTGGGTTTTACTTTTTATTTCCACACCCAAGTAGAAAATCAGAAGACGAGAGTTAGGAATTAGGGTCTAAGGTCTTTAAGTTCTTCGTGAATTGTGGTAAAGGAACAAACTTTTTGAATTGGGAATTTTCGGAAATGATTCAGCTACTGTTTATGGTTCTGTTCGCGGAGGGTGCGATTGCATTCTTGCTGCTGATCAAGATCGGTCCATTGAGGGAGCTAGTGATTAAAAGCCTTGATCAGCTGAAGATGGGGAAAGGTCCCGCCACTGTGAAAACCATCGCCGGAACCATGTCTGTGATCCTCCTCTCCAATTTCATGAGCATCGTCAAGATCCAGAACAAAGGTGCTAAGCTCGGCACCATGTCTCCCATGGATCAGGTCCTTTGGCGAACCCACTTGCTTGAAGCCTCTCTAATGGGTCAGTTTCTTGCTTGGCTCTGTTAAGTGAATAATTCAGTTGATTTATTACCTTGATTTGTCCGTCAGTTGCTATTTTTAGCTATTGGCTTCTAGATTAGGCTTTTAGCTATGGTTTAAGAACAAAAGTTGAAATCTTGGCTGGATCTTTGTGCTATTTCTTGTAATAAATATGATCTTGAATTGTCCATAACATTCACATATTGCTGATGTGTGGTAATTGGGTTTGATGCAGTCTCTTATCAAATACTTTTTTTGGTTGTTTGAAACTTTCCTTTTGGGTTTTATATGAGCTTTGAAACTCTTGAAAATGATTGAATTACGTTTGAAGCTCAAAACATTAATGATCTTGCAGGAGTTGTACTTTTTCTTGGCTTCATAATTGACAGAATACACCACTACCTGAGAAAGCTAATCAATTTGAGAAGCAACGTTGGGTCATCAAAAGAAGAGCTTGAACAGCTCCAGAGAGAGAGAACCGAGCTGAAGGAGAGAGAGGACAAGGCATCCAAGGAAATGAAGCAGCTGCAAGAAAAGCTGTCGTCTGTTTCAGAGAGGCTTAAGAAAGCAGAGAGCGAGTCGAAAGAGAAAGAGAAGAAGCTGGAGACCGCTGAAACCCATGTGACTGCGCTCCAGAAGCAGTCTGCGGAGCTGCTTCTTGAGTATGATAGATTGCTAGAAGACAACCAAAACCTCCAAAGCCAAATCTTGGGGAAAACTAAAAAGTGATGTAAGATGATTGTTTGGGGTTTGTCATTTTTATTAACAAGGGTTTTTGATGTGTTGTTTAACAATGGTGATGAGAAGAGAGTTCTTTTTTTCAATGGAGGAATTCTTGCAGTTCTTTTTTTTAGTGCGGATGTTAATTGTCTTCTGAAGCATGTCTTGTTATCTTTAGATCTCTTTGAGTTGTGCCTGCAAAGTTCTGATTTTATATTGCAAAACAAACAATATAACGTTTACAGAGAAGGAGTAGCTTATTGGAAACGAGACCCGGAAAAAAAAGTGGTAATTACTTTGATAGAGAGAGATATAAAAAAAAAAAAAAAAAAAAAAAGTTGCCGAAAAAACGCCGTCTGAGGGGATCGAACCCTCGACCACGGGATTAAAAGTCACGCGCTCTACCACTGAGCTAAGACGGCTTCTGTACAAAATGGTTTGCTGTTGTTATTTATTCAATGCCAAGCAATTCACTTCGGCACTAATCTATCGATTTTCGGCACTTTGAATCCACTGATTCAGTTCTTGTCTTTACGAGCTAATCACCAACAGCACAAGTGAAGCCGATTGTTTTTTAACTGAGTATTATAAATTCGCTTTTGCAAGTATCGAGTTTAGGATATTTTCTTGTTTCAATTTTTTTTCAGCCTTTCATTCGTGTTTTTAGCAAAGTTTGGTTTGTGATCAACTCTATGTCAAAGAGAACAACTTAGTTTCTAAACTTCTTGTTCCCTCTGCTTCTACAAGGGTCATCAAGAGAAGCAAGATCCCAAAGCTCACTCGATTTCAACGATTGCTCTTTTTATCTTCCAATATCAGGCTATGTTAAAAAGGTTACAACCGTTTAATTTAAAAGAACTCTACCTACTTTTTGTCTCTTGAGATACAGATGAGAAAGAAAAGTAAAATGCAGCATCTTCCTGACAATATCCCAAATGTGTCCTTCACCAAAGCTTCAAGCAACAAGCACATCTACTGTTTGGATCCTAAAGCAAGAAGTATCTTCTTCCTAGGGCCCTGAAAAAAGAACACACCTTGTAAGGACAGAGCAAATGGATGATTGATGAATGCATTATCTAGTTAATAGTCATCCTATTATGACTGGAGCAAAGCTGTGGCAATGACTACTAGTAAGGTAAGCATGGGACAAAACAAATCATGTGGCAGCTTTATCATAAATTTTACCAGTGGTATGAGCAGAGCTTTGAGATCATCATCTGTCATATGCATAAGAGCATCCATATCAACCTGAAAAAAAAGATATAAAACAATAAGAAGAGAACGCATGATTTAAACTAACAGTAAAGAGATTTTACGTACTTCTTCCACTTGAAATGCAGTCGCATATTTCTCAAGACCCAGTGATTCCAGGAAGCTATCAACCGACATATCAGCCTGAAACCAAAAGATAAAACTAGTACTGGTGAAACATCCATTTGGTCGAAGAGGTATTGAAAAGCTATATGGGATCAAATACTCATGTACTAGGAGAAAATGAATTATATTATTACCTGCTGCGTTTTCTTCTTGGCAGCTTTGTTCGAAGTTGCTCTAGTCACAGATTTTGTTTCACCTGAAACGCTCTTTAGAGCTGATCTAGCAGCATCCCGTAAAGATCTTGATAGGATACTGTTCTTGGGTTGTGGATTCACTGTCCCAGAAAGCTTTTCCCGTAGATCCCCAACGCCCAAACTAGCTCCTAGACGACCTTGCAAGCCATGGTGTTTCTTCTGGAGCTTCAAGCGAAGATCTTTAGGGTCTACTCTGCGCTCTTTGTTTCGTCAATAACCACAGAGTCAACAACTAAACAAGAAATACTTATGCAGCATTTCAATGATTGTAAAGCTTTTAAAATTTAAGTAAGTAAGCAAGGAAAAGCCACAGCTAAAGTATTACTTGAAATTCGAGGCTTGTCGTCGTCATCCTCGAAAAGATCATGCTCCCACTTATCATCATCCTGCCTTCCTCTGAAACCATTAGGCAATAATACATTCATCAGAGTTTGTTTCCATCCTTATGCAAGGAAACGGTGAAAAATACAATGGAGGGATGTATGATATGAGATTTCGACTTCACAAGAAGGAACAAGCTAAAATCAAGTGGAAGGAGACCTCAAACAGCAGGAAATAGAAAGCTAAAATGCTTTTAATCAACTATCAATGTAACACTAAACTGTTTGAAATTGTGATGAAGTACCCAAGCTGCGTAAGTAATTCAAAACAGAGAAGCAGCTAGTCCTCCTATACGAACCACGAAGGAGGTTCAAAACACGAATTCATAGAGCTGAAATAAGAATCAGATTTGGCCACTGAAGTGAAATCCTAAACAGTAAACGAAAAGGACCCTGACGGAGAAGAGTAAGAGAAATTCGAACCTCTTCCTGGTGACTTGTCTACCGCGAGAAGAGAAATCGCCGGAACCGCCATTGAGACGGCTCTTTACCGTTTTCCTGATTTCAGTCTTAGCCTCCACTTGATCAGAATACATCTGAATCCTTATCGTGTGGGGATAAAAAACCCCTAAATCTTAAAACAAAATCACAGTGAGTAAGAGGGAGACGAGCAAAATAGAACTCCAGCTCAATAACCAGTCTCTATAAGATACGTACCGAGGAGGAAACTGAAAACCCTAAATTTCTATCGGAAAATCACACAAGGAGGTGAAATCTCGAACGAAAACGATATTTCCAATTTCGATTTGGAGTCGACAGCTCGCAGCTTCACGAAAGTATCTCTTCACTAGTATCAAAAGTACCAAACAACACCGGGTTGAATCGGGTCGGGTCGGTCAGGTCGGATAGTTATATTGGAAAAATATTATTGGGCCCTTGTGTGACAGGCCTGTTAACACTCGATTGACGGTTAATTCCGGTATCATCAATTCATCACCACAAATTTTGTTTGGTAGTTGTTTCTATCATCCTAGTCAATTTGATCCGGCCATGAGAGGATTATATTATTGCTTAATAACAAAAGATCCAAACTAATCTATGTGTTAGTCAAACAATTTAGGAACGCAATAGAGACAAGCTAAATTATTTATGTGTTAATGGGAACATAACATTTTAGAAGTCTTGAGCTTCCTTGGAGAGGAGACCAAAGAAAGGATTGGTAATCGCAGACTGCAACTGAAACGCAGCGTCTCGAAGCCGCGAGATGTCTGCGTCTTGAGTCGATAGAGACAAAAACTCAGATGCTGCTTCTCTCTTGAATCCACAAAGCTCCATGAACTCAATACCTTCTTTGTATCTCCCAACTCTCTCCTTGAACAAGCGGTTCGTGACACGGACTCTTCTGTATTTTTCTTCATCTGGATTCTTAGCTGCGTTCCTCACAATCATCAGAAGTGTTTCAAATGCCTTCCTAATGATTCTTGGATCTTCATCCTGTAACAATAACAAGAACAACATGATTACATTTTCACTCTTGTTTTTTTGGATCATCATCCTCTTAATCAATAAAAGTTTTCTTACTTTGTGGTTACGTCTTAATGATCTTAAGCATTCTCTCATCTCCTCTGCTTTCGAGGCAGGGCTTGGCAACGAGATAAATATCCTCTGTAATTGTAATGTTAGAGGAAATATTTCTTCATAGTTTCAAGGTAACAAACAATGGATAAAGAAATTGCGTGACCTTGGAGTCAAGTGGAGCAACAGGAGTTGATGTCGAAGCAGATTCTGTTTCTGGTCGCATTCCGCGCTTCCGCTTTCTCTCTAGCTGTTTACACACAATTAATCCAAAAATGTTAATAGAGATCATCAGTTTTTCAATGTGAGTGTACAAAAAAACACCAAGATTCACCTTGTCTGCATTTACTTTCAGCATAATTTTGTCCCTTGCTTTTTTCTCCTCATCTTTCTCAGCTTTCCTCAAAGCTATATTCCTGTTTTTCAAGTATTACATCATCTTTTAAATGAATCCAAAGGGACAATGTTAGAAACAAACTCTTGGTCTCTTGTCTCATACCGTTTTCTTTCGATTTCTTCTGCAATACGCTTTGTCTCCATCATCTCTTTTCCTGCTCGTATCCTCTCCTGCAACAGAACAAGAGACGTTATGAATCTTTGGTGATAATAACATGTGATGCAATAATTTCGTTTGTACCTTTTCTCTTTCTCTTTCGCGTTTAGTTTCTTCTTCTTCTCTTATCTTACGAGCTTGTTCTCTGATTATACATAAACAAGTACTCATGTGTCCTTTTTAAGGAAGAATGCATTTTATGTTCAAATGAGACTAACCTTAATTCATTTGCTCTTGCCTGAGTAGTATCATCAGATGGAGTTGGAGACTCAATCTCGATATTAAACTCCATCTGCACAAGCCAACAGTTTATCAAAGTTCCTATCGAAAAAAGAAAAGAAATGAAGATGAAGATGAATACATACATACCAAAGGCATTTTGTCAAACTGTGAATCGTTCTCATGATCTACGATCCAATTCACAGCTGTTTCAAGATTAGAGTTACCTGTATATATGAAAAGCGAAGCAAAATGAATGTGGGATTTGTTGTCTCATGACATGAATGTGGGATTTGTTGTGGAGTGGTTTATACATACCAGAGTGATGAAGAGCCCAGGCTGCTCGTGCCATTGAGAATCCCATATCTTCAAGCTCTTTGAGCAATCCACGATTAACCTCAAATGCAACATTTTCTGCTCACCAAAAACCCATCAAGAACAAACTTCTATTTACGCACAAGCACTATGATCTGATTTGATATTGAAACAGAGAACTACTATTGTTACCGGTTTCTGCTAGCATATTTTAAAAATTCTGAGAGATTTCTTGATCTCTGTATTGCTTAGATAAGCCAATGCAAAATATAGTATAATGGTGTGTTTGTATAGGATGTTGCATTATTGAACTTAGATTAGATTCTTTAACTGATTTTGTAATACAGAAAACATCTTCTTTTTGTCACTGACGTTTCCTCAAAGTTTCCAACCTTATATTCTCTTCAAAGCTTGTAACAGAAGCAACGTGATCTTAATTGTTCCTTTCTTGCATTACATAACCATTGAGCCATTTATTCGTACGTATTTAGAAACCTAAATTGGTTACATTCGACCGAATCACTCAAACTCTAAATATATTAAAGATGATGGACGCTAAAACCACTATCACAATGCAGCATTGCATCCATTTGAGCTCCGTCCTCTAGCTCCAGCTAATAACACAGGAAAACAAAATCATTATAAGATGTATCTTCAAATACCACAAAATAAGTTTTTTATTTTCTTCATATCATCACTAGTTTTATTTTTCTCATTCATAATATTTTTCCCAAAATAACATAAACTTTGAAAATTAAAAACCTAAAATATTAAACTCAAACCCAAATATTTAAATTATAAATACTAAGTTTATAATTTAGATATTTATGGTTTAGTATTTTAGGTCTAAGGTTTAACTTTGTGTTTAAAATTTATGTTATTTATTTATGGAAAAAAATAAAACTAGTGATGATATGAGAAAAACAAAAACTTATTTTTTCTCTTAAATATATCAATAAGTTATTATATAAATTCATTTTAATTATAAGGATTTATATATTTACCTCATCAGGTGTATGATACTCTCGAACCCTCGAGCCGTCCACTGTGAGAAAGACATATGTGCCCCACTCCACACCTCGCGACTTGTTGTAATATTCCATTAGTCGAAGCATCTTTGCATTCTTTTTCATCCTAAAGACGTAGATCTTTTCTTCGTCCTGCACACCCACGCACATATATATGTAAATCATACAGTCTAGTCTTGTTAATGTAGATTATGTAAATTAAAGATTCCGTTGACCCTTACTTGCCCCTTGACCCTCACGTTAATATGAGTGGTGCTGGTGGAAGTCGACCCATTCTTCTCTAAGTTCTCTTTCTTAATCACCATATTGCTTCCGTATTCTCAAGTGGCGTCAGTACTCTGAAGCGTTTAATACAACAAATTTAAAAAGGTTAAAAGACATGCATATGAAAAGACGAGACAGTATGCATTTAAATCTAAAGTTGACTCATTGGTAAAAGGTTTGTATATGGTCAATTGATATTTCCCATGTTGAAGTTTTTGCACATAGATTGAAAAATCATTTAACTTTTATTTTTCTAAATTGAAATACCATTTATTTAGTAGATTAAAAAACTCATTGGTAAAAGGTTTGTATGTGGTCAATCTATATTCCCCAATCATTTTTAATTTTTATTCTTCTAAATTGAAATACCATTTATTACCTGCCTAACAACAACTATTCATTTTATAAAAAAAACAAACCATATAAATTGGAAAAAAAAAAAAAAAACTGGATTAAATATAGCACATCAAGTTTGTCAAATGGTTGGTTCATGGACGAGTCCTGCCCATTTCCAATGCGAGTCAATGGCAAGTTTGGTTCTTTAATTAGAACTCATAATCATAACTAAATCCTAGCCTTTCCAATTTGGTATCATAACGAACCTAACTATAAACTCATTACTAGTCTGTGGAAAAATATTGCCGTGCCACAGCAATTCCCACAACTAATACAACTGTGGAGAGAAATGTAAAAGACAAGTGCAATGATCTAGCTTCTGGTGAATCCGAAGATGGTGTTTCAGTTGGTCTCCCTCTGATCTTGGCTGAGATTCTTGATAACAAATGCTTAAGCCCACCTGTTTTCTTCTTTCCTGTCAGAATCAAAAGGTATAACTTGTTACTTAGGAGAATTTAGCCCCAAATGGTCTCACATCATGGCCTGGAAGCATTGAACAAGTAGCTTGGCTTTTTCGAAATCTTTCTTCTTCACCTACACGTATATGGAGGAGACGAAACAAGTCTATGAAACACTGAGCAAAAACCAGGCTCGTGAACACGATTACGTTGTAAGGCATGCTAAAATCAGGGGTTGTTAACGGCACAAGCAAAGCTTCTGTGTAAGAACGCACTAACGACTTTTCCTGCAACAAAATCAGACAAACTGAATTCGCTGTATATTCGAAATAGGCAACAACAATGGCAGAAACTTGAAACTTTTCGTGTGTGTTATATCGAGTGTCTCTACCTTAAGCTTTGATAACAAAGGCGAACTGCTGGATTCTCATTGGAGAACTAATCTTGCATGATGATTAGGAAAGCTTATCAGAGCCGATGGAATGTCAAATCCTTGATTAGCATCTGGAGGATATTCATCAATATGTAGGAATCCCTGTTGAACAATTTTTCATAACATATCAATCAATATGAGATAACTAAGCAGGCAGGAAAGTAAACATGGAGGAAGAAGAACAAAATATCATAAAAAAAGTTCCAGATTGAATGGTAGTTAAATGCAATCGATGAGAATGATAAAAGGCTCTGTAAATAGATGGCCGATGCATTAACGTAGATATCCCATCCATGTCTCGACACGGAAGCAGTTTGAGCCAAGGCGTCAAGTTCTCAGTACAAACGGCTTCGCGTGGCAGAGAACCATATCTCAGCTTGTTTGAGTTTGGACCAAACCTCCAAGAAGGGGAAGCATATGAAGCTGGAGATTCAAGAAAGTTGATAGAAGCACAGAAAAGCCCAGACAGTGCGTTGGTTAAGTTCTTCCAACAAGTATCAACCTGAGACAGAGGAACATCAAACACAGCCCAAAGCTCAACCCCAACAGGTTTTGCATTCATACTTGATAAAGGGTCAAACCCGCCCCATTGTTCGTGGTTCCAACGTCCCTGAGTAAAAGATAGTTCCATCTCTTTGACCCCAAACTTCTGAACCTGTTCCAGAATTTATGGTAAGAAACAAAAAAAAAAAAACCAAAATGGTCCAAAACATGTTCACTAAAAACAGGAAACATGTCACTTCAGTTAATGGGGCAATTTTATACCAGCTGAGAGATAGCTTTGGGGAAGAGATGGTGATGGCGGCCATGGGAGTTTTACGGCGGAGGAGGAGCTCGACTCTCGAAATGGAAGTAAGCTAGCAATTTCCGATTAGGCAAAGGCTTCAACAATAACTCGTTTTACAAGCCTCCATCTATGAGATTTGGAAGGAAAGGAACTCTAGATTGCACAGAGCTGTAACCAAGCCTCCAGCTCAGGTTATTAGAGAAATCCAATCCACTATACGAAGAAAGCTTTATATCCTTGACATGGACTTGCGGACATCTCCAACGCAGGGACAAGGCTCGGATGAGACTTATTTGTCTACTTGGTTCGGACTCTTTCAGCGGTGAAGGCCCTTGGTCTCTCTACTCCTTGCGGTTTCTGATTAGTTCCTATGTTGTAATTGCTTTCCTTTTATATGTTTTATTTGCTGTTGTGTTGTACGAGGTTGAAACACCTCTTTCTTTCCGGTGCTTTTGTTGAGGCATCCTCTGTAGCTCCAAACGTCGCCTCTTTCGAGGAGGACGGAAAGAAATAAAGAAAGTTTAAGTAAAAAAAATAAAAAAAAATAATTCCTCACTGAATTCTTCAGCATCTTTCGACTCAAAAGCAAACGCAACCCAAAATGCTTGAAAAAGTAACAAAATCAGCAGGGGGATCAATTGTCTGGGCCTAGACGGATCCATCAATGATAAGAACTGTAACCAAAGTTCAAATGAATGATGCTTTACTCTCAACCAAAATGTAGGACCGAAGAAAGTTTCTGTTAGTTATTTTGTCGAACAGCTTGTGTGGGTCTTTAGAAGTGAGAAGTTACCATAAGTCTCAAGAGCGAAAAACAGAGTTTACGCCTAGTTCCGTTTTCGTCTCGCCGGCGACCAGCGATAGCAACGGCGCCAGAACTATGTTTTATTCTTGAACGCTAATTCAGCGTCAAACTCAAAACGCGGCGATCATTTCCAGCGTTCAGCGTTTCCATCGAATTTCGGTGACAAGCGGCAAAGGTTAATTATCTAGAGATTCTAATTTTGTAAAGAAGAAGATCACGTGCTCACTTACAGCAACCACGTGACAAATGTGAGTTTATGACATGACCTCGTTTTGATCTAATAGTCTAATACTAGCCCCATACTCTTTACTTTTAACTTTAAGCCCATATCTTTGTTTTCGAAATGATCAGACGAGATCATACGTTTTGCTATTTGTTTGTGCAAGAGATTCTGCAATAGCATACAAATCTAATCCAAACGATTTGTTTCGTTCATAAACTTAAGCATTTGATGTCAGCAGTGGCCTGTGGCCAGAGGGCCTCAGACCAACTCCAATCGAACGGCATAACGGCATATTTGGTGCAGAATCATCTCCAATCACACGGCAAACTTCACACCAAATCTTTTTTTTTGGTGTTTTGTGAACAGTGTCACACCATATTTGGTGTGACACTGTTCACAAAACACCAAAAAATATTCTTTTTTTTTTCATTTATCTTTTAATAAAATAAGTGTTATATTAATAAAATAAGTATTTGTTTATTGAGTAACTAAGTGTATTTTAAGTTTAAAAAAAGTTGCTATTTAAAAATGATAAAACATTTTTATATTTTGCATTTTAAATTATAATTATAACTAGTATTCCACACAAAATATAAGTTAAACATAAATTATAACTAAAAATACATATTGAAATTCAACAAAAAACATTGGAAAACATAGGATTACAAAATTAAAAACAAACAAACATAAGAAAAATACTTAAATGCAACAATTTATTTTTTAAGAACATAATCTAATTTCCGGGAAAATAATTTCCGTCTCCACCAAGATAACGATAGTATTGGGTAAAATCTTGTGGATCATTTGGTGCTCTTTCATCTCCACCTTCAACGTGGTTTCCTTGAAATTGGTTTCCTTGAGTTTGATCTCCTTGATTTTGAGATGCTCGATATTGGCTGTGAGAACCTTCTCCGTGTTCTTCATATTGGTCTGTTGGTGCTCTTCTTTTCAAAATTTTCTCTCTTTCATTTTCGATATACGCACGACACCCTGGATCACTTATAGAATTTAAATCTGTAAATAATATTCTATTTTCTTCTTTCATTTTTGCTACCTGCACCTTCTGTCTTTGAATTTCGTTTCTCTCGGCAGTACCTTTAGAAATAGCTTTGATAAGCTTATCACTTTGCTCCATCATTTGTTTAAATTGATCTGAAGATTGTTGTTGTTTCTTTGCTTTCTTCACACCAATAGGTCGCTGAGAGGAATTAAAAGTGGTTTCTTCACTACTCATATTTAGATCAAATGAACTCATACCATGCGATGGCGATGACTCATCTTGGAATGATTGAGATGACATGACATTACGGCGTTCTTCTTGAAATGCAGTGGTTCTACTAGTGTGGTTGCTTGCAAATTTCTCAATACCTTTGAGAATAGGCCATACATGATCAAATTTGAATCCTGTCTTGTATTTGACATCTTGTCTTAACAACATCTTTGCTTGGTTTAACTGATTAATATTATAAGAAAAAACATAAACATGTTAGCAAATAAAACAAAGAAAAATGACAAAAATTAGAAATAGTTCAAATATATACTTACAATATCTTGGTCGGAAGCACCACTTGGATTTTTATTTTCAATCTGGTTAACGCATCCCCTCAGCTTGGAGACTGCAGAAAGAATTTTTGCCATTCGGGTTTCTAAGGATCTTTGTGGTCTTGGTTGATTACGAAAAATCTCAGATTTATCATATTCAACAAAAACCCTCCTCCAAAACTGATCTCCTGATTGATTTATCCCAATGATTGGATTTTGAGAAATATCAAGATACACATGACATAAATGAATATCTTCTTCCATAGAATATGAAGCAGATCGAGGTGAAGCCATTGCAAAAGAAATATTTGTGGTAAGTAAGTGACTGTAAGATGTGTGATCATTCAAAGAGTAGTATACATTTATATAGAGAACTGAAGAAACAAATCAACGGTTAGATCTTCGCTGAACAACTTCAACGGTCTAGATTTAGTCGTATTTTTCTGATTGATAAAAAGCATGAAGTGACGAGTGAATGCAACGGTTAGATCTTAGCCGAACAATTTCAACGGCCTAGATTTAGTCTTATTTTTCTGATTGATAACAAAGCATGAAGTGAGTAGTGAATGCAACGGTTAGATCTTAGCCGAAGAATTTCAACGGCTTAGATTTAGTCTTATTTTTCTGATTGATAAAAAAGCTTGAAGTGACTAATCAATGCAACGGTTAGATTTTGGCCGAATAATTTCAACGGCCTAGATTAAGTCGTATTTTTCTGATTGATAAAAAGTATGAAGCGACTAGTGAATGCAACGGTTAGATCTTAGCCGAAGAATTTCAACGGCTTAGATTTAGTCTTATTTTTCTGATTGATAAAAAAGCGTGAAGTGACTAATCAATGCAACGGTTAGATTTTGGCCGAACAATTTCAACGGCCTAGATTTAGTCTTATTTTTTTGATTGATAAAAAGCTAGAAGTGACTAATCAATGCAACGGTTAGATCTTTGCCGAATAATTTTAACGGCCTAGATTTATTCGTATAGTTCTGATTTCAAAAAAAAATTATGAGGTGACTAATCAATGCAACGGTTAGATCTTGGCTGAACAAATTCAACGACTTAGATTTAATCGTATTTTCTGATTGAATAAAAAAGATAATTGAAAGTGATAATTTCTAACACTATAAAATGGGTTCCTTGTCTTGAGACTAAAATGCATATCATCTTTACTTTCTTCTCAAAATCATGAATTTCAACTATGGTAGTTCATCTTATACAAATTTTTCTTCTTCTTCTTCTTCATCTGATGATGAATTTTACGATGATATCGAAAAGCAGGCAGTAACTCAAATCACTGCAAATACTAATTTTCTCATCACTCAAAATCTATTTAATTCTGAGGGTTCTCATCGCGGATCAATTCCTGGTCATATAGTTATCAATCGTGACCGGGAAAATGCTGCTCGCAATCTCTTTAATGACTATTTTTCAGATAACCCTCTTTTTTCCGAGACAATGTTTCGAAGAAGATTTCGAATGAGCCGTCCCTTGTTTCTCCGTATTTTCGATGCTATACAAAGACATGACAATCACTTTGTCCAGCAAAGAGACGGTCTCGGTAAACTTGGGTTGTCTGGTTTGCAAAAAATCACTGCTGCATTTCGAATGTTAGCATACGGTTTACCGGCGGATTCTACTGATGAGTATATCAAAATAGGGGAGTCTACGGCTATAGAAAGTTTGAAGAAATTTTGCCGTGCTATTGTCGAGGTGTTTTCCAACCGCTATCTTCGATCACCTAACGCTAACGATGTTGCACGGCTACTTCGCATTGGTGAAAGCCGAGGATTTCCAGGTATGTTGGGTAGTTTAGATTGTATGCATTGGAAATGGAAAAACTGCCCAACTGCTTGGGGAGGACAATATGCTGGTCGGAGTGGATCTCCTACAATTATTTTAGAAGCTGTAGCTGATTATGATCTTTGGATTTGGCATGCATACTTTGGTCTACCAGGAACTAACAATGATATTAATGTGCTAGAAGCGTCTCATCTTTTTGCTAATCTAGCTGAAGGAACGGCTCCACCTGCTAATTATGTTATTAATGGGAAAAACTATAATATGGGATATTATCTAACTGATGGTATATATCCAAAATGGTCCACTCTTGTTCAAACAATTCATCAACCACGTGGTCCAAAAAAGAAATTATTTGCAAAGAAGCAAGAAGGATGTAGAAAGGATGTGGAACGTGCATTTGGAGTATTGCAGTCAAGATTTGCAATTGTTGCCGGGCCATCACGCTTTTGGAATAAGGAAGTGTTACATGATATTATGACAACTTGTATTATAATGCATAATATGATCATAGAAGATGAACGTGTTGATGATGCACATATTGAAGAACGAGCTGAAGTTCCAATTGCGGATGTTGAGAGGACTGGTGATGATGATGTTCAATTTCAAGAATTTTTAGCTCGACACAAAAAAATCAAAGATCGTGAAGCGCATATTGAACTTCGAAATGCATTAATTGAACATTTGTGGTCTGAATATACTAATTCTGAAAATTAGTATGATATGATGTAATTTGTTTTTATTATTTCTAAATTCTGAATTGTAATTTGTATTAATTTAATAATGAATTAGTTTTGAATAATTAAGCATTCATTAAAACTTTTTAGAAAAATAAAAGAATCTTAAATTTAATAATATAATATAAAAGAATATTCTTTTTAGTGTGAGATTTGGTGTTTGTGGTTGGAGTTGAAAAAAAAAGTAGAACACCAAAACACCAAATTTGGTGTAGGAGCAACACCAAATATGGTGTGTGGGTTGGAGATGCCCTCATAGCAAGGTTTATCTACTCTCGAAAAAGGATGATTAGAACTGGCATCGGTTAGAAGAAAAGAAAAACAAACACTCGGACTATTAAAATTAGAAACACATTAGTATTTTTAGCAGAAATGTTTAGGTAAGTGGTTTAATGTTTCTCAAATTAGAGATCAACATTTCTTAAACGTGAATTTAGCTAATAACCCTCATTTGGTATACTAAAATATGTCATATTTTAGAGTAATTATATGTTACTACTCCCTCTGTCTCATATTATAAGCAGTTGGGCAAAATGAATCTAAAAAAAAATTGATATATATGGATTTTCAGATTCATTTTGCCCAACTGCTTATAATATGAGACAGATTGAGTAATATACATTGGGTGATGATTAGTAGTAGTGTGTTAAAAGTCTAAACAAAACTATTACATAATAAATTAAATTGATAGATCATAGATATAGTTTTTTGGCAATGAAAATAAAGAATAATAAAAACTGAGGATATTAAATTATTGTTCAATATTTTATATAAAAATCAAAATTATATATTATCAGTGTGTTAGAAAAAAACGTGATTGTATTGACTTTTTTTTTTCTCAAAACAAGATTGGCATTTTTTAGTTTTCTGTTTAAACGTTATGATTTTTTGCCGTTTTTAGCTATTGTTCGTCAAAATTTCCATGTATTTAAATATTTTGGCTAACATATGAATTATTTTAAATATATTAAAATTTATGAATAAACGATAAACGTAAGATAAAATGAATAGTATAAAATAATACATTTGATGATTTAAAAAAAAAACTTATTAAAATTGAAGAAAAGTTTAACTTACTATCTAAAAAGTTGATAAAAGTCATTAACCGCGGTTTAAATAGATCCAAATCAGACTTCATTTTTTTTTCAATTTAAAATTATTTAACCAGTCTCATATGGTAAGTCAAAATAATGTCAAATTTTAGAATAATTATGCTATTTGACGGCTATATTTATCTTGAATGATTACTCAGGTTTTAAAAAGTCTAATTCACCTTTGTTATAAAATAATAAAAACAATTATATAAGGAATAAGAATTTAACAATAAAAAGCAAAGATAAAATCACAAAAAGCAGCTACGTATATTAAATTATTGTTCGATATTTTCTATAGAAACAATTAAAAATATATTTATAAAGATTTATATGTGCATGTTATTAGCATATTAGTTTAAAACGTGACTCCGTTGACTTTTGCTTTAAAAAAACGAGTTGGAACGTTTTCTTTTGGCTTTTTCCATTTGAACGTTATGGTTTTTTTTACCATTCTAAGTTATTGTTTGTCAAAGTTTTATTTTATTTTAGTCTGTTTTGTTTTGTTTTTGTTAACATATTAATTATTTATTCAAATAAAATCTTATGACTAAACAAAAGATAAAAATTTGAATAAACCTAGACACTTAGTTTAAAAAATAAAACTAAAGTTGATGCATTTTAACAAAAAAAATAAAATACTGATTAAAACTGAAGAAAAGGTATAATGTGAACTATAGGGAAATAGGGAATGATGATTTAGATTAGCCTTGAGGCTTGAACGTATGTCCATATCAGTCATAGCCAATGCTGATTTATAGCCTTGAACGACATGTCCATATCATCGTCAATTCGTCACCCTACTGACTATTGACTTTGACAATCTGATTATCTTCTAGATATATAGTTAATCCTTTTATTTCTCTCTTCCTTTCATGTATTTAACATTACTGGACAGTAAAATTAAACGTTGCAGTTGACAGAGTTAACACGAAGAAAGGAGTGTAGTGATATTAAATGTAGAAAGCGAATATCGAAATATCCAAAAATAAACAGAGAGAAACTGATGATTATGTATAAATAATTGCACAATTAAGGAGAAAAATCGCGAGAAAAGAGGATGCACGACATAGAAACTAGAAACTAGAAAGCGTGCTTCGCAATGGTCTCTTTATTTTTTCTCTCTACACAAAAGCGTCTCTCTCCTCATAAATAGAGATGCAGAGAGTATATAAATATTGACCAGTGTCCTGGAGAGAGAAACTCGCCGCTTTTACCCTCTTTTTATTTTTCTCTTTTCTCTTTTCTTTTTTTGTTTGGAGGTAGCAGTAAGCACTAAGCACATATCTCGAGCCACAAAGGTCAGTGAAAACTGCTCATAAAAATAATTATTCATAAATATATACGCTCTTCTTCTGCGTCTCCCAATCCCGGCGTGCATGATTTTACAGTGTTGTTGATTTTTTTTATTGTTCATTTCTGGGCAACGGCTAGTTATACGGAGTGTTCTATTGCGAGGAGAAGAAGATCGATGGATTACGGAGACGATCGGTATTTTCTCTTTTATTTTGCTGCTTGTTCATCTCGATTTGGTCATTTTGATTGTTTTGAGTTCCTGGGTTTTTTTTTTTTTCGTTTCGATTTGTGTGTGTTTTTTTTTGTAGGGATATGATTTGGGTTTTGTGTGAGCGTGTTGGCTCTGTGATGATTGATTTGATTAGTCTGTTCGCATTCTTCGATTTTGGGGTTTCTGATCTTTCGTCTTTGTGAAATAGAGTCACACTAGTCTGATTCTGACTGGGTTTGACTAAAATCGTCATTTTCCGCTTAGATTTGGGGGTGATTTCTGGCTCAATGCCGGTTTTGGGTTTGACTGATTTCTGGGTTTTAATGAGAGGAGAAAATGTCGGATTTGCTGTAAATGTGAGTTACGCATATGTTCTTAATGAAAAGACGAGTCATTTATTGTTGCATCAATCCTTGTTTCACTCATTTGGTTCAGCTTGTTAAAAGCTCAAGCTCAGCATTTCCACTAAACCTCAAGTTTCACAAGTCCCCTTTTGTCGAAATGGTGCTCTTTGTTTGGTTCTTGATTCTTTGTGGTTAAGATCCAGGTTGAGATTTTGTGACTGAGCTTGAAGTTAGTAAATGTACTATGGGTTTAATGATGTTTAAACATTTTCCACAGCCCCTCATGGAATTGGCAAGTGCAGAGCTATGACCACCAACCGCAGTCTGATTTCTGTAAGCATTTACATCATTTAACGTCTTACAACACTGTGACAAGCATATGATTTAACCGTTCATTAACTTCACAGCGGATGTGCCGGATTGCACGATGACTGAAGTCGCATTGAACCAAGAAGATCAGTCGTACATGTTTGATGACATAGCCACCCCAGTGAAGGCGTGTAGCAACTTGGGCTATCATGTCACAACAGGTTGAGCTTTTTGTTTTCAAGTCGTCATTTTCACTTCCTGATTTCTGTATAATGATGGTTTTCTAATCTAAAAAGTCGGTCTTCAGATGAGTCGAACAAGAAAATGGAAGTGCAAAGTGAAACACGCTCTGCTGTAAAGAGGCGTCGGATGTTACATTTCGAAGAACAACCTGCAGAGACATCTCTTTTCAGCAGTGAGAATTTCGCTGCAATCTTGAAATCAAGCGTGAGTACGCCAAACTTAATGCCCACAGATGCATTGCTAATATATTCTTGATATCCAAACTCGTTGCTCACTTGTTAGGGTGCATGACTAGTTTTGTTCCTTCTATGGTACTGGTTGCTAGCATTTCTTTTGTCCAATCACCAATGTCTGAGATCTGCTAGCAATATTCTCGATCATTAAGCTTTTCGTATTATCACACCGTTAAATGGACTGTTTGCGATGTGGGAATCCGTTTTAGACTTTTTCCTTCTACGTGTGTAGTAAATTCAAGTTTCTTGACACAATTGTTAGGTAGCTACCATGGCAAGTTATGGTTACTAAAGCTATGCATCTAAGCAACATTTGATAGCTTAGGAGGATGCATGTGGTACGCTGACTGCTTAAATGATGCTGAGACTCCAACCCTACCTGATGACTTGTATGTTTCAACCGTTTTTTTTTTGCTTATTTCAGTTTAGTAGCCTCTTTGTTTCGTTAACTGATCAGCATTGTTGTTTTCTCTCAGAAGCTTTGGTTCTCCTGATGTCCAAGTGGATATTTCAGGTTATATATCTTTGTTTCGATCTCTTCTTTAGCTTGCTCCAGCTCTGGCTTTGTATGCTAACATCCCTGTTTGGCGCAGAGTATCTAAGTGTGCCACCAGAACCAGAAACCAGGGAAGTTAGGCGGCCTGTGACTCGTTCTTCTCCAAATGTTATCTTCAAAGGTAAAATAAACAACTGATTCACATATGAGGCACATAGTTGCTCATTGATTTTGCAACAAACCATATAATGTTAAGTGGTAATCGCAGGTAGGAAGTCTTTCTCAAGGCCAGTTTCAAGGCTACCATCTTCTATCATCTATCCATTTGCATTCATCAAACCATGTGGGGTTCACGGCGACATGACACTCAAGGACATAAACCAGAAGATCCGAAATCCACCAGCAAAACCAAAGGAACACATAGTAGAGCCTCCGGTGATCCAAACTTCGGCATTCTCTGGGAAACCCGTTGTGGGGAAGACTAAAATCCGCACAGAAGGAGGAAAAGGAAGCATCACTATTATGAGGACAAGAGGCTAAGCTAAGCTAAGTAAGTAGAAGAAGTTTTTTTTTATGCACTGCAGAAAACTCTAAACTTTTTGCCTTATTCTCAGAGGCCCTTAAAATCCTTTTTTCTCGGCTATAGTTTCCAGACTAAAATCCGCACAGAAGGAGGAAAAGGAAGCATCACTATTATGAGGACAAGAGGCTAAGCTAAGCTAAGTAAGTAGAAGAAGTTTTTTTTTATGCACTGCAGAAAACTCTAAACTTTTTGCCTTATTCTCAGAGGCCCTTAAAATCCTTTTTTCTCGGCTATAGTTTCCAGTCAAGGGCCTTTAATCAATCAAGTACAGCGGCTAATACTCTTAATATGAGATCAAGGTCTTGTTTCGTTTGGTATCTTTAGTAAGAAAGAGGACTTAAGGATCTTTAGCTATGTGGTAGGATTTTTTTGTTTGTATAAAGTCCCTGGTTCTCTTAATGTAGCTGAAACCGAAATCCAAAACTCTGTTATGTGGATTTGCTGGTATAAAATCGAAGAAGCAAATCTTGTTTCTTATTCTAGTCGTTCCCTTTTCAAACTTTTGTGAAATCCAAAAGTCTGTTATGTGAAATTTTGCAGCGAGATCTTGCGTTCTGTGATCAGGTCTAGAGAGTTTCAGATCAAGAAGAGAGTCTTCTTTGCAATTATGAATTTTAAAATTATTAACTAAAAAGTACCTCAGAGCCCTGCAAAATTGATGCTCTGTCTTGTGAGACCCGCTCGCTTTTAACACAGGTCACGTGAAAACATACTGATTTACTGAAATCAATCAAACACCATCAATAAATATCAATCACGTCCAATTATGATCGATAAATGCTGTTATATCTTCAAGGATCTTTGGTGAATTTGTGACTACATGCAAAACACAAATGCAATCAACTTCTCTTTACAAAAAATATGTGTTGACTACGTCATAAAAAATTCAAAATCAAGCAATCCAATCAATATAAGTAAATGTTTTAAGAACCTAGGCATCTACTTTTGTGTTTATGGGCCTGGCCCAAACATATTGAGATTAACATTCCATTTTCCTTTTCCGGTATGTCTGATCCTTCGAATTTACCGGGATGGTCAAAATGGTTTCGCTCTCCACCTCCACGAGCAACGCTTACCCACTCCCGTCGGCGTATAACCGCCGGCCGGCGGAGAGAATCGTTTCAGTGCGATGTGTCTCCATTTCCCCGCGCGAGCCCAAATACAGAGCTCCTTCTGATAATACCAACAGTTCCTCCTTCTCGCTTAGAGAGACGAGGCAGAGCAAGTGGCAGACGAACACGGAAGAGGTAAATGATAGAGAGTCGAAGGAGATTAAAGAGGAAATTAACACAAAAATAGCGTCTAGGAAAGCGATATCGATAATACTGCGAAGAGAAGCTACGAAAGCGATAATCGAGAAGAAGAAAGGACCGACCAACTCGAAGAAGCTGCTTCCGAAGACGGTGCTTGAAGCTCTTCACGAGAGAATCACAGCTCTCCGATGGGAATCTGCAATTCAGGTAGATTTCGTATCCTCCGCTACTATCTTTAACCTTTTTTGTTAATTTTGATTTAATTGCGGTTAATGATAACAAAAATTGTTTAGGAAGTAGAGTAAAGGCCAAATCTGTTCATGTTGTATATGTAGGTGTTTGAGCTATTGAGAGAACAGCTATGGTACAAACCAAACGTTGGCATATATGTAAAGATGATTGTCATGCTTGGGAAATGCAAGCAGCCGGAGAAGGCTCATGAGCTCTTTCAGGGAATGATCAGTGAAGGCTGTGTGGTGAATCATGAAGTCTACACAGCGCTTCTCTCTGCTTATAGCAGGAGCGGTCGCTTTGATGCTGCGTTTACGCTTCTGGAACGTATGAAAAGTAGTCATAACTGTCAGCCGGATGTGCACACTTATTCAATCCTCATCAAGTCGTTTCTTCAGGTTTTTGCCTTTGATAAGGTTCAGTCTCTGCTTTCTGCTATGAGAAAGCAAGGCATTAGGCCCAATACTATCACTTATAACACCATCATCGACGCTTATGGGAAAGCAAAAATGTACGTAGCCATGAATTTGATCATTAGACGGTTTCAGTTGTTTTGATTTAGTTTTAACTTTTCTTTTGTTTTTGGAAGGTTTGTGGAGATGGAATCAACACTAATCGAAATGCTTGGAGAGGATGATTGCAAGCCTGATTCTTGGACTATGAACTCAACTCTTAGAGCATTTGGGGGTAATGGACAGATAGAGATGATGGAGAATTGTTATGATAAGTTTCAGAGCTCTGGGATTGAGCCAAACATCAGAACCTTCAATATCCTTCTTGATTCGTATGGGAAAACAGGAAACTACAAGAAGATGAGTGCAGTGATGGAATTCATGCAGAAGTATCACTATTCATGGACCATAGTCACCTACAACGTGGTCATCGACGCGTTCGGGAGAGCAGGAGACTTAAAGCAAATGGAGTACTTGTTTAGGCTAATGCAATCGGAGAGGATAAGACCGAGCTGCGTTACACTGTGTTCTCTTGTTCGTGCCTATGGAAGAGCTGGTAAAGCGGATAAGATTGGAGGAGTCTTGCGTTTCATCGAGAACTCGGACATAAGGTTGGACCTTGTGTTCTTTAACTGTCTGGTGGATGCTTACGGGAGGATGGGGAAGTTTGCAGAGATGAAAGGTGTTCTGGAACTGATGGAGAAGAAGGGGTTTAAACCTGATAAGATTACATACAGGACGATGGTTAAGGCTTACAGAATTAGTGGCATGACTAGCCATGTAAAGGGACTTCATGGTGCGGTCGAGTCCGTTGGTGAAGCAGAAGTTGTGCCGAAGAAGCCGGATTTTTAGCCGAGGAACAGAGCTCATTTTTCTGGTAGTTAGTACGAGAGTAAATACATTTTTTAGTCTGCTTACAAAAATTTGTATGACCGAAAAAAACAAAAAAAAATTGATATGAATATAGTTGTTTACTCTTGTTTTGTGTTTTGTGTTATCAGTCTGTATGTGCTGAAGCAGCTAGATATGAGAGTTGAAGACTGTAAGCTTCTTTCAGCTGAGTCAAAACTTCTGCAATAGACGGTCTACCAGATGCATCTCTCTCCACACATCTTATAGCAATTGAAGCAGCTTTTCTCATGCTCTCTGGATCAAATGTATCTTTCAAGATCTCATCCACAATCTCAAATGCTCCTGCTTGTAAGTTTGGCCTAGCCTGCATTTTAAGTATTTTGATCTTGTTGACATTGTGTACTTAGATACTAGGAGATGAGAAAAACGAAGAGAATAGTAATGTTTCTCTCACCCATAAGACCAAGTTAAAAGAATCTGGTGATCCTAAGTGACTTAAGGGTTCTCTTCCACAGATGAGCTCCAGCAGAACCACACCAAAGCTATAGACATCACTTTTCTCTGTAAGCTGCAGTGTGGAGTAATATCTGGGATGACAAAGTGTGATTAAGGTTTAGCTAATCAAGCTGTAAATCAAATCCATCAGGAACGATGAGAGAAATTTCAGAAGAGTTTACTCAGGGTCAAGGTAGCCTGCGGTGCCTTTAACACCAGTTGTAACATGAGATGCATCTGCTTTTGTAAACTGTTTCGACAGGCCAAAGTCGGAAACTTTCGCGTTCATGTCCTTGTCCAGAAGTATGTTACTGCACTTCACATCACGATGTATAATCCTCGGCTCACTTCCATTGTGCAGGTAGTCCAATCCTTCATGAATAAGACAAAAGTGTTACTATCTTCTAGGATCAATTGTATTTTAGTACAAAGATACGGATGTTGAAGATGTACCTTTTGCAGCATCAACTGCAACTTTTAGTCTTGAAACCCAGTTCAGTGGAAGACTTTTGCTACTTGGACCTGCAGAAGCAAGATGAAGATGACTTTGTAAAAGGATGATGAGCTATCGCTTGACACTTGTGGGATTTTCATACCGTAGAGGTGATCAGCTAATGATCCACCAGAAAGATACTCATAAACCAGGATTTGCCGTTTAGGTTCGTAGCAGAAGCCCTCGAAGGAAACTAGATTTTGGTGGCGGATCCGAGACAAAAGGTGCACCTACAACGAAGACAGTACAAAGGGAGACGTTTAGATGGCATCACTCGAATGCATGACACTAAAATATGGAGAGTAGTTTTGGGAGAAAGGTGTGGATACTTAACCTCATTGATGAAAGAGTCAGCTCCAAGTTGAGTTCTATCAAATCGCACTTTGACCGCAACTTGTTTTCCACTTGGGAGTTTCCCATGGTATACAGAACCAAAACTTCCACGGCCAATCACCTCCCTGAAATTCCTTGTAGCTGACTTGATCTCTTTGTAAGAGAAGATTCTTGAAGTGTTCCAGTTCTGCATCTTCAGCTGTGTTCCTGATCCAGATTTTGACATACTATAAGAATCATAAAGCCACAGCTTTGTGGGGGCAAAGACAAAAAAACATTTGTTCCCATACTGGTTATATCTCTCTCTTTGTTTCGTTGTCTCCTCGTGTAGACCGACGTGAAACCAAAAATGAGCATAGTGGCAAACAAGGCTCCACCAGAGACTCCAAGCAAGATCGCTATATGGTTCTGCTTCTTGTGCTTCTTATTGATAGGGATAGTGACTTGTGGTGTGTCAATTGTTGAAGACACATTGTTGCACGATAATGAAGTAAACGAAAGGCATGGATTTCCCGTTGTCCTGACTTCAAGACCCGTTCTGTTAAGAGACTGTGGCAAGGGGCCTACTAAGTTATTGTTTTCCAGATTCCTGAGTAGAAGTAACGGGAGAGATTCTTCTTTTTGTGAGGTAGAGAGTGAATATGGTATGTAAAAACTACTTCTTTGGTCTAAATGTCTACTTACAGGAGACGAAGTTTCTTCAGGTTTCCTAAACTTTCAGGAACTGATCCTTGTAAGCTGTTGTTTTGCAGATCCCTTCAAGGATATGGAGACTTGCTTTAAGTTTTCGGAAAAAACAAACACATATTCATCAAAATCCAAGTATGAGATAACTTACAGAACTTCAAGGTTAACCAGATCTTCTAGTTCGGAGCCAAAAGACTTTAATTGGTTGAAGCTCAGATTCCTGGAGAAACCATTGAACATTTTTTCATTATACACGAAGCCTCAAAAGTCTACTTTTAGTGTTCTAAAATATGAGTATTACAGTTGCTGTAGCTGCTGAAGGCTGCCTAAATTCTGTATTGCTCCAGTAAGTGATGTATTATGCAAGTCGCTGCAGGAGAAAACACTCAAAGATAACACAGTTGTATACATAAGACGCTAGAAATGTTGTTGAAGAATTGGTGACTTACAGTGTCTTGAGATCAAGCAAGTCTCCAAATGTTGGACTAATGGACCTCAAGTTGATTTGTGAGAGAAACCTGGACAACCAGAAGAAGAAAAGTATGAGCTGTGAGATCAAGAAATGCGGAAAACAATTGGTGTAATAAGGATTGTCTTACAATGATGTAACGTGGCTTCCTTCACATTCAATGTGGTTCCAAGGAATCGGTGTGCATGGGTCGTCTTGCCATCCAAGGTCTTGTCCAGTAAATTGCTCTATGACTTTAAGTGCCGAAACTGCAAAGACAACTTAAAAGGTGAACCTTAGCTAGTGGAATTTGCTATATCAAGGCAAGATCAAACAGAGAGTACCTGTTGTTGAAGAAGCTTCTGGAGGGATTTGGAGGATTTCATACACCTCAAGAGCGTTTACCTGAGGATTGAACTTGATTTTTCCGAAGGTGATGTTTAACTTACTGATTCTTTGCTGGGTGAAGTACAAAGTACTAGCTTCTGAGCTGTTCACGGTGTAATCAGATTGTTTGACTTCATCATTGATCGTCACACTAAAAGAAGGAGAGAGTGAGAGTATCCCAGCGAAGTAGAGGATAATGTAGTAGTCCCCTAGTGTATCTAGAGGAAGTGTATATGAGAGTCTGTCTTTGCGAGCAAGAACTCTTGCACTCTGAAGAACAGAAGCTGGCGGATTCTCAGTAATGTTGTTGAAGGAAGACAATCTTGTGGGTCTATTGAAGCTAGAAGAGGCGTGAAACGGTGCAAAACTTTGATCCGGTTCCCATATTCGATCATATGGATCTGAAGGGTACCTGAACATTCAACAGAGTCCGCCAAGAAAATGTGACAAAACACAACAAAGAAGAAAGAAACAGATTTAAGAGCCTGAGAGTTCTTACTGGATAGTCCCATTTGTGTATCCGCTGTTGATACGGTAACTTCTCCTGAGAATTATGTTTGGAGAACCCTCAATGCTGTTTCTGTAAGCACCTGAAGGAAGAGGCCTTACTTCTAGAGAAGAGATAACCGGAATGCCTCTCCCTTTAACCGCGATCAAGCAAAGCAAAAGAGAATCCTCGTTGACCGGCCAAACCAACTCTTCAATCCAAGGATCATTGGTTTTGAGATCAACAATACTAGTGATTCTCCTTCCTAAAGAGACATTAAATGCTGGAGGACTATTCTGGCTATCATAGTTTCTATAAACAAATTTGGCTCGAATCAGAACAGAGGACAAGTCCTTCTTCCTCATAGGTAGCTTATAGCATTGGCGACCTCGAGAATCTGGGAAGAATCTGATGGGAACACTGGAAGTTGAAGTTCCCTCCATGAAAGTAACCGTGGTAGTGTTACCTGTTTTGATATAATCATTGTCTGAAACCCAGGAGATGTTGTAAGCAGCTTTGTAACTTGAGCCACCACATGACAAGCTTAAGAAACCTGTTTCATTACAAAGGTTTAATCAAACAGTTGAAGGCAAAAGAAAAAAGTTGAATGCAAGTTATATGCATACCGTCTGGGTTGGAGAGACCAAACACCCAGAAGCCACTTAACAAAACCAAATCAATCCAGAAGAACATTGTCCAGTTTCGTGATTGAAATATGAACAACAACATGTATTAATTGGTCTATTTGTTTCTTAGTTTGTGTGTGAATTCATTGAACCTTTATATATATGAATGTGTTTGTTTGTGTGAAGGTTCAGTGATGATGATTCATAGGTACTTTACTAAGTGGTTATAGTGCACTAACAGTCTTTCAAACTTAATAATCTAATTAACGATTTAACTACAGTGAATGTTTATTTAGCCTTTCTTACGTTTCACATTAACTATAAGTGAGATATAGTGTCAACTATGAACTTGTGAGTAAGAAATTTCAAAGGAGAACAAAATTTGGTTGCTCATTTCTTAAGAATGATTATGAGAATGATGCTTGAGGGAGAATCTTCAAATGCAATGATATTACGTTTTGCTTGGCTTCAACACTAATTCTCAATGCCTCCTCCTTAAGCTTTCTCTTAAAGGGAAAACCTTTTTGGAAACAAACAGTTCAATGAAGGAAAAAAAATCTTTGATATTCCTTTCTTAAATATCTAAATATATTTTTTCAGTCATTGATCACTTGTGTCGACAACTAGAAGTAATTCTATGTTTTGATCAAATCACAAGATAAATAAGTACTTATGTTCGGATTAATTATACTTTGTTCTTATGTTGTAGTCTTCTGAAACTATGCTCCACAGCTCTTTAACATTAGTATCCATTCCAACATAAATACGTTTAACACTTTTTCTTTTATTCACAAATTGACAAAATAAATTTTGCACATATTATTACGAAAAACTCCACAAACTACATTATGTGCAACATACCATCTATGAGATTTAAGATTTCATTGAGTTAGATCTTTCATATAAACATCTCATCTATATGATGTAATGTAGCAAGTGAAAAGTATTACTTTTCTTAACTAAGAAAGAATATGTAAACCCACTCACGTACGAAGGGGTTTATCACCTAAAAATTTAGATCAATACTCCAAATGGAGTAAAACACATCATTTCACTTTTTTTTTGTCGAATTTGGTGAAACTAAAAGAAATGCTAGAATTGCTTTACACTATACATGATGTTAACGTTTACCAAGAGGATAATATTGCAAAAAAAAAAAAAAAAAAAAAACACACATTTGAAAATTCATTCTAATCTCCTCTCAATTTCTTTGAGTAAGACCTCGAGTCCATCTGGCTAAGGCTTCGGCGTCGGAGAAGATTCTAAACTATTTTCTTCTCTCGGCTTCAAGAACATCCGACTTCTAACAGATTAGTTACCGTCCAGAAAAAAATGCAGTGTTTCAAATAAATAAACCCTATTATTAGAAAGAAGAAAAATGACAACAATTTGAGATTTCACAATATTATTTAGACAAAAAAAGAAAGAGCCTAAATACCTTAGAAGAAGAGGTTCATAACGCAGATGTGCATAAACAGTGTTGGAAAATGACTCATCCACCTAAATAAGACATTGTTTTTGGATTTTGATTCAATTGACTCATGAGATTATTCTCTCATTTGAGAATCTTATATCTTATACTCTATCTCATTTTCAAAATTATTTTCTACATTTTTATGATATCAATCAAATTCTATAAGGAACTGCCAATAAAGGTTCTCTTTAGATCTTACAAATTTTCACTTTTTCTTTATTAATTAAGGACTAAGAAAAATACATAAGTTCGTTAACAATCTCTAATTGGGTTGTACTGGGATTTGTCGACTAATTAAGGTACGAGCCCTCCTTTGACATATTTTTTTATTTTATATGCTCCCTTTGGCCTATTAAATTTCCTTCTCCACAAAAAAATTCCTTCTCCAATTTTTCTGTTGAAATTTTATATTCAGAAGTAATTTTTCTGTACAACTGAACGCAAAAACATGGCAAACGGTGTAACTCGTTTTGGATTCTTCCACAAAGAGAACTTTTTATTCAAAAGTACATAAATCTTCTGTTTGGTCAGGCTTCTTGCAGCACAAACCACCCCATCTCTTGTTAATTTGCTCTGTCACAATCGCAAACAATATTTTATCAAACAATATATAGACCGGGGTCCGGGGATATCAATAATCGTTATATGATTTCTTGCGACTCAGGTAAAAGGCAATAATAGTATCTCTGAATTCTCTTCTAGCGTTATACTCATGAAACGGACTTCGAAAATATCTGAAAAAGTCACTTACAACTCGTGTAACTATGACTTGATCGATATCTTATCTTCTGGTGTCTTCGTCTATCTTATCTTCAGGAGTCTTGACAAAGACAAATTAATCAGCCGCCCATGTAAACACTGTAGCACTTGCTCAGAGCCAAACCAGTCGCTTTGCTTACATTAGATAGATCAAGATTCAAGCAGCCTTCCATATGTAAAGAAAGATACGTGGTTGAGAAACCAGCCATCAACTATTGACTCCTATTTATTTTAGGAAAAAAAAAACTATTGACTAGTAAACATGTCGCGATTTAATAATTGTGTACTATAGATGACATTGTGTGTTTCATTTGTGGGGTTAACACATTTATTTACGATGAAAACTAAAAGCCTAACACACCAATATTTCACTATATATAGATGTTGATCTTACGCTTATTTCCTCACACAACACATACATACATACTTACATACATCAATTCTAGCTGAGCTTATAGTCATGGCTAAGTCTGCTTCCATCACCACCCTTCTCTTCGCTGCTCTTATTCTCTTTGCTGCTTTTGGTCAGTAGCGAACCTTATCATATGCACACCAAACTAAGTTTTCTATTCATTATTCCGATTATTTAATAATTAACCATGATATATATGTGTATATATCCCATGCAGAAGCACCAACAATGGCGGAAGCACAGAAGTTGTGCGAGAAGTCAAGTGGGACATGGTCAGGAGTCTGTGGAAACAATAACGCATGCAAGAATCAGTGCATTAACCTTGAGGGAGCACGCCATGGATCTTGCAACTATATCTTCCCATATCACAGGTGTATCTGCTACTTCCCATGTTAATCTTCCACGTACAACTCTGTGGTGCTTGATTAAATATGTGTGTGTTTTCGTAAAAATAAGTCTGTGTCACTCCATGAATGGCCTCATGACATGTATTCGATATGTTTGTGTTTGTGTTGGTGTGGTTATAATATAAAGTTTTATGTACGGCGTACTCCTGTTTCTTCTTCTCCATATCAAAGATAGCTCTCATATTGACCAATACAGCAATACCATCATCATGACATAGTAATAGTACGTAGTGCGGTAACACTAACATAGTCAAGTCGGGCAAATCCGCATCATCTATAATCTATTGTTACGATAGCTCTCATACTATTCCGATCACAGTTTTTGACAAACGACAAGATTTTGTGTAAATCTCAACCTTGATATTTTATTTTGATTGCGGAAGATCCCGAACCATGAATTCAATTGCCAGCCATGATATAAATATGATGTAGATTTCAAATTGTGAAAATATGACTTAAATTTACTTTCTAAGAACTTATTTACTGTTTCTGTTAAAAACTTTTATTCAGAACTAATTCTTATACGTACAACTAAACGCAAAACATGATTCGATTCTTCAACAGAGATAACTTTTATTCGAAAGTAAATCGAATCTTCTACAAGTAAAGACCAAAGAATGATAAAAACTAGACATCAACGGAAGCGGTTGGACCAGCTTCTAGGTCTTCAGGTTTCTTCCAGTACAAGCCACCCCATCTCTTGTTAAATTGCAAAATCTTCATCACGTTTGGATCAGCTTCTATGTCTTCAGGTTTCTTCCACCACAAACCACCCCATCTCTTGTTAAATTGCAAAATCTCCATCACGATCGCAAACAATCCAATGGCACCGATAACGGTACTGTAAGCAATCTTCCATGAGCTTCCAGGTTGTAAGATGGATAACCCTTTGTAGATGTTGTAGATGCTTAGTACAATCACTAGATATCCCATAGTGTGATGATACCAATTCCAATATTTTCTGTACTTGTGGTCCTTGTCCGGTCTTGCTTTGAGCGCAAGTATCTGTCGAAACCCTAGACAGAACAGAAACATCCCTATCACGGTATGCGGAGTAGATCTCATCCCAGTGTGCTTGGCCATGTAGATTGCAGTTCCTAGTCCTCCGATTAAACCGGTGAAATAACCGGTCGTTTGGAAAACGATGTGGACGTAGAACCACATGGGATCCAATCCTTGGTAGGTCCTCATGTACCTTGCAGCCAAGGCTCCAATAGGCATGAATATCCCCCAACTCACGGCGTTGACTATTCCATGGATTCGCTTGACTAGTAATATGTTTCCGTTAGCTGCTTTTGTGGCAGTGACTTGTCCGGAAAGTAAATCCAAAGTAGACATGGATTTGAGATGATCTCCACTCATTGAATGCATTCCCAGTCTATCTCCTTCCTTCAAGGGACCGTCTTGCCAGAGATGATTCACGACGGTTGTGTTAGAAGGCAACGTGATACTTGCGAATATAGTCATCTCTCCGTTGAGATACTCGGCGGAGAGCTGCGTCACACGGAAGCTGAGAGGACCTTCTTGAAGCATGGTTGAGTAGCCTTTGATGGAGGAAGTGTAGGCGCGCATAAAACCGGAGGTGGAGTTACGGTAAGCCAAGAGAGTTTGAGCACCTAACATGCCTTTGCCCGTAGGGTTTATGCCCCAAGCGATCCAACTTGAAGACTCGATGTTGGTGTGACGGTACGCAACGTCAAGCACTCCGGTCTCGCGAACGTAGCTGAAGTGTAGAAACGAGTTCAACGCTCGAAGGTCGACGCAAGAACGAAAGTGTTTGCCGTTTTTAAAGCTGTGAGAGTCGCAACTAGACTGAACTTCATCGGTTGTTGCTGCTCTAGTGAAACATGGAGCAAGCAGGAACAGAAAACACAAAAGCACAGCAACGGTTCTCGAAGAAAGCCACATGGTCATGATTGAGTTATTACGCAGAGATAGACGAAGAAGGTTATATCTTCCTAAGCCAGAGAGAGTCTCGCTTTGCTTTGAGAGAAAGAGATTTATAAATTTTGGACTACGAAGAGGTTGTCTATTTATAAAAAGCTATGCAATTTCAAGTCCTATTTGTGAATCGTTTTTTAATTTCTCGACAAACAAATTTCCTTATTTTGGTACAATTTCCATTTTTTGCCAACAAGTTTCCATATTCCAAAATCCTAATCCCTATCACATCCGGTAAAACGTGTTATTTTTGAGTTTTAAAATTTTAATTAAACACGCTTAAAGTGGGACAAACTGTAAATAAATAAATATCAAGAAAATATTAGGACAAAGAGCGATACAAGATCTAATTAAAAGTAAAAAAAAAAGTATTAGGTCGGCAAAAACAAGCAAAGACAAACTACTAGTAGTGATTGAACAACTCTCAGTACTTAACCGGTGCAAGAATGTCGAGCTGAGCTCCGAGCTTCTCTTCAGCAACCTTCTCGGCCTTGACTCTAAGCTTGTTAAGTTGCTTCTTTCTCTCGTAAACCACTTGAGATCTCTCCTTCCTCTTCGCCTCCAGCTCCTGTTCATTCGACATTATCATCATATCAAACACAGTTGCTTACACACAAAACCTAGCTAGTAACTAAAGATCTATACGTTTGTTTTATCTGTTTACATTCTGTGAACAAAGCTAGAGAAGAAACTAGTACAAGCAATAGAGACAAGAAGGCAAAGACGAACCTTAATGGTGTCATAATGGTTCCACCCGACTTCAGAAGAAAGACGGCCCAAGAGACAGTATTTGTGACCAGCTTGAAGCCTCAAGACTCTGAAAGAGACGTCAGAGTAAAAGGGTTAATATGATGCACAAGTAGAGAGTCGAGAAATCAAAAAATGAGAAGAGAAAAGGGGTAAAAGTGACGAACTTGAGAGCATCGGGGATGACCATCCTCTTGATCTTGTCATACGGAGGAGGAACACCTTCGAATACCTTCAAACGAGCAAGTGCTGCTGCTCCTCGCTTTGTCTTGTGTGGAATCATACTGCAATCGAAACACACAAAAGAAACTTCACAATTAGCTAAAATTGTAGCTTAAAAATCAAACCTTTCATCATCAATAATCATTTGACCAGTGACATATACTTATCTAACACACACAAACTTCCCAATCAGCTAACATGTTGCTTAAAAATCAAAACTTTATTATGTTCAAATTCAAATTATGCATTGAACAGAGCAACAATAATCATCTGACCAGTGACAAACTCAACTAAAGAAGCAAAAGTTTTTCATGATCGCAGGATTACAAACACGAATCCAATGCACACAGATATCTAAATTAACAGGCAGTGAGATTGGTAGCTAAAATTTATTCAGAGTAGAAACAGAGGAAACTAAAACAGAGATTGATTGAATATACGAACCCGCGAACGGTACGCCAGAAGATTTTCGAGGGAGCACGGAAGTGAATGGGGCCGTGAGAAGGCTTAGTGTTCATACGTTTGCGAAGGAACCTCATGTACTTCATTTTCTGGCGGACAAGTCCACCGGAGAGGCAAATCTCCTCGGACCTCACAATGACGACTTTCTGGCCATTGAGGAGCTCCTTGGCCACGACCGACGCCAAACGCCCCAGCATGTGGTGGCGCGCGTCCACGACCACGCGCTTCGAGCATATCCCTGATCCTGACACCATTTTTACTCACCTCTGTGTGATAAGCGCGGCTGTAGATTCTCCTTGAGGAAAATATATTCGGGGAGGGTTTTCTTCGACCTAGGGCTTTGGGGGTATTTGCGTCACTTTATTGTGGAAGTTCATTTTCATAATGGGCCGAATCAATCAGTTAGGATGCTCTCTAGCCCAGTGAGCAAAGGCCCATTTTGATGAAAATCACACATTGGTGAACAAATAGATCAAATGACTGATTTGGAAACGAAACCTATAGTGTTTAGTGTTTACAAACTTTACACTATAACCAAATCAGGAGTAAAATTCTAAAATTATTAAACTTATCCCACAAGAGACTGAACTGAGATTTTACACTTCAACAACACTCTAGTTGTAGCTTGAGTGGTATGACTTGTTAATAATCCATGGATCACCAAAAAGTTCATTAATTTTAATAAGTACTTTACAAGTAGATACATGAACTTAACATTAATACCAAAAAACAAAGTAGATACATGAGTAAGTTTCGTTACAAGAATCTCAAGCGGACGCAAGAATGTTGAGGGCAACTTCCTTGAGAGAAGGCATTGTTTCTTGCTGATGAATACATATGCAACTGTTTCTTGTTCTCCTCAGGACTTGCCATGGACCTGGGTAACATCTATATCGATACGAAACACAACAAAGGTTCAGCTATATTGATCAGGAAACAAGAGGAGAGTAGAGAAAGAAAAGGATATTTAGCAGAAACCTGAAAAGGACACCTCCTTTTTGTCCCTTGAAATTGTGGATGTAGTAGACTGTCTCCATCTTCGGAAGAAGTGTCTCTGTCAGTGCACCCAGTTTTGGGTAAAAGAACTTTGGATAGTCTTTTGATTTCTTTAAAGGTAAACAAGAGTTTCACTTATGGCTCTTAAGTTGTGATGCAAATGGAAAATATATAATCTACTTTTTTATTTCACTGATGTGAAAGAAAAAGGATACAGCCTGATCGAATGCGGTCAAGTTCGCCGTTGAAGATGAGTAGTTTTCGGTCAGTGTTCACAACAGCTTCCTTGTAGAGCTCTTCCACTACGAGCATCTCTAGTGGCGAAACAGAGGAATGAGTCAGATGTAGATATTGTTGACAGGATGATGATAAGGGATTTTCAGGTAATTACCATTGACATTAAAATATGGGTATGCGACGAGGAACAGTTCGTCTTCAGGCTTCACTCGATCGGACATTTTTACTCTTTCAAAGAAACCAAAGTCCTCAAAAAGAGAAGGTTTTGTGAGATAGTCCAACTTAAAGTAAGTTCCTCCAAAGACAGAATTCTGAGCGAATTTGACTTCGTTTGCCTCTGGGAAGAACTGAAATCAATAATGTTACACTCAAGAAGGATGTTGAATCTGTCATTGTTTGGATGACAACAAGTAGAAGAACACATACAATTCTTGTGGTTCGAGCCTTTTCAGGAGATAAAAGGCGGTCACAAAACTCGCGTATCATATTCATACTTTCTGTCATTTCTGTTGCTCCTTCCCCATCACCTAAAATGCAACAAAAACACACACAATAATGTCTAATGAGTAATAAGCAAGAAGAGAGCAAAAAGCATTCACTAATAAGAAGAAAGCATTTGTACCTGGCACAGATGCAAGACCAGATGTTGGGAACTCAATTTCCTGTAAAAGAGTTCTTCCTTTGGATCACCAACAAAATGTGTTTCGTTGATCCATTTTTTAAAACAATCATTTCAAAAACTCACCATTAACTGCTTATCGTCCTTCAAAGCCAATTCAACTGCTTGTTTGGCCTGTATTTTTCAAGCACAAAACACCACATCCCTTAAATGCTTTCGCTTTACAAGCAATTTTGCATAGGAAACTTGAAATCTATAATCTTTAGCTACTTTTTTCTACCACAACACTTCAATAAACAAAAAAGAAGCTTACTTGGTTAAGAAGCTCGAAGTAGTCACGAGGAAAAGGTACATTCTCCACAGATGTGTTGTTATAGCCTCCAGAAACAGAGCAAGCTCTATACTTTAGATCCCTAATCGTCTTGGTAGCTTCATTGTTCTTCCAATATAGACCACACGAAACAGTCTACAATAACCAAATTGTTACGAGGAAACTGGTTTTAGAAAGTTCACTGGTTCTTCAGTAATCAACGGAAATTGAATTTCAGATCGCACATCACTCAATCTCAGAGAACAAGAAATTTAGAGAATTACATGTCTATTCACTCTTGTGATAGAAATAAAAGCAAATTATAATTTTATGGACACAAGAAAGAGTAACACTGACAATGCGAACAAGCCGGCGACGGAAAGTGTAAACTGAGAAATTGGAGACAGATAAGAAGATGAAGACTAATCCAATCGATTTAAAGTCTAGCACAAGGTAGAGGAAGCCATTCCAAGAGATTTTCTTGGCGATAAGAAATTTGGAGGCAACATATACCAGCTATTCCTACCTTGGAGTTAGAGACCAGAGTTCCGGCTAGAGAAGCCGGTGAGACGGTGGTTGCGATGGAGAAGGACGGTGACATATGGACCACAGAAATAAAACTCTGTTTTTTTCTGCTACAGAATTTTGTGGTGTTGTTAATATCGCCAAAAATATTTGTGGAGGGAATGTTAATATGGGACTAATACGAATATTATTAATACATCCTTATGTTCTTCGCTCCACGCGGTTTATGGCATGTTTAATTGTAAATATTCATGTTAAGATAACGAAAATTCTCATAATAAAAGATCAAAAACCTTGAACTTTCTTGGTCAATGTTTGTGGTGGTTCTTGGAGGCTCTCTGATAACTCAAATCAGTGTCTAGAATGCAAGAATTGAATGAATCCAGTCAAGGGAAAGCTAATGGTTTTTTAGTCTAGACATCTTTCTTATTAACCCAATCTATCTATTTAGATGGTTGATTGACAATTTTAGTTTGATTTTACTTACTTAGCAAATAAAAATTACTACTTATTAAAGATATACTAAAAGAGATTATATATCATCATCACAAATGTCAATTTCATATTAGTCTAGTCAAAAAGATGAAACCATTAGCTGAGATCAATTTAATTGAGTTATCAGAGAGCGAGCCTCCAAGATTAATTTAATTGGCTGAGATCAGCGCATATCAAGTTGTCATGGGGGGGGACACTTACTTACCAGACACAAAACTACACATGTAAAATATTAAAAAATCGGTTGGTTGGTGAAAGGCCTATTTCATTTTTCAGATTCTTCAATCAATAAAACCTTTCTTCCTCTCAACTGAAACTTTCCCCAGAAAACTTTTTAGATATTTTTTTTCCTATCATTTGGTTCATCGGAGATGGGCGGAGACGGCAAACTTTTTACCTTGGCCGAGGTTTCTGAGCACAGTAGCTCCCAGGATTGTTGGATCGTCATCGACGGCAAGGTCCTTACTCTCGATCTCTCCTCTTCTCTACTCTCTCTCTCTCTCTCTCTCTCTCTCAATTTGACCATAATTCTGATTCGATTTTCCGTATTCTTCATTAGTATTCTCGCTTTTTTATTTCATTCCGGCTTAGATCCTTTAACCGATCCGATTCTACATCTGTTGTTCGTGGAGATTTTCGTGTTCGACTTAGTTTCAACTTTGGATATACAATCTTGACTCTTCCATTCCATTATAGGGTTCTCGAGGATGTAACAGTTTTCTGGGTAGATCTGATGCTAGGTCAGAATTGGATCTGATTTACTTTGCTAAATCTTACTCTTGCTAGAGTTGCTACTGCCTAAGAAACTACTCCATGCATGTTTTGATCTATATGATCTGTGGATAAGCCAGTGATGCTCCTCTATGTCGAAAATTTTCAAAACCACTCAATTTATGTCTATAAAACTGTGTGGAATTAGGGAAGATGATAATGTGATAATGGCCGCTTGTGTTAACGAATTTTATTGCTTTTTGGTTATTCATATAGGTCTATGATGTGACCAAGTTCTTGGACGACCATCCTGGTGGCGACGAAGTGATCTTGACTTCTACAGGTAAACATTAAATATCACTAGATTATTGGCTCCTGTTTTGATCTTTAGTAGGAGAAAACCACTTAGGCACTTGAACCTTTTCTTCTCATGAGGTTATCAAATTCATGATTCAAAAGAAAATGTGTTGGATTGTTATCAGGGAAAGATGCGACCGACGATTTTGAGGATGTGGGACACAGTTCGACTGCAAAAGCAATGCTGGATGAGTACTATGTGGGTGATATTGACTCAGCCACTGTCCCAGCTAAAACCAAGTTTGCTGCTCCATCTCCAAAAGTGACGACGACCACCGAGTCTAGCCAGAACAAGAGTTCGGATTTTCTCATTAAGATCCTTCAGTTCCTTGTTCCTCTTCTTATCTTAGGCTTGGCTCTCGGTATCCGTTCTTACACCAAGACTCCTTCTTCTTGAGGGATCATCAATTTGGTCTCCACTGTTTGTTTGCCTCTCTGTACTCCTGGTTACACTCTTATTCCTGTTCTTGTAAGACATCAGATATTTATATTTGTGATGTAAGAGACCTTTTGATTTCCGATTCAGATCACCTGCCTTTCTTGTCTTTTTTCAATCAATCAAATCCATTTACAAGGTCGTACTCGATAACTGAAAATATCACTCACTCACTCACAAACTAATCTCAAGTCTTGTCTTAAAAAATCAGCAACAGGTGTAAGAGAAGAGAAGAAAGAAAATGATCACAAAACAAAATAGAGTTAATCCATGCTTGCACAAGTTCTCTCCATCACCTTTGAATCTGTTCTGAAAGACTGCTTCGATGGAGAGCTTGATCCTCTTGAAGAGCTATGCCCAAAGAAGGTAAGTTTCCCCATTTTCTTTGAGACACCGCTCATGAACTTGCGTGAATGAGACCTCTGCATATCTCTCTTCATAGATATATGCTCCTTCTCTAGATCGTTGAGTCTCATTCTCAACCTAGCTAACTCCAGCTTCAGCTCCCGGTTTTCTCTCCTGAGAGACGCGTAGTTGTCTTTCGGCGACATCGCTGCACTCAGAGCTCCGCTATTGATTCTCCACGACTGCTGTTGCTGCTGCTGGTGCTTTGGCTTTGTCTCTTCGTCTGAGTAAGAAGAGCACAAGGAGCTTCTAAGCTTAAGCTGCTCAAAGTAGAGAACTTGCACTATTGATTGCAGAGGAAGCCGCTCGTTTTGTGCAGCGTGTGCTCCAGCTTCTTGTGAGAGTTTCTGGAAGTCTATAAGCTTCGACAGCTTCTTCTTGTCTGAATCTGATAACCCTTGATGTGCCTGAGAGAGCATAAAAACCTAACATTAAGTATCAAACCTAAAATCTGAAAGTTTCTTGAACCAAACGTTACCTTAAGATAGAGATCAATGGCTCGGTACAAGCCATCATGAAGGGTACGAGCATGAAGCGGTAAGGCTTCTGCAATAAGCAAGAATTTTGGAAGATCAAGGTTAACATCTGGAGCGATCTCAGCAAGGTAACTGTCTACAAGCTTCGCAACTTTAAACATGGAGCTTTGTGAAGGCGAATGTGGACTATCGCATTCAAACACAGACTCTTCATCCTCACTATCATCTCCTCCTTGCTGCGAGAAATTCACCAAGATTCTATGAACAGTGTCTATCTCAAACAATGTATCTCCTGCGTGGCGAAAAGAAGGGATCAAGAGATCGTCTAGAGTCGCCATATCAAGCTGAGAAGCGATCCTTCTCTCTAGATCAAGCCTGCATGAAACTGAAGTATCAAGAATCACTGCTCTTCTCAGCAACCCGAAGAGAAAACTGATAGGAACAACGAGCTTTTCGACAGGCAGAAGAGTAACAATTGTCTCAACAATGGTTTGTTCATGTTCTTGATGATGTCCGGTCTCGGTTCTCTTTGTCAGCTCTCTCTCGGCGTAACTCACCAGAGAAGCTCCTATACTCTCTGGACGCACGCCACGACACTTCATTGCATTCATCACTCTCTCATACAAATCAATCCTAAGCACAGAAAGATCCTCAATCCACCAGTCTCCTCCATCGCTGCTCTTGGCTTGCCTGCTCATGTGAAGCCTCCCTGAGCTACTATACTCCAACCGTGAGAAGCTCGAAGCGATCTGCTCGGCGCAGGCCTTTGAGGCAATGGCATCGATGCATCTACCTATGATGTTGAGTTCGTCTGCAAGAGGGAGAAGATTCTCTGATTGTTTCAAGAGTTGGACGCACATCTCAAGGTTCTTGCACACAATGCTGTCTATATACTCCTCTGTTCTTGAAGCTAAGTTGTCTTTAGAATACTCTTCCGTCATCTCGAGGTAGTCAGAGACGCAAAAGAGCTGAGCAACGTTTGAAGACGTGATCTCAAAGTTGATTCCATAGCAGAATTTGGCTGCTAGTTCGAATATCTCTGCTCCTCCTGGGAGATGTAGAAGCTCCACTTTGGAGATATCTGTATCTCTGTGCTCTGCAACGATTCTCCTGATTCTTCCACTTCTAGAGACTAAAGGGAACTGAGAAATGGAGAATCAAAACACTGGTTCAGTAACTCCATAGGTTAAGAGAGAGACAGAGAATGGTTCTCTCTGGTTCTACTAAGTGTGAACATACCTTATGCAGAGCAAAGTTGCCTCCGTTTACTTCTATAGTTATATCACTTGGAACGTCTCGAAAGATCCTGAAAAGTTTCACGAAATAACATCATTTATTGACCAAGAATTTGTATTTATGTGTGTGACAAGATTAAGACAGAGCAATATAAAGACACTGATCCTAAACAAGAACGGAAATAAGATAAAATTGCCAGAGAAACTTAAGGGTTTGATTGGTAACAAAACTGAAGAATAGACTGGCAGTGAAACTGGAACAAAGAAGACAGAACATACCATTCACTACAACTTTGTCGGGAGGATTTAGCAAGCGAGAGCTTTTGGTGGTGATGAATATGCTGATGATGCTGTAGCAGAAGATGCTGATGATGCTTGTCCATGAAGAAGAATTATGTTCAAGAACCAGAGAAAGAAGAAGAAGTTGGAAGAACCCAATCAAGTGGAGTATTTTGGTGATGGAAAGTTTTGCTCTAGTAATTTCCAAAACCAGAGAGAGGGAGAGAGAGAGATGGTAATAGTAGTGTTGAATGAGCATTAATCATAGTATTTGGTAGTGTTAGTTCAAATCCAAAGTTTTTGTCTTTGTCTTTAGTTGGGTCCCTTTTGGTGTCACTTCTTCATATTTTTTCTCCCTCTTTTGAAATTTCAAGATCAAACCTTTTTCAAGCAACATTGTCAAACGTGAATTTAGCTCCGTTTTCTTTGGGATAACAACAAGATTCTTTGCAAAGTTGGAATAGAAATATGTTTTCTGATATGTGATATGAGCAAAAAGAAGAAAGAAAAAAAATTACTGATAAAGGTGTGAGAAAAAGAGAAAAAAAGTGTCAAAAGGCTTAAATCCAAAGGGAAAATGATTTTGAGAGTGGGAAAAGTTAAAGCGAAAACAGAAAGGAGTTGTTAATTTTGGAAATCTGTTACATTTTTTAAAAAACCTCTTTTGGTTTGCTTTGTCTCTTGTCATCATTTTTACTCTCTCTTTTTTTCCTCACTACAAAAAAAAAAGTCAATTTCCAACCGATAAACATATATATCACGATATTTTGAAGCTTAACTTACATAATAATTATCTTGAGGTTAGTTTACATAATCATCAAGAAAGCTAGATCATGAAACCGATCATTTGAGAGTTGAGACGATCATGTACATTCTCGAGAGACCTCCTCACCAAAGCTGATGACCTCAATGATCCGCTTTTAAGTCCTCTTTCAGCTCATTCTCATCAGAGTACTTCATGCAGCTTAACCCTGTTTTGAGCTCAAAGAGGCAGCAAGTGTCGACCAAATACAAACCACAACTCATAGTTTTACGTACACGGTGAAAGGTTGCGTCACGAGAAAGCAATTGGCAATTCTGTTAGACCATATTACCAAAGGATTATTGGCTAGTTTCTTTAAGTTACTCATATGAACGATTCCACACAATGACGCACCCCTTACGAAAAAATTATGAACACAAAGTTTAAGTCAAAGATCTCTCTTTAATTATCATAAATCATTGATTCATAGATTTAATATATTGAATAACAACTTGCTATTAAAGTCACAGTCGCCCTTAATATATAGTAACGATATATTCATTCTAAATTAGACAAATTAAGAGTTTGTTGGGTGGGCTGTGTGTTACGTCTCTTGCGTGTGATGTCGATTAGTGTTATGGCTTGAATAAGTAGGGCCCTAATCACGTTCTTCATTACTTCACTCACATTCACATGCTTATTCTATGGGAATACATTTTCCAATGCTTAATGCAAATATCTACTCACGTAGCATAAAATTTTAATGATTTGTTGATTCTAAAAATAGTGAAAAATGTTTTCACCATACACAATTACACACAATCTCAAAACAACTTCATCAAACTTTAATCGTAAATAGACTATTTATTATTTATAAATAATCCTACACTGAATCGCGTATTACCTAACTATCGATTAACCTACACTTGAAGTCGCCATTTTAATTTTTGCTTTTATGTCAAATAGAACTAAGCAAGAATGCAATAAATTCCGGTATAGATCGAGCACAAGAGTATTACTACTTCAAAAACTCCTATGCCTTAACCAACTTTCTTAACATTAATAAATTTGATACATATATAGAGATCATCCCCGGGAAAAAAAACCCAATGATGGGTGGGTCTGGAGAGGCTTAATTAAAGGGTGGATAACATTTACAGCAAAAGCTAAGAATGCGGAGATGATTATGTGAGAATGATGTCTTCTCCACCTCCATTATTACTTTTCGATTTTGATTAGTGCTTTTAGATACAAACAAAAGCATCGTCTTTTTAAGCATAGTAACTAGTAAGTCAAATCTTTCTTAAGCCCACTCATTTTATATTTTATTTTGGTAACTCGGTACTAGCAAAGCTTAAGCAACATTCAATATTGTGTTCTGTTTTGTGTATTTTTTTTCTAAAAAAGCATAACTGGAAATTTTAGATATTTGATCAAATCAGTATTCTGATGATCTTTTTCCATAATCTGATTATTTATATGACAAATTGGCATCAAATAGTTAACTAAAATTGCATTTGAGCCCCTCTACGTTACTGTACGTAAGAGTCTAGACTGAAGACATACAACTCCTGCAAATCAAACATCGGTTCCTTTGTCTTGAAATTTTAGTTTAATTTTGATTACCAAAAAAAAAATTTAGTTTAATATTACAAAGTTGGAAGACATGTTTTCAACTTTTTTCATTTAAGTCAAAACACAAATATTTTAACGAATCGGAAATTATGGGAATTCTTGTTTCCCCCGGTAATTGTGGGAATTTGTAGTGATATGATAAGATAATCATAAAAATAGAGGATCAAAATTTTGGAAACAGAAAAACTAGAGGAATGCTTTGCAATAAAGAGGAGAAGAATGTAGAGGTCAAGTTGTGAAAAACAATAAATAAAGGGGTAGAAAGAGAAAATACAAAAAAAGACATGAAAGGAAAGGAGATCCTTTATGAGCGCATCATCTGTCTGTTTGCACGCGCTCTGATTGCTTCGTGCATTTAACGCTTTGATTGTCATTATTATTCTTTGGTCTCCTCTCCTATTTATTGTCTTTTTCTTTTCTTTTCTTTTTTGGGTTGACAGTCACACAAACAAAACAAGCATCCAATGCAACACATTTTTATTTTATTTTATTTTTTTCAAAATTTTAATAGATTGGAGTTACGATAAAGATTCAGTTGGACCGGCCTTATTCTCCCAAGCTCAAAGCTTAGCCCAGCCCATTTGTTTCTTCACCCATTTTTTTATTTTTCTACAGTCTAATTTTCCAATAATAAAACTTGGTTTTCCCTGGTTGAAAATGAAATTCATGACTCCAAGTCTCCAATACGGGCTTTGACGCATCAGATTGACAGACCTATGGACTCTATGAATGAGAAGAAAAGCACATTGATTCAGAATGATGAAACCAAGACTGGTAGAGAGAGTTAAGAGGGGAAGAAAAAAGAAGACAAAAAGGCTTTCGTAGTCAGTGCTCCTTCTTTTTGGCTCTATCCTCCTACCAAATACTGTATTAAAGGGTCAAACTCAAACAAAACACTGAACAAGCTGAGTTACAGATACCCCAAGTGTGCATTGGTTAAAGGGATGACGTAAGCGAATCTAAGTGTCCCAAAACATGATTTTTTTTTAGTCAGCGAGCCCGTGATCAAACAAGAGCCCGTGTGTATTACTGTATACATCAGCAAATGTGTATGCATGTATTTATGTACGTGTGTTAACTTTTGATGCATTCACTTTCAGTCCCATTCACTTTTTTCACTTCAAGAGATTAAAGAAAACAAAAGAACAATGATTGGTGTCGAGATAAGATTTCACAGTTTCATCACATGGTGTGGCCAATTTCCGAGAGACGTTAAAAAAGTTAAAACAACAGAGATCTTCTCAATGAACACTGTAAAAACTCTGTTGTGATAATTAGGCGTTTGCATTTCTCTTGTCTCAATTTTTGTCCGTTTCTGTCAGAACTCTGTTGTGATTATTAGGCGTTTGCATTTCTCGAGATAAGAACAGGGAATAATAATTTAGAAGTACTACTTGCCAAAACCGTACCTGATAAGTTTGAAAAACACAAATCTCTTTTCTACTAGTTTCTACTTTCTACAGACTCACCCTTTCATTTCATACTTTTGCTTCTTATTACGCTTTTGATTAATAAAAAAAAAAACAATGATCGATCAATGTATACCTCAAACTCAAATCATTCACACACGCACAGTCACGTGCCGTAGATAGGTCGGAGGAAGATGATTTGACTCAGATTATGGTAAGAGAAAAAAGAGTATGCAAAAGGAGGGACCTATCTATGTAGTTGAACGAAGATGATATGAATCAGATTTCAGAGTTATGACTCACCTACCAAAATTCACACGTGAACCCCCTCTCGATGGGTTTCTTCTCCCACAAAAAAGTCTACATTTGAATCATTTTCACACTACATGCCAAGCTTCAGCATCAATCATCATCACCATACACATAAAGCTTTGAAAAAAAACATGAGGAAAAGACTTGATAGAAACAAGCTGAGGAAACAAAAACAAATTCTCTAAGCATCTAAATTCTCAAGAGATTTAATACAAATGGTATAAGGTTTCAGGTCCCTAAACTACTCTCCAAACTTGTTCTCTAACCACATTATTACTTAAGATTACACTCCTGTTTTAAGGATTTTGATGTTCGGTTAGTCTGTTAAATCTCATCACACTCTAACTTCACACCATATCTTTGGAGCTGCTTCCCCTTTTGAACTTCATGGCCTGACTTGTACCCACTCGTAGCGTCCAGTGAGAGGCATCTCATTCACAATGTCGAAGTTGTACCTGCAGATTTTTAAAGAAACACGTGAGTCTTCATACTCTTCTCATAATGCAACAGGATAAAAAAAGTCAAAAACAAACCCATAAACTTACTTCTCCATGAACAGCTTCTGCTGTTGCTCCTCTGCAAAGGCAAAGAACTCCTCCATCTCACTAGTTGTCGGGACCATGCTCTCACGGTCCCTTGTGTAACCTTTGGTTGTTGCTCGCATCGACCTCGTGCTAGAGCCTGGTGTAACAACAATCTCCAGATCCTCAACAAAGTTACAAGGCGTGCTCTCTCTTGTGCTGAAGAAACAAAAAAAACAGATTAGAAAACTTCAGTTAACATTATTATCACCACAAAGACACTCAATCGAGAATTACACCAAAACGAAAAACATCCAGAGGAAAAAAAAGAGGCTTGATTTGAGTAAAAGACAAAAAGCTAGACTTTGCAAGTATAATGGTCCCATGGGGGATACGGTTTGCAATTAATAACAAAGAGAACGAAAAACCGAAAACTCATTGTCGTCTACTTAAAGAGGTTGCCCAAAAAACAGAGAATCCTACAAAAGTATTACCCAAGTTTGCAAAAACCGCTAGGTCCCATGAACATGACACCACACTACTTGCATTACACTTATGAGGAAACTCCCAATTTCTATATGATCTTACATATTAAAAGCTTCTGACCTTTATACATCAACCCGCTTTTGTTTAAAAACGAATACCATGTGTGAAAAAATTACAGTAATGTCCCAAGAACAAAACTCACACATAATTGTATCCCTAAAGCATATCAATTCCTCTAAAACTAATATGCACTTCAATTCACAGCTTAAGAAGCTAAACCAAACTAATTTACAAATAAGATACATGTAAAGATAATAGCTTTGCTGCATTGATAACCTCTGCAATGAGGTACACATGGGACACACATCAATAACTCTGAAATATCTAATCAAACACCAAAAGAAACAGATGGTGTGCAGCAGTAATAACACCAGTACATCAGAAGAGAGTAATGTCGTAAACAAAAACCAAACCAATATGGGAAACATGAGGAAAAAAAGGACCTTTTTATGTGGTACTAAACTATTGTCATCCCCATTAAAATAAAAACAATTGATTTGAACAAACAACAAAAGTTTCAGAGAAGCCTACCGCTCTTCACATTTTCAGCAAAAAACTTAAAGTAAAATCATTCATCATCAAATCATATGTAGCAAATAATTAGCGGTATACTCAATTACTCAAACTAACATTCTTAGATAAAATCTAAAAAATAAATAAATAAACGAACGCAATTTTCCTCGCATGCTAGGGCACAAAAGACGAACCTATATCTCGATTCAAAATCGAGGCTGTTCTCTCCACAAGAAGCCTCTGGACTCACGGAGTTGCCGAAACATTCATCTCCGTTGCAGCTCGGAGCTACAGGAACCGAGCCCGAAGCGGGTGAGCCCGAGTTAACCGAGTCAACGCGAGACTTCGAACCAGACTCCTTAATTCCCGATTTATGAGGTCTCGGCAGCTGCTTCGGCGGTTCGGCTAGCAACGGTGGTTTTTCGAGACGGCGGCTGCGGAGCTGGAGATAGCACGAGGAGTCGGCCGCGAGAGCGGAATCAGAGGCGGATGAATTGAGCCTCTTCAAAGCTAGGGTTTTGGCGGCTCTGGTGCGAACACCCAAGGAAGTTGGCTCGGTGGCTTCCATGACGCCGGTATCAATAGTTGTCTTCGATTTCTTCATGTATTTGCCCATTTTCGGAGCTCAATTTTGAGGGGGAAGCTCGAAATTCGGAAAGAGAAAATGGGAGGGAAAATCTTCGAGGAAGGAGAAAGAGGAGGGAAGAATGAAAAATGGGAAAAGCTTTTAGAGTTTTGTGGGGTTTTATTAAAGAAAAGGAGAAAAAAAGGTTTCGCCTTTTTATTTTATTTTTACCAATTTCAACCCCACAAATTCATCATTTTTATTCTTTAAGTCCTTGTCTTTTAGACTAATAGCATCATTTGTCCACGAAACTAGCAGTTTAGTAGATTTTCCTCCTATATATTTTTCTCAGGTAAATTGCTAGATAAATCTTTTCAAAACAAAACAAAAAACTTACTTTTAGACAGTTTTACTTTACCTTTGGGATGACACAAAACTCATTTAAGTGATGTAGACGTATGTGTTAACAGTTTTACATGTGAGCACGTACATTTTGGTGCGTACTGTTCACCTTGTTTTCAACTGAAATCATCAAATATTTTTAGAAATGAAGAATCATAAACTTCCACAAGTATTTTTCAACTTTTTCACACATGTTCAAATAATTTTACGACTAGACTGACTAGTTATTTAGGTAATATATTGGGATGTTGACTAAAAAATCAGGTAGCTTTAACCTTTAAACCTATTCAGGTAACTAATTTTTTTATATCAAGTTTAAATCCAATTAGCTAACAACAAGTAGATCTCTGTCTAAAAGGGAGGCGATTTGATAATAACCATAGGAAGTTAGAGAAGGCTGAAATATCAGTTCTTACTTCTTAAGTCGTGTTCAAATATATCAGATGTTTTAAGGTGAATTAGTCACTCCTTTTTCATACAAAAACCAGCCAATAGACACCAGAGACCAAAAAGTGGATCTCTGTCCTAAGGAAAACAATATGCTATACAAGATTTGTGGATCTCTGTCTTAAATATCATGCAGTCCTAGTGATTTGTATCAGCATTGTTGTGACACCACGAGAATTTTTTTTATACCAGATAGAAATGATTTTGGATGATAAAACAAATTGCCATCGCTCTACAGGTGGAAGAAAATTAAAAACAAAACAGTCAAGAAGCACTTGGGTTACGGAAATGCAATCTGGAAGCAACCTCCCGTTTCCGCTCCTCCTCTGCCACCGCCACATTCTCTACGACACCACTGAAGTGTTCCCTTGGGACATTTTCATAGCATTCTGTAGCAGCTCCCAGAAAACCCAATGCCGTTACGACATCACTCATTAGTGGTCGGACCGAGTCCTCCTCCTGCAGACACATGGCGGCTACTGCCACTGCCTGATTCAACGACTTCTCCGGGAACTCTCTCTCCATGCTTGGATCCGCTAATTCCGAGAATCTGCTCGGTTCCTTGAACACAGCTTGTGCCTAAATATAAGACCAATAAAGTTTATAGTTATAAATTAATATACCAAAACTATGGTGATTAAACTACATCCACCGTGCTTAGATGTTGACAACTGTAGAAGACGTACGTATCTAAAATTTGAAAAACTCACCCAAGTCACTAGATTCTGTTCCTCTTTGGGTCTGCTCAAATCAATCACTCTTAGACCTGTAATCAACTCTAACAACACAACTCCGAAGCTGTACACATCGGATTTTGTGGTTAACTGTCCGGTTCTCTGATACTCAGGAGCACAATATCCATAAGTTCCCATAACTCTGGAGGACACGTGTTGCTTGTCTCCTACAGGGCCAAGCTTCGCTAGTCCAAAATCTGATAGCTTGGCGTTGAAGTCACTGTCCAAAAGAATATTAGCTGCCTTCATATCTCTGTATATCACTGGAGGATCCGCCTTGTCATGCAAGTATTCTAAACCCTTGGCCGTTCCTAACGCGATTCTCATCCTTGAGTTCCACTCCAACGGGTCTTGATCCGGCATTAGATCTAAACAGCATTTCGAGCAATGAGTTATATTGAAACAGATTGATTATAAGACTGAATTTCGGTTGAAAATATGAATTTTGTAACAGACCGAGGAGATGATCGTCGAGTGAGCCACGAGGCATGTAGTCATAGACGAGAAGTCTCTGGTCTCCATCAGCGCAATAGCCAATAAGATTGACAAGATGTTTATGATGCAGAAGACTCAACATCAACACCTCTATGATGAACTCTTTGTTCCCTTGCAATCCGTTTCGATCTAATTGCTTCACAGCCACAATCTGAAATCAATATATAAACAGCACCTTGCATTACAAGTTTTGTGGGAAGCCTAGAAACAGAGTGAATAAACTTTTTAGTTAGTTAGGTAGTTACCTGCCCGGTCTTCTCGAGTGTTCCCTTGTAAACCCTACCGAAACCGCCTTCGCCGATCAAAAAGTCTTCCCTGAAGTTGTTGGTAGCAGTTGCTAGCTGCCTGAAGGTGAATGTTAGCGCCGCGACGTTGTTTGTATCAATGTTCTTGCTTTCTTCCTTTCCAGTCTCTAGAGGCATTACATAGTTGTAAGAAGAAGAGGAAGACCCCAACTCTGGTTTAAAAACCTAAAAACAAAACTTGGAGATAAAAATACAAGCTTACCGGAGTGTGGTATTTGTAGCTTCTTGTCTTCTTTAATGGCCGATTCACCATTCCTTTGGCAGCTAAGATTTCTCGTAACTTTCTTCTTCTCGTAGAAATAAAAACACGAGAGACAATTCATTTCTTCTATCTCCCCTCAAAGACATATACAAAAGAGTTTTAATTAAAACCGCAAACTCCAATCATATTGAGTCTTCTTCATTTGCATAAGCCTCTTCCAGGAGAGGAACTCAATCGAACTCATAAATAGGATAATAAAATATCAAAACATTTTCAGATCAAATAAACCTTTTGAACTATCTGGATTTTTCATGGAAGCAGAGTAGCAACCTTTGGTTATCCCTCAAGAAACCCTTAAAGGTTTCTTTTCTACCAAGATCTACTAAAATCCCAGAATTATTTTACCCAAGGCAAAAAAGAGCTCCAAGAAAGTTGGTTTGTGAATGAATTTGTCTTAATTAGACTCCACTGATAAAAAAAAATGTTTTGAATAATGAACAAATATAGGGGCTAATGGCTTACTATCTGAATTACTCGGACATCTTTTATAGTAATGTTAGATCAAAACAATTGGTTTGGAAAATTATTTTATTATTTTGACTATCCTTTTTTGGCATTTTAAGTGCTGATTATACCAGCTGCAATTTATGCATCGTTGTCGATTTTTTTTTTTTTTTGTTATAAAATTATTATTTTTGACTTTCTACTCTTGTTCAAAACTGCAAACAAGCTAAGACATGGAGATCAGTAAGGGTGTAAACTATATATACAACAAAGGTTTTGACTTGTTGTTGATGGGTTTCTGTCGTGTCTTAACGTGACACGAATTGTGTTCTATGTTTTAAATTTTGAATGTCGTAGCTAAGAAATTAAATAAATTGATAAAACAAATAAGTACTAGTTGTTTTCAAGAAACCCAACCATTTCAAGGATACTATATTTAGACACTGGACAGCTTGATAGCTCGATTGATAGGTGAAGAGATTTATGTGTATTTTTTATTAAGATTAAACAAGATAACTGAGAGGGTATCAAAATAATGGGACCATTTGTTATTGCCATTGCACGATCCGCCAATCTTAATTTATATTTCTCTGATTTCATCAAATTAAGATTATATTTGGCATGAACAACATCGTCGATTGAAAGCTTTTTCAAAACTTCATTGTTTCAAAAAGTAATAGAGAAAGTGGATTAAATCTTAAAACATCCACATTATAATCAATGTTGTTAAAGCAATGGAATTCAATGCCAAAACTGGATGTTAAAATTATATATCACTCACCAAACAAGAATCATCAGGACACCAAAAAGTGAGGTATATGGAAAAAAAATTAACACTGCAGTTATGAGATATTACTTCCACCGGAGAGATTGTCTAATCCCGGTGAAGATAAGCCCGACTGATCTACCAATCAAGGTGACTAGAAAGAAGGATATGATGCTACTCACTTTCTCTAACACCACTCTGATTATTGGCATTCCGATGTCTGCTAACTCCAGAAATAGACTGAAGTAGTACCTCCTGTACACATCAAACACTTTCTTATGTGAGTTTTCATGGATCCTTTCGTGATCGAGGTAAATAAAAGAGAGAGGTTTACCATCCCGATAGAGCCTTAAGCTCCTTTGTTCGTTTAACGGGCAATGAGAAATCGCTGATCATGGAGTATCGTAATGGTGATGACGATGAGGCAGCTTTGGTTTTTCCCGGTGTGAACTTTCTCCACCAACTACGGCTTTCTGTATCACCACCACCATCGCCGTTGTTGATAACCTGAGTTTGAAGAACGTAGAGGTCAAAGCGATCCTCGTACATTGACACAACTGCTTCCATATTCTGATGCAACCACTGGTATAGAGCAACCTATCAAGAAGAAATGAAAACTTTGTACATGAGAGATGAAATGTAAGGTGGAACTAAACACAAGGATGAATATGTTTTTATGTTTTTTACCTCATTACGTAGTTTTTGGAGTGCTCTACTAGAAAGGTTACAGATATCTAATCCTCCGGTATTCATTTCATTTGAAAACTTGCTGTCTACAGAGATGAGCTCTAGATAGATGCTAGCGACCCCATCTGCTAATGTTATCATGAAGTCTTCCAAAATGGCCACTCCGTGAGTGCGAAACAAGCTAAGGTCGTAGCACGAAGCTTTCCCGGAAGATCCAAATCTGTGGAAATATAAGAACTCTGCGAACAGATCCTCCTTGCCTGATTTTCGTATTTTGTCAAAAACGGCGTCCTTTTCGTTTAGCATTTTGATCAGCAAAGGAGTAATCCCCTGCCCATCAGAGATAGATTCAGAAGTTCATTTCAAATCTAGTATTCAGTAATGAAAGAAACAAAATAGAAAAAGTTTTGCAGCCACCGAATGCTATATATATGATATCGACTTACCTTGTCAGAATCAGTGTTTTCCACACGCAGTTCCTTCTTTAGCCAAGCCGTGCATGCTCCTTGATATGCTTCACGGACAATATCAGTGAAACTAACCATCCACTCATCCGAATTGCTTGCGTTAGAGATCTTATTTGTCTGCAGAGCAAATACAACAGCTGATCACGAGGTCTAGGGAATCACAGCAAATCAGTGTCTCCGATGTTACTGATGGTAGATAATAACAGATCTCACTACTAGAGAAGAAGGAAACTCTAAATTGTTCGTTTCAACATTGTGACATAAACTAGTATCTGCTACGCTAAAACACTGACACTGATGCAATAACTTGATTCAAAGTGCACATGCTGCTTTTTTGGTAAATACTCTATTATTGATCAAGATGGTATGCTCAAACTGAAATACTAGAGAAAGCAGGTATTAGCTAACCTCTTCTTCAAGTTTCTGAAAACATGACCAGAGCAAGTACAGTTGAGGCCCCTCAGATATTGCATACAAACTCAGTGGAGGCTTCCCTCTAGGTGGTTTGGCTTTGAGGACTCTGTTTCCAAGTGTACTCTCACGCTTGACGGCGTCTAAAGAATCTAAAAGCTTTCCTTTCACAACGTCCCACACAGACTTTAAATCACCCTCAAAATCCGTCTCCCTAAAGTCAGAGTATAGAAGAAAGGGGATGTGTGAATACACAGCAGTTTTCTGTATCAATACCTTACAGCTATAGTGCACTAAATGGACTAGTTTTGTAATCTTTTCAGTTTACTACTCTTACCTACCAGAAGATTCAGAAGTTCCAACATCTGGATTCTCCTCAACGGTGTTCATTCTGGAAGAGTAACCAGAGTTTTGAACAGGGATCACTCCAGCCATATATGTAAGGAAGATACTGGCCATGAGGAGAACTTGGTCACCGATAGGGACCCAACCGGAACCAGCAACACCATCAAAATCCGCCAGAGATGCCAAACAAACAAGCACACTTACAAGAAGACTCTCCCCGAGAAAGATACGCTCCAAGATTCAAGGGAGCAGATATATAAAGCTTCCGAGCTTCCCCTGATGGTTTCCATGTTCACAACATGTCCAACCATTTGTAAAACCATAGACCTCACGACTAAAACATGCCTAATCTCAGAAGGAGATCCTTCAGCCCAATCACTACATCGCCAGAAGAAGAAGATAAGTTTAGATACTGAATCCCAGAAACTAATTGCAACAAAGCTTAGCTGGGCAGAGATAAACTTGTATCTAAGACGTTGATTATGCCGATATACAGATGAATAACTAGCAGATTCCAGTGTCAAATGTCAGGAGAAGTAGCAATTACAATTCATTTTCTGAAAACAAAATGAATAAGGAAACCAATCTACGTTGAGATTCAAGAGTCAAACGGCGGCTTCAGGGAGAGAAGTCAAACAGAGGAGAATCACATGAAGTAGAATCGAAACTAGCGAACAAACCTGAAATTAGCAGAGAGGAGAAGAATACGCAAAGACGAATTGAGAAAGAGAAGAAGCGGATTGGGGTTGTGCGTACCTGAAAGAGTTTCTGTCGACGTATCACAATGACAGTGACAAAACGAGAAAGAGAAGTCTCAGATTTATATAGATATTAAATCAGTGAAGTAGATTAACAAATGGGTTGGTGGCGCAGTTGGCTAGCGCGTAGGTCTCATAGCTATTCCTGAGAGTGATCCTGAGGTCGAGGGTTCGAGCCCCTCTCAGCCCAACTTTTTTATTTTGGTGAATGCTCAGTTTTTGTTTTGTCCCACATCGGATTTTAACTTGCTCATACTTCGTGTATATATAGTAATGAGAAGAGAGACCAAGATTGTGTTCGTAGAAAGGAGAGATGGTTGGCATCTCCTCTGACAGAGACGGGATTGACCTTCGGGTCCTTGAACACATCCGGTTAAGGCTCTCCACGTTCGAGTGGATCTAAACCCAAAATTTTTTGGCCTCTTCTTTCTCTACTGGGCCTGTTTATATTGGGCCCCTTCTCAATTATGACATAGGATATGTACACAAAACTTCTCGAATCTGTCATAGCCAACGTGCAGAGTGTACTTTATCTTTACTTGCGTAGAGAATAACAAAATGTTGGGTGTTAAATCATAACTCAAACAGTCATCTTTGAGATGAGAGAGATTATAATGGAGACACATTGATAATTCCAAACCTGTGTCTCTTTCAGACAAACATGGTAAAGCAAAGCTCAAAGTTTTACATTGATTCTCATAATTCCTCTCCGTTTTCAAAGTCTTCAGATGCATTTTTGTCATTCAAATTTTCATTAGCTTAGAAGCTTCCAAGTTGTCAGCGGACAAAGAGATGAAGTTTGTTGTAGGACAGCTACAAAAGATCTAGACAGCGACACTGATCTCAATGTTGTCTATGAGCCTGACCGTTCCAAACCAGGCAGCAACGCAAATCACTACTCCACTCTTTATCTCTTCCACTCCTTCCAGAGTCTTTTGGTCAACAATCTGCATGTACACACAATCATATATTGCACACATCAATAACTGAATGGTATGTGCAGAGAGTCTTTTCGCAACAGATTGATTCAAATCCAATTCCACTTCCAATATATTCTGCTTACCTCGACATAATCGATTTTTCCTGCAGCTCCAACAATTTCTTGAATGATCATATCCTTAAGCTCTGTACAACTGGTTTGCCCTGCTTCTGCAGAAGCTTTAGCCATGGCCAGTGACCTACTTATAGACAACGCCTGACATATCATAACAATAACAGAACCGTCAAATCAGCAAGAAGCAGCGATGTTAGTAAGTCTACAACTATTTCTAATGCTTGTTCAAATTGCAATGTTACAGTACCTTTTGTCTTTCTTCAGCTGAAAGGTGAACATTCCTAGAGCTCATCGCAAGTCCATCTTTTTCTCTAGCTATATCTGATCCTACTATCTCTATCCCAAAATCAAGATCACGAACCTGTACGACACAGACATAACAAAGGAAGCAAAATGAGAGAAACAACAATCAGTCCAGAGCTAAAAGAGGTAAATTTGTGCTCAAATCTTTTCAAAAACAACCAAAAATTTAAAGAAGGGGACTTTTTTTAGATTCTCACCATTCTCTGGATAATCCGCCATTGCTGATAATCTTTTTTCCCAAACATGGCAACATCAGGCTCCACAATATTGAAAAGCTTAGTGACAATAGTAGCGACGCCTCTAAAGAACACAGGCCTGCTCTTCCCACACAAACCTTTCTCCAACCTCTCAACTCTAACCCACGTCTCGTGCCCTAACCCACCACCTTCCTCCACACAACTCACCACCCTCTCTCCGCCGCCGCCTCCGTTTGTCTTCTTCCTCCCTCCGCCGTCGTCCCCGTCGTAATCGTAGAGGTTTCTCGGGTTGAATACGACTATGACATCGGAGGCGGAGGTGGAAAGGGCGGCGAGCTTGGCGAGATCGCCGGAGAAATCGGATGGGTAAGTAGAGAGATCTTCGGTGGGAGAGAACTGCCCCGGGTTGACGTAGATTGAGACGACGGTGACGTCCGCCGCCGCCTCCGTTTGTCTTCTTCCTCCCTCCGCCGTCGTCCCCGTCGTAATCGTAGAGGTTTCTCGGGTTGAATACGACTATGACATCGGAGGCGGAGGTGGAAAGGGCGGCGAGCTTGGCGAGATCGCCGGAGAAATCGGATGGGTAAGTAGAGAGATCTTCGGTGGGAGAGAACTGCCCCGGGTTGACGTAGATTGAGACGACGGTGACGTCAGAGAGGGCGAGGGATTGACGGACGAGAGATAAGTGACCGTCGTGGAGGAAACCCATCGTGGGCACTAAACCAATCTTCTTCCCTTGCGATCTCATGCCTCTCGACCATCTTCTCATCGCTTCTTTGTCTCTAATCACCTCTGGTTCCATCGTCGGAGAATCTCGATCAACGCCTTCTTGAACTGGGGAATTTCAACAGAATCTGTAAGGTGTTTGGCGCTAGCTGTTCCCGTTCAATTCATATGAAAAAATCTAACATGGAATTATCTTATCCAAGATTTGCTTCCATATAATTTGTCCAGCAGACACGATTTAAATGGCGATTTGATGGTTTGTTAAGGCAGAACCGAATCTGACTGAACGTTAAGAGTCTTCCGGTTTGTGTTGTGTACTGAAGAATATTCGCGAACCAAACTTAACCGAATCAAAACTTCATCTTCAATATCCAAATTTGCCTAACTCTGATGGGCACTCATAAATCCATCTGTGTAGGTTTTTGTAAATTGCAAAATCTTTGAAAATCCAGCTCTTGATTGCTCTCAAGAGTCAAGAAAAACACATCAAAGTTTTGGAATAAAACATTGGTTGGTGATGAAAGCCAAGGTTACATCACTTTTTCATGTTTTACAAAAACCCCTCTTCTTTCTTTTTTTTCGTCATTCAGAGCATTTATCAAAAAAACATTTATCAGTTCAATGCAGCAATAACTTCTTTTTTCGATTCAAAGTTTTGAGTTTTAGGATCCAAAGTTCTGATTGTGTACCTAATTCGAGCAGAACCCAACAAGTAAGTTACAAAGTAACACTCAAACACTGACTGACTGACGTTGTCGTAAGGCAATTACAAAGCACCGATCGACAAGACATTATTATTATTGTTGTATATACAAAATTTACATACGAAAACAGAACACATATTTTTCTAACCCATCAAAAACTATGAAACACAATATCAAATAATTAACAAACTAACTGATTTCTAAACGAAGAGATCTGTTCGAAGATTGGCAATCTCTTGGATCTAAAACTTGTGGGTGGCATCTGTTCAAGCCCAAGAACAAAGTCATCGTCATCCAAGATATTTCCCAAGACATCCTCCATCTCTGCATCTCGCCGACGTGGCAGCGAAGCCTCCAGCTCACTCATAAGCTCGTCAGCTCGTTGCCTTGTTCTACAATCATCCGCACCCGAAACCCTAGACTCCAGAACATCGTCAAGAACCGATCTTCCCTCCTCGAACCTGCCTTGTTTGATAAGGCACATCGCTAGGTTGCATGATTTGTTAGCATCTGGCTCCACGATTTGTGCTTTTCTGTATACCGCTTCTGCTGACAAGTACTTAGCTTGCTGCATATATGCCCACCCCAAGTTCCCCTGAATAGCAATAACAAGAATCAGTCAGTACATGCGAAAAAAGAAACACAAGTGAAAATAGACACAAATCGAGTTGTAGCATCATTTACCAATAATCTTGAGATTTCTTGTTGAACAGTCACTTGAAACTTCTTGCCGTGTGAGCGAGCGGTCTTGGTAGGTTTGCCATTGAAAGCCTCTCCTTGATAGATCTGCCTTAGTTTTCTCTTCAACAACTCAACTTGCTCCTCCATTCTCCCGCATTTCTATTCATTGTAAGAGATCACACCATGTGAGTGTTATGATAATAAATCATTAATTAATTGTATAGTATTAGATAATTGTATGGTTGTAGTAAGACCTTGTATAAGTCGATGAGAACATTGTCGAGGGAATCTTGGGAGTTCTTAGAACAACGAGGACGGAAGGATTTGATGGCTTCGATGGCTTCTTCGGAACGGTCAAGTTGTTTCATTACAACAGCCATGTCCTTAAGAGCACTGTCTACTCTGTCTCCTGTGTTAATGGCTTTCCAAAACCATACTATTGCCATCTCAGGGTTCTTCTCTATCAACTGCAACCAACATTCATTTATTTTTATATTTATTAATAACCTTGCTTTCCTCTTCCCATATGAATGAATATACATTAATGTTCGTATTTGTGCAAGTATAAGATGATAAGCCAATACAAAATGTAAAGAATTGCAAAAACTATTTTTTTGGTTGAATTAATTTATATTCATTCAAGAAAAAGAAAAAGATGAGAGGCCAATATACAAAATGTAAAGAATAATAGTCGTTGCGACCATTATCTTGAAAAGTAAACGCGAATAATAATGCGAGGATCCTGACCGTTCGGAACAACAAGTGACCTCATATGCACACCGCAACATCTACGCTCAGTCTAAAGTATAAATTGTAACATATCCTTTTGTTTTCTTTCTTATGGCTTTAAGATAAAAACAGCAAATACGAAACTTTCCGGCTGAACTTTTTACCCATTAAGTAATTTTTTCATGAAAATGAAATAGGGAATAACATTCAATCCAAAAATAACACTACAAAAATCACAGTAAAATTTAGTTATCTAATTTGTATATATACCTATATAAACTAGTATCAAAGTCCAATACAATTAAGGAGGACATGCTAACATATGAGAAAATATGTAATCTTATAGAATTTGATCCATGAACAAAATTAAAAACATGAAAGAAGAAGGAGAAGAAGAGAGTCTGGACCTGGCAATGTTTGGCTTTAACATAGGGAGTATCTCCACAAGGAACTTTGTGAATCACATGAAACAGTTCATTATCTTTCATCAGATTGCTTCTTGTTGAATTGGTATTGTTATTCTTCGTCTTCTTCAAGCTTCTCTCCATCTTTTTTCTTTGTTGTTGTCTCTTTCTCTTTCTCTGAATGATTAAGTATATAGATGTCTATTGACAGGCTGGGAGAGGTAACCTCTGAACTAAATCTTATATATGCGTACGTTTCTTACTCTAAGAAATGAACTGGGACGAAATTTCGGCTCTGTTCATAGGATATGCCACCTCACCTAAGGACTTCTTACCACGTAGGTGAAAAACGAGCAAAACGTGTCGTTTTACCATTGCCATTGTCTTTCTACATTTTGGGTGTCTTGTATTAATTTAGTTCTTAACCGCCAAATACAGAATATATTATCTACTTTCGTTTCATACATATCAAGTATCATTACATTTACGGTTCATTAAAAATCTATCGATGTTCTTGTACCTCTCATTTCTGACTGGTTCAGTCAAATTATTTTAGCTAGACTTTATCGATTTTACCTTATGACACTGCCTTTGCATGTTGTTGTCAGCTTCCTCCTTTAGACTGGCGCTTCCTGCCAATAACTTTTTGGAGTTTCTTGTTTTACAACTGCAAATTCTTTCAACCGCTTACAACAAAAACAATATATAACGTTTTCTATGCGAAGCTAAATATGTTTTTGATACAGTGCTAACAAAAACAATTTTATATTTGTTTACTGAATTATGAAATTTGTTTCTTGTTTTTTATTTCTAAAAATTGCGACATTTTTCTTATTGATAACTAGATTAGGTCCCGCGTATACGCGGGTTTATTAGACAATTTTTGAAATAAATCATAGTAAACTATTAAATAAATTTGACACTTTAGATTAATATTAAAATCTCGATAAAATACCTCTAAATAATATTATATTGATAATATTTTTACATTTTATTATAGTTGACATATTTTATGAATTCATGATACGAAAAATGAATTAATTTGTTATATTTTTACTTTTATCTAAAATTGAAAGACTTACACATATGTAAGTGTGACTGATTGATTAATTCATGAAAATTTTATTATTTCATTGAAAATTCATCTTTTTTTTTAATATTTTTTTACCTAATAGAAAAATAAACTATTAAAGTTAGAATATCAGTTCATTATAAATTTTTCCTTTTAATATTAGTTAGTTTTTTGATAATTATTTTATTAATTTTCTATTTATATTTTTTTTTCAGTTTTATTTTTGACTCAGCCCATTATAAAATTTCGTTAGTTGTTTTCTAATTATGGTGTTAGTTTTTTTTTAATACATTTTTTCCAATTTTCTTGTGTTAACCTTGTCTTCAAAATATTAGACACAAGTAGCAACAATAATTTTGATTTGGATCCAACTGATCTAGAGTTAAATATTCTTCATTGATATCATGAACTTTCAAATACATTATATTTATTTCTTAATGAGAGAGAAGTGTAAACAAAAGATAAAATCACACAATTAAATCATGAAGACTATAGCTTAATATATATTATTATTTTTTTCTTTTTTCATATTTGAAATATGTTTTACTTTTCCTTTTCGAAATAGATGTAACAATTTTTTTTTTTAATTTTCCTTTTTTTTTTCTTTTCTTAATGAGAGTTTTTTCGTACTTTTCTTAATAAGATATATATCAATATAATATGTTACTAACCTTTTCATAAAGTAATACTCCCTCCCTTTTTTTAAGATGAATTTTCTAGTTTTTTCACACCTATTAAGAAAAAGTTACTTTTCAATCATAAGTGTATTGGTTTTGCCAATTACACTATTTTCTATAACTTTAAACCAATAAAAATCTAAGAAATATAATGATTGTTTCTTGAAATCTGAAAAAGTGAATCAAAAAGCTAAAAAATTTATCTTTATGAAACAACATAAAATTGCTAGAAAATTCATAAAAAAAAACGGAGGGAGTAGAAGTTTTTTTTATCAGTAGACTGCAGATTAAAATTACAAATTTCGATGATGTTTCCTTCGGGCATCTGATCTCAAAAATTTTGAAATAGTGAATGATGCACAAAAATTTAAATTATGTTTTCCTGTTTCAAACAAAAATAAAACTTTAATATTAATCAATGTAATAATAAGATTATCTATATCATTATAATAAGATGTTACTAACCTTTTCATCAAGTAATAGAAGCTCAACTCCCATAAGAATTTTATTTTCTTTAGTATTTTTAGCTTCCCACTTTCGAATAACACGTACTATAGTACGACAATAATTTTGATTTCGATCCAATTGACCTAGAGTCAAATAATCTCCATTGTTCTCTTGAACTTTTAAAGATATGATTTTAAAATTAGAGAAGAGAATCAAAAGAGATTTGCTGAATTTGCTTTGATAACTTGTGAATGAGAAAAAGAGAATACAATAGCTTTCTTTTTATAGGAGGTTCATGTAACCAATTTCATACAGTTTTATAATATTTAGTTTACATATCTATTCCATATACTAATAGGATTTTTTAAAATAGGGGTTTATGTAACCTATTCCATACAGTTTTAGAATATTTAGTTTACATACCTATTTCATGTACTAATAGGTATTTTTTATTATATTATTTTCAATTTATTATATAAATTTTCGTTTTTATTATAAAATATTAAAATTTTCCTTTAGTTTTTTTTTCCTTTTTCCTAAGACATGTGTCACGATCTTAACGGACGTAACATTAAAAGTGACACATGTCGCAATCCTATATTTTATAAAAATCCTACGTGTCGCAACCATATTGTGCGCATCCAGTTTATATAATAAGATAATCATATTGTGATACAATTCTATTTATATCCATTTTCATGGCATTAAATACAGTTTTAATAACTTAGATGATAATATATATTTTTTGTTAAATTATATGATAATATCTAAGAAAAATATGGATATGTAAACCCTTTATAGAAAAAGAAAATTAAAAAATAAGAAAAATATGGATATGTAATATTAAGTTTCAGTTAAACTCCTCAATTTTTTGATATAATTGACACATGTCTAATCATTAATCAAATCGTAACATGTTTCAATTTATATAAAGTTTTATAAAAGTTTAGTTATCTATATCCATATATATTTTGAAAATGAATTAGTTAACAATTTTGGCTAAACCCTTTTGAAAATTTTACTACCTCATATATTTCAGTTTTTAGTTAGGTTTGTTATTTCACTGTTTATTTTAGGTATTTACGTTTTCTTGGCTTAAATCACAATCCCTATAGGAAAAAAGAAAAAACAAACAGTCTGGAGTATAAACGAGGTTAAATTGTCATGTACACTGTTATTTCTATTGGTTAGTTGAAATCATTTAACAAACAAGAAGTGGAATAGGTACTGTAAAAGCATATATATTATACAGTATAAGCAGATTCGATCCCAAGTAGTGCAAGGCATTTCAATCTTCATTACTAAAGAAAAGAAAAAGTACCCAGTCCCAAAAATATTCATTTATCTAGTTTCAATAATCCATCGTCATTCGAGACTTCGAATCATTCTAACGGATAAGTGAATAAAATATTTAAGTGGTTACTAGTACTACATCAATAATTACTTAGTACTAATAAACTAAAATAAAAAGGAAATTAAGAATCATCGTCACTCTCAGTCTCGATCGATAATATGGTATGGCCGATGGCTTATACAATGGATGAATCTGGACTCTATACGCTGCAGCATTCACTAGTAAACAAGAGTTGCCGCTCACGAATGGGACCACAAGCAACACTGTTTTTGGGAAATAGTATAATACCAATTCTACGGACTTGAGACTTAGCTATAAGTCAGTATTGAATATTATATATAAATCCGAGAGTAGGGGAGATATCACATGACCCTGGACGGTTTCACTGCAAGATTCATGATTGATTTGGTTGTTTTGGTCTATTCAAGTTTTGCACAATTAAGTATATAACCATTTTACTAATAAAAATTAATTGATTCCTTAGAGTGTGGATGCTTGCGTTTTAATATTTACAACTTGTTCAATTCCTTCGAATCGTTGTGTAATACTTTTAGCTTAGTATTTGGTTGAACAAACGATTAAAACACTAAGCTAAAAGTATTTACTCTCTCTGTCTCTTTTGCCGACAAATTGTCTTTAATTTTCGTCTGGGTTGAACATAAGTTACATAACATTGGATACGAATTCGGTACTACCAATCTTTTAAACACAATAATGGAGAAAGGTGTCAGAGTGGTGTATGTTGAAGCAGTGCAATGAACTTATGTGGCGCACTTAAAACATATGCGATATATGTGTAATCATCATATGCATGTTTTCTTTCTCCAATCAACATTTAGATCTGAGGCTTGATCAATGTGTTAAAAGGTCGATTGTGCCCATGACTTCAATTTGTTTGGGCCCCGTCATCGTGTTTCAATAATTTTTTAAAAAAATATAATAAAAAATGATGAAGACTTGTTTGATTGGTGGGGAAACTCTTTAATTTGTAGGTCTCGTAGATGATAAGAGTTTATTGATCTTTGTCACATATTCACTTCTAACTTTACATTCTCTTTTTTTTTTTTTTTTTTTTTTTTTTTTTTACATCTTACTTCCCAGAAAAATAAAAATTTATCAAATCAAGTAGTTGCACTGAAATTATAGGATGAAGATCCAAAAATCTTACTTCCATGTTTGTCCATATTTACTTCATTGTTTTTTTTAACGTCTTGAGATTATTTCAAAATAACTACAACGAAGGTCCACAGATAATGTTTCAACACATACGCACACACACAAAAACAGAGCACAAAACGTACATGCATCATTACATCAACAACCAAACGATTATATAACTACCCTACCCGTAACCAAGAAAGATTGGTAGTGGTCATCTCTAGTTACACCCTTAATTAATTGGTTATATCTTGAAGTAAAGAGATGGAGTTACACGACAAAACCAATCCAAAAGAGCAGCTTGTAAATTGAGGGAACATTCTACGAATCATTTATAAAAAGGAATATAACGTGAAATTCCAATGGTTTGGTTAACGCCACAATTGTAGTTTGATGATCCCAAGATACAATCACTATAGCATTATGCATATCACTATATTGTCTAGAAATTATATTTCGCGTTGATTGTATAGTTAGAAATACATTATCACCTTTTTTATTCTTGATTATAAAAACATAATACACTTCTTACTTGGCTTTATGAAATTCACTTTATACTCTTCAGAACTATTTTTTACACATCTTAACATTTCATGGAAATATAGTTTATATAATTTATGGGACCTTGATTAACTAAAAAGGAGGGAATCATGCATACCTTATAATTAGATGGAAGGGTTAAATCGGTTTATTTCAAAGTTCAAAGCCAATATTGCAAACAAATAGATAGTCCGAGGGTTTTTTTTTCATATTTCCTGAAAGTAACACTAATCGATTGTCGTCTAAAATTACCCTAAAGTCGAAAAGCTTGGAGAAAGTCGAAAGAAGAGTCAAAGAGCAGAGAAATCTTAAAGCGCTTCACTTGCCTCACTGCTCTTCGTAATGGCGAACAATCCGTCGCAGCTTCTTCCATCAGGTATTCATCTCCTTCTTTACATCTCTCACTTGTTTCCTTTTTCATACAGAAGAAAGTCGATTCGGATCTGCGATTTAAGTCCCAATCTCTTACGCGATTGGTGTGTTTGTGCAGAGCTAATCGACAGGTGCATAGGATCGAGGATTTGGGTGATAATGAAAGGAGACAAGGAGCTCGTAGGTATTCTCAAAGGATTCGACGTTTATGTCAACATGGTCCTTGAGGATGTCACCGAGTAGTAAGTCTGATTTTTCATTTTTCTTTTTGTTTTCCCCCAATTTTGCTACTTTTTCTTCGTATGCTGATTATTCGGAACATCTATTGCTTGCCTCGATATATCTTGCCATGGTTTAGGAGAAACACAGATATAGTGAACCATAGATGTGATAATTAGAAAGCTTTTGCCTTTGGATTTTGTTTCTCATGTACTAAGTATTACAGTGGTTGATTGCAATTTGTTTAAATCTTGGTCAGTTTCAACTTTCAATAATGACATTGAACTTTTTTTTGTTGTTGTTGTTGTTGTTGTTGTCAATTTCCATCAAAGTTCATTGATCTGCTGAAGAGTGGCATTTAGTTGATATGAAGCATAGATCTTTATATTTACACATATGTATAGAGTATATTTAGACTGTATCATATGCGGTTTTGGTTACATGAGTTTGTTTATGGTGCAAAGAGTGGTGATTTAATGCTTTGTAACCTTGCTGCTTCGGAGATAGGACCTCATAGATTCAAGTTTTGGCTGTAACAGATTCTCAATTCAAATATAACCAGCTGTGTCTCTAAATTAAAGCTTCATTGTGCAGTGAGATTACAGCAGAAGGAAAACGGGTCACAAAGCTTGATCAGATTCTGCTCAATGGCAACAACATCGCCATTGTAAGTCGAAACACTCTTTCATTTGTATTTTCCGAGGGGGCAACAAATATCTGAACTGGTTTCTCAGTTTTACTTAGAAATTCTAAGGGTATCCGTTTGTTGTATTACTTCCTTGTGTGCTTTCTCTACAATATGTTAAATTGAATGCCAAATTGCTAAAAAAGTGTTTTGCAAATGTGGTGCAGTTGGTGCCAGGTGGGCCTCCAGAAGATGCAGAATGAGATTTGCGAGAATGGAATTGGTATGTTGAAAGACTTGTGTGAAGAAGAAGGATGTAACTTTGGTTCTAGACAAACTCTTGTTCACAACAAAAGTAGTAGTAGGTTTTTAAACCCAGAACTGACAAATTTTTCATTGTTCAACTATGTGAAAGAGCTAAAGCTTCACTTTTTATTAGTCACACAATGCTTCTTGATTGCTTCCACTTTTATTCAACCTCTCTTTACGCTCTTCTAATGACCGTCTCCATTAGCCACTCGAGCGTTGGACAAGTTATCAACAGAGTCTCCCCTCTCAAAAACAGCTGCAGCTCCCATACCAGTGCCTGTCACATTCGCATTTCACATGTAACATCAACAAAAACGTATGATTCAATCTTGGAGATAAAATCTATACTAGATAACATACCTATGCACATTGAGATTACTCCAAAGCGGCAATCTTTTCCTCTCCGCTTCATCTCGTGCAACAATGTCGCAACACATCGAGCTCCTGAAAACATATTAGCTTGTCAAACGTGTTGTATTTTGTCTGGTAAGATAGGCTTGTGTAAGTAGTAGTAGTAACCTGTAGCACCCAGAGGATGACCAATAGCAATGGCTCCTCCATTAACATTGACCTTTTCCATATCCAGCTCTAGCTTCTTGCAACAGTACACATACTGAGACGCAAATGCCTGTTTCACAAGTAATGATTATACCCTGAAACCACAAGCTATGAAGAACTATTGTGAAACATTTCAGTAGTACCTCGTTGATCTCGAATAGATCAATATCGGTGACGTTGAGCCCTGCGAGCTTAGTTGCAGCGGGAATGGCGACAGCTGGACCGACACCCATCACAGCAGGATCCACACCGGTAACAGCAAAACTCCTGCATTGTTTTTGTATCAGATTACTCTGTTTCTTGAACTGTCAAATTATTGACAAGTCTCTCCAGTTTTCATTCACCTGAATACTCCAAGAATGGGAAGTCCCTTCTTGATCGCTAAGCTTCTCTTCATTAGCAGCACGGCTCCAGCACCATCACTGATCTGACTAGCATTCCCTACACAATACACACACATATATATACAAGCTTCAATCCATGATCAGACTTATTATGTCAGTGAAAGTTAAATCTCACCGGCTGTGGTGGAACCGTCTGGTTTAAAGACTGTCCTCAGCTTTGCCAAATCTGCCATGTTTGAGTTAGGACGTACACCGTCATCAACAGAGACGACGATTGCCTTCTCTGCTTTAGTCTCAGGGTCCATAATCTTTCAAAAGAACAATCGGTTATCAAGAAAGCTCTCTGCTAAAAAGGGGTTTCAAATAAGCTTCTTGTTTATTTACCTTAGTAGCAACAGGAACTATCTCATCCTTGAGTTTACCAGACGCGTTTGCAGCTGCTGCACGCTTGTGAGACGTTACCTGTTTATTACTGAATCAGTATGAATCAGAGAAGAGAGAGAGAGAGAGTGAAAAGGGAAAAACAAACCGCAGCCATATCTTGCTCTTCTCTGGTGACACCATATCTCTCTGCAACGTTTTCAGAAGTAATCCCCATTGGAAGCAAACAGTCTCTGGCTTTAGGGAACTCTTGTGCCTGTTTACCATATAAAGAGTTTACAGAAACCATCACAAAACTCTCCTTGTTGAGTGAATGTTTTGTACATTCAGTGGGATACAAGACATACTCTCGGATTGGTGGAGTTAAAGCCGCCTCCAGTAATATGATCAACTGACATAGATTCCACTCCAGCACCAATACCTATGCAAGTACACAACAGAGAGACAAAGCTGAGAAAATCAAATCTTCACATAATAGACTACAGAATTTGATTAAGCTGCGTCTTAGTCTTACCGATGTCGTAATATCCAGCTCTAATGGAAGCAGCAACATCAGCAACTGCTTGTAACCCCGATGAGCATTGTCTGTTGACAGTTCTAACTGGAACAGAGTCTAGCTCATAAAAGCAAGAAACATGTCAAGAGATGTTTTTTGCTGTGAGATATTATTGTTTGTAAGAAAGAATCTGATCAAGTTACCAGGAAAACCAGCAAAATATGCAGCTACTCTACATTCCATGGCTCTCTGAGAACCAGGCGCTATAACGGTACCAACAACGATATCTCCAACTTCACTTGGATCCAGAGATGTTCTTTCCACAACAGCCTGATTAGAGCAAAACATGAGAGATCATCACAGATTCTAACTAGTTCATGTCTTCCAAGCAAGGTTTATATTGAGTTTATATAAAAATACTACCTTGAGGACAGAAGCTAGAAGATCATCTGGAAGAGTGTCTTTGAAACCTCCACGTTTCGCTTTGCAGATTGCAGTGCGATATGCCCTGAAGAAGTCGAAAGAAGAATCAAGAAACAAAAAATATCTAAGTGAAAGTGAAGGTGAAGCAACTCAAGAAGGGCTTAGTGGACTTACGCTACGATCACAATGTCGTCTCCGAAAGCAGCCATTGGGGATAGCTCAGCAGCACAACTCACAGCCTAACAAACAAATATCCAGCAACAAGTTTTAAGAACTAATTGACTCGTGATAACAAATGTCAACACCGTTTTTAAAGATGATCAAAACTTTAGCAACATCACTTAGATGCAGGAAGTGGAAGACATGGACTGTGATGAGGTTCAAAGATTAAGAAAACTAAACTTACAGATAGAAGAGCAGGTTCATGATTGATAATACAAGAAGAAGAAGAAGAAATTGGATTGAGATGACGAAGCAAAATCTTTTGTCTTTCTACGGCTTTCTCCATCTTTCTGACTATCAAACACTTCTGTTGCAGCTTAACTCAAATGGGGATTCTATAGCAAAAACTTTTCTGGGAAGATTGAATTGGGTTACGTTTGGTTGATGAGGAGGAACACAATTATAAGAATGCAGGAATGAAATACAGAGGAGAGAATGAATGGAATAAACGTTTGGAATAGTAAAATATTATTTATTTATTTTTAAATAAGAGAAGTTTAAATAAAAAAATCACTTTAAATGGAAACTTATAAGTGCATAATATTGATTTTATAATTTTAGTTACATATAGAAATATATCTTAAAATAATTAGCTATTATTATTAATTTATTTTAAAATCTTTGAATTTTGTTATGCTTTGCATATATTTTTATTTATTTTTCATATTTTAGCAAACATTAACTGAAAATATAAAATTCATATAAATCATGTTAAAAAAATATCTTCACATTTGGAGCTGCACAGAAAGGATTATTGACATTTAAATTACATTTTTTTAATAAATGTTACATATTTATTCTTTATTTTTGTCCGTCTTCAAAATTGATAAAAAACAAATTATTAATAATAAATTAGGTATTTTTCTCGTGGATCTCCATTATTTTCGTACTGTTGTCTGATTGGCTCTTTGCCAACCTTGTTTTGTCGTTTCGTAAACAAAGTTAACGGCGTTGCGAATGTATCCGTCTCGTTTTCCTAATTTACGCCCGACAGATACTCACGCCGTGATGGCAATGACCACTGAACTTGCCACGTAGGAAGCAAAACAACTGCACGACGTTTGGAGTAGAGAGAAGGAAACATCATGATGTTTTTGTGTTCAAGAAACATTTACTTTTTAATAGATTGACCATGGGGATGCTTTCTTTGATCAAGGAAGAAAAAATGTAGTACGTACCTAAAGATTTCAAAAGAAATCTTCTAGTTACTATATTAAGCTCACTTAAGTACAAAAAAAACTCTTATTTAAACAGGAAGAAGAATATACCGTCCAATGTATCAATTTTGAATCAGAAACGGAATTTATAGTTGAGCTAGTCTACAGAACTTCTCATGACATGTGCAAAGATTACAGAAGCAAAACTTGTAAAACATAAGATAGATAGAGAGGTTGAGAAAATTACCCGATGCGACAAGTGATCTTAGCACGAATCTTTTACGAGTCCCAAACGATAGATATAAATACAAATGTAGACAATGTTGATTATATGCAAATGCTGAGAGAAGAGAAGAGAAGACGGTAGCTAGTAGCTACCACCAAAGTGTTCAAAATTTAACTTAAACCAAACAACCAAAAGAGAGAGAGATAGAAAAAGAAGTGACGTGGCATTGACGTTTAACTCTATTGGCATACTCTTTTGATCCTCCACCACTCTTCTTACCAACCTCTCCTTGTCTTCAATTTTATCGTTTCGTGCTACCTAACCTTCTTTTCTTGTTTACTTCTAACGGTATTGTTAGATTTTCTTTCAAACTCATCAACTCTTTTCTTTTTGGCTATCGATCATTCTATCAATTCAAGGACTTGTCACACATGGACCTGATACAAATTCATTGGTAGCCAAATGTTGTATTTCTTAAAAAGTATTGGTTTTCAGGTGTAATACAAATGAAAGCTAAACGGGCCGTAAGAGATCCATAAATAGAAAGCCCAATGGCTAACTACTTTTTTGGTTCGGTGAATGAGAAGTAGCCAACAAGGTGGAGACAAGTTGCAAGGAAATGTGGGCGGTGCGATCAGTGAGACCCATCATCACAGTCTTTATGACTACACCCATTTGCCTCTCAAGTTATGGAGCCTCCTTCCTTTTTCTTACACCAATTTGGCATCACTTTCCCAATCACATTTTAAGAGATTTGTTACTATGTGTCACCTTTTCAAAGGGACTAATCTTATGATCTTTATCTCTGCCAAATTGATAGACAATGGAAAAGGTCTAAGTTCATTAAAGGCATGGTCAACATTACAAAGAAGGGAAGTTCAGTTCTGATTAGGCCAATAGCGAATAGAGTTTCATTTAGAGAAGAAGCAAAACCCCAAAAAAAAAATGCTAATCTCAAGAGAGGAGAAAAAGAAGTTCCTATTTCCCAATTCAAAAGTCTCTTTCTTTCTCACCAATCACTCCTTCTGATCAACATGCACCATCTTTTACTCATTCTCTTCTCTCTCTTTATCTCTGACTCTCTCTTATCTTCTCTGTTCCCAAGCCCATACGGGCAAAAGAACCTGCTCCCAAAGTTGGCTCTGCAACACAACAGGAACACTTAATAGTTACACCACTAATGGATCCACTCACAGATTCTTCACATTTTCCAACTATCTTCAAACACCATCTTAACTTGGCTTCTTCTACACTTCCCATCAACTCCCTCACCCTTTTATATACATCCTCTCATACCCATAACAAACACATTCTCGTTCTCTCTTGGCCTTCAGCTCAAAGTACATAAAGTCTTCTTACTCTTATCATTCTGATTCTCGGTCCTAGCCTCTTAGGGTTGGATCTCCAAGCTGTTTTTGTACTCACTGGGATTGTTAATCACTTTTTGTGTGTATAGATAGCATCGAATGGAAGAAGATCATTACCATCAAGTAGAAGATGAAGAAGAAGATATCAAGCCAAGCCAAGAGGGCAACAAGACAGACGAAGACACATCTTCACCAAGACTATTCCCCTGCCTATTTTGTTCTCGAAAGTTCCATAGCTCCCAGGCCTTAGGAGGCCACCAGAATGCTCACAAGAAGGAGAGAACCGCTGCAAGAAGAGCCAAAAGAGCCTACGATTTCGTCAACAGCAATGACTTGCTTCACACGTTACCTGTTTTCTTATCCTCTCCCTCTCCACACCACCTGACCATCTTAAGCTACCCTTCTTCTTCTTCCTCCGTTGGCTACCTTCCAGCCGTTCATCCCGACCATCCGATCTTTAGATCAAACGGTGCTCATGTCGTGTTGGCCACACCCCACCAAGGTAGAGATTGCAAAGGAGGGTGTTATAGTCAACAACGTGTTCAAATTTTGGATCATCGCTATAACGTGGTGAATAATGACAAGGGTCAAGATCAGTGTCTTGATCTCTCCCTGCATTTGTGATATTAGAGTTTATCGTTTGCTAGTCATGGTTTTGTTAAAATTGATTCCATGCTACATATCCTAATTGTTATTGGTGTCCCTATCAACAAAATATGACATATAGTGCTTAAACTATTGTCTATTAATGATTAACTAATTATCCTATAGTGGACGGATCCGTTGATTGATTTCCCCCGATATTTATGGCTATAAATTTATAATGCCCACATAGAGATGCTAATGTGCACTGAGTAAAAGATATTTAATATTTTCATGTAGACAATGTTAAGACTTAAGACTACCTTTAACCCAAAAAAATGTTACAGCATTACCTACAATTAATTACTTTAGCTGTAATATGTGTATTTTTTCCTCAGAAATAGAGGAGAACACTCACACATGCCATGATCCGTTTGTTGGCGGAACTCATTATTGTTTTCATTGAACATATCTGTGCATATTGTGTGTTGTTAATTAATGCTGATATCGTTGATTAGCCTGGAAGCCTAATCACTGTCCCAACATGTGGAAATTGATGATACAACTAACTGTGTATACGTTTCTAGAAATTGAAAATGATTTAGAAGTTGTATATTATAAACTTTTACGTAACATTATTTTGTATTCAGTTTAATACTACATATTTTAATACTACATATTAAACTGAATACAAAATAGTGTCAGTCTGTCAGACGAAAATTAAAAATCATTTGACTTGGTAACTTAAAAAAAACTACACTGACCAAAGAAGAACCCAACATTAATGCTAATGTGCTATTAGCTCAGGTAAATTTGTTAAGGAATTGTGAATTTGTGCAGTACCAATCAATATAGAGAAAATTACTTAATCTAGTTTTAAAGGGGTTTAAATGAACTTTTTCTTTAAATCAGTCAACTTTTTTTCTCTTAAACTCGTTTAACGTTTTCTTACTTGGCATCAGTAAATAACTGTATGTTTATGCATGTACAGTTATACAAAATAGTAGCAAAAATTTAACGTTTTCTTCTCATATACAATAGGAAATATATAAAGAAATGATGGCGATTGGGTCTTCAAGGTAATACACGCAACTTTGATTGGTTGGTTTATATGATCTGCCACATCGACCTAATCACCGGCGTGTTTCCCGGACATTCGCCGCCGACGAACAGATATATACATTTATCACAAAACAATGACGTGGAGACTTTGATGAGAAGAACGTGTCGGAATGAGCAGCCGTCCGGCACGTGATTCACCTGCTCCACCCCACGTGATAGAGAGGGAGGGAGAGAGATGCCAGTGAGAACTTAAATGGGCATTTTCAGCACTTGGAGATGAAAATTGGAAAGCAGAAACTTAAAGCACGGTTTGTTTGTGACCAAAAAAATAAAGCACGGTTTGTTTTGTTATTTGCTCAAATTTGGATAAGATTAGGCAATAGATGAAAAGAAAACAGTAGTGGTTTATCCGTAGTTAAGCCTAATAACCAATCAAAGAAAGAAAAAAAATCCAATGAAAAATTGTGGTAGACATAAGTATGAAAAGTGTGAAAGACTTGGAATTATAACATTAACTCTTGTCAAAATTTCCGCTTTCATTGACAAAACGAGTTTGTACAACTTATTTTCCTTTTCCTCGTGTTTGTATAATTTGTCTATTATCGTATCACCTAGATTTTTAAACCTTGGGTGTAATAAATGCGAAAGCTATGGTATAAAATCATGTCAGCTTCGAGCCATTTTGAGCTATGTTCTTGCCAGGATTTTAAAAATAATTATAGTAGTAATAACAGTAATGAAAAGTTATTAGGTTAATATTATTCCAGTAGAAAATGTCACGCCAATTTCTCTTATATAATAACTCCTTCCACTGAAGCCTTTCTTTAACTCTTTTTCATCTTCCTCCATCTTTCTTCCAACACAATAGACCGACAAAGGCCTCTGTCTTAGACAGAGTAAAAAAAGAAACAGAGCAAGAACAATGGCTGTCACGCAAGTACTTGTCCTCTTAGCTTCTGCATTACTCTTATCAATGCTCTCCACTGTCGTTGATTCCACCAGGTATAATCGATTTATTGGATATTTAGATCGAAAATTGTTTATAAACCTAGTTTGGTTCGTGATCTGGTTATGGAACAGAGCACTGAAGCTCCAACAATTTCAATCTATGGTTGCGCAAGAAAACCCTTTTTCTTACATGATCATCACAACTTGGTTTTGTTTTACAGATCTCAAAATTCTTGTCGTTTACAATCTTTATACTGATCATGTCCAGATGATCGATCCGTATACTTACACACCAGTATTTTACTGTATGATAATGCAACATTTCAATGTATATTAGGAGTAATTGAAGAGATTTAGAAAACTTGAATAGACTTGCTTGAGCTTAACGTTTTGATCTTGTTAACACAACGACTCCTTTGATTGTAGAGCCATTATCGTTATTAGTAATTAGCGAGGTTGCTTTTGAATAATTGAGTTGTTTCATTTCGGGTTTAGGGATAGTAGTTGAAGTTTTGTTTTAATGAACCAGTTAGTTTATTTATTGCAGGTCTAACGAAACATGGCATGAACATGCAGTTGAGAATCCAGAGGAAGTAGCTGCTATGGTGGACATGTGAGTTTTTCTGTTGCTTACAATAAAGAGAAAAGCTATTTATTTACATAGATGTGTTTTTGTGTTTTAGCTTTATTAGAACAAATAGTGATGGTTATTGCGATTGGTTAGTTAGTAAAAACAGCAAAGGATAATAATATACACATGGAGCTTAACGTATATGGTTGGATAAATTTAAATTCCAGTCTTTTTATATTTGATTATTAAGTAACCTTAAAGGAAAAAGAATCAGAAAACTGGTAAGTTGTATTAATGTGGAGCAGAGCTCACATGGAGCTTGTGTAAGAATTTTTATACATTCTGGTCAAAGGGTCAATCCATAGGGCCAAACACCAGTCCTCGATTCCATTTTTTTCCTACTTTCTCGTTATATCTTTGCTTTTTCATAAAATATTTTATGATAATAGGAGTACATATTTTCTTTTTATGTAGTTTAACCGTTTTCAACCAGAATGATTTTCTTGGTTCCCGCCCACTGACTTCTATTTATTGCAGAAAATCTTTTTGATTTGATGTTTTACTTATAAAAATTATATAATTTTTGTTTTGAAAATCTTCAGCAACATCACGATTTCTCAATACAAAACGAAATATAAAATTTGTTAGAAGAAAATAAAAAAGTGTGAGTCAGTAAATAATTAGTAGTCATAGGACAAGTTCTTTGTGCTTTATTCTTGCTGAGCGTTTCAGAGTTGTGGGTGGAACAAAACATCAAACATCACATACATATGCATGGGCTCATTTAGTTGAGTTAGATTTGGATGGGATTCCTTCATTAAATGCAATGTACTAGATCATTCATATAGTTGAATCATCATCTAAATATTTAGTGAAATACCCTATACAAAAATATAAGTATTTAATATTCTTGCTTGCGATAAAAATCTTATGGAATTATTGAACACATTGGTCCAAGAACACGTGTAGTGTTTTTGCTTTAGTTTTGGAAAAAACATGTGTAAATGTTCCAACAAACACCTAATCTTTAGAATAGTGAGTTGCGACCATCCCATGCATATGCCTCGTGCAATGTTCTCTCCAATTCTTTTATTGGCAAACAGTTATGTCAATAGTTCAGTCTTATCTCGTTTTTTGTCATTTATAGAACCGGTTGTCTTATGTGAAACTTATTAGTACTAAATAATATCAATCACACACATATCAAAAACTTTTCTGTCCAATTATTAGAAAAAACAATTGCCTCGTAGAAATGATATGATATAAAAAATAATTTGCGTAACAAAGCAAGTTTTATTTTCTTTATCACATTAGAATGTTCCCACCGACGCAAATGCAAGTATTGTCAAATGATTCCTTTAGCTTTACATGAAAGTGGGCCCACCAAAAGTTACTGATTTGATTTCGGTTAACTACGTAAAATTAATATTAAATTAATTTGGTTCGACAAAACCGGTTTTGATGGTTTAGGAGCATCCGGAACAGTACAGAGCGGAGGCGATTAGGCTACTTCTCTTGCTCCACCGGGAATCCGATCGACGATTGCTGGCGTTGTGACCGGAGATGGCAATCCAGGCGGAAGCATCTTGCCAATTGCGCAATCGGATTCGGTCGCAACGCGATCGGCGGTCGAGACGGTCGTTACTACGTCGTGAGCGACCCGGGCGACGATAACCCGGTTAACCCGAGACCCGGAACGCTCCGTCACGCCGTGATCCAAGACGAGCCTCTCTGGATCGTCTTCAAGCGCGACATGGTTATCACCTTGAAACAAGAGCTCATCATGAACAGCTTCAAGACGATCGATGGTCGCGGCGTCAACGTCCACATCGCTAACGGCGCTTGCATCACGATCCAGTTCGTGACGAACATCATCATCCATGGGATCCATGTTCACGACTGTAGACCGACCGGTAACGCCATGGTGAGAAGCTCGCCGTCGCATTACGGGTGGAGGACGATGGCCGACGGAGACGGGATCTCGATTTTCGGGTCGAGTCATATCTGGATCGATCACAATTCGCTTTCTAATTGCGCTGATGGGCTCATCGACGCCGTCATGGCTTCCACCGCCATCACTATCTCCAACAATTACTTCACACACCACAATGAGGTATCACTAGAAGCTTTCACTTTGTTGGAAAAATTGGTAATTTGTCTCAAATTTCAGAGCTTTTGGTTGCTGGAATGATAAAGGATTGTGCTTTGGCAGGTTATGTTATTGGGGCATAGTGATACATACACAAGGGATAAGGTTATGCAAGTCACAATTGCTTACAACCATTTTGGTGAAGGTCTTATCCAGAGAATGCCAAGGTACATACTTTGAATGATTTAAGGATCTTACTCCTCAGAAAACGTCGAAAGTCTCAGCTTGACGCTTATCATCTGATAGATAGGTTTTAAACCTTTTTGATTGTAGGTGTAGGCATGGATATTTCCATGTAGTAAACAATGACTACACTCACTGGGAAATGTATGCGATTGGTGGTAGTGCGAGTCCCACCATTAACAGCCAGGGAAACAGATATCTCGCTCCAAGAAACCGATTTGCTAAAGAGGTGCTTAATTTCTTTTGAATCCTAAAAATCTTGCTAAAGATGGATCGCAATCAGAAACGCAAGCTAAGTATACAGATTTATGTGTATGTGGCAGGTGACGAAGAGAGACTATGCAGGTCAATGGCAATGGAAGCACTGGAACTGGAGATCAGAAGGAGACCTTTTCCTGAACGGAGCTTTCTTCACACGTTCTGGATCAGGACTTGGAGCAAGCTACGCTAGAGCTTCAAGTTTAGCAGCCAAGTCGTCGTCCCTTGTCGGTACCATCACCTACAACGCCGGTGCTCTTTTATGCAGAGGTGGTCGCCGGTGTTAATACTTACTAAATTAATCTTGTTTTTTTGGTTTCTTGCAATTTATACATGGCAATAGACACTATTGAATTGTCGAGGCTTGCTTATTTAAAAACTGCCTCAAACTGTATTATAAAAAGTTGTATGATTATATTTCTTGTTTCAACCCCTCTTATATTTTGATGTATCTATAAAGGTAAAAAGCAAAGTTGGGACTCTTCTTTTACTCTCTCATCTTACTTCAAACACACCAAATGCTTTGAAATTTATCAGTTGAAATAAACCTATAATGTTATTGAAGTTATCATCGGTTTGGTCGTTGATAACATCCCTAACAATGATGGAGATGTGTGGGGCATTGTGTAAATGGAATAAGAGCGGATGTGAAGGTGGTGTGAAACCACGTGAGAAGAGACAAGAAGCACATGAGAGCATATGAGGGAGTGAAAGAAAGGAACTTAATATCATTGTCATGTCGTGTTTATGTTGTCGATAAGATTGGTTTGGCCAATGGATTTGCTTCTCTTAAATACTTGCTTTGGATTTGCTTCTCTTTCATTAAATAATTGCTTCACCCAAACGTTACCTTGAGTCCTAATCCAAACCGAACTAATTAGTCATTTCATGAAATGGTAATTAAAATTAGATTAGCATGACATTATTTGGTCAACAAATATGAAATGTTGAATTGTAAGAGTCAGCACTTAAAATTTATTAGTTATGAATAATTTTTGTTAATACTTTTAACTACCATACTGTGGTTTGACTCTAATGTAGTATATTAAGACACATTCTTTGGCAGAAAAAATACAACAACAACAGATATTACATATACCATAAGATAGAATTCACATATAAAAAGTCTTCCGCCATGTCTAAGCAATTTGCGTCTTATCTTGTGGTTATGATGGTTCTCTTCTCAGGTAACCAACTAGCTTTGTTTATTCTTTGACCAAGAAACTAAAACTGTGTTCAGGCCTATCGATATCGTCTATTTTGTATTTAGGCCCATCTGTTATGGACTAATGCTAACATTTTTTCCCAAATGCACAATTATCAATACAAGCCTGTTTAATTTTCAGGAAAAGTATATGATTGATTATAATTTACACATGCATCTTTATGATTTTTTTTTCATATTTGGATGCAGTGTTATTGGTTATTCCTAAAACTGAGGCACAAAACAGATGCAGCCAGGAACTACAGCCGGGAACACAATGTGTGTTGTCAAAGTGTAGGGAAGAGTGTTTGAACAAGTTAAAAGGATTCGGAACTTGTGTTGAGAAACCATCAGGCTCTGGTAAATACACATGTAACTGTATCTACAATTGTAAGGCACAATAATCTTTCTACATTAGATGATGTAAAACCACTTAACCTAATACATTTGTATGGATTACACATTACACAATCGAACTCAAATTCATAATATACGAAAATCCTTACAGTTTGACCTCCGAGTTATCCAGCTTTTAGACTTGTTCCATCCTTTTTTGTATAGTTTTCACCAATAATCCATGCAAGAGCATGAGCCATCTTGGAAATGGTGAAAGCGTTTCCTGTCCCTCACCGTTATCTTTCTCTTGTAAACTTCGGAGATGAGTTTGATCGAGGCATGACAATCCTCACAGATGCGTAGGTTCTTCACAACGCGTATTGGTTTCCCAGGGCTTGTGCTTATCAACCCAAACGCAACAGCGATCTTCTCGCTGTGGTAATGTAGCGCGTTCTCTTTATCTTCTTCCTCCAAGTTCAACAAAACCTGTGTGGTGATCGGTCTATACCCAGCAACTCTCATTCTCTCCGAGATCTCCACAAGCATCGAGATAACCTCTTTGGCTCTCGGGTGAGAATCATCTTCCACAAGAAACTCATGAACCACACCATCAACGTCGATCCAACTACACCCTGGATCTTTTCTTATATCCATCTCCTTCATCCTCATCCTCATCTCCGAAACCTCTGACCAGTTCCCTTGAGAAGCGTACATGTTCGAGAGAGCCACATAAGCTCCACTGTCATTAGGAACCATCTCCATCAAAATGTCAGCCACACGCTTCCCCATCTCCACATTACCGTGCATTCTACAAGCTCCCAAGAGAGCTTTCCATATCACATCATCAGGCTTTACAGGCATGTTAAGTATAAACTCCTCAGCCTCTTCAAGAAGACCCGAGCGACCCAACAGATCAACCATACACCCGTAGTGTTCAATCCTAGGCTCTAAACCATCCACATTCACCATCTGACTGAAATACCTCCTTCCTTCTTCAACCAACCCACCATGGCTACAAGCGGTCAAGAGATTGATGTATGCAACATCGCTAGGTCTAACTCCGGCCTGCCTCATCTCACGGAAACAGTCAATGGCGTCACTTGCCTGGCCGTGTATAGCGAACCCGTTTATCATCGCACTCCAAGTGATCACATTCTCTCTAGGTAGTCTCTCAAACACCTGAATCGCTTTCTCGATGACTCCACATTTCGAATACATATCAATCAAAGCAGAGCCAAGCACATCATCAATCTCGATTCTGTTGTTCTCCGCGTAGAAATGCAACCACTCTCCTAGCTCAAGCGACCCGAGCCGTGAAATCGCAGGAAGAACACTGACCAAAGTTACATAATTAGGACGGAAATCTCCATTCTTCATCTCAGAGAAAACTTCTACCGCGTCCTTGAACAACCCGTTCTGCGAATAACCCGAAATCATCGTGTTCCACGAGACGACGCTTCTCTGACGCATTTTGTCGAACAACATGCGTGCAGCTTTACAATCTCCGAGTCTCATGTAACCATCAATCATGACGTTCCATAAAACCACTTCACCGTCTCTCTTTCTTCTATCCATCATCACCATATCTCGTTCTATGATGTTCTTGTAGAACAACACGCAAGCATCTTTCATCAAACCGCAAATCACATACATTCTAACGAGATTGCTCATCACGAATTCGTCGCCGTTTAACCCAAGCTTCAAAGCTAATCCGTGAATCTGCTTACCTTCTTCGATCTTCCCGGTTTTTCCGCAGGCCTTGAGCACCGACGGAAACGTGAACCGATTCGGTTCTACAGATTCGTCGCTCATCATCTCGCAGAACAATGTGATTGCGATTACGGCGTTTTGTTCGTCGCTCTCGCTGAAACCTCTGATTATGGTGTTCCAAGAGAAGCAATTCCGCTGAGGCATCTGATTGAAGACTTTATGGGCGTAATCGAGGTCGCGGTGAAGGAGATCGGAGGTAGCACAGAAACGAAGGATCTCTGCGGCAGCGAGAGTGTCTCGCATTTGACCCGATTTGATGAATGTGGCATGGATTTGGGAGAGGTCTCTCATGGTTCGACATCTGTTGATTTCAGGGAAGAGCGAAGACGGGTGCGACGCCTGAGACGCCGGCGAGCTCCCGCCGGGAGAGTAAAGCGTCTGTGTTGGGTTCATTGAGAATCGAGTTTAGTTAAGTGAAGAAGATAAGATCGTATGGCTCATAACAAGATATAACGATAATGCTTTTCAAAAAAAGAATTATATTCGAACAAAAACTTTGTTACAATAACTTTGTTGTGAACCAACATAAAAGGCTCTCTTTTTTTTTTTTTTTTTCACCTAACATTTGGATTGAGCTCAGACAATTTCTCATAATCTGATCTATCTTTGTAAGTCTCATAAGATTTGATGGTGCTTCTCCATGTCTTACCATTCATTTCGTTTATGAACCACAACTTGAAAGAGAGACCTCATGATGGACAAAGGTATGTGAGCAAGCATAGAATCTGACATAAAAGCAACAATTGAATTCCAGTTTGTCAAGTATTTCTCCTTCATGATATTCTGCGTTAGTTAGTGTCTCCCACACTTGGTTTGAGCAAGTGCATGAGAAGAAAATGTGATCTAGTCTCTCTTTGTTCTTGGCATAGATGAGTACACACACTGAGTGTTGTGTTTAAGGGCTCCACTTTTGAATAGTGTCGGTTCTGCATGGCAATCCAAACATGCCAAAAGAGTATTGTGGTGTACCAATAATATCAGATACTTTTTGCCCTGTTGAGATTAGGAAAGCTTTAATTTAGTTTAAGCTTACAATTGTCTAAAGCTTCGGTTCTTAACTTTTCTGAATTCTGGTTATGAGATATAAAAACCAAATCATATATATGAATAGAGAATGACCCTCTCCATCTTTTTGACACTTGGACACACACAAAAACTGACACGTAGAAGGAGTTGTTACTCTTCTCCCCAATCCTACTTGTCCAGTTGTCCTCACCCCTTTCGTCTTCCTTCGTTTTAACTTTCAGTTCAAGAAATCAAATATCAGAAATCAATGCTTTTAAACTCCACAAACGTATGCATTCAGTCACTCTTCGGCTCTCACAGAAGCTGCATCGCCTCCATCTACGCATGTCTTACACGTTTCATTCACTTCTGCATATAAGTTCACCCTCTCCCCTTCACCTACACCAAGCCTCATCCGTCGTTTTTGTTCTCTGGATCCAAATGGATACAGCGAATTGGATTATTGGCTGCCTAATCTATTGCCTGGTGTACTTTTGGCCGCCGTCAGAGGCGTGAGGAATCAATTTCCACGAGATGGAAATCAAAAGGAGTTTGATGGAAACTAAGGCCCTGTTCGTTTGATCATCCAGCTAGATCATCTGGATCAACTAAATGATATTCGTTTAACAACAAAAATGAACAACATCCAGATGATCCATCCGAATGAGTTTTGAATTTATAGGCAAAAATTTTGATATTCAGATGGATCATCTGGCTGATCCGAATTGGAGCATCTGGATGAGAGATGATCCATCCCAAATATGCAAATGACACATAAACCCCTAAAAATATGTACGCAAGAAAAATATTCATAATATTTTTTTTAATAAAAACTAGAAAATTAAAATTATCAAAAAAATTATATTTTCCCGCCCAAACCGTAAAATTACGTTTTCCACCAAAACTGCAAAATTATATTTTTCCGCCGAAACCGCAAAATCACGTTTTTCGCCCAAAAAACAAAAAAAACGTTTTTTTCACCAAAACCGCAAAATATCGTTTTTCCGCCAAAATCGCAAAATGGCGTTTTCCGCCAAAATCGTGAAATAACGTTTTTCTGCCGAAATCACAAAATCACGTTTTTCTGCCGAAACCAAAAAAATCATGTTGTTCCGCCCAAACAACGTGTTTTCCCGCCAAAACCGCAAAATAGCATTTTCCCGCCAAAACCGCAAAATAGCATTTTTCTGCCGAAATCGAAAAATCGCGTTGTTCCGCCAAAACCGCAAAATCGCATTTTCCCGCCAAAACCGCAAAATCGCATTTTCCCGCCAAAACCGCAAAATCGAGTTATTCCGCTAAAACCGCAAAATTGCTTTTTTTTTTCCAGCTGAAACCGAGAAATCACGTTTTTTTGAAGTGGAGAAATCACGTTTTTGGCGATACAACAAAATCGTGTTTTTCCGCTTAAACGCAAATGTGATTTCGCATTTTGTAAGCTAAATCGCGTGAAGTCGTATTTTCCAACTAAAACTGTAAAATTTTAATTTTTCTGTCAAAATCGCAAAATTATATTTTCGTCAAAATTGTGAAATCAAGCTTGATGGCTTTGATATTATTTTAGATTTAATATTGAAATGTTTAGAAAATTAATCTAGATAAAAAAAAACTTGATTTAACAAAAATAATATGGGTATTTTGGTCATTTTTTACTTAAAATCATTTAGATGGACTATTTGAATAAGATATATGAATAACACATGAACCATTTAGCTGAACCATTTAAATAAAAATGAAAAAATCCAAACATCATCCAAATGATCCATCCAAATCTGCATGCTCCATCCAGATGAGGAAACAAACAGGGCCTACGTCACTGAGAGTTCTAGGGCCGAGAATCTCATACCAGAGTTTGTGAGGTTTCATCATAGCTATGTTATTGATTTCTTCACAGCAAGTCAAATCTGCAGTGAGAAAGAGTAGAATTATCCAGCCAGATCTAGAAGCAGAGCTCCTTAGCAAACAATGGCAGTGACGAATAGCTTTAAATGGTCTCAACATAGAAACTTACTCTTCGGCGATTATTTATTCTTCTATTATTCTTTTGAAACTCTTTTAATCTATTATTCTCTTGGTTCCAATACAATGGTGCTAAGAGTACAGAGCTTGAAGGAATGGTGCTCCAGTCCAGGTAAATTAGGAGTTCTCTACCTTTCAAATTTTGCCGGAACTGTGTGTCTGCCTCTTTTAGTTTTAGCAGAAACAAAGCATGGAATCCTGGTAATCAGAACAACAAATAATTGTTTCGTGAATAAGATGATTCCGGCTTGTAAATTTTACAGTTTCCCTGAACTTGCCTCAAGCCTCTTGACTAGAGTTGGCTATTTTGAAGTGTGATTTAGTTGATTTGAACGGTTTTACAGTGGACCCGAGCTCTAAAAAGTGGTAAAAGAACCTCTCTACTTCAGTTTTAAATCGACTTAACATGTTTAGTTTGAACTCATCTTTGTGTGATGATTATTGTTTGAGGACCATATATTTATCATAATCAGGACAAGGGCATACTCCTTTGCATGGTAAATCTGACCACTACAAATGATGCAATGTTTGACTGTAAGTCTATAGTTTAACAAGAAAACTTATTAATAATAGAAATATATATAGTTGCTTAACACCCAAGTATGCCGAGCTGCCGCTGGTTGTCGATAAAGACGACATGGAAGACCCAAAGTAAATTAACTTCTTTTATACTTCCTATTTTCATATTTATTATTAAGGTCCTCTTTCTGTGTACAATCTGGAAAACAGAGGAAGGGAACAGTTATCAAAATCAGGGCCGTCTCCTGCATATGTTTAGAAACAGGCGCTAAAGAAACCGGTAACAAACAAGACGACGAAGAAATACAGTGAATCATAACCAACAGAGGCATCCAATTCAGTAATAAACACATATTTAGTCTCGTCCTCAAGTTCTCTATTGGATATAGGTAAGACGCTCTTGATCTTATTGTTTCTATGTTTCAATATAAGGATATTTGTTCACTTATTGTTTCCGTTATTGGTTTCAGTTTCATCTCTATTTTGTCACTTATTGTCTTTTTTTCAGGAAATCCAGCCAGCTTCATATGTCAATTATTGATTCCATTACTTATTTCCACTCTCCTATCGCAGAGGTATGAAGTATGAACCAACTTAAAGATGGAATCTTCGACATTCTACACTCTACAGCTAATGTCACTCTGTCAAATGGAATGCTTGACTTTCACAGGAACGGTTCTATCACCAGTGGTATATTACTATTACAACAATGATTTTTAACCACAATCTTGCAAGATTAAATTGCTACTATGATTTCCACCAATTGCTAATATCGATTAAATTTGTAGTTTTTTTAATTGAAAATCACGCATTTATTCCTTTATATGGCTCAAAAACTGTAGGTCATCTATTCTCGGAAAAGGATCCAGCTCCCTTTCGGTTTCAAGAATATTGTCTCAAGTGGGTGCAGAATCATCATTAGGCAAGTTCGAGGAGTTGGAAGAACAGAGTAACAGAGTAGCCACTTCTCAAGGCTGAAAATGCAAATCACAAATACTGAATGAATTTTCAAGGTAAATGGATGCTTTCTTTTACTTCTGCTTCCTTTGAACTTATATTTTAATACATGAAACCTTAACTTGTGAATAATCTTAATGAAGATCGGAACAAGATATGATCTCATTGATTCTGAAGAGATATGTTTTCCAAGCAACAGTTTACTGGATTTGGAGAGAAAGGAATGGACGAAGTCATGCTGAACAACCTACGCCTCCATCGTGCCTCAAGCAACGCATTGACAAACAAGTCCGTAATAGACTAACATCTCTACGTAGCTTGGGTGATGCAAGATTTGACAAAGGCATGCAAACTTGGTTCGCAAGCTTCTAAGAACTACAACCTCTACACCCCCTTTTTGTAATTATTTGATTTTGTTTCAGATGAAGTAGCACACAGATGTAAACAATGTTTTTTTTTTTTTTTTTTTTTTTTTGAATTTATTTAACATTCAATTCGACAAAAAAAAGAATCATATATGAAAAAGCCAACCCTTTCCATAATTTGAACATGTGTACACTCTAACAATTGATATGTGTATGAGTTTTCATTTTCTTTTCAATTAACTAATTTAAATCTTGATTAATAACTTCTCATATTCCTATCAATTAACAACTTTAAACATTTCTATTTAAAACCACTATATTATTTTAACACTATTATTCTTCCACTTCCATTTTTAATCACTATTAAACATCTAAAATTTTCTAATATATGGAGAAACGGATCTGAAGAACGATGACGGGAAACATAGTCGGTTCCATGTAGCAGTGAGTAAACAAAGAAAATTGATGGCATAAAACCGTGTGATATAATGCAAAAATATATATTTGAATGTACTCGCTAATTATACAAATTAAAATTAGAATGCCGGTATTATTTGAGTAAAATTTTATAATATTAATCACAACCTATTTTTTTTCCAATATTTTAATGACTATAATAATAGAAAAACCCGCGCGTACGCGCGGGGGCATTGGTCTAGTGAACATGAATTTTGGTTTGTTTTTTTATACAAGAGTTTATATTTTATAACGAAGTTAATCATTGATCACAAAATGGTTTATGACTAATTTAAAACATAATTACGTAAGTGTGTACGTTTGAATTATGACTTAGAAATGTAAAAAGAATTTGAAACCCATCCAAGATATGGATGGTAGTAGTGAGTTTAGAGATACTGGTGTGAACTTGTTGACATAATTGTACATGTTACTGTTTCCTCTCAAGGCAATTCTTATCTTCTCTGAGTTCACATTTCTGATTTCTCTGTCATAGTTTTATTAAATTTGTGACGATGGTAATTAGTATTTGAAACTTGTAATCAATTTCAGACAGTTGTTTGGTTATGGATTTGATATGGACGGAGATGCTGTCTTCTAGCCTCAAGGTATTTTCTCTTTAGTTCACATTCTGTAGCTAATTTAGTCAAAGGAAACCCTCGGAAGATTTAGTAGTTTAACTTTAGTATTTAGCCACGATTTATACTTATAAATTTCCACATTTGGTACATTTAAATAGTTAAAACTTATGGCTAATTATACATCACATCAGATTGGGTTGCTATCTGTACATTATAAATTTATATAGTGAAAATGATAAGATTTTATACTTTGCTCCTGACAACACATAGCAACCCATTCTGATGTAAATTAAAGGCTATGTGAATTTTATAATGTACTATATGTGTTAATTTATAAATCTGAGCATATTGAATACACACATTTTGTTATTCTTTGAAATGTGAAAAAAGGATTTCTTCAACAAAGGTGGAAGGCTATGTTATAAGATTTTTTTTTTTAGATTACCAACATTTTTTATTTATTATCATTATAAGAAAACAGCAAAAAAAACACTATGCAATAACACTCTGCAAATATACCCTTGTAACAAAAACAACACTCTGCAAATGGCAAGTGGGTCACCAAGTAGAGCCATGGGAGATAGTTCAATTTTTCCTTATTTGAATTTTCATTCCAATAATTGGACAAAGTTGTAACAAATACTTATTTGGCCACGCCACGAACGTCAAAATATTTCATCCCAATTTTTTTGAAGATATTTTTACCCTAGAGAAATGTGATTGGCTAACGAAGTTAGCATAATAAGTAACCAACAAGGCAACAAACTGATAGTGACATTTTATCCCTCAACACACATTCACACATCACACTAATACTGTATATGCGTTTTTACTTTTATATATCAATTTCTTTTAATAATTAAAAAAAAATCTGTAGTTGGAAATCAAGTTTCATATGCAATTTTTTTTCATTAATAAAATGAAATTTTGAAATACTTAAGTACATATCTAATTTATAAAATTTCTCTAATATTTTTCTATAAATTTAGCACCAAAATAAACTTCTTGTAAAAATATTACAATGCAATAGTAAATATGATTGGATATATAAGTTATTGTAAATATATAATATGAGATTCCATGTATATGTTGTAAATACATAGAAGCAACACACATTAAAGGAGGCAACAAATAGATAGCATAAGACCAAGAAGAGTTAATGAAGATATAAACCAACCAGCAACCTCTTTCCACATCACACTCTTTCTCTTCCCTTTATATACTCTCCCTCTCAGAAGTTTTTGGAGACAACAAGAACATAAACAAACATATAAACGCCAATCTCTACTATGGGGAAAAAGCAGTTTGGTATTGTGGTGGCGGTTGTATTCATAGCCTTGGTTCAGGTCTCTGTCTCGGTACCGTTTATATTGCTTCATGGAATTTCAGCTGAATGTTCTGATGATAAAGAAGCTAACTTCACACAGCTTCTCTCTAACCTCTCTGGCTCTCCTGGCTTTTGCTTGTAAACTCCACATAACTCTCTTCTTCTTCTTTCTTTACTTTCATCATCATATCATATGATGATTCCAACTCTTGTTTTTATGGTATCGAATACAGAGAAATTGGAAATGGAAATCGCGATTCATGGTTCATGCCACTTACGAAACAAGCGGAAATAGCGTGTGAGAAGGTGAAGCAAATGAAAGAGTTGCGTCAAGGATACAACATTGTTGGAAGATCTCAGGTTCTTGACCATTTCTTGAAACCCAAAAAAAAAAACAGTTTTTGCTCGTTACCCATTTCAGTTTCATGGATAATGATAATGATTGATGCAACAGGGGAATCTAGTGGCTCGAGGGTTGATAGAGTTCTGCGATGGTGGACCTCCGGTTCACAACTATATATCTTTAGCTGGTCCTCAAGCTGGAATCTCCTCTGTTCCTATGTGTGGTGTAAGCTTTTCTCCTTTTCCTCTAATCTCTACTCTTTTTTACATCTTTATATTCAGACAATGACACTAACAAGAATGGCTTTCTCTGTTGTCTTTTTGTTTCTTTTTGGGTAAAGTCCGGATTATTGTGTAAAATAGCAGATGAGCTAATCAAGTCAGATATCTATAGTGACTTCATTCAAGTATATATCCCTTTCTCTCTCTCTCTCTCTCTCTCTCTCTCGCTCTCTATTGATCAGGATTAAAGTTGTTAATCAGGGATTAACTGACATCTTTAATGACTCTGCAGGATCATCTTGCTCCTAGTGGTTATCTCAAAATCCCTACCGTATGTCTTACGCAAAATACTTCTAGTTTAAGAGAAGAAGAATGCTTTTATTAGGTTTAACAGAATCTTTTGTTTTTTGGTTTCTCAGGAAATGACAAAATACCTGGAAAGCTCAAAGTATCTACCTAGGCTTAACAATGAGATACCAAACCAGAGAAACTCCACATACAAAGACCGTTTCACCAGCTTACACAACTTGGTTCTTGTCATGGTTCGATCTCCTCAAAACCCTTCTCTCTACTCTTTAATCTAATCGAATCCCCTCTTGATGATTCTGTTTGTTTTAACAGTTTGAGGACGACAAGGTTATTGTTCCAAAAGATTCATCTTGGTTCGGCTTTTACCCGGAAGGTGAATTCGAACCTCTTCTCTCTGCTCAACAGACAAAGCTCTACACAGAGGACTGGATCGGTCTTAAAACATTGGACGCTGCTGGAAAAGTCAAGTTCGTGAGTGTAGCTGGCGAACACATCAGAATGGCCAATCCCGATGTTGTCAAATACGTCGTGCCTTACCTCCAAACCCAACCCTCTTCCCAACAAAGATTCAACCGCAAAACGAAGCAGCCTCTGCGTCCTTAAAAAAGAGCAAAACAAAAACCTCATTTGTTAATGCAATAGTTATAAAACCTTTAGTGATGATTGTGTAGAAAAAACAAGAATCCCTTATTCATATATAAATCTATATTCATACATACATACATACATACCTATCTAAATTAAATCTTGGAGAGACGACGCATGAGATCTTCATCTTCATCACCACTTTTCTTCAAAGCCTCAATGATTTTCTCAACATAACAAGCATCCAATCTCAGTTTCTTACCGAGCATGGAGTTCGCAAGCTTAGCAGCTTCACAAGAACGCCCTTGTTCGCATAGACCAAGCAAAAGAATCGAATACAAATCCGAGTCCATCGTCGATTTCACCTTCTCGATTTCCTCATACAGAAGGAAACAATCTAGATACCTCTCTAACAAACACAACTCTCTAAGAACAAGACTACACGCAACACCGTCCGGTCTAATCCCTCTCACCAACATCATCCGGAAAATCTTCTCCGCCTCCTCCCATCTTCTCAAACGGATCAGCGATACAACAGCCGAACTATAACACTCAGAACGAGAAACACCTCCAAGCTTCACCAGCTTATCAATCAAACCCTCAGCAGCATCCTCATCACCATTCTCCAAAACCGCTTGAATCAAAACACTAGCAGTAACACGATTCGGCAAACACCCTCCTCTCTCTACCATCTTATCCAACACCATCAACGCCTCACGAACTCGTTTCTTCTCACAGAACGCTTGAATCACCAGAGTGTAAGTAACCGCATTGGGACTAAACCCATCTTCTTTCTCCATATCCGCCAACACCTCTAACGCTCTCTCCATATCTCCACACTTGCAAACTCCTTCTAAAACCCTCGAATACGTCACGGTGTTAAGCACGCATCCGTGCTTGCTCATGGCCTTAGCCAATTCCCAAGCTTTATCAATCTCACCCGCATTGCAAAGCCCATTGATCATCAACGTGTAAGTGATCACATCTGGACAAAGATCGATAAAGTCCATCTCTTTCATTAACTTCTCAGCCATACTCAAATCTCCCTTCTCCGCAAACAACCTAATCACCAGATTATACGAAACAGTGTCTGCGCGTAAATCGAATTCGGGAAGTTTCCGCAATACCCAGAATGCTTCGTCGGCGAGTTTCGCTTGATTGCAAAGAGACAGAACGATCTTCATCGTCTTCACACTAACAAAGGATTCCTCTTTCCGATAAGATTCGACTACGTCTCTGATCAAATCTGGGTTTGAAGTAATCTTAAGCAAGTCGCAAGCTTTGCTATACATGTAAGGACTGTGTCTGTGTCCGGATTGAGTACCTGCCCATATGAAAAACCTAAGAGCTGATTGGAATTGCTTTGGTTTGCATCTTCTGATTACCTCGTTGATACAAGAGGCGTCCAATTTCACTTTGCCCGAGGCTGAGGTTAATTCCTTCTCGAGGTTGCTCGTGCATCCCTGAAGATGGTCGTATAATCTCTCGGCGGTTGTGGAAAACCGTAAAGCTGAGAGTTTTGAAGGTTGAAATCGGAATGATGGATAAACCAGACGAGAAATCAAGTGAATTAGCATCTGATTGTCTTCGCGAAAAATCTTTGTTAAAAAATCCTGAAAAGGACGACACTTTGACAACTGAATGAGGGAGAGAAGAGAGCTTCGCAAATGAAAACGATGACGAGGACTACTACAACGGGCCTCATAGTTCGGCCCATTAATAGCTAACTAAGACCCAATAAGAGTTCCCCATACTACTTTGTCTCCTTTTTGTTTCCTGTCGTTGTAAAAGGTGCATGTCACAAAATTAGATCATTACTATAGACTATAGTCGTATCAATCAAAATTACATCAGTAGAGCATGTTTAGCGCAAGGCGCTTACCCCAGCGCTTAAGCGAAAAATAAATCAAAATCAATTTGAAACGCTGAAGTCGACGCTTAATTAAGCATGAGAAGCGTCGATGCTTATTGCCACGTGGCGGCATCTGATTGGGCGTTGGTTAATGAGAAGGAAAAAAAACAATTTTTTCTTCCTCATTTTTCACGAGCGGTTCTCTCTCCTCCCTCTCTCTTCTCCTGCGCTCTTCCCCGGCGATTTGGCTACTCGATGGTGATTGAAATCTTTTATTGATTTCGCAGCAGAAATCGGTCCGTTTTTCATCAGTCCGGTGGTTGGGCGTTCCTAATCACCGTGCGGTGATGAGAGTCGGCGAAGAACATTCGCGAACCAGGAGAATCGGCGTCACGTTCCTCGTCGGTAAGATTTCTCGGGTCGTATTTATTGTCAGTCTAGTCTGTTCTTTTTTGTGGAGTTTCGATTTTCTAATCTAATTGTTCATCAGTGGTTTATAAGTTTGGTATCGGTGTATCATTCTGTTGAATAACACACTTAACATTTTTGTATATTGACTTATTAGGTAGTTCATGATTTCGATGATTGATCTATTATCTCCTTCGATGTTTGATCTATCATCTCCTTTGATGTTGACTTAGCACTTTCTATTGTCTCTCTGTTTTCTATCTCTCAGCTTTTATATTGAATTCTTGTTTTTTTGTATATGCTCTGAGAAGTTTCGATTCGTGATCAATTGTCGGAGAAGTTACATTTCGTTGTTTAGTTTAAACGATTGACATTTTGTGATCTTTGAGTTCTATTGTTGCTGTTACGCTTAAGTTCGTCTTGTTATATAATTATATATGATACTTAGTTTTCCTGCAAATAACTATTGCAACTATGTGGCGTTTGTGTAGGCTCTGGTTCGAGTTATCCCTACGGATTCTTTGATCAGGCCTGGAAAGAAAACATGACTAAAGAAGAAGCCGAGGTAAGCCGGTTCTGATCATTATACCCTCTGCCTATGCTGAAAACTCACGAACCTGTTTGTTGCAACAGTCCTTCCTAAATTTTTCCTCATGTGGCTCTCTGCAGCAACTTGTTGTGAAGGCAGTTTCACTTGCTATCGCCCGTGATGGAGCCAGTGGAGGTGTTGTACGAACTGTCATAGTAAGTGGAGGTTTCACTTATGCTAGCTAGACTTGTAAACTTTCTTAATGGAACTTTTAGTTAACGAGGTTTTGATGTATTTGAGCAGATTAACTAAGAGGGAGTGACGAGAAATTTCTACCCTGGGGATAAGTTGCAGCTTTGGCACGAGGAGACACAGAACTCTCTATTGGATATTCTGAATGCTGAACCAATGGCCATGTGATCAGACAAGGATCCTTATCTTACTCTCAAACAAACGTTTTAGATGTTTCATTATATTTTTTAGCTGTCTTTAAATTCTAAACTCTGTCGAGGTTTTTGCCTATAAGCACTCTCCAATAGAGCAGAGAAAACAGATTTTTTTTTATATAGGTGCTTGCCACAATTTTAATAATAAAAAATCTTTTAAGCTTCTCTATAAGCACTCCCCATTATACATGGTCTTACTATAAACTTCAACAAGTACTAAAATCCGGACATGTAACCATGAAACATTTGTGCATACCACAATTTCAGAAACATTTTTTCACTAGGGAAGCAAAATCCAATATGATTTTTCCTAATTACAAAAAATTGTATAACAGATTGATTACTACCAACCTAATTACAAAAAATTGTATAACAGATTGATTACTACCAATTGGTTTTCTTTTCTCTAAGGTGTGTACTTTTAGTGTATTAAACTAACATTACAGTAATACACGGAGTTTACTTCAAACGAGGAAGAATCTTAAACGCTCGGCTCAAGCCTCGAAAGAAAACCAACTCACAATCCTGACCGAATTGACGAAAACAATGCAAAATCACATGCTTCTTTCTTTTTCTAATTTGATCTTCTAATAACATTTCAAGTTTTCATTTCGTTTTATTTTCTCCCTAAAATATTGTTTTCCATGCAGTCAATCACATTTTTCTTTCTGTTTAAAAACACATTTATTTTCAAACTCTAAAATACATTATTTCCGAAAGGCACTAAACTAATTAACCACGGAAGTTTAAATCAATTTCTTTTAACAAGTAGTACAGTATATGTGAAATAAATTTCAGACGTAAAACCAGTTCTGTTTTCAAATACACAGAACTATTGATTATTGTCTTTAGGAACAAAAGAAAAGCTACTAGTATTGACTATTGTCATTGATAGAGTGTGTTGTCCAAAAAAAAAAAAGTCATTGATAGAGTGTCTCAGCAAACAGATTTCAAGAAAAGTTAATGACTATAATTAATTATGGACTAATAAAAAAACCTGAAGCTAGGAACAGAACCCCGAGGTAAAAGAAAAAGACAGAGCACATGAAGTTTACTTACTTTTATCTTTCTTCTCGCTTATCTCTAAAGCAAACTTCCCTAAACCCTACGCCAAAGGGAGAGAGAGAGAGAGACTGAGACTCAAATCGATGCAGAACCGGGAAGGCTGGTTTTGGATTTGAGAGCCAAAGCAAAAAATCTTGTCTTGCAAATGCCGATTCCAAGAAAAGCCTTAACTGTTTTTCGTTTTCTCATTACCTTCTTCTCTCTGTTTTCACCTTTCTTCATCTCCTCGGTTTCTGCATCGACCAATGAAGTCGCTGCATTGATTTCTTGGCTTCACAGCTCCACTTCGCTGCCGACAGCATTCTCCGGCTGGAATCCCTCTGATTCCGATCCATGTCAATGGCCTTACATCACTTGTTCCTCCTCCGACAAACTCGTTACAGAGATCAATGTCGTCTCTGTTCAGTTAGCTCTACCTTTCCCTCCAAACATCTCTTCGTTTACCTCACTTCAGAAGCTCGTTATCTCCAACACCAATCTCACCGGAACTATATCACCCGACATCGGAGATTGCCTTGAACTCAGAGTTATCGACTTAAGCTCAAACAGTCTCGTTGGCGAAATACCTCCGGCTCTAGGGAAGCTCAAGAATCTTCAAGAACTCAGCTTAAGTTCCAATGGCCTCACCGGAAAGATCCCACCGGAGCTCGGCGACTGCGTTTCTCTCAAGAATCTCGAGATATTCGACAACTACTTAGCCGGAAATCTCCCACCGGAGCTCGGAAAGATCTCTTATCTCGAGAGCATAAGAGCCGGAGGAAACACAGAGCTCTCAGGGAAAATCCCGGAGGAGATCGGTGACTGTCGGAATCTGACGGTTCTAGGTCTCGCCGCCACGAAAATTTCCGGCAGCTTACCTGTCTCGTTAGGTAAACTAGGCAAGCTCGAGACTTTATCTGTTTACTCTGCAATGCTCTCCGGCGAGATCCCTAAAGAGCTTGGAAACTGCTCTCAACTTATCAATCTGTTTCTATACGACAATGACTTGTCCGGCACGCTTCCACGAGAATTGGGAAAGCTTCAAAACCTAGAGAAGATGCTTCTATGGCAGAATAATCTCCACGGACCCATCCCTGAGGAGATCGGTTTCATGAAAAGCTTAAACGCCATTGATCTCTCTATGAACTATTTCTCAGGAACCATCCCTAACTCGTTCGGTGACTTGTCGAACCTCGAAGAGCTTATGCTTAGCAGCAACAACATCACTGGTTCAATACCTTCCGTTCTAAGCAACTGCACAAGGCTTGTTCAGTTGCAGATTGACGCCAATCAGATTTCCGGTTTGATTCCGCCTGAGATTGGTTTACTCAAGGAGCTCAACATATTCTTGGGATGGCAAAATAAGCTAGAAGGAAATATTCCGGCCGAGTTAGCCGGTTGTCAGAATCTTCAAGCTCTTGACTTGTCTCAGAATTTTCTCACCGGAGCTTTACCTCCCGGTTTGTTCCAGCTTCGTAATCTGACCAAGCTCTTGCTTATATCCAATGCCATTTCCGGTGTTATCCCGCCGGAGATCGGAGACTGCACATCGCTTGTCAGATTGAGGCTTGTCAATAACAGGATCACCGGAGAAATCCCTAAAGAAATCGGATTTCTTCAAAACCTAAGCTTCCTTGACTTGTCTGAGAACACTCTCTCCGGTCCAATTCCTTGGGAGATAAGCAACTGCAGACAGCTCCAGATGCTTAACCTGAGCAACAACACTCTCCGAGGTTATCTTCCTCTCTCTTTATCTTCTCTAACAAAGCTTCAAGTTCTTGATGTCTCTTCAAATGACTTGTCTGGCAAGATACCTGATAGTCTTGGTCATCTTCTTTCGCTAAACCGGCTCATTCTTAGTAAGAACTCCTTCAATGGAGTAATCCCTCCATCTCTCGGTCACTGCACGAATCTTCAGCTTCTTGATCTCAGCAGTAACAACATCTCTGGAACCATACCAGAGGAAATCTTTGACATTGAAGATCTAGACATTGCCCTAAACTTGAGCTGGAATTCATTAGATGGGTTTATACCGGAGAAGATTTCAGCGCTTAACCGATTATCTGTGTTGGATATCTCACACAACATGCTTTCAGGAGACCTCTTTGCGCTGTCCGGTCTAGAGAACTTGGTTTCCTTGAACATCTCTCACAACAGATTCTCAGGCTATCTTCCAGACAGTAAAGTGTTCAGACAGCTAATAACAGAGGAGATGGAAGGAAACCATGGACTCTGTTCCAAAGGTTTCAGGTCTTGTTTTGTGAGTAACGGTACTAGGTTAAACACACAGCACGGTGATGATTTTGTGCACTCACAGAGACTCAAGATAGCTAGTGGATTGCTTATCAGCGTGACAGTGGTTTTAGCGGTATTAGGCGTGTTGGCGGTTTTACGAGCAAGACAAATGATTCAAGAAGATAACGATTCAGAGAAGGGAGAGAATCTATGGACATGGCAATTCACACCTTTTCAGAAACTCAACTTCACTGTCGAACATGTGCTCAAGTGTTTGGTGGAAGGTAATGTTATAGGGAAAGGTTGCTCTGGAGTAGTGTACAAAGCAGAGATGCCTAACCAAGAAGTCATCGCAGTGAAAAAGCTCTGGCCAGTGACGGTGAATGTTGCTAATCTGAATGAGAAAACTAAGGCATCAGGAGTTCGAGACTCATTCTCAGCTGAAGTCAAGACACTTGGCTCGATCAGGCACAAGAACATTGTCCGGTTCTTGGGATGTTGTTGGAACAAGAACACAAGACTTCTTATGTATGATTATATGTCCAATGGGAGTTTGGGAAGCTTACTTCACGAGAGGAGTGGTGTATGTAGCTTAGGATGGGAGGTGAGGTACAGGATTATACTTGGTGCAGCTCAGGGTTTGGCTTACTTGCACCATGACTGTGTTCCTCCCATTGTTCATAGAGACATCAAGGCTAACAATATTCTGATTGGCCCTGATTTTGAGCCTTACATTGGAGATTTTGGACTTGCTAAGCTTGTTGATGATGATGACTTTGCTCGTTCTTCCAAAACCATTGCTGGTTCCTATGGTTACATTGCTCCAGGTACTTTCCACATTTATACTTTGATACTGATCATTTCCGGTTTATTGTTTGGTTTAGTTTCCATAAGGTTTGGTTTTATAATAATCAATTTTTGTTGGTCTTATAATAACCATCATGTGTCCATCTCTACTAGCAACTTATATCAATTGGGCATGTTATAGATTTGCATGACATTATCTTGAACTACTTAATGCTATTATCATGCAGAATATGGATACTCAATGAAGATAACAGAGAAAAGCGACGTGTATAGCTACGGAGTCGTGGTCTTAGAGGTATTGACAGGGAAGCAACCGATCGATCCAACGATACAAGACGGACTCCACATAGTGGACTGGGTCAAGAAAACAAGAGATTTACAAGTAATCGACCAAGGATTACTAGGGAGGCCAGAGTCGGAGGTCGAAGAGATGGTGCAAACGCTAGGAGTCGCGCTTCTCTGCGTAAACTCGATACCTGAAGACAGGCCTACAATGAAAGATGTGGCTGCTATGCTCAGTGAGATACGTCAGGAAAGAGAGGAATCGATGAAAGTTGTCGAGAATAATGGTTGCTCGAGGAGTTGTAACAATGGGGGAGAAAGAAGAGATGATGATTCTTCGCCTTCTTTGGTTATGCAGCAAACGGCTAAGTATTTGAGAAGCAGTAGCACGAGTTTCTCTGCGTCTTCTTTGCTTTACTCTTCTTCTTCTTCTGCGGCTAAGTAATGAACTATGTGTTTGAAACCAGGAAATAGAAACGGAACTATAGTCTCGTTTTATTTGTTTCCGTTTTCAATTCAGTGAAGTTCAGTACGTATTAAAACAAATCCTAAAAAAATAACAACTATAAAATAAATTATTATTTATTTTATTTGTGTACTTATCAATAAGTTTCACTTTATGCTGAATTGGTAAAAACAACATTACTTTTATAGTAAAAGTAAATAAAAGCTTGAGATCATAATGTTAATTTGCGTCGGATTGCATGTTACACGTTTGTTCTATGAAGCTTTTAATATATAGTTATTTGTTTACGGTGTCAGATTCACTTTGAATATAATTTATGGAAATATATTTTTGACTTAATAGTAATTACAAATATATATATATATATATATATATATATATATATATATATATATATATATATATATATATATATATATATATATATATATATATAAGACCAACACAAGCATTTTTCAAAAATTATTTGAGTATCATTAATTAGATAAAAATGTAAATCAAGTTAAATATCTATATATATGTTAAACTTGTCAAAAATGTTGAAAGATATATTGAAAACAACAACTTTTATACTATCAGACAGTGAAAAACTAAATCTGTAACAAAATCTTAAATATATCCTTGCCATAATATAAGATTTACACATCATAATGTAACTGACAGTTTTTCACCTATATATATTCATATCATATAAGAAGTTCTTCTAACATTGACTTCTAACCTTACTTTCTCTTTAGTGTTTCTTACAGTGAGATTAAAGTACATACTTCAATCACATCTATCTAAATAATGGCAACCAACAAATTGTCATCTCTTTCGTTACCTTTGTTGGTAGTGTTTGCTCTCATTCTTATGCCAATGATTTCAGGTAATACGTTTATTTATTTTGGATAATCTGTGAGACTTTATGAAAGTCGAACAATTGTATCATTTAATTAATCATAAATAACGAGTTTGCTGGAAAAAAGATCCGAAACTAATTATTTAAACAAAGTTTTACTTGTTGAGTATAATAAAATAAAAATTTTTGAGTGATTTTCTCATTAATTTATTTGTTTTTTAAGCTGTATATCACTATTTAGTATATACCATTTCATGAAAATATGACGATTATGGAAGGTAATTTTCCGTTTTTGTAGGTCGCAACTTAATATTTTGAGAAAATAGATTTTAATTTGATAACCTTTAGTAGGAAAATCCTATATATTTTGTGAAAGAATGAATTTTGTGATCATGATTCAATTTTAAAAAACTCCTAATGTTTGTATCGTGAATGTGAAGAGAATGTATTAAAAACAAAGATCTGAATAAAAATCAGAAACAAAAACGTAAGAAAAATTCATTACAGAAAAATGAATGAAGCTTTTTATATTTATCAAAATGTTGTCAATGTGTTTGTTTATGAACTAAACAGGACAGATGATACCGTGTCTACCTGGGAATGTACAGACATAGCACCATGCGATGCAGCTTGCAAATCTGAAGGGCATAGGTGGGGCTTGTATACGCATTGATGTTGGCGAAAAGACCGGTGCTTGTTGCTGCAGACCTAGGTTTGAATCTCATGATTCTTCCAAATCTTATGATACCAATGTCCTCATTGCTAACTAATTCATCATTTTATATATGTGCGTTTTTATTATATGAATAAAAAATTATTCAAATATGTTTGGCTATACGGATTTTATATTCCATATGTATTAATCAAATTTGTGTTTCTCAAATGTCTACAACTCCATATAAGAGACTTAACTAAATTATAAACCCCATCAACTAAAGTTTGACTTAAGAAAAACAACTCTTTGGCTTCTTCATCGTCCTCTTCGTATTGTTCACGTTGCCTTTATTCTCGTTGTATCAAGAAAACAATCTTTGACCCGTCTTTGGGTTGCGTTGCCGTTATGTAGACCTCGTTAAACGTTCCAATAAGTCGCTTGAACTTTTGTCCCCGAACTCGCGTCACCGGTCCGACCGTCCGAGCGGCAAAACTAGAGGCTCTATGTGGCTGTGCATCGCTGGTTCTGTTGCTCCAATCTCTTCTCCAACAAGTGCGGTTGTTGAGTTGGAATCTACTCTCTTCGGTGACTGCATCACCTAATTAGCTAACCATAAACGTTTACTCAAGAGAGTGATTTAGATATTGTTTGGTACTACTTAACTTTATAACTATATATACGGATCACTGTCCATAAGTACTCCAAAACCATTTGGCAAACCTTTTATTAAAAAAAAACTAGAAAGCGTGTTGATGATGTTTATTTATTTATTTATTTTTTTAAATGCTTCTTTTGTTGATGATATTTATGTTAGTTTTATAAACTTATGTATTTACATCTCACTCTTACCACACCAAACTTAAGTAAAAATATGTTAACACATTAATCGGAATCCAAAACACGTAGCAGTAGGACCAATTCCATTTGTAATGTGAAACAACGTATAGCTAATTGTTGGAGAAAACCTTCTAAGCGATTTAGAAAATGCAAAGGAAACTAGAGACTAACGTAACACACATCCTCCATGCACAAGTTAACATTATGATTTCATAAGTCTTTCCTGGCAAATCGAATATCATAGGCTTCTATGTGTTGTTTGTATTTTTATTTTTATTTTAAATATAAATATTATAATATTTGTTTTGTTGTTTTCTGTAATGAAACCACAAAGTTCACACGAAATGCAAACATGAGAATAAATCATTTGTATATAGTCTCTGCATTACATTTACACTTCATATATATAATTTTTGAAAAGTTGAAAATACTTTTTTGTTTAATAGTATGAATCATTTCTAAAGCAATTTCACATGTGAGCGCATCAGAAAAATAAAATCTGGAAACAGCCATATATGGTCTTAGTCGACCCAAAAGTTTCTATCATATCAACATTAGTTGTTTTAGTTTAGAGTTTTATTAGAGTTTATTCAAAAATATAAGAGAGCAATTGAGATTAACAAAAATAAAGATTTAAGAAAGCGGAATATTTGAGGGTTTATTTTCACAGCAACATGTTAATCCTTTACAAAAGCTTCCAGGAAACCCTAAGCTAAGGCAAAGAGTGTTGCAGTCTGGTACAATTCCTGGTGAGCATACCCCCGGACACTCGTTACCGTTTCCTGTAAATATTTTATGTTCATAAAAATTAAGCATACATTATAATTATTGTGCTGACTCAATTAACAAAAACTAATCGCATATTATAAAATATAAACCTTATAAATAATATATGTATAAAAAAGAAAAACATGAACATGAATGTTTGTTTCTTTCTTGTGGGAAGAAAAGGACATTCATTATGTTTTCCCAAAATTTGAAAATTTAGTAGTGAATATCATAGATATATACTGATATAAATAATTATAACCAGTAATCTTATTCATGTAGTTTACTCACCTGAGATTAAGAACATTGCAAGGATAAAGACAGTAATAAAAATGAGTGAAGATCTTCGACAATTCATCACTTATTCTTTTTTTTTGGTCAATTTATCTGTGATATGAGTAATATATTTTGGATACTTTGGAGTAGTTTCAGAGATTTGAAGCTCCTTTTATATAGTCACATTTGCAAGAAGTCAGACTCACATATCTTATATTTGCTAAAAACTTAATTGGTATAGGATTTGTTTTTGCAATAAATTTTTTAGTGTACATAACTTTGACTTTGTAACTATAAACATTTATATTCCAATATGTATTAGATAGTAATTTTTAAAACTTTTAAAACAAAAGCAATAATAATCAAATAAATATATTTTATGGAATACAAATTTTACTTAATAACTACAAATATGGAAATATGTAAATGACCAACACAATATTTTCAGAAATTAATTGAATAACTAGATTTACAAGAATTCAGACTAATTGTATCTTAAATTTGCTAAAGAATTAACTAGTACATAATTTTTTTTGTAATAAATTAATTAGTGTACAATAACTTTGACTTTGTAACGAACTATATATAAACATTTAAATTCCAATACATATTAGATAGTAACTTTTTAAATAAGATCACTAGTAATCAAATAAATCTATTTTTATGAAAATACATCTTTTACTTCTATTTTTTTGGGAAAAAGGCTAAAGTCATCTTTTACTTCTTAATAACTACAAATATGGAAAATGTGTAAATGACCAACACAACAGTTTCAGAAATTAGTTAAATATTATAAATCAAATAAAATGTAAACAAAGTTATGTATCTAAATATATATTTATTTTGTCACATTTTTTTTTAATTATTGAAAACAGCCATTTTTATATCAGACAGTGAAAAACTAAATCAGTAACAAAATCTTAAATATTTCATAACCATTAAATAAGATTAATTTTACACATCATAATGAAATTGACAGATTTATCTATACATATTTGTATATACATGTTCATATCATATATATAGTCTAACTATCCATGTATATATCACAAAAAAAAAAAAAATTCAAACATTGATTTCTCACCTAAATTTTCTTTAGTTTTTTTTCTTCCAGTGAGATAAAAGTATAAAATGTATATACATGTGAGCTATTTTTATGTATATAAATTTTCTTTATGCATCATATATATCCTTTGAACTATTTTCTAAAGCAATATCACATGTGAGAGAAAAATAAAAACTGGAAGTAGCCATTTATGGTGATGGTCTTTGTCCAGTCAAAACTTTCTATCAGATCAATATTAGTTGTTTTAGACAAAAGTTTAGAACTTTATTAGAGTTTATTCAAAAATATAAGAGAGTAATGGAAATTAACAAAAACAATAATTTAAGAAAACGGAATATTTGAGGGATTATTTTCACAGCAACACATTGATCCTTTACAAAAGCTTCCGGGAAACCCTAAGCTAAGGCAACGAGCGTTGCAGTCTAGTTGAAACCGTTCAATTCCTGGTGAGCATTCCCCTGGACACTCGTTAGCATTTCCTGTAAATATTTTATGTTCATAAAAATCAAGCATACATTATAATCATTGTGCTGCAATTAATTAAAAAAAAGCTAATCGCATATTATAAAATATAAACCTTCTAATATCTGTATAAAAAGAAAAACATGAGCATGACTGTTCTTTTTTTTGTTCTTGTCGGAAGAGAAGGACATTCATTATGTTTTTCCAAAATTTTAAATTTTAATAGTGAATATCATAGATGTATACTGATATATAATTATAAGCAGTAATCTTGTTTGTGTAGTTTACTAACCTGAGATCAAGAACATTGCAAGGATAAAAACCGTAACAAAAACGAATGAAGATCTTCGACAATCCATATCACTTGTTTTTTTCAATTTGTTTGTAATATGAGTAATATATTTTGGATGTATTGGAGTAGTTTCAGAGATTTGAAACTCCTTATATAGTCACATTTACAAGAAGTCAGACTCACATATCTTAAATTTGCTGAAAACTTAATTAGTATAGGATTTTTATTTTTGCAATAAATTTATTAGCGTACATAACTTTGACTTTTAAACTATAAACATTTATATTCCAATATATATTATATAGTAACTTTAAAAACTTTATAAACAAGATCACTAATAACCAAATAAATCTATTTTTATGGAATACAAATTTTACTTAATAACTACAAATATGGAAGATATGTAAATGACCAACACAATATTTTCAGAAATTATTTGAATAACTAGATTTACAAGAAGTCAGGCTAAAATTGTATCTTAAATTTGCTAAAGAATTAATTAGTATATGATTTTTTTGTAATAAATTAATTAATGTACAATAACTTTGACTTTGTGACTATATATAAACATTTAAATTCCAATACATATTAAATAGGAGCTTTTTAAACAAGATCACTAGTAACCAAATAAATTTATTTTTATGAAAACAGATCTTTTTTACTTCTTTTTGTTTTGGGAAAAAGGCTAAAGTCATCATTTACTTCTTACTACAAATATGGAAAATGTGTAAATGACCAACACAATATTTTCAGAAATAGTTAAATATTATAAATCAAATAAAATGTAAATAAAGTTATGTATCTAACTATATGTTCATTTTGTCACAATTTTTTTATATTGAAAACAGCCATTTTATATCAGACAGTGAAAAACTAAATCAGTAACAAAATCTTAAATATTTCATAACCATTAAATAAGATTAATTTTACACATCATAATGCAATTGACAGCTTTTATCTATACATATTTGTATATACATGTTCATATCATATATATAGTCTAACTATCCATGTACATATCACAAAAAAAATCTTCAAATATTGATTTCTCACCTAAATTTTCTTTAGTTTTTTTTCTAGTGAGATTAAAGTATACTTGAACAACACCATATAGCATCTTCTAGCGGTGTAAAAAATGGCAACCAGCAAATTGTCATCTCTTCAGTTACCTTTGTTGGTGTTGCTTGCACTCTTTCTTATACCAATGATTTCAGGTAATACGTTTATGTATGTTGTATAAGAACATTTCAAACACAAAACGTTTACATTTTTTCTACAATATAATGGTGGGGAATTTATTAAGCTAAGTTTTTCTCCAAAAATTGAAATGTTTCTACTGGTTACGCCAAAATAGACCCAAAAAGGAACCTTCAAATTCACGCATAGATCTCAGAATCTCCAGGCCGATTCGATCGCAAAATTAGCTTTGTCTCTGTTTGTCCCGATGTCTTGGGTTGTATCGCGGAACAATTAATCGTTGGTTTATTTTTAATGAAAAAGATGTTCAAAAAAAAAGGTCAGTTTTGCGTTTTGTGAAAAAATAGGTTTGAAATCCTTTAGAAGGATTATTGATCCTATTGATCAGATTTCACTAAAAGCCTCCTAAAGTTTATTATCGTGGATGTGAAAATGGTAGTAAAACAAAGAACTGGATCAAAATCAGAAACAAAAGCGTATGAATGAAATATTCATTAAAAAAAAAGAAGAATGAAACTTTTTTGTATTTCTAAAATTTTGTCAATGTGTTTGTTTATGAACTAAACAGGGCAATTGGTACCATGTCTACCTGGGGAATGTACAGACTCAGAAACATGCAATGCAACTTGCAAATCTGAAGGATACAAAGGAGGGGCTTGTGTACGCATTGATGTTGGATCAAAGACCGGTGTTTGTTGCTGCAGAGCTAATTTTGAATTTTAACTATTCTTCCAACTCTGATGATACCATATTGTCTTATCATTTTATATATGTGCGTATTTATTATATAAAAAAATATTTGAATATGTTTGGCTAAAAAAATTATAAAATGTATGTAAACCGTGAAAAAAAAGTTATCAAAACTGGCGCTGTGAACTGAAATTCCAATTTTACGATATCACACAAATGAAAAGAAAAAGAAAGAACCAGATATACCAAATGAGCATACACATGTATCTTTGTTTTTACTTATAAGAAAACTAAAGATGGGCCATTTGTACTAAAGGCCCAATAAGCATTTTTATCAACATGCCTTGGTGTTGACAAAGGGCTTTTACGTCAACTCCGAATTAAACCCATAAAATCCTTTAAAAGCCGACGATAACAAGAAACATATCCGACGCGATGATCGGAAAACGAAAATTGCTTCCATCGCTCGTGAAATCCCTGATAATGGATCCAAAATCGCCGGAATTTATCTTGGATCCGCCGCTTCACAGCTTAGGATTCGTATTCGAAGAGCTCTCCGCCACCAGAGTGTCCGGCCGCCTCACCGTAACTGACAAATGCTGCCAGCCATTCAAAGTCTTGCACGGCGGCGTATCTGCTCTTATCGCAGAAGGAGTCGCCAGTGTCGGCGCCGGAATCGCATCTGGTTATAAACGCGTCGCCGGTATCCATCTCTCTATCCACCATCTCCGACCTGCTGCCCTCGGCGATTCAGTCTTCGCCGAATCTTTTCCAGTCTCCGCCGGCAAAAATATCCAGGTACCTACCTACTGAAAAAGCAGGTTTTGTACAAATGCGTGGAGCATTTTGGTTTTGTTATCATGCATTTGACTAAATAAACATTAATATTTTAATTTTTTTATATATATGAACAAAATATCATCGTAGTGTCCGTTTGACCTAACAGATAAGATTCCATTCGAAAGTAGGACAGTATTTGATGCGTGATTGTTTTTTTGGGTTGTAATCGAACATTTTTTTTTATTTAAATAAAAGGGAGGCTTAATAGAAAATTGGATCAATTTGTATGTAACTAGGTATGGGAGGTCCGGTTATGGAAAACCAAGAAAACGGAGAACAAGAAATTGGTATCAACATCCCGTGTCACTCTCTTCTGTGGTGTACCTATACCGGATCATGTTAAAGATGCTCCGGACCAGGTTAAGAAGATTGTATCCAAGTTGTAATTCAAATTGTATTTCTCTCCTAATCTCTATCACCTTGTTGGGAATAAGAACGGTTTCTATTGTATCTACCAGCTACATGAATTGCTGGCAAGTTATTGTGGGTATATGAATAGAGAACATGTTGTTGAACGGTCCAAATCGTACGGAGAAGAGAGAATAATAAAGACATAAATTAGTTTCCGAGATCCAAACGAGTAAATTTCTTCGTTATATGAAAAGGAAGAGAATACAAGTAGGTTCGAAATCAATTCCACATTTATTGTGCCACTTGAATTATAAAACAAATTGACATTTCAATAGACCAATTGTTGGTTTCCTTTCATGCAATAATTCTCCACCACCAACTCATTTTATTTAAACTCCGACATGCTTAATGCTTTGCCTAGTCTCCAAAACAGCTCTATGCCTCTAAGACCATCTCCAACCCTCATCATGCCATATGTTATTGCAAATGGCAAAAATATAGCAATAGCATTGGGTTTCTCTCCAACCCCTCATGCCATATATCATGCTATAATTTTTTTCCAACTTATTATTAATTGTTAAAACTACTTGATTTCTTCAAATTTTACAAAGTGAATCATTTGTTTTTTTTTTTGCAAAAACAACCAGAATTATTTTTTATTATTATAATATTAAAACAAAATACATCATATTACATAAAAATTATAGAAAACAAAGATTTTAACCTATTGTTTTATGTTTTTTGAATTTCAGTATTTTTAAAAATAAAATTTTAAGTTTATTATGGTTATGTTTTTATATTTCTATGAAATAAATATTATTTATATTTTGAAAAAGTTATGAGTATTGTTTATTTATTTAAATAAATCATAATCAATATAATTAAACTGTTAAATTAAAAGTAATTACAAATTGAAGGACTATTTTATAAATAAAAAAGTTCAATGGCAAAATAGCATATTGCATAATCTCATGCCAAATATAGAAGCAAAAATAGCATGATGCTATTTTGCAATAGCATATGCAATTGGGTTGGAGCAAAAATTATGGCAAAATAGCATATATGTCATATTTAACATGGGGTTTGAGATGCTATAATATGTACTCTCTCAACCAAACCAAACAGGTTTATCCGGTTTAGTCACTTGGTTAGTCTTTTGGTTAAGTTTTGCCAGAAAAAATAAAACAATCTAAAACTAAAAATTACACGTGATTTGGGCCAAATCTAATTTAGTCCAAACAAAAGTAAGTTGTTTAAGCTCGATTCGTGCGAATAGATTCTGATGCCAAATTTGGATTGCGTCTCTCATTTTATCCGCACATGTTCCTCCTTTATCGTGTCTTTATCTGAGAGCGCATCTTTCATATTTTCAAAGCCATAAAAACACCACGCCGTTTTCTGACTTCCGACGTCGATGTTCTGTCGTTTTATTTCACAGACACTGGGAGTGTTCGAGACTTCGAGCGATGCCTAATTTTTCAGTTCACGTTCCCCAACTCTCTCATCCCTTTACAGTATAAAAACGCCGAAAGTGAAAATGAATCTATCCGCCGACCAGGTGTTCGACAGAATGCTTCTGTGTGCAGATATGGCGACGAAGATGAGTTTTGCTACTTGCTCTACCGGTTTTATGTCAGAATTACCCGACTTGCGGAAAAGCAATAAGAGGAGATCACTCAGGATGAGCAAGTGCAGAGCCGCCGGAGCTGACGGTGGACGTGTGACCGTCGGAGACGACGTGTTTTCGGTTACTACTTCTTCAAAGTACGAAGTGGACTATCTGGGTCAAAGCACTAAGGGAGATTTGAATCTCAAGCTTGACCCGCTTCAGTCATTTGGTATAATACATCTTCCATTTCCTCCGCTAGTTTTCAAAATTCAATTTTTGGAATAAAGTTTCGGTGTCTGGGTATGGAAATTGGTTTTGGCTGCTGTTTGATTGTTGATTGAGATGAATAAGAGCCAAAGGTCGAACCTTATCGTTTGTGGATGTTCTGTTTAACTAACAATCTTACATTTTTGGTTCTGTTAAGTCTAATGATAAGGAATTATATAACTTTGGCATATCCATGTAGGAAATGGGCAGGCTACATTGGAGGGTCCAATTGAGGAGGTAGCGAGAACAGAGGCTCAAGCCGCTGAAAATTTGATTAGAGAATTGGGTATCCAAGTTCGTTTTCTAATCCTTTTGATTTGTGTTTTGAATATTTTCTGTATTTGTAGTTTAAGGAGAGCTTTGTTGCGAAGACTTGTATCTACCTGGTTATTTTGTGATCTGGTTTTAGTCAGGATCTTCCTTTTCTTTTGGCGTTCTCACATTTTCATGTTTGATATTGCAGGGTCCTTTCTCTGCGCAACACTCTCCTCGTGGTATATTTTGTAGCCGTACATTGAATCTACGGTCCATTAGTGCAATCGGATATGATATGGATTATACTCTGATGCACTACAATGTGATGGTGAGTTCTTCTTTTCACATACATAAGTAGGAATAATATACGCAGAAGATGCATCCATAATTTAGTCGAATTTATGGTCTTGTTCAGGCTTGGGAAGGAAGGGCTTATGACTATTGCATGGAGAATCTTAAGCACATGGGTTTCCCTGTTGATGGACTTTCTTTTGATCCGGAACTGGTGATGTGTTCATTCTTGTGATAGTTGAAAGGCTCCACATTGTAGTATTTGCTCTAGGTTTTTTAGTTCTAAGCCCAAAAACTGTCTTCTCTTATTATAGGTTATCAGGGGTCTGATGATTGACAAAGAGAAAGGTAATTTAGTCAAGGCTGATAGATTTGGGTATGTGAAGAGAGCTATGCACGGTACAAAGATGTTATCAAATAAAGCTGTCAGGTATGGTTGACTGTTCAACACCATTTCTAGCCATGAGAAGAAAACCACAGTTGCATAGTCTTTTGTTTTTATTTATTTCGAGGAAGTCTTATTCTCTTCTTACCTTTATATGGATGAAAAGTGAGATCTATGGAAGGGAGTTAGTTGATCTGCGGAACCAGAGTCGTTGGGAGTTCCTCAATACATTTTTTTCTGTTTCAGAGGCTCTGGCTTATGCGCAGGTACGTTCATTTAATACGAAAAATGGTTGCTGAATAATTGTTGGTTAATTTTGTACATAATTTGCTTTCTTGATCATAACTTATAAATGATCACATTCGTTCTTCTTCTTCTTTTTGCAAAACTTTCCACACGGGTTTCTGCTCATCAATTATAATTCAAATGATTTCAGATGGTTGATAGATTGGATGATGGACTTATTTCGGCAGATCTTGGCACTCTTGATTATAAAGGACTGTACAAGGTTTTGTGTTTCGTATCCACTAAATTTTATTAAATTGAAAGCTTAACATATTCTTATCTCTTATCAATGTTTTCAGGCTGTTGCAAAAGCTCTCTTCAGAGCACATGTTGAAGGACAACTTAAGGTTGATAGTTTGTCCATTCTGTAATCATTTTCTTAAAAGTCTTGTATTCCTCAGGGCCCTAGTAAATGACATTTACTTTTCAGAGTGAGATAATGTCCAAGCCGGAACTATTTGTCGAGCCAGACCCAGAATTACCTTTAGCTCTTTTAGATCAAAAGGAGGTGATGTTTCACTTTTCACATATAATGTCTAATTATGATGGTTTCAGCTGTTAATATTGTACTGTTTGCTCACAGGCTGGTAAAAAGCTCTTGCTTATCACAAACTCAGATTATCACTACACAAACAAAATGATGAAGCATTCATTTAATAAATTCCTTCCCAATGGCATGGACTGGCGAGATCTATTTGATATGGTAAGCAAACGTAAATTTGTTTCTGTATTTTAATTTTAAAGCATTTCTAGAGAGTAGTTTGCATACGAATTTACTACTTTTAAATTCACGTTTCCACACAGGTGATAGTTTCTGCGAGGAAACCAGAGTTCTTCCAGATGTCACACCCTTTGTACGAGGTTGTGACTGGAGAGGGTTTGATGCGTCCATGCTTCAAGGCTGAAACAGGTGCTTTCTCATTGTTTCTACTGAATGTCAGCTGATAATTTCTGTGGAGAACGCTAAACGAGATATATTTTTTCCTTTCTCTCCCTGTTTGTCTCCCATAGGAGGTTTGTATTCAGGAGGAAGTGCTCAGATGGTAGAGAGTTCACTCAACGTTCATGGAGATGAGATTTTGTATGTTGGTGACCACATCTACACTGATGTCAGCGTATCCAAAGTCCATCTCAGGTGGCGAACTGCACTGATTTGCCGTGAACTTGAAGAAGAGGTTTGGATAAATCATGCTCTCAACTATAATCAATAGATGACAGTATTTGGAGGGCTTTCATTCGTTGAATTAACTGAAAAAAGTCGGTTTGGTCTTGTTTCTTTGCAGTATATGGCTCTAATTGGCAGTCGTGGTCACCGTGAAGAGCTAATAGAGCTTATAAATCAAAAAGAGGTTGTTGGGGATCTCTTTAACCAGCTTCGGCTTGCCCTTCAAAGAAGAAGCAAAGGCCGTCCTGCTCAGGTTTGTTTATCGCCTTCCAACATAGTATGCTAAGATAAGAGAATAGCGGTTCGTGATGGAATTGCTCATAAAAGATAATCCATTTCACTTGATCTTCTAGACTCTCGCTGCTACCAACTTGGGTGATCAAGAACTGACCGAGACCATGCAGAAGCTTCTCATTGTAATGCAAAGACTAGATGACAAGATTGGTCTAATGCTGGAATCAGATGGCGAGCTCTTCAACAAAAGGTAACAGAAAAAAAGAGTCAAACATCCTAGATGATTCGGAAAAAGCAGAAAAGGATATGTGTGATCCATAATACTTGCTTTTGGGATGTTTTTGCAGGTGGGGCTTCCTCTCGCGTGCGGGTTTGTGGGATAAAAGCCACTTGATGAGACAAATCGAAAAGTATGTATGCTTCTTCTCTGCATCTATGAACAACTCGTAAAAGCTTAAACCGAGCTCACATTTAACTTACACTTTCTTGCCTCAAATTTTGTTTCAGGTATGCTGATATATACACATCAAGAGTCTCCAATTTCCTCAACTACACACCCTTCATGTATTTCCGCTCGCAAGAGCAGGTAAAAGCTTGACTCAGATCATCAGAAGAAGCACATATTAAAATCCGAGGCATATGTTACTTAAACTGATTCATGTTTTGTTTCTCTCCTCTGCAGTCACTGGCTCACGATTCTCCGCTTCCTGATGCGGCGGCTACGGAAAACTAGCGGTTGTGCCCCAAAAGTGTGGCAAACTTGTGTGTTGTAATCTTATTTATTTAGATGAAACACTGTGGATAGATGTGTAACATTAGAATTTCTAATGCTCAAAGTTCTTTGATGTATAATATATGTAATCATATTCTCCCAATAGATGTTGAAACAGGCCATGGTTGGCATGATTCCATCATCTTTAAATTTCTTGTTTATCTTTTGCCTGCATTTCAGTTTCTGCTTAATATCCCACTTTTTCATCAGTGAGAAACTGAGAATCGTCCAAATTAAAAAAGAAATGTATAAATTAATGAAACACTCTAATACATAAAACGCAGCGTTTCGAAGCCTAGTTTTGTTTTCAATCCGTACAACAAACCTACTGGCTCTTCTTTGTGTTTGTGTGAGCTTCTGGGTTCCGTTTGTCGAAGAAAAACTCCGACTTTCAAATTTGTCTGACACCACAACTCAGTGCGTCATCTCTCTTTTTCACCCTGGACCTTAAAAGGTGCGTCCTTTTGATTCTCCATCTCTTTTCGAAACTCCGACGCTTTAGTCTCGTTCAATTTAGGGTTCTTTTTTCCTCATACCATCTTAATTCACTTGTGATATCAATCTCTCTCTTTTCACCTGCTTAATTTGTAGAAAATTTTGGTAAATTCTCAATTTTGGATCTTAAAGTTTCGTAATTTGAGATGCTCGATACGAGAATTGATGTTTATTGCTCCTCCTAAAATCAGATTCCTTTTGTTTTTTGTTTTTTGTTTTTGTGTGCAAATTTTAAAGGTTGTGGTGATGGCGACGAAGAAGGTCATAGCTATATGTAAAGCTGGAGGACAGTTTGTGACTAAGAAAGACGGATCATTAGCTTATGCCAATGGAGATGCTAACGGAGATGCTTACGCCATTGACATCGATCATAACACTTCCATGACCGATTTCATGTCCGAATTGGCTGAGAAATTTGAGTTTAGCTGGGAGGCTATGACCCTCAAGTACTTCCTCCCTGGAAACAAGAAAACCCTAATCACCATCTCCAAAGATAAAGACTTCAAACGCATGATCAGCTTTTCCGCAGACGCACCAAATGTCGAAGTCTTCGTCTTACCTAAGGAAGCTAATGCCAGGAACGTCTCCAACATGCCAGCTAGTAGGTAAAGTGTTTCTCTTTTCTTTCAATCTTGCTTCAAAATGTGAAATGTATAGCCATGAAACCTTAAAGAGTTATAGACAATGAAGTGTAAAGTTTTCTTTTTTCTTTCAATCTTGCTTCAAAATTAGAAATTCTTGAATGTAGTAATGTATAGCCATGAGACCTTAAAGAGTTACAGACAATGAAGTGTGAAAGTTTTGTTTTTTTTGGGCAGGTCAAGTGGGACAACAGCATCAGAAGCAGTGGTACCTGAAGTTTCTGGAGGCGATGTTGTTCTTGGAGGAGATGATGATGATGATATGATAACAGATGATTTCGGTATGGATTTGGTGATAATCCCTGACGAAAGCAGCTCTCTGCCGTGCAATTTCGTCCTGACTGACGAGAAACAGCATCTCAAAGCAGCGCAGCAGTGGGAAAACACCATCACAGGCGTTGATCAGAGGTTCAACAGCTTCATAGAGTTCAGAGACGCGTTGCACAAGTACTCGATCGCTCACGGTTTCACTTACAAGTACAAGAAGAACGACAGCCACCGTGTCTCGGTCAAATGCAAAGCTGTAGGCTGTCCATGGCGTATCACTGCGTCTAGGCTCTCGACCACGCAGCTAATCTGCATCAAGAAAATGAACCCTAGGCACACGTGCGAGAGAGCGGTTGTGAAAGCGGGTTACCGAGCGACGAAAGGCTGGATTGGGAGTATTATAAAGGAGAAGTTGAAAGCTTTTCCTGATTACAAGCCGAAAGATATCGCAGGGGATATTAAGAGAGAGTATGGGATTGAACTGAATTACTCACAGGCTTGGAGAGCTAAAGAGATTGCTAGAGAGCAGCTTCAAGGCTCTTATAAAGAAGCTTATAGCCAACTTCCGTTTTTCTGCGAGAAGATCAAGGAGACGAATCCTGGAAGTGTTGCCACTTTCACGACGAAGGAAGATTCGAGCTTCCATCGTCTCTTCATATCGTTCTATGCGTCGATATCCGGGTTTACACGTGGCTGCAGACCGCTCCTTTTCCTTGAAAGCGCCGTCTTGAACTCCAAGTACCAAGGGGTCATGCTTGTTGCTACAGCTCCTGATGCTGAAGATGGAGTGTTTCCAGTAGCGTTTGCTGTTGTGGATGCTGAGAGTGAAGAGAACTGGGTTTGGTTCTTGGAGAATCTCAAGTTGGCACTGGCTGATCCTCGGAGAATCACATTCGTAGCAGATTTCCAAAACGGTCTCAAGAATGCATTGCCTCTAGTGTTTGGAGAAGAACACTATCATGCCTATTGTCTTCGCCATCTCGCTGAGAAGCTAAACATGGACTTGAAGGCTCAATTTTCTCACGAGGCAAGACGGTTTATGCTCAACGATTTCTATGCAGCCGCTTACGCAGCACGGCCTGAGGGGTATTACCAGTCCTTGGAGAACATAAAGAACATCTCCCCTGATGCTTACGCTTGGGTTATTGAGAGTAAACCACACCATTGGGCTAATGCTTTGTTTGAAGGAGAGAGATATAACCACATGAACTCCACTTTTGGGCTAGATTTCTACAGCTGGGTTTCCGAGACACACGAGCTGCCTATAACTCAAATGATAGACGAAATGAGAGCGAAGCTGATGCAGTCGATATACACACGTCAGGTACAGTCCCGGGAATGGGTTACAACGCTCACACCAAGTAACGAGGAGAAGCTACAGAAAGAAGTCGAACTCGCAAAGTCGCTTCAGGTTCAACAGTCTCACAACAGCTTATACGAGGTTCACGGTGAATCCATCAACGTGGTTGATATAGATCAGTGTGACTGCGACTGTAAGCAATGGAGACTAACGGGTTTACCTTGTAGCCACGCTGTTGCAGTGGTGAATTGCATCATCGAGAAAAGCCCTTTTGATTACTGCTCAAGATACTTTACTGTGGAGAGTCACAGGTTAACGTATGCTGAGTCCATTAACCCTGTCCCCAATGGGATGCTGATGATGACAACGACGGCGGTGGAGGAGCCGCCCGTTGAGGGGGTTGTTGTTTCGGTAACGCCACCGCCGACGAGGAGGACACCGGGGAGGCCAAAGAGTAAGTTGGTGGAACCGATTGACATGATCAAGCGTCAGCTTCAGTGTAGCAAATGTAAGGGCTTAGGACACAACAAGAAGACCTGCAAAGCTGTGTCCGAAGTATAGACAGGGTTTAGGACAGGTTGTAGTTATAGCTGTAGCTGATTTTGCCCCAGCAGTTGGGATTTGGTTCTTCTGTTTTTGTTGGTTTTGGGAGTGTCATCCAAAGGCGAGCAGAGAACAAGTGGCACAGGATCTCTGTTAACTTACTGGGAGATTTTGCAGCAAATGTGGAATGCATTTTCTTGTATTAGATTTGGTTTTCTTCCCCATCTTTTCACATTCTTTTTCATGGATCTTTTTTTTTCAATTACTTGTACTGTCCATAATATTTTTTCCATCTTTTGCGGAATAAAAGCTGGAAAATGATATACTGGATCTTCTTTATACTAAGATCATACCTTTGAGGGCTACGCTTTTGTTTTCTTTCAGTTAGCATTTTCATCAAAGAGCATCTTGTTAGAAATAGGCAACAACGTTTGCTTGTATAAATAAGAATTCCCAAAATAATCATTTATATGGTTAATATACCCGTGAATAGGGATGAACGCTTGAGCCTATATAAGATATAAAGTGTGAAAAAGAGTAAAATCTCTACCAAGAAATTGATTCCAACCAGTCAGAGGTGAACTCATAGGCCACAAAGGTGACAGCACCAGCAGGAGCAGCTTTCACAGTGGAAGGCACAATGCCTTTGTACAGACCGTGCCACCCTTCCGCCAGCATAATCTGCTTTAGACCGTCTAACATGTTTCTGTATGCACGTCGCTCAAGTCTGGCTCCGTATCGTGGATGTCTCTGTAAACCTTCAATCTGCAATCAAAAGAGTCTTCAATTGCAAGTTGCAACTGGGAAGTTAGAAAAGCATTGAAGAGAAATAACTGACCTGGAATCGTTTTTTGACAACATCAAGAGGATGGCAGACGAGTTTTGCGCTAGTGCCTGCCCCAAGCCCACAAACAAAAAGCTGGAAGCTGGAAATGTTGGTATCCACGTTGGTCGGGTTTTTGGAGGATAAAACATATCGGTTCCAATCCTGGTGAGAAAGCAGATGTTGTTATTGTCACCAGAAAGAGAGAAAAAGACAGTTTCTTAAAGAAAAACATCAGACAGAAAAGATACATTCCCATGCTCTTACCATCATCCAACGCTTAAACATATCATAAGTCCCAAATTGCAGGCCAGCGTACGGCACAATCTCAACCAGTGTTGGTGTTAATCCATTATACAATCCTTTTATGCCTCGAGACTTAATAATATCGACGAACGCAGACCTCATTGTTGGATACACCTGTAGACATTTATCAACATGAATAAGAATGAACAAGGAAGAAACACAAGAAAATTTAAGATAATATTACAGGCTTCATAAGTCAGGAAACAAACCTTAGGTTCCCCTTGAGAGGCCAATATGGTCCTTAGAAGATCAAAAGGATAAGATCCTAGTGTAGCAGCACATCCTGCTAAAGCTCCACTGACGAAGGATAGATAAGGGCTCAAATGTATATGATCCTCTGCATTCCAAAAACATTACAACCAGCTAGCAAATGAGGATACACACCGATCTCCAGAGTATAAAACACTCAACAAACACAATCTGAAGAATATACACTAAGTAAATTCTCTTTCACTAATAATGTTGAAAAGACAGTACCATATACCCCTAATATAGCTACGCCCAAAAAATAAAGCAAAAGCTCTGGCAATCTAACAAGTACCATATCTAGAGAAACCCCAATGTTACCTGTTTTGGTAGAACCAGATGCAAAAGACTTCAACTTATGTAGTACTGTAAACTGAATTGAAGTATATGGCATGACCATGAGCAAAGCTGGCACATTACCACGCCAAAAACCCTGAGAAACCAAGTACCAAACATCAGAACAGAGAACAACACCTCAGCAAACAGTCTACAAAAACAAAACTGAAGGAACGGTTTTACGAAATGGAAGTGGTTAAGAAACAGACCCGAAAACCTTCTTCTCTAAAAATGTCTTTAGTTGCCTGTACCATCCCAGTATACTTAGATGCTCCTGTCAAGTTTCCTCGGACCACGGACCATGAAGTTGTCGGCTCTAGTTGAACCTGCCAATGCCATCAAAATTATAAACTTCTTCAGCCATCTCTAAACAGCATGATGCATATATCTCCACATGTAAAGCTAATCACTTCTTAACACCGATAAATTGACATTTCCAACCTCCACAATATTCTCAGCTAACAACAGCAAACAATGATTCCAGCATGACTAATCAAATATTCTCAGCTAAGGCAAAAAGCTGAGCTTTATCAATCGCGATAACACTAATCAGGTAAGAAGAGAGAAAACGGCGAAATGAGGAAATACCTGAAATCTAATCTTAATGACATCGAGCGGAGAAGTAACGGTGCGAGAAACAGCACCAGAGATCGCACCGGCCGAAGCATCAATCAGGGCACGTTTAATCTGTCCCGGATCGTCGACCGCCGGCGTGGGACTCATTTTCCTAGGGTTTCGTCTCTACAAGCTAAATCCAATCAAAAAAGTTTCCAAACCCTCTCTCATCAATATAACGCTCAATGGAGAAAAGGAAAGAGATCAATTCACGGCAACAAATACAAGAAGAAGATATCATCATCAGCCGTAAAAACAGAAGAAAAAGGGAATTTTCCGAAAATTTTACCATATAACGCGAGACACGAAAAGGCGCGACATTGATGATCTTCCGGGGAAAACTTGAGAATAATAAAGACGACCCTCCCCTTATAGGTTTGCCGCGGATTTGAGAGCTGGGCGGTGATAGAAATTGATTTGACTTGAAAAAGGATTAAAAAAGCAGAGAGATTCTTTCTCCGTCAACGTTTTTTAGCTTACAAACTATAAAAGCAGACTTCTTTTACAGAATTTTGCCCCTTTTTAGTGCTTTGTTTGTCGGTTTCATGACATATCAATTCAATTCCGACTCACAAAGTAAAAATCTTTTGTAAAGCCGTTTCAAGATTTGCTCGTAAGACAATGCCTTTACGTTCTTCTGAAAGGATACTCTTTTTCGACCATACGAGTAGAATAAAAACTACAACTTTGGAGATTGCCGGATAAAAAACGTTATCAAAACTATCCTTTTTCGCTCCTTATAAAACTCGTATCTGCCTCCTCTGGCCATGGGATCGTTGTCTCCGGCGTCAGGAATGGCAGACACTCTTGCTGTTTCACTTTCCCGCCTCTCAAACTCACGAGCAATACCCACATCAGAGACACGAGTTTAAAATTTACAATATATCTCACGAAAAGGCTATGAGCCTAGCTAGGAGTACAAATAATGCTGTAGTCATGTCACATGTGGACTTCATCCCCGCTGATGCAAAATGAAGCCATCTCCCTTTAATAAGAGATCTCCAGTGGGGCTTTAGTCCACTCTACCACACTTGCCTCCCGGAGATATCTGACCGCATTGGGAATGTTCTACATCCTAAAACCACATATACGCTCACCATCAAGCAGATTAGCCAAAACCCCTACCCTCTCGTTCTTTCCCTAATTTCTCTCATCTTTGATGAATCGCACGTGTAATGTTTTTCTAAAGCTGACGTGAATTTTTGTAATAAGCCTTTCACGAGCTAGTCTTCCTCTATCTCGAATGAGACATTTATCGCACGTATTCCTTTGAGACTAGTTTTAATGTTTGATTTTGAATGTTTCAAATACCAAATACCTCAGTATATAATATTTTTGTAATACACATAACACATTCAAAATACATCGAATGAAATACATCGAATTGCTGTATTGCATATCCCGAGTCTTAAGCTCTTGTCTAACTACTGGATTGCTATTTCTCGATCATTTTGGAAAGTTGAGATCATCATCGGTTAATTACGTGTCTTCTCTTCATTGTACTGTGTTGGAATTCCAATTAATTACCATCCCCCGGCCGCCTCATAAAATTATTATGGATAAATCATTTTTACTGTGAATTGAAGTTACAAAAAAAAAATTGCTAAAAAAAGCTATGGATTACTAGTCATATTGATAGCAACCCATTTTGTCTTATTCCATCAATCCATCCACACCATACTTTTTTTTGGGTCAAACGATTCCACCACTATACTTTTAGTACTTGCTTTAAAAGAAAAGAAACAATATTACAAAGTACAAACCAAACAAATGTAAGCATGGAGAGATATCTATGGTGAATTTGCTGTATAGACATATAGTGGAGGTCTACTTGTAAAAGTGACACGGTTTGAAAATCGTAAATATATGGATATGATTTCGCGTTTGTTTTATACTAGTAAACAATTCTATCATATAAACCTGCGTGTTACTTGCATAAATCAAACGCAAAATTTATGTTATTAGTGTTTTTTTTTTCTTGCTAACAAATGTATGCTATTTATTCAAGACATTAGTGTATCACCTCCACTGATTTGATGCCATCGTCGTTTTATTATTGTGACATTTTATATTTCATATATTGTTGGGCCTATATATTTTGGGTATATGTGCAACATCTATACATGTCTTTTCTTGCCTATATAAATCCGTTATAGGTATGTCTTTTTCATGAAATCTTTGATAAAATGATAGTATTCTTTTACCAATCATCCACAAAACTGAAGCTCTCTTTTGCACTTATCCTCATAAGATATAATACAATTTAAAGTTAGAATATGTATATAACAGTTACCGTTCAAGAGAAAGAAAAAATAAAGACGATTTCATATACAAAAATACAGATTTTTATTACAAAAGATACATTACTTTCACATTAGTACATACATCATTCAAACATAAAAACAAAACACAAAATTACCTTCACAAGACACTTAATTAGCATTTATCAAACGGAATGACTATCAGCTTGAAGCGTTATACCAAAAGGCTTTGAATCATACCTGTATGTGACCAAAGTCATTCCTGTATTCAAACCACACCATGATACACATCAAGACGACACACAACCCATTATGATAAAAAAAAAAATTCCGAAAATAGAAAACCGTTCAAATTACATATCCCTGACTTGGAACATGTTACGGTTCTTGACGACAATGTCGTACATGTGCATCAACTTGAATCTGGAGAAATCAGTAGGAAGTGAGATGAGATGAACGGTGGATGCTTTGTGGAACTGAAGGAGATGAGGCTCCTCGTAGTAACGTTCCCAGCCAAGTGCGTAGAGATGTCGTTGGAGATGTGAGTAAGAGGTTATGACTTCGTTGCTTGGAGTGTAAACCAGAACCTTTCGCTTTGTGTTCACAAAGTTCGTCTCAGCTCCAGGATTCTCAACTAGCCTAACTACACCATTCTTGAACACCCACACTCCCGACATCTTCGAAATCTTGGTTGATCTTTTAAACTACTGAAGTTGTTCTTGCCTTCTTGAGCTCAGAGTTAACTAGTTAAGATGAAGTGTGGTTATATATACAAGGGCAAGTTGTTCTTGCCTTCATTTACCATATTTATTTTAACTATTTTATGCATAATTTACCATATATTATATCTTTAACGATTGACCCTTGTGAATAATTATGTGAAGCCATTCCTGATCAACATGGGCATTCTTTCACTTTCTTGGTCGACTGACAAGTGACAAGTCATTTCGAAGTGCTTGTAGTATAATTTGAGATATAAAAGTTTAGAAGCTGAAATTGAATAAGAACGAAAAGTTATGGGAAAAAAGTGTACACAATATTTATCCAAAAAAGTGTACGTACCTACAAAAATTCGAAATTCAATCTTTATCTCACAGGGATCGGATGGGCAAAGGAGAACCGACGTCTTCAAATTTGTCTATAAACTAGAATATGGCTTAATCCGAACTTCATATATATTTTAGCTGTAATATAAGAAAGTTACAAAAAGATGTGGCATGAACAGTATCTTTTAAGAGAAGGTCTTTCCAGAAAAAAAGTATATAAAAACAATGGCCAGCCATCTTAAAAAAAGTATTTTGAAAGAGTTCGTAACTAATATTACTTCAAAAAGAAACACCCACATTTAGTTACGCTTAGACCGTGCATTGTCATGAAATAGATGAAGAATCCAGTTTTGACGGTTCCAAGAAACAAATGCTTTCACGGATTAAGCCCTCTGCAAAACGTTAATATTGGCTAAATATATCTAACTTACATAAAAAAAATTTAGGTTCACTACTCTCTAAAGTTCTTTTTTTTTTTTGAAAAAAAAAGAAAATTTCCAAGTTTAACATTTATAGAGATAAATTATTTTGCTTAAAAATGAAAAGTTATTTTCGTTACATAGGCAATTTATAAATTTCATAATAACTAATTACTAAAACTGATTAAGTGGATCCAAATTCGAGACTTAACACTGTATGGGCTAAGCCCACCATTTGCTCACGGCCCAATACAAGCCCATAATTTGGCGCCAAATCCCCACCGCAAATGCTTTGATCTCCCGCTCGATCAACTTGACGGCACACCTGAAACTGAAACTGAAACTTTCCAGTGTGATTTTGAGAAACCAGCAGAGAGAGAACCGTGTAGAGACTGTAATCCGATCTAATGGCGTCGAATTCGGATCTGGGATCGGAGGAATTCGAAACCTTCTCCTCGACATCGGACGTCGAGCTCTTGAAGAGGGCGTGGCGTAACGAGAAGGCGGCGCCTGAGATTCTTCAGTACGAAGGCGCTCTTGTCGAAAGAGCCAAAGGCCAGATCGAATTGGTGGTAAATTGTCTAAAACCCTCAATTTTTTTTTCTGTTGGAAATTCCAGAAATTTTGGTCCATGATCCTAATTAAGATTTCAATCACGATAGTTTTTTTTATACTAATCTATAAAGAAAGTCAGTTCCTTTACTATTTTGTTAGAATCATTGTCTTTTGTGACTCACAATTTCTAGTGGAAGAGCTTATATCTACTGGTTGCATTGCAGTTTTCGAAAAAAAATCAGTTTTGGAAGTTTTGTGATTACAGGAAGCAAATATTGAAGATTATGTGGAAGATGGCACGGACCCTCTGATTGTGTCACTTTATCAGATGGATTTGGATAGAACCCAGTTTCTACTGAGATCATATCTTAGAGTTAGGCTTCTCAAGGTATATGCTCTTTTAATTGTTTTTTCCTCCTCAATGCCTATTTCATGGGTTTATCAAAGTTTTCTTAACTGTTCACAGTAGTGCAAAAAGCTTTCTGTTTTGCTGTAGAGACAGATTTGTGACATTGGAACGAAATGCTGCTTAATAAACTCTGTGTCATGTTCATGTTCATGAACATTTGCAGATAGAGAAGTTCATGTTCCACAACCTAAAGTCAGAAGAAGCTGAAAGCCGGCTTTCTGAGCAAGAGAAGGTGTTTGCTAAGAGGTTTGTTTTTTTGTTGTTACATAGCTCTCTGGTTTTGTATGTTAATTGGTGGGTTTTGTGAGACATTCAAGTAAATGAATGATTGTAGGTGTGCTGATGATTTGGCAAAGCATTTCGAAGAGAGTGTACTCCTTAAGTTGCCAGAGAACTATCAGTCTGTTCTCAAGCAATCCCTTATAAGTGAAACCGATGACATGGGTAACAACTACCTTAAACCTAATCACTGTCTGTTCCATCTCTGGAAAATATAGAATCTTAGTTGGTTAATCCCTTCACAGTAGCTAGAGTTGTGTCACAGTGCTGACTAAAAATGTGTATTTTGGTGACTTACCAGTGCCGGAGCCGCATTTGGATACCTTTGTTGTTTGTAAAAGCAACGACTTTGTCTCCCTCAATCTATACGAAGAGTGAGAACTCTTTAAACCTTATTTTCACTCCATAGACAACTTTTCTGTATTCTAAGTGGGTTTGGTTTGCTCTTGTTTTGGCAGAGGAGAGAGTCCTGAAACTGTGGAGATGGAGCGTGGTGATCTCTACTTCATACGTTACAAGATTGTTAAAGGAGCAATTGAATCTGGGAAAATTGACTTGATCTGAGATCAAAAGCTAGGGATTGCAATGGAGTTTCATTTAAATCTCTTTCCATATCATGAGTTTTGGATGGTACCATTGTTGTTCGTTCTCTATGATCTTGAGTTTCTTGAGTTGTATATAGTGAACTTTTGTATTGTTTTGAGTTTCCTAATGTCATGTTAGAAACTTAGCATCCTTGTAGCTTGTGCCTAGCATAACTATCAATTTTCTTAGAATATTTAATGATAACCATAACTAAAGTAGTTACTTTCTTTCACCAGTTTGGTACTGAGCTCATCATTGCTTGTTTGTCATGTTTTTGTTGGAAAAGAGTGAGTAAAGAGGAAGACTATTAGAAACTGAAATTGCTTGATTGATTTTGACCACAAGAGGCATAATTCAAGTACGAACTGAAAAACTTATTGAAGAATAAGGAGATATGTATTATCCACAATCCATGATAAGAAACGATCCATAAACTCACATAACTCCTGAAACTAATGTTATTTTGAATCAGTCAACAGCTTTAAGCCGACCTGAAATTTTATTACTTTTAATTGTTTCTTATATACGACTTATTTTTGTGTTTTATAAAACTTTAATTTTTACGTTTTCAAAAAGATTAATCTACTTATTATTATTTTTACTTAAAGCGTGGCAAAATCACGTAAAGTATAGTTTTATAAGTACGCTTTGCCAGTTTGAAAGGCATTAGGATTTGGGTAGATAGAAATTTGTTGGCAAAAAAAGGAAATAGCAAAACAGTTAGTATATTTGTTGAGAAAAAAGGAAAAATGTTCTACAATAAGGAAATTTGTTTGCCGACAAAAAAAAAAAAAAAAAAAAACGATTCCCAGATACACTTGTAATTGCATTGTCTATTAATGTCTATAAATAGAGATAACCTCGTAGTAGTCCAGGATTCACAAATCTCTTTCTTCCAAAGCAAAGCGAGACTCTCTCACATACGAAGATTATATATCACCTTCGATCGTATTCTGTCGGAAGATTTAACTTTTGTGTGTCTGAGTAAACACACGCAATCATCACCATGTCGTTTTCTTCAAGAACCATGGTTGTGGTTTTGTGCTTTCTGTTCCTGCTGGCTCCATGTCTCACTAGAGCAGCAACAACCGATGAAGTTCAGTCAAGTTGCGACTCTCACAGCTTTAAAAACGGCAAACACTTCCGTTCTTGCGTTGACCTACGGGCGTTGAACTCGTATCTGCACTTCAGTTATGTTCGCGAAACCGGGGTGCTTGACGTTGCGTACCGTCACACCAACATCGAGTCTTCTAGTTGGATCGCTTGGGGCATAAACCCTACGGGCAAAGGCATGTTAGGTGCTCAAACTCTCTTGGCTTACCGTAACTCCACCTCCGGTTTTATGCGCGCCTACACTTCCTCAATCAAAGGCTACTCAACCATGCTTCAAGAAGGTCCTCTCAGCTTCAAAGTGACGCAGCTCTCTGCCGAGTATCTCAACGGAGAGATGACTTTATTCGCCACGATCACGTTGCCTTCTAACACAACCGTCGTGAATCATCTCTGGCAAGACGGTCCCCTGAAGGAAGGAGATAGACTCGGGATGCACCCTATGAGTGGAGACCATCTCAAATCCATGGCTACTTTGGACTTGCTTTCCGGACAAGTCACAGCCACGAAAGCAGCTAACGGAAACATATTACTAGTCAAGCGAATCCATGGAATAGTCAACGCCGTGAGTTGGGGGATTTTCATGCCTATTGGAGCCTTGGCTGCAAGGTACATGAGGACCTACCAAGGATTGGATCCCATGTGGTTCTACGTCCACATCATCTTTCAAACCACCGGTTATTTCGCCGGTTTAATCGGAGGACTGGGAACTGCAATCTACATGGCCAAGCACACGGGGATGAGATCTACGCCGCATACCGTGATAGGGATGTTTCTGTTCTGTCTAGGGTTTCTACAGATACTTGCGCTCAAAGCAAGACCGGACAAGGACCACAAGTACAGAAAATATTGGAATTGGTATCATCACACTATGGGATATCTAGTGATTGTACTAAGCATCTACAACATTTACAAAGGCTTATCCATCTTACAACCCGGAAGCTCATGGAAGATTGCTTACACTACCATCATCGGTGCCATTGGATTGTTTGCGATCGTGATGGAGATTTTGCAATTTAACAAGAGGTGGGGTGGTTTGTGCTGGAAGAAACCTGAAGACATAGAAGCTGATCCAAACGTGACGAAGATTTTGCAATTTAACAAGAGATGGGGTGGCTTGTACTGGAAGAAACCTCAAGACCTAGAAGCTGGTCCAACCGCTTCCGTTGATGTCTAGTTTTTAAGTTTTCATCATTCTTTGGTCTTTACTTGTAGAAGATTCGATTTAAATAAAAGTTATCTCTGTTGAAGAATCGAATCATGTTTTGCGTTTAGTTGTATAAGAATTAGTTCTGAATAAAAGTTTTCAACATCAGCGCTATTGTAACAACAGATGATGCGAATGTGCCCTACTTGACTGGGTTTCTGTTATATACCACACTAGTACACTACGTACTATTTCTATGGCACGACCGCACGATGGTATTGGTTAATATGAGAGCTATCTTTGATGGAGAAGAAGAAACAGGAGTACGTCGTACATAAAACTTTATATTATAACCAAACCAACACAAACGCAAACGTACAATTACATGTCATAATTAAGGCCACTCATGGAGTGACACAGACTTATTTTATGAAAATACACACATATTTATTCAAGCACCACAGAGTTGTACGTGGAAGATTAACATGGGAAGTAGCAGATACACCTGTGATATGGGAAGACATAGTTGCAAGATCCATGGCGTGCTCCCTCAAGGTTAATGCACTGATTCTTGCATGCGTTATTGTTTCCACACACTCCTGACCATGTCCCACTTGACTTCTGGCACAACTTCTGTGCTTCCGCCATTGTTGGTGCCTCTGCATATATACATACATATATCTCATGGTTAATTATCAAAATAATCTGAAAAAGGAAAAAAAATATTAATTAAAGCTCATTTTTCATGTCATGCATATGATAAGGAATGATACTGACCAAAAGCAGCAAAGAGAATAAGAGCAGCGAAGAGAAGGGTGATGATGGAAGCAGACTTAGCCATGACTATAAGCTCAGCTAGTTTTAGTACTTTGTTTTAGATGTATGTATGTGTTGAGTGAGGAAGTAAGCCTAAGATCAACCTCTATTTATAGTGAAACATTGGTGAGTTAGGCTTTTACTTTTCATCGTTAATTAATGTCTTAACCCCACACTGCATCTAGTCTACAATTATTTAATCGCTACATGTTTACTAGTCAATAGTTGATGGCTGGTTTCTCAACAACGTATCTTTCTTTACCTATGGAAGGCTGCTTGATCTATGATCTATCTAATGTAAGCAAAGCGACTGGTTTGGCTTTGAGCAAATGCTACAATGTTTACATGGGCGGCTGATTAATCTGTCTTTGTCAAGACTCCTGAAGATAAGATAGACAGACATTAGAAGATAAGATAGATATTGATCAACTCATAATCGCATCAGTATAACGCTAGAAGAAGATTTAGGGATATACTCTATTATTGCCTTTTACCTAAGTGCGTCGCAAGAAAAACATCCTTTTTATAGGCTTTAAATGGTAAACTAAATAAATGGGTGGAATGAAAAAGTACTGAAATTTGATAATGAGCCCACTAACATGAGATTTTAACACATCTTTTTTGTTGTGGGAAGATTTCGGCTGGGAAAAAATACAAAACACTTGATAACAAAAAAAGTTTACTTCAATTAGGGTGGGGCCAGAGTAAACTGATTTATTCAGAGCCATAATATATACTCCCTCTGTTTTCTAATAAGTGTCTTTGAGATTTTTTTTTTCTCACTAATAAGTGTCTTTCTCAAAAATCAATGCAAAAGTTAATGTATTTTTGTTATTTTGACTGTTTAAATTCTTCATATTAGATTTTTATTGGTTGAATTGTATTGAAGTTGATGATAAAACATGTTTTACTTAAAAAAAAATTAGTGATTTCATAATATGTGTGCAAAAGGTTAAAACTTAAAATGACACTTATTGGAGAATAAAAGGAGTAATGATTATTGATATCCCTATAATCTTCTTTGATAAATCTTACGGGATAAAATATTATTATGTCTTGCGATCGAACCGGAAGCTCATGGAAGATTGCTTACAATCGGTGTCATTGAGTTGTTTGCGATCGTGATGGAGATTTTTCAATTTAACAAGAGATGGGGTGGTTTGTGCTGCAAGAAGCCTGAAGACATAAAAGCTGACCAAACCGCTTCCATTAATGTATAGCTTTTAAGGTTGTCGTAGTTATATGTGTATTCGTATGTTCCTTTATCTTTGCATTGCTAAGACTAGAGTTTGTCATTAATTCTTTGTTTTTTACTAGGAACTGAAATTATTTGAATAAAGATTCTTTTTGGATTCGCTTACATCTTACGAAAATGTATATGTGAGTAGATAAGATCTCTTAGGTCTGATTGGTTTAACCGCTGCGGTTGCGGTTGCGGGTGTGGGAGTTTGCGGAAGCGGGCGGTTGTGATTAGTAGCGTTATTAAGCGGTTTGTACGACTGGCATAACAATTGAAAATGGATGCGTTTGCGGGATACTTATGACTGGTTCACTTGCGGATGCAATAGCGGTTAAACAATAAATTAATAATATAAACACATTATATAATTATAAAAATATCAAAACTATATTATAATGAAAATTTTAAATTTATGGTTCAACATAATTAAAAATAATTTTTTTATAAAGAATAATATGTGTATAATACTTACGTCTATTTTTAATTTCTATAATTTAAATAAAAATGTGATTTTATTTTCAAAATATATATTTAATGTGAAAATTAAATTTATATTACAATTTTATTTATTAGATATATATGTATTAGTATGAAAAGAATATTTATCAAGAGAATTTTGATTTGTAGAACTTATAAATATATAAGTATGATATGATTTTAATGAATATTGACTAAAAGTACTAATTTTTTTTTATATTGTGATTTTATTATCCAAATCTTATTTTTTAATAAAGATTATTATTTATTTTCGGATTTTATATAAGTTTGTGTTTTTTTTTTTTTTTTAATTATCCACCCGCAACCGCAAACGCTTGGGAAGGAGCTTTTGATTTTGAGGGTTATTAAATCAACACAAAATGGACATGCTTTATAGATCACAGTGAGATAAAATAACCGAGATTAATAAGAAACTTAAAACGTGAAGGTAAAAAAGAGAAACAAATACAAGATCCAGAAGAAAATGCTGACAATTTATTAGAAAAAGGTAATATCCCATTTTGATAAAATATCTATTACGTTACGTGTGTTAATGTGTGCCTGCGAAGAAAAGCAAATGTCATGTGCTGACTGCAGAGCCTTGGATAGAGCATAGACGTTAGATCCCCAAAGTCTTCGCCTTTCAACCTCCTCCACTGTGAGTTTGTCGCCTTTCAATCTCCTAAAGCTTGTTTTTCCCATCTTTGATTTCGTCTATCTTCTTCAATTTGCGTCGATAAAGTTTGGGTTTTCCTTAGATTTTTTTTCTGTATACAACTTCGGAAATCTCTCTGACCAGTGTGTTTGTCGCTTGAATCCTAATTGGATATTTGTTCCTCCACTTAAACTCCGAATTGGGGATTCAAATTTTGCATTTTTTCAGCTTAAATTGTCATTTCTTAGGTCTGTGAATTCAGTTGGGATGTAGCAATTCCAGCTGAATTGAGATCTGAGATGAATAACTTTGAACTTTTGCAAAGGAACTATAAAGTTTGTTCCTTTGATTGAATTACTCTTCTTGCACATATGGTTTTTGTGAAGATTTTAGATTTTTTTCGCCCCCATTGATCTCAAAGTTGATTTCTTTGCACATATTTGTAGAAGAAGATCTGTTGAGAACTCGGAAGATACTAAAAGCTAAAGATCGTTCTGCGGTGTACTTTACCTGCTAATTAAACTCAAGAACTGCTTTAGCGTTATCAAAGTTTGAGGCTTTTAGAGAAGAGATGCATCTATGGCCATCACTGAAACTTCGAAATTCCTTCAAGGGCAATAGCCAGAAGAGATTTCAAAGGATGAACAGCGGGAAACAAAGTCCAAGCAACCAGCAGAGACTCCTCAAAGAATCTGGCCCCGAGATTTCGTCTGGTGGGGTTTCTGTCGTCTGCAGAGATCTTGCCATGGTTCTCTCTTGCTGCTTCTGCTGTTTCTGCTGCGGAGGTAAACATTCTCGACACTTTCCTCTTTCTTGCTCGACTTCTCTGGTTTTGAATCCTCTCTGATTTGAAATTCTATGCTCTTTGTTTTGTCAGCTTGTATTGATGAGGAACTGAAGTGATGCAAGCTCCCGCTGGAGGAGTTGGTGAAAGATATTATTTAGCCTTAGAAAACACAGTCTCACAAAATGTAACTAGATTTTTATACAACTTTATGAAATTCTGTTTCAAGCTTTAATCAAATTTATAAAGTGTCTGATGATTAGTGATTACAGTACTCTTATGTCTATTGACTTTAACAAAAACAGAGCATTAAACCACTCAAAAAAAGATGTACAACCGGAATCTCAAATTATCAGAAGCTAAAGTCAAAAAAATATACGAAAATGTAAAAAGGACTCAGCCGACCAATGTACATCCGCCACGTAATATCGGAAAATCCAACCAAAAACAAAAAGAAGACAATAAAGTTGTTTGGAATACGAAAGCAGACTCCACTATCCAACTAAATTACATAATTGCCATCGTTTCTTTTCGTTTCCTTTCCTTTCTCCTCTCACTTCCTTTGGCGGCTCTTTTTATTCTCTCTTCGCTCTCCTCTCACTCCCTCTCTCTCTCTCTCTCGTTGTTTCGTCGGAGCTCGTGAAGCTCTCTCCTCTGTCTCAAATAATGGAGGTCCCTTCTCTGAATAAGCTTAAGCAGCAGGAGTTCACTCTTGCCTCCGTCACTGATCTCGCTTCCTCTTCCTCACCTCTTTCTTCCTCGCCTGTCGTAGCTACGTTTTCCTGCGTTGATGAAGTCACGGAACTCCGATTTCAGGGTTCCGAATCTGCCGATGGTTTCACTTTTGATCTCAGTTCGGCTCAGGTGTCTCTCCGTCGATTTGCTTACGATTACTTTTCTTCTGATTCCAGATCTTTTTTTTTATCTCAATTTTGAAACTTTTCTATGCTTAATTAAGTAATGTAGGAAACCACTCTGCAAATTCTCGTTCTTGGAATCAGTTTCTGGTAAATGCACTGATCTGACTGTGTTTGATTTGTGTTTTTGGTCAGTTGTTCAAGTTGGGGCCGCTTCAGTTCGTCTGTGTATCTGATAGTTCGAATTCCGCAAAGGAGGTAATGTGAAACCTCTCTTTTTGTGAGTGTTTATGAGATTTAATTTTCAATAGTTGGTTTTGTCAATACCCTGAATGCGTAATTGATAAAAGTGTTACCTTTGTATCTGATATATTTCTCTGCTTCTTTAACCAGAAATCCTTCTCTCGAGGAGTTGTGATAAAATTTAGAGACGAGAAGGAAAGCAATGATTTTAGTGACTCATTTGGGCAATGGAGAAAGGATGCTGTTAAACAAGGTGACTCTTTCTACACTTATATATAAGTAATGTGTATACATATTTTCTTCAGTAAGTTTTATATGACATGAGTTGCTCTTATCTCTCCTAATGCATCAAATGTCTCTTAGTGATATCGTTCACCAAAACCTCATTCTTAATGATCACAATTTATTCATGACTGTTGCTTTGCTCCTACTCGTTTTTTTCGTTTCTTAGGATCATCCTTGCCAAACGGATCAGTGTCAGATAACAAAGGCAAGTTCGACAACAAGATAGAGGCTGCTTCGGCCAAAATGTATTTCCATTATTATGGACAACTTCTACATCAGCAAAATATGCTACAGGATTATGTGAGAACAGGTAAGATGTTTGGCGTCTGTGTTACCTCAGTTTTATTTTCATACTTTGTTTGTTGGTTTGGGAGGATGTGCAGTAATATCTTTAGTTTTCTTCACATGGCTATTTGACTGAAGATAACTCTTTTAATGTCATATTACTGTCTTCAGGTACATATCATGCTGCTGTCATGGAAAATCGTTCAGATTTTGCTGGTCGTATTGTGGTCGATGTGGGTGCTGGAAGTGGCATTTTGTCAATGTTTGCTGCACTGGTATGCACATATTTAAGGAACTTTGGGCCCAAAGGTCTTACAGCTACTCTACATCTGCTTTTTGCTTCTGTTTTTTCTAATAGACATCCATTATTTTCCCCTTAATTTAGGCTGGTGCCAAGCATGTGTATGCTGTGGAAGCGTCAGAAATGGCTGAATATGCCCGTAAGCTAATTGCTGGAAACCCATTGCTTGCTGAACGGATCACAGTAAGACCTGTAGTCCAATTTTGTTGGTTCATTTTTTTTTTTCAGAGGTATACATTTTTCTGATTTCTTCAAGTGGGCACAAGTGTAGGTCATTAAAGGAAAAATTGAGGATATTGAGTTGCCTGAGAAGGCCGATGTTTTGATCTCTGAACCAATGGGTATGTGTTTCAGAGAGTCTTTTCACTTACTCTTCATGAAAATCAGAATCTTTTAGAATGCAAACTTTTGTCTGTGAGAAAATAAGTGGAGAAACATCATTACTGATTCAAAACTGTAGTGATTCGTTTGAACATAAGTCTTATATTTAAAATTATATGTGCATGTAGGCACTCTATTGGTCAATGAGAGGATGCTGGAAACATATGTTATTGCAAGGGACCGTTTTCTTTCTCCGAACGGAAAGATGTTTCCCACAGTCGGAAGGTAAAGTTGATCTCTGATAGTCTTACTTTCGTATTTCATAAATGTCTTCTTTCTCATGTATTTTTATCACTGTAGGATCCACATGGCACCTTTCTCCGATGAATTCTTATTTGTGGAAATGGCAAATAAGGTACTTAATGCACATCTTATAAGGAAGATATGTCTGAGATTGCTTACAACATAAAAAGAAATGGCTGGCTTAAGTATAGCTTTCAGTAATTTGGCTTTCCACCTCTACGTAGGCTTTCTTTTGGCAGCAACAGAACTATTATGGAGTTGATTTGACACCTCTATATGGATCAGCACACCAGGGTTATTTTTCCCAGGTATATACATTTACAACCAGTGAATAGCTGATTAGTTCGTTTGTTTCTTTCTTCTCTTACAGTTTGTCATATTCACGGCTTTTGTAGCCTGTGGTTGATGCATTTGATCCGAGATTATTGGTGGCTCCCTCGATGTTTCATGTGATAGATTTCACTCAGATGAAGGTATAGCTATTCGGTTCCACGGTGTTTCCTTACAGTTGACGAATGCTTATTGGTGTCATATAATTTCATATTTATTGAATCTCTGTGTGTAGTCAGTCTTCCCTGTTTGGTGAGTGACATGATTCCAAACTCATTTATCTGTCAATTCAATTTCACAGGAAGAGCAGTTTTACGAGATAGATATCCCGTTGAAGTTCACAGCGTCCGTGTGTACCAGAGTGCATGGACTTGCGTGCTGGTTTGACGTTCTCTTTGACGGGAGGTATCAAGCCATAACAGTTTATATGTTTTCTCTTGTACTTATGATTAGTATTCATTTGCTGTCACACAAAGGAATACAGTACAAACCTGATCTGCTCTGTATATCTAACAGCACGGTGCAAAGATGGTTCACGACTGCTCCTGGTGCACCAACAACCCATTGGTACCAAATAAGATGTGTTCTCTCGCAGCCTATTCATGTCATGGCAGGGCAAGAGATGACTGGTAGACTTCATTTGGTTGCCCACAGTGCTCAGAGTTACACAATCAATCTAACTCTCTCAGGTCAGTTTTGCTTTCTTACATCCCTCCTTCGTATCATATCATATACTTTCCAACTTTGTTTCTGATTGGCGTTTTAAACAGCTAAAATGTGGGGGCCTGGTGCCAATCAAGGTGGTATCCTCCAGACATCATCGTGCAAACTCGATCTGAAGGAGCCTTATTACAGAATGTCTCAGCCACAAGTATACCCTGTTTCACAAGAACCACCATCTCAACCGCAAGTAAGAATTTGTTATTGTCAATCAGGATATGATCACTGTTGTGTTTATTAATCATGGGACGCGTTCGTCCAAAAAACAAAAAAAATCATGGGACGCTTTATTATCCCTAAAGTGTGTATCATCTGACATAATTATATCACCACTTTTGAAATTTGCATCGATGGAGAAACATATCTCAGCATTACAACATATGTTTACACTTTCTCGGTGTAGGACATACAGATACAGAGCGATGACTTGGAAGACATAGAGCTACTACAACAGAACGCAAACGCTCAGCAGCACTAGAACGCAAGATCCTCGTAGCACCATTGGGACATTGCCGTTGCTTCCATCCAAGTCTCTGTAATTTGTGTTTGGTTACCATGGTTTAGCTTCGAGCCTTGACTTTTCAGACTTTAAATCTTGCGTATTTATGTCTAGCTCTACTCCATTTAAACTCTGTATTGTCCACACGGATTTTGAACCTCTCTTAAGAGGCACAACAGAATCAAATGAATTTTTCTATTTTGGGCGTGTAAACAGGTAAACTGAGTTTCAGGTGAGCAACTATTTGCTAACTGAGCAAAACAGCTTAGATTTATTGAGTTCACTGAAACAAACAAAAAATGAATTGGAGAATGTACAACTAGTGTATCGGACAAAGGAACTGTTTCAGTATAGAGCAAATTTCAGGCTCAGCTGATTACAGCTGCAACTGCAGGCTCAGGCGGACTAGCAACAACGACACTGAAGCAGCGTCCACAGAGAGTAGGATGGTCAGAAAACGATCCGACCTGGCCTGAGTAATTCCAGCACCTCTCACACTTGGATCCGTCGGCTCGTGACACACCAATCCACACTTTGTTCTCTCCCTCCACATACTCTCCTGTGTGCTGCACACTGCTTATCTCCTCTATTGACGACAATACCTCAACCTGTATTCCAAAACAGTTTAATGGTAGAAAAAATCAAAATCTGGGTAGAAAGAAACAGACTAGATCAGAAATTTTCCGCTTCGTGTTTAATCCCATTAAGGTATATGTTTTTACTTAGTTGTTCTGTTATGGATCTAATGGAGGGGCGATTATGATCTCAATTGAGCTGGTTTTTTTAAGCAAAGCCTGAACACAAATTTCTAACACTCCCGAGATTTAGTGCTTACCTGTGATGTTAGGAATATGCGTTGTAGCGTGTCAGCTTCATTCTGTGCTTTACACATCTCTAATAGTTTTGAAGCCATGCCTGCATCTGCGGTATGCAGATACACCTTTGCTTCTAAACTGGAACCGATTAATTTCCCAT